ACCGTTCCGGAGAAGGAGACAGCGGATTCACCATGTATAGACAGACTTTCGATATATACCGTTTCGGAGAAGGTGACAGCGGATTCACCATGTATAGGTAGCCTTTTAATATATACCGTTTCGGAGAAGGTGACAGCGGATTTACCATGTATAGGTAGCCTTTTAATATATACCGTTCCGGAGAAGGTGACAGCGGATTCACCATGTATATAGAGACTTTTAATATATACCGTTCCGGAGAAGGAGACAGCGGATTCACCATGTATAGACAGACTTTCGATATATACCGTTTCGGAGAAGGTGACAGCGGATTCACCATGTATATAGAGACTTTTAATATATACCGTTCCGGAGAAGGTGACAGCGGATTTATTATGTATATAGAGACTTTCGATATATACCGTTCCGGAAAAGGTGACAGCAGATTCACCAGATGTGTTGAGTTCTTTGATATATACCGTTCCTAAGGAACTAATAGCGTCAAAGTTTTGTCGCGCTAACTTTATGTCTTGAGATATCGGTATCGTAGTGCTTTCGTGCATGTTTTCATTATGAATCCAGGACGACCAAGAGAATCCGGGTGGATTCTGGGATACTACGTCTGGTATTTCCAGATCATAAATTCCCTCGAGGTCAGGACTCCTTCCTGATAGCGCGCAGATCGTGCGCGCAATTGTCTCGTGACTACTCGGAACTGCTTGTGGCATAGTTAATCTGTTGTTCCGAAAAATGCGGGAATTAGTATAGTCTGGTGTGAAGACCATCGCTACGTTGAGTACTGCGACGTCCAGTGCAGTCCATCCAAGCTTATTTTTTGCGCCAATGTCAGCACCCCCTTCCAACAGCACACGTATTACCTCATCGTGGCCATGAGATGACGCGATATGTAGCGCTGTTTGTCCGCCATGATCCTTAGCATTAATATCATACCCCTTTGCAACCAAGAGCTCTGCTATGCCCTTGAGCCCTTGAAAAGCCACTATATGCAATAACGTCAATCCGCTGGAATCTACCCAAGCAGTATCCAGTCCATGTCCCAGTAAGGATCGCAAGATCAGCTCGTATGATTTATGGGAAATACCGACTTCAGTCGTTGGATCTCCTTTTTCAGGCCACCAGGTTTCACGACTCCGGTCTACTGCGGTGTCAAGGATAAGACAAACCAACTCAGAATAACGTCCATTTAGGACAACTTCCCAGGTATGTTTGTCGGCGATATGATTCCACTCACGGGCTCCCGTAGGTGAAGTCAACTCTACAAACTTTGCATACCCTTCACATGCAAAAGCCTTCAGTGCCTTGTGATATGACAAACGCCCGATGTTGCCTATCCGGCTGAGCCACAACTTTACTGAACCGGCCCAGTCAGAAAGCGATTGCGTGTAATTTCCGGGCTCGGAATGTCGGTGAGTTATACCGGGTGAACTCGCTTCGTCTGATAAATTCCTGGCTCCCCCTGTCGGATATGGCGTTATAGCATCTCCCCATGCTCCTAGCGCATGCTTATACCAGTTATTGAAAACGTACTCAATGAGCAGATAATCATTCGGAAATCGTCGTCTGACATCGTGAGTAGGTGGACGTTCAGGAACAGACTGGTCGCAGAATTGCATATATGATAGACAGGATATCGCAAGAAATCGCTGAGAGATCGCTTCTCTGCTGAAGAAGCCTCCTTCTGTTTGGTATAGAATGAGATATTCCTTGACAGTTTGATGCGCAAACTGCACCAGGGAATCATCAGTTATGACAACAAGGCCGGAGAGTATTCGAGATACGTAGTGTTTATCCGGTATGATATTTTTGACAGCAAAGCTGTCTCCTTTGACGCCTATTGCGACAATTTCCGTCAACTCGTCGAGGCTCAACGGACGTTCACAATGAAGTAGCCATCGAAAAAGGATTCTTGCTGTGTCCCTTCGCTCTTCACCTAGGAGCTCGAAAATACGATCATATATTTCCGGTAGATTTGAAGGGAGATCAGCAAGTGAATTCTCAAGCTCGCTCCAATCCTCTTTTTCCCATAGCAAATTAAGAAGACCGACCGCTAATAGAAACCTAGATCCACGGTGAGAAATTGTGCGGACTACATCTAGAGGTTTAAAGAAGACATTTCAACTTACATTCCATTTGCTCTGCTTTTGACGGACTTGGCAATTAAATCCTGTCGAGCACCTCCCAAAGGAATCCAGTATCGTTCACCCGTATAATCGTTCCAACTCTCCAACTCCGAATCGACAAATATGCCGATATCATGATTAACATTGGATATCGTCCCACCTGCCTGCAAATCGAGTACGTGGCAGTAGTAACCATTGCTCGTCTTTTCCCGAACTACGCCGCTCAGCTTCTTTTCCAAGGGGGGTCTTAACTCGCGGGATCGGCTAGTGACCAAAACGTGAAGATTATGAAGCTCGATCCTAGTGAGCCAGTCAATGAAATTGACTAGCTTGTTGATCTCTGCTCTCGTTGAACTTTCATCAGACGAGCCGCATTCATCTAGAGCATCGATCACTATATATGTATGTCTTCCTCCATTCATCAAATCTTTCAATGCTTCCAATACTTCATCATCCAAGATCTCGTATGGCGAAGACTTATCCCACAGCTTCTCCAATTTACATGGTAGTTTGCCATCGGTGGGACAAATCTGCACCAAGAGGGACCGAAGCAGTCTGAATACACTCCGCTTTTCCCTATCTGTAGCGATGAAGTAATAACCTGCTGTATCATTGTCTTGGAAGAGATCTTGCAGGTGGTCAATGATAGTTGAACTTTCAAGTTAGCCTTATAACATTTCCACTCCTGACTTCACGGGTTACTCATACCTCAGGACGGTCTTTCCGCATCCAGCTATTCCATGTAACCACAGAAAACTATTAGGGTTTGCCTTCCAGGATCTGAACTCTTTAGATTCGACTAGCCACTCGCCGCTACCGTCAACCTTTCCTTCTTTTGCTTGGTAGTGGTCCCAGTACGGGTTGAGGCTATTACTAAGCCGCCAGTTTGGAAGTAAACGGTCGGATAGGATCTCGCGATTTGTGCCCGCTGCAAAATTAGCACTGTTGAAGCTCACGGAGACTGTTGAGATTACAAGTGAGTAGGTACTTACCCAATTGGATATTGTCCCCGACATGGACGGTTGATCTGCCACTTGCCGTAATTTGAAAGTTCTTTATTATATCAGAAGTCATGGGTACTTAGCCCGGCTTTAGGGCTCAAATTACTTTCTCTCAGAATCCCTAAGGTTATCGTCGTTGATGGTTGTCACGGAGAAAGGGCAAAAAACGGTGAACCTAACCCCTCAGTTGTTAATAAGCGAGATTTTTGAGATGTGATTCGACAAGCCGCCAGCCAACATATGACCGTTGCCCAAGTGTCTACGTACCTCCTATGCTACCTACCTGGGTAGGTACCTATTAAAGCTACATGCTTAAGTGCTCCAACAAAAGCCGTCTTGAACCGGCCCCAACGTATCCCTACCTCACATTGGAGCTAAGATTGACTTTCTAACTAGGACGCGAATCCTCTCCACCGCCGACCAAAGAATATATCCATAGCAATATTCACATCGTCTCAAACACCTTAAGCTCGTGGTGCCGAAACAGCATCGCCAGCCCGATGTACAACTCGGCATACACCAGGTGTAATCCAGCGCACATCCGGGTGCCCCAGCCGAATTGCCCCACCATAAAATGCGACAGCGGCTTCGCCTTACCATCAGGGATGAATGGAGAGGAACATTTATATATAGGTCTTATGCATCTGTGTAATATTATAATTGAAGGGAAATAGACACCCGTAATCAGCGACCGACATATCACAGATTCACTGAATCAACATCCATGAGCACGTCTCAATAAAATCTCCGATTTATTTCACTTTTCTGGTCTATTAAGTAGGGGTACCTTAGCGGCTACAAGGCCCACGAGACAATAAGCCTTCGTAGTGGTACCTGTTGTTTTGACCACACGCCTATCCGAGGTCAAATGCAATCATCAGAATGTTCGTAACTCAACGAAGCCTAGCCTGCTAACTAGAACGCCCTGGTAATACATGCAGCTTGTAAGGAAACCCCCCTTGCCTCCGGTTTTTATTCATCTTCTCATCTGCTGCATCTTGGTCATTTCGCTGTTAAACCTGAGCTTGAAGCCGTTGCATAGAGCGACCATGTGTGGGTACTGGTTCTGCTTCATCTCAAAGGCATGAGGTACCACTTTCACGTCCCACATGTTGATAGGCGAGCTCCTACTAGCCTTGAAACAGAGGAAGAAATACCCGGCGCGCTTAGGGTTGATGCAGAACCGGTACACCGAACGGGCAGGGTTGGCGTCCGAGTATGTGGTCAGCCATTTTTCTATTATCATGGTTAGTATGGTTTTGGTTTCCGAAACGCGATATGGGCATATAAGAACTTACCAACATCGGCAATGCTACCGCTCTTGAACTTTTCGTGGCCCATCATTTCGTCAACTTTCTTAGCCATTGCCTTAACGTGATCCACGATCAGTTCATCCAAGTCCGTGTACGTATATTTACCACCGATACGAAGCGTTTTTCCGACGGAGAACTCGGTCTCTTTCTGAAGCTCGAGGACGTCGATGTGTTGGTAAACACCATCTGCGACCTTCCACGTGACCGTAAGGTGGTCATTCCCTTTCGAGGATGGTCGAATAACGACGTCGCCGGAAGATTGGGAACCTAGGAATTCCTCGGCCTGTGTAGAGTTGAACGGCTTAAACAGCGGGTGCTTAATGACTCGTTGGGTGCGACCGGTGATTTTGTCCTTCTCTCGCAAGGCTTCCTTATCGTCATCTTCGAGTCTGAAATCCCAAGTTCCACGATCATGATCATTGTGCTTTTTATATGGTCGCCGCAACGCATCTTCGCGTAATGTAAGCTTCGCTAGGAATTCTTTGCGGTTGAGATCCAAGATCTTGGCTTGGATGGTCTGGTTGACGTGGATCACATCCCTGATGGACATGTTACTTTTGTAACCGCCAACCTCGTGCGCCTCAATCCTGCCTTCGATACCACAGTCAAACTTAGCAATAGCAAAGTCATCTTTGACTACTCGCAAATTCACCGGGACGATCATGCCTTCCGCCAGAGACTCTTTAGTTTCGCCCGTGAACATCGTAAATATCTGATCCGAACTCAAGGTGGAATAAGGATGACGAAGCTCTTCGTACGGTACCTGCAGCTCCGCTCTGATCGTCTCCAATGTGGCGCGCTTTCGTTGGTTGTATCTCGACTCCAGCTGCTCGGCATATTCTTCCAGGATAAGTTCGTTAACCTTATCCTGCTCGTCGTCCCTATACAGCTTGCGTACAACGGCGCCGGCTCCGTTTTCGTCAATTTCGGCCTTGACGTCTTCTTCGTCAAGTTCAAGAGCGTCTCCTGCCATCTTGCGACCAAGTTCATAATCTTCAGGGTGCACACGCGTGTTGTCCAGTGGCTCTGACGTCGGATTTGTGGCATCATATTCGATGTAAAGAAAACTAGCACAGTTATTCCATACCCGAGGGCCGACAACTGGTAACTTGTTGTTATCTGGATCGCCGACAAGTTCGTCTCTCGAGGTGACCACCCCACCGTTACTGTTGATGGCCTTGATAACGCTTGTTGCCTTGCGAGGACCCAAGCCGGCAATATAAGGTAGTAGATTGGCTGTGTAGGCGTCATTGACAGCTTCGTTAATGTCGACACCGCAGAGATTCACCATGTCTACCATTGATGTCTCTAAGTGTTTTAGTAGTTTCTCCTCAGGAAGGAGATGCTGGCAGGGGTTGAATAATAGAGACATAATGTCCTTCCCAAGAGCCGCGTACTCTTTCATCGGATTTTGGAGATACCTCGCCAAAGCCACACAATACCGTGTGTTGGAACTCAAAGTCGGGTGGTCAGCCTGTGCTCGAGGACTGTCTTTGTATAGTCTCGCGACTTCGTCATTGACAACAACTACGTCTAGCAGTTCGCTAACGTACTCATTGGTGCTCTGATCCATAAATTCGGGACCTAGAAGGTTTTTCTCGTTGACGAGACTCTCCACCTCACGAACCACTCTATGAGTGTCGGTGGAAAAACCGCTAACCCCGATTACGTCTGGTTTTCTTCGCTCGACCAAATCGACGAAGGCCTTACGTTGCGTCTCATCGCGAGCTAGATTTCCAAACTTTCCATGATCAATTACCCGTCCGTCCTCTTCAACCCAGACCCAGAATATTGGGTCTCGACTCGGATCACCCATGCCATTCGACAAGGCGAGCACGCGAGGGGTTGTTCCCAACATCATACCCTTCGGCTTGTAGGGCGCTTGGTCAAGTCTCTTAGAATATTCTTCACGGCAGAGCTTTAGAAGCTCTTCTTGGCAGGCTGTTTGCAGCGAATTTTTGACACCCTTAGCTATCACCTTTTCAAGCTTGATAAAAGCTAGATCTAGAACCTTTTTACGTTCCTCATTCCACGCATCTGCGAGCTCGCTGTAGTCTTCCGAGATGAATTCGGCCTGCAGCTGACGTCGGAAGTCTTTTTCGTTTTGGAGTCGAAGCTTTACCTCAATCAGACCTTCCTCTTCGGCTTTCATCATCTTTAGAAACAGTTCGGGCCGTCGCGCGAGGTCGCCGATAGTCTGATTGATAAGGTACTTGATTTCATAGTATGGATGCAAATCATCGATTCTCCGAAGCCCCTTCTCCGTACGATGACAGCTGACCTCGCCACCCATGTAGAAGGCCTGTCTGAAGTGCTTTCGCATTCTTGGGCTTACGAATAGCTCCTCGGCGTACATGTACCTCGCCTGGGACAAGACCTGGTCACCAGTTGGGAACTCGCTGTCGGTAAGACTATCCGCAAGGTCGATCGGCAAGCTCGGTTCGTCGTTCGACATAACTTTTTGGCCTTCGCGGAGAGCGTTTTGTGCTAGCTGATCAGGAGAGATGCCCAATGCCTTCACGAATTTGTAAACGTTGCTCCGGCGGATACGCTCAAAATCGGTCGATTTTGCGTTAGGCCGCTTCCTTCCTTTAGCGACTCCATTCATTGCTGCGATATCCTTGAGCTGCGCCGAGTACTGAAAGTTAATATAATCCTGCAAATCTTGAAGCTCCTCCATCGTAATGGCTCGACTGAGCATCTCAGGGATCATGTCATCATTTACATGTGCGATCTCCTTTAGATTATCATAGGTCTTTTCCAGTACACTTCGCTTCTCAAAAAAGGAACGATATTTGATATCCAACTCGTGGATGCGCCAGAGGTCGTCTTGTGTGAGTAGCTTCTCAGCCTCGATAATGTACTCCGGTGCTTCAGGATCATTGCGGTGCTCAGGATTCCTAACCTTCCGGGCGTCGATAAGGTAGTCCTTGCGGTGCTGGAAGATGTAGGGTACTTCGAGACCCTCGAGGACGAAGTATTCGAGCACCTTGCCGACGGACTTCTGGAAAGGGCCATGCATATCGCTAGAAAGTTGCTTCTTCGGCCACATTAAATCCGCGATCCACTGCATCTCTTCCTTCAACTGCTCGCCTTGGATACTAAAATGTTCGAAAGGCTTACGGTCGAGCTGGAATCTCTCGGGCTCGTCAGTGAAACGAATGGCATTGTCCTCGTCAGTTAGGAGTTTCTCTGCCAATTGTGATGGCTCGAAGACATCCTTGAGTTCGAGAGTCTGCTCTTCTCTTTGTCGTTCGTCTTCCTCCTCTTCCTCATCTAAAGCCCATTGGTAGTCTTCCCCGTTTCCAAAGATGGCTTCCATATCCTCAAGGGCGTCCTTATCAAGACCGGCGCGGTCAACGATCCGACCAGCTATACCCTTGTCTCGCGGACGGGCAACCTCCATATCTTCCATCTGGCGTTGACGCTCGTCTTCATCCTCGGGGTCATCTTCTATGATGAAGTCAGCGAATTCGTCGGCGGCGGCACGGTGACTAGGGCGCGCGTATGGTCGATCGTCAACAGGTTCATCATCTTCATCGGAAAATATCTCATCAAGACCACGTCGTTCATTTCCACGAGCATCTTCATCGCGGTGGCCACGCTTAAGCCTCTTGTAGCCCTGTCCGGAAATTAGAAAGCGGAACTGTCTGGAGATTAACGATACGCCATACCTGCGACGGTTGCTTGCGTTCCCATTCAGGAGCATTCTCGCCGATTAGGTCAAGATCTTCTTCGTCCAACTGAGCCTCTTCTTCACGTTCTTGTCTTCGCTTGCGCTTTCGTCGCTTGCGACGCTCATCCTCATCTTCGACCATATCTTCGTCTTCGTCATCTTCGTCGACAATGAAGCCTTCACGAATCTATCAAATAACACGTGATTAGCCGTGTCAATATACATCAATCCATATCATAATGGGGGAGAGGCAAGAGGAAATGCAAGAGATGTGATATATACCTTTCGTGCTTCTTCTTCATCATCATCGTCATCGTCTTCCTCGCTCGAATCATCCATGTCCTGATCCCGGGTCCGAGTTCTCTCGCGAGCTTCGCCGGTCTCCTCATCGAATGATTCATCTTCTTCTTCATCATCCAACTCAGCCTCCCCTACGATCAAATCTCTCATAGCGTTACTCATATTGGCGAGGCGCGTGATGGAAAGGAAAGATGTGCAATCCTACACCCAACGGGCGAGAAGAGAGATTGCGAGGCGCGATGTTCAATTGTTGTAATTCGTAGGAGGTCGTGGAATTAGAATGGTTGTATCGTTCAAATTCGTGTTGCAGAAATGGCGGATGATGAAAAGATGAGAAAGGTTAGAAAGAAGATAGGAACGTTGAGGAAAGATTAAAAGTTGAGATTCCCTTAGCCTTGGGAAGCTATGACCGTGCAGGTAGTCAGCTAATGATGGAAAGTAGAAATTTGAATCGCGTTAATCAGTAGGTACTAGGTACCGTGCTAGCCTCGCGATTGGAGTGGTTGCTAGGTGCTAAGCCTCGATTAGACAAGGGACAAAGCAAGCCACGTGTGGCTCTCACGTGGGGTATGGGGCTGTCGCCTCAAATCCTCAAATCTAAGGATTGCTTATGTAAGCTGGAGTTCAAGGTGGGTACAATGTCGTGGCGCATTGCTAAATATAATTCGATTGGCGTCACATATCATCAATGCAAGTGCAAATATATGTACGACAATTATCTAGCGCAATATCGAGTTGTTCATTTAAGGGCTTTCACGCTTCTGTTTCCCCTATCGATTAAGTTATTACTAAGAAATTGGTACATAGAAAGTCTTATATTGTTTTAGCATATCCACCCCGAGTGCTCAAGTGTACATGGAATATTGATTGAATCCTGGGAGACAAGAGTCAATCGCTTAGCCAATCGTATTAAGCATTTGTCATGATACACCAGAGTCGGCTGCAAGGCTCTAACTCCAGACAGACAGGGGCCATAGCGAATCTAGAGCTTCAGGGAGAATAAATCAATATGTGCCTCAAGTTAGAAGAGTGCATTGGCCCCCAGATTCTTTGTTTGGGATAGATGAAAAGAATTCCTATTTCTAGCTACTTGCTTGTCGAAAAGTCTTATCAGGCGAACATGTGGCGTTGTAGAGAAGAAACGGATGTGTGGGATTAAAAAAGGGGTAGAAAAAAGACATAGCAGTTACAGATACATAGCTGCATCCAGTCTCTTTTGACATGACATGACATGACTGAGTAGGTAGCCCTGGAGTGTATATCAGGTCGCATTTACGCTTTGAGCTATTAATCTGCAAGTTATTGCATCTCTGTGCATTCATATGGATTATGGGCTTGTCTGACCCATCACTTACCCGCATATGGGCCTTATATATGTATGTACATAGGTATGTAGGTATGTAGATATATTCGCTTGTTGCAATTGCTTGCTGCAGTCTTCAGTCTAGGTATGTAGATCAATGCGATGTAGGTACCTACTATTATTACTATATTGCACCTTCCCACACTTATCCATTGCAATAAAAAGGTTGAGTCCCGCGGTCTCCGCCCTGTGCACCCATTTATCATGGATTCCAAGTAACTTATACATTTTTAACGCTACCATTATAACCATGTTTCTCTGTATCGTTTACACCAAACCAAAATCTATTAGTGAAACATTGAAACATGAGAAGCACTTGAGCCTGCGACCAAATCGTAACCAACTTTTTCAATTCTTCCACTTATATCACGTTTGTAAACGCTCTGAACTGTAGGCATAACGATGCCGTTTCATATCTCGAAAACCCAATGCGACATCGTCCCTCTCTTTCTCTCTCACCATCTCTCTTATTGTACGCTGTGATTATGATTTCACTCTTTTGCACTAGATAACCGTTGGCCACTTTTGCGATTCGTTCTTTCGAATCTAAATAAGACGATTCCTCAGATTTCATATGTCAGGACGCCTCCTATATTACTTGATTTCCTACGGCCCTCATCTTTAAATAATTCGATTTCAATATTGTTCATAGCTTCTTATAGTATATGCAGCTGTCAACCAGAAACCTCGAAACTAAGGAGCCAATCATCGTATTTTCGTCGACAATCTTTAACCATATATAGATTCTATTGATTTTGCTGCATACATCTGTATGTAAGAAGAGACGAAATCGAACTCTCGGCCGATTAATAACCTAACTTGTCTTGTTAGACATAAATTGAGCTCCGGGACCGTGACGCTCGAGCTTTCACTTATCAACTTGATAGGTGAGTATTTTAACATTAAATACTTTTTATCCCACATTGCACCTTGTCCACGTTGCCCACATTCTTTTTTTTTCTCTCTTTGATTTTTATAGGGGGACAGTTATCTGTGATTGTCTATCATTTCACACATCCCACTCAACTTGAACATTTTCGCTTAGCCAAGTTGGTACAATACATATCTACGAACAGACAAATCGTCGCCTCATTGGTAGGAATATAAGCAAACTTGATCCAATCGAGATTGCTTCCGTCCTCTCAACTCTTCCTCGATACGGATGCGTACTTAACAAAAAGTTCGAACTTGGCCAATCACAATTTATTACACAGGGCTCTTACATCTTCAAGTGCCCAGAGTCAAATACACCCTATGTACAGTGCATGTACATATGTAGTTGCGAATTATTACATAAACTACTTGCGGTGTACGACAGTTACCCCGATTATTCTATTACGAATTACCAATTGCATCGCTTGAAAGCGCCATCCCAGTCCATCCCAGCCCTTCTCAGGGGTCCCACCACCTGGAACTAAGGCACCCTTGAGCACCCAGTTAAGCCCGTTAACCATTGCTTTACTACATCCATACTCCTGCATTCCTCCTGCATCCTCCTGCACTTCTCTTCCACAACCTCTACCCGACCATTTAATTTACTAGGTACTGAATCCAAACAGTTGGCGGCCTTTTATAGTCGCTACGTACCGATAACCACTCCTCTGTATATCGCACAATAAGCGCATGGTTGTACGATTGTACGATTGTACGCTTGTCACCGTCGCTTCTGTAAAGGCAGAAACGAGTTTCGAGTTTCCTCTTCGAAATCTCCAAGTAATCCCATCTTCCGAATCCGAACTTGGATCTTTTCGGGGTCCGTGAGGGGCATAGACCTAGCGCGCGAGAGTCATTAAACGCCCAAACGCTCTAAGATTCTAACGTTCTAACGCCCGGTCCAATATTCAAGTAAATTCCAATACGTAGGCGTCTTGCTGGTGGACATGCAAACCGCCTTCCTATCTCTAATCCGCGCCGGCTTCAGATTGTTTTAAAAGCATCCTGCAGAGTGTGCGAGTCCCCGTTCCTCGATACCGAATCCTAGACATTCTCCGAGTACCTGCAGGATTGCCAATTACCCATCATGACCGACGCATTCGCCCCGCGCTCCATGAAGCGCAAGAATGTCAAGGGTCTAGCTCTAACCCCCGCCGCCCCGAAGCAATCGCCGGCCTCGAATAACAATGATCAACAAGCTGGCTGGGGTTTTGGTGGTTCGAGGGCTGAGGAGGCAGGCCAGGATGCTCAGCTGGAGATTGGAATAGAATTCAACTTGGACCTACGACAGGAAGATATTGAGATTGTAAAAGAGCTTGGTTCGGGAAATGGAGGTACCGTCAGTAAGGTGAAGCACTTGCCTACCGGAACCACGATGGCTCGAAAGGTAATAATCCAGATTGGCATGTCTTAGGTCTTAGGTCTCACGACTAACCGTAACTCAGGTGATCCACGTCGAGGCCAAGAAAGAGTTACGGAAGCGGATTGTGCGCGAACTCCAAATCATGCACGGTTGTCACTCCGACTACATCGTCACTTTCTATGGCGCTTTCCTGAATGATCATAACGATGTAATAATGTGTATGGAGTATATGGACGTCGGGTAAGTGGGATCAAACGGATGGCCCAAGAAAAGATGCGAACCTAACAAGAGCGCGATAGGTCTCTCGATAGGGTCTCACGCCATTTCGGTCCGATCCGTGTTGACGTGCTTGGCAAGATCGCAGAAGCTACACTGGGAGGTCTAACTTATTTATACTCGAAGCTACACATCATGCACCGAGACATCAAACCCTCCAATATCCTTGTAAATTCTAGGGGTCACATCAAGCTTTGCGATTTTGGTGTCTCGGGAGAGCTCGTCAACTCCATCGCCGACACCTTCGTCGGTACCTCTACATATATGGCCCCCGAGAGAATTCAGGGTGAGAAGTATACGGTTAAGTCTGATGTGTGGAGTTTCGGTCTCAGCATAATGGAGCTAGCTATTGGCAAATTCCCTTTTGCGAGTGAGCAACTATCGGATGGTGATGGCGCGCCTGCCGGTATCTTGGACCTTCTTCAACAGATCGTGCATGAGCCGGCACCAAAACTTCCAAAAAGCGACGCTTTTCCGTCGATCCTAGAAGATATGGTTCAAAAATGCTTGTCAAAGAACCCTGACGAGCGCCCGACGCCTCAGGAACTCTGGGTGAGCAAGGATTCTCCAACATAAGGGCAAGGCAAAAATTGCTAATAATACTAATAATACGTAGGATCGGGACCCATTTGTACAAGCCGCAAAACGGACACCCGTAGATTTGAGAGAATGGGCTGTAGGGCTTATGGAGAAGGACAATCGCAAGTCACATTTAGTCCCCCAACTCTCGCCGGCGACTCGGGAGCTGTTACGATCCAGCGAGTCCCCCACCTATCAAAATGACCATAATCCTGCTTACACCCCAACATCTGGTGAGATCCCGATTGCGGGGGCTATTGCTTCGCCGAGAGAACAAGGCCACGCACAAAACCGGTCACCTACAAGAAACGGTATGGGAAGCCTAGGCCGTGCGGGTGGTTCTACTGTACATCCAGGACTTGGCCAACGAGCAGCGACATCCGGGTCGATTCCTAAGATCACGACCGCGGACCTCTCTCAACCGGCCAGTGCCAGTTTAGGAACATCGTTCACTCTGCCCGTTAGGCCCGCACCCCCTGGAGGGCCACTACCTCCTCCTCCGCCGAGAAAGGAGACGCCAGATGAGCAACGGGTAGGCGGCAGGCGACAAGCGACGTTCGGTCCCCCATCAAATGGTTCATACGGAAGTGCGGCGTATCCTTCACGATAAACAGGCGCTACATTTCACGCCGATTAGTATGACTATTTTGTCACCGCATAAGCCATGGCAAGCTTGTCTCATCTTGAGCCCGTTGGCTCTGGTTAGCGAAAAAAAAATCAACCCTCAGCGCCCGCACCGCTTAGCGCAACGTCACGTTGAACATTTTGCCCCGGATATATTAAGCCCTTGCATCTCCCGCACGCCCCACGGCGGCAACACTTTTGGTAGAGAGAACATATCAGACGTTTTTTTTGGTGGGGAAGAGGACATATGGGAACCGAAAAGAGCGATCTTATGTGAGAGGAGGGAATTGCAGCCGTTAAATACTACTCGTAGTTGGCGATCTGTGGTAATCTTCGTCGGACTAGGTACAAATATGACAAGACTCCGCATGAGAATCCGCGATGGTTATGAGCGTGATCATGACAGTGATATCTGATCGATGCTCGTGAGAGACTCAGGTGTCGTATTCTCGTACTACTTCGATAGTGGGTGGAATAGTTCAAGCAAGCTGAGAGTACATGGGGACTATCCCGACTTCAACAACTATGCACAGGTAAGCTTTCAAGATGCTTATGTTATGTTCTATATCCTTCAATGTCCTCTAGGTGTGATGATACAGCAGTGGTACCGCATTTAAGACTATAATTATATAACCTACTCCCCCTTTTATTCTTGGGATAAGTATTTTGTTTTTATACTTGTGAAGTCATCAAGGTAACTCCCTACGAAACCATGCTCTAACACGTGCATCAACTCGTCTAGCCGCTCGATCACTAGGTCCGTGTGCTCGTGTTCGGCTAAGTGGCGATTCGCGTCGTTGACGAGCAGCACGGTGGCCGCGCCTGCACGCCGCCCAGCCGTCATGTCGTCGATCGAATCGCCGACCACTTTAGCAGCGTCAGCTTCTACCTCTATAGGTACCTTTATTTACTCTTAGGTAGGGATTTCAAGGGTTTAAGTACGCTATGTCTCAAGAACGGCGAATTTCTCAGCTAGTCTGGGTAGGAAACAGAAAAGGGGGGTTGTTAAGTACGGAATGTGGAAAATGAACATACTAATCAGCCCCGACGCATCACCAACCTCGCCACTCCCCACCGCACCCTCTTTCTCGCCCTCGCCGCTCCGCGCACTTTCACGCACAACCTCCTTTACGGCACTCTCATCCTTCTCCCCCTCGATCCGCCTCGTGAGCCCCCAGCTCCGGGCTATGAACAGCAAGCCCGCCGGGTCCGGCTTCGGGGGCCGGAAGTCCCGAGTCACTACCGGGTGGAAGACGCTTCCGGCCAGGAACTTGGTCAGGAGGTGGGTGACGGGCTGCTCGAAGTTGCGCGTGCAGATGCCCTTGGGCACGCGGTGCCGGTCGAGGTACGCCATCAGCTCGGCGAGACCCGGCTGCGCGACCTGCTGCGCCATGGACACGCGCTCGATCGCGCGGATGGACTCCATGGCGGATTCTTGCTCGGAGGCTGTGGGTAGCGAGTAGATGTGCTCGAGGATGTCGACGCTCTTGGGGATTTGCAGGACGGAGCGCATTTGTGCGAACATGTGGTTTTGGGGTTGGCTAGGGGGTTTGGTTAGCGAGAGATTGCGAAGAGATATGAGAGTTCAAATAAGGATTTTGATGGGATTTGAATCTTCTGGCTCTTAAAACTCTCCATGATCCTGTAGCTTGAAAAACATGTGTAGACATGAGACTTATGATGAGAGCCATATATATCGGGATACTTCCACTGCTCACTTCACAAATTGACCAAAACGTATTCCTTTTCTCTCATTACAAACAGGTGCTTATCTTACAACTTTGTTTACACTTACCAAAGAGTTCCATCTACATCGAATATCACTCCTTTTAATTTAGGCCAGTCGTGGTGTTCCGCTGTTGCTCCCTTAAGTGGCGCAAACCGCTTCGGACGTGCTTGGGTCATGGTGGAGAGGAACCTGCGCATGATAAGCTTCAAGAACGGAACATATGAGAAGTCGTCATTACAGACACTTCAGTCTCGTATGAGGAGAAAGATGGTGTTTTCATTAAATTTAATATCAAGAAAACTAGGAGTCATTTTAAGTTTACACGATGAATGTACTAGCTGGAGTACCTCCGTTGATTCATAACCGGTACTTGGCGAGATGTACCTTTCCGGAGGTGGGATGGAGGTAATGTGGCTCGTGCACACGGGGGCGTTTAGCGCCTTATTCAACAGCTCCACGGCGGGAGCTCGTTCTTCTGGACACCTAAGCTCCAGTTATCCCTCGTTATCGGACTGGAAGAGCGACCCATCGAATAGCTATTAATAAATTTCGTAACTTCAGTCCTTACTTATTCTTCTTTACACACTCGTAAAGCAAAATCCATGCATCATCAGATACCTAAACTCCCTTGAATACCTCCGCAACCTACCGAAAATGGCTGATGACGCGAAGGCCGAAGCGGCCAAAAAGCTAGCTGAGAACAAGAAAAAGGTATGGGCTGATTCTACATATACAGAGTTGTCTGTGGGATGCAATTGGATGCTAAATTCCAGATCCTATAGTTCGAGGAGAGGAGGAAGCAAATGAAGAAAGGGGGTGGTTCGAAGAAAAAGGACAAGGACAAGGAAGAAACCCCCGCCGCAGAACCGAAACCTGAATCGAGCACGGCCGACGAGCCAGCTGTCGAAGATGCCCCCACCGAGCCACCGACCTCCCCCTCCGGTCCGAATACGGCCACTCTTTCGCAGCAGTCGAAGCTCCGTTCCTCGTCCTTCCGTGCAGGGACCGTATCACCAACCGGCTTCCCCCTAAGTCCCGAAGGAGAAACGGCGCCTGATATATATCGCAAGCAAGTAGCGCGCATAGAGGACCTGGAGAAAGAGAACAAAAGACTTGCTAAAGAGGCCGGCGACTCAGAGAAGCGATGGCAGAAGGCAGAGGAAGAATTAGCCGATCTACGGGAAGCTGACAGAGACGGCTCAGACAGTCAAGTGGAGAAGCTGGTACGCAGAGCCTCATAACAATTAGCTAAAATATACCATACGAGACGTACTAACCGTCCTTGCAGAAATCCGAGATCGCAGCCCTCCAACGCCAAAACTCGCAGCTCCAATCCGCAGCCTCGAAGCGGCACGGCTCGTCACCTTCCATCTCCGTGTCCTCGCCCGCCGGGGAACTGCAAGCTCAACTCGCCTCGAAATCCGCCACCATCGAGACCATGGAGCTCGAGATCTCGCGGCTGCGCGCCCAGGCCGAGCGGCAGGCGTCCGCCGGCGGCACCGACAAGGAGCAGATCTCCGCGCTGGAGGAGAAGCTCGCGCGCGCCGAGCAAGCGGCCATGAAGGCGCAGCGCGAGCTCGGCGACCTGAAGCGCAACCTCGAACGCACGACCGAGCGCGCCGTGAAAGAAGGAAGCGAGCGCACGAGCGCCGAGACCAAGCTGCGCAGCCTGGAGCGCGAGGACGAGAAGCTGAGGGCTGAGAAGAGCGAGTTGGAGAAGAAGGTGGACGCCCTAGAGAAGAAAGTCGCGGCCTTAGGTACCCTGCACAAGGAGAATGATAGCCGCTCGCAGGCGCTGAGGAAGGATAAGGAGCGCGCGGAGAAGGAGGCCCTGGACGCGAAGAATAAGATCGAGAAGCTGGAGGCGGAGAACGCGCGACTGAGGAAGAAGGATGCTGCGGAGGGTGGCGGCGACGATGACGGCGTGGACGAGCTGGAGGATGAGGAGAGGCAGCGCATGGAGAAGAAGATCCGCGACCTCGAGAGCGAGGTGTACGACCTGCGCCGCGGCATCTGGCACCAGCGGCGCAGGGAGATGGAGCCCGGCGCCGATGACGGCGCGACGAGCCCTAGCGGCGGGTTCACGAACATCGATCTCGGCGGCCCCGGGTCCGCACGCAAGCCGAGCGCCAGGGCGGGCGGACTCGGCGACTTCTTCGCGAGCGGCATCAACGCGCTGACGGGCGTGTCGCCCGCGGACGAGAAGCAAGGTGGTGATGACGGGTTCCTCGACGACGACGACATGGAGTTCGACGAGGAGGCGTTCCGGCGCGCGCAGGAGGAGGATGCGAGGAGACGGCTCGAGAGGATCAAGGATCTTAAGAGGGGACTGAAGAATTGGGAGGGCTGGAGGCTGGACCTCGTGGATGCGCGGAGAGGAGGTGGTGGGCTTGGGGCTGGTGAGGTTTTTGAGGTTTAAAGCATTTTAAGCATCTCTTAAGAAGAATGGAGGAGAGGTTATGCCTGATGAGTATGTATGTGAAAGAGATGAATGAAGGGGAAGGTAGGGAGGGAATGGGATGGGATGGGGTGGGATGGGAACGTGTGTGCATGGTATATCGGGATATAACATATGAAGGAAGAGTGTAAGAGTAAGAGAACCTTAAAGTTGGAACTGGTAGTTGAAAGAGCTGCCTATTTTTTTTGAGAATTGCAGGCTTGAAGTTGCTTGTGGATAAGCACTGTATTGGAACGACCGTTGTGATTCTAATGTTCCCCCTTTTAGAAGCCCAGTATTTTAAGTTTCAACAGGCACCTATATATGAAATATCCTACTAGGAAGTCAAAAGTTACTGCCTTTATTTATGGGCATCCAGTGCCGGTCCAAAATGCTATGATTTTCGACGAAGGTACTCAGCCTCTAACGAACGGAGATGGATGTCACATCCAACCTAGCGCAATTAGATAGGTTGAGGACTATAGGTCTATATCCTGTCTTCCAGTTAGATCCCTATGCTAATAATGATTTTGTCCCGAGTATAACTAGCTATTTGACACCGATTATCTTGACCGTAATTAGAGTAATTGACAATACCCCTTATTCAAATGGCAATGAAGGGGCGAGGAGATATGTTTTCGGTGGTCGTATAACGACATAGATAGGAAAATCAACATCTAAGGAACACTCACCTAGGTAGAGAGTGTAAAAGACTACAGTGGAGATGTACCTGCTTAAAGGGCAACTGTCCTTTTCCGAAGCCTTTCCCTTCTCTATCTAAGATGGTAAACTTGACGCACCTTGGTCCATCTTAGTATCTGCCTCCTAGGCCTGATAGAACAATCTTCTCCAGGACTATTGATTTAATGGGTAGGTAGGTAGGCTTTTCGGTTGTAGCCCATGACAACTACTCCCTCTCCTTCCTCCCCCTAACTTGCTGCACGATAACTCACCTCTCCTCTGGCAAACACACTCTCTCGGCAATCTGAGGATGCCCATGGCAACTGCCGCGAACAGTTTGCAAGCTTATAAGTATTAACAACTGAAGGGTTTTTGCCTTCGGGCAATCGAAGTTTCGCTCAATAGTATCTTATTCCATCCCATGCTCCAATCAACGTTTTGCACTTTTTATCCCCGATAGGCGCGGGTTCGAATCAGGTTCAAACCGCCTTTTTTTCATTTCAAAATTCTTTTTTTAACACAATTTCCAGCGCATTCATTTCTTCGAATTTATTGAACAGGTATAACACGATATGACTTAGTTCTATAAGTTAGAAGGGCGTATGAAACTTAATACCTACATGAAAGTCAGCAAGTGAAGATTAAGCGGCGAATAGAGTGGAGTGAAAGCAGTTCGTACGAGATCTCAGGACTTACACATAGCAACACTTTCTTCCTGATTCATAAGATTATAACAATAATCTTTGTAGCGATCGCTTTGAAATATATATTCACTATAAAATATCAGATGATATTACTTAAAACGCTAATTCCCTAGATTTTCAAGGTTCCCCCTTTTCCTCATTCCTTTACCAAATCCATGCTGACTAAATCCGAAACCTCACGCAAGATTACACATTACAATTACTGTTCGAATTCGCCAGCGTAAAGGATACCCCGAGGGTTCATCTCGTCCCAGATAGCCCTTAAGTCGAGATCTTTCTCGCGTCTGGTCACCGTCGCGTTCGCAGCAAGTTCTCTCTGGGCCTCCTCGCGCGCGAGTTGCACTACGCATCCTGTTAGCAAATATTCATTTAAACAGCCCCCCTAGAGGGGGAAAAAAAAAATAAGGAAAACTCACCATGCACATAAACAGCAGTCCTCTTCCCCGTGAACAGCGCATGCGGGACATTCGTCACATTATCCGAGTTCGCATCGCCAATCGCATACACGCCAGGGATATTCGTCGCGAGCCCCTTCGTCCCATCCGCCGCCAACCGACCGCCGTACAGCGTAACACCCAGCTTAGCCCCGACATCACTCTTCTGCTCGTCGGGAAAACTCGCGAAGAAGGCGGCGCGCTGGACGCTCTCGCCCTCGCCGAAATCAAGACTGAACAGGTCGTGCTCGGGCGCGGTCGGCAGGCTGGGGTCGGCGGGCGGCTCGGCCCCGTCGCGCAGCCGGTTCACGCGCGTGATGGTGCGGTTGTCCACCGTCACGTTCTTGAGCGCCAGGTACCGCGCCCACTCCGGAAAACTCGCGTCGGCCGCCGCCCGCTGCGCCGCCGTGTCCGTGCCGTTCACGAACGCGATGATGTCCGAGTTTAGCGTCGAGATCTCGCGAACCAGGCTCGCGGCTTCCTCGAGCGGGCCTAGGATACCTAGGGGCTGGTCTTCGTGCTCGTGGCCCTGGCGAGGTTTAGCGGTTTTCGGATTTTGGGTTGTGGGGGAAGGGGAGGAGGGAGGGGAAGCTTACATCGCACCAGGGACACCAAAATATGCCTTTGCCCCAGTTCTCCTCAATCCCGGGGGTGGAGGGCAGGATGTCCCGTAGGCCCGTTGCTAACACGATCTTACGCGCGCTGACGGTGCCGGTGGTGCCGTTGAGCCACGAGGTCGCCACGTTGAACTGGGTGTTGTTGTTCAGCGACTCGATGGAGGTGACTGTCCCGTTGACCGCGGTCACGGTGTCGTAATACGAGATCTGCTGCCGCGCAGCCCAGCGGTAGTATGCCGGCGTGACTCCTGCACGGGATTAGTCGCACGAATAACTACCGACTTTCCAGCTACCTCCGGTAGGTAGGCTGGCGATGGGATCAACTCACCGTCGAAACCTAGGACATCGTGCATATGTCTTGTTGGTCCGTTGCGGTACTCTCCCGAGTCGATTAACAGCACGTTCCTGCGCACGCGGGCGAGACCACTAAGGGCGCTTAAGCCGGACGGGCCGCCGCCGACGATGATAGCATCGTAGGTCGGTTCGTCACGGGGCGCGACGGCCGCGGCCGCGGCGAGGCTCAGTAGCGGCAAGATGCCGAAAGCGATCGTGCTCTTCATGTTGAGGTGAGATGAAGTTGTATTAGAACCCTCGACGCCTTAAACCCTATCCACACGTACAGCGAGCGACTATGAAAGCTTAACTATACAGGTAAGTACATGGCGCGTAGGAGGGGAGAGGCGAGGAAAACGCCTAGTTATATAGCTACTAGAGAATAATTCTTTGTGTAGGTAGTGAGTGTACATACGGGGCAGACGCAAACGGGTACCCGGACGAGCTATTCGCGTGGCCCCTGACAGATGATCCCTACCTGATTATTCTCGAGGTTGCCAAGAATGGTAAGACAGACAGATTTGGGTCACTTGGCGATCACGACATCTCGCGTTCTCCGTACGAAAAGACTCGGTAGTCATGGGTAAGTTTTCCCAAAATTGGTTTGGTCGTTTTCCCCTCAGCTCGCCATTGACTTTAACTATTCAATGCCTTGCCGATCCGTGCATCATTAGGTTGCCTTTAGTTATGTAACCCGTAACCCGCTTCCGAGCGGCATATGTATATCGACGTAAGGGATTTCTTGGTCGATAGAAAAAGAAAATAAAACTTGATCGGATGCATTCTGATATGTGACAAAACGACGCACCAGCAGTACCATTACCTCATAGAAAGATGACCTTACAGATAATCTTGTATTGATGATGAGTTCCAATATTTAGTGAGATCGTCAGGATTATCGTCTGTTGGGTGATGTTGCCGCCCTCCGAAAATTGATCTTTTCTTCTAAGCTCAGGTACCAAAACCAATACGATCTGTAAGATTTACCCCAATTTAGTGATTGCCTCATACGGCAATTACTTAGGTACCCAGCTAGACCTAGCAGACCTAGCTAGAGGACGCCAGCGGAGCCAACCGTCTTGGCACAAAGCCTAAATGCCTAATACCTGACGAACTACATAAATAGTACAATCGGTACTTAAATATTCAGTAGCTCAATTTACCAATAAAAGGACCTCCGTCCACTGACCGCATCGCTTCAGCTGCTTCTATGATGTGTCCAAGACTTGTATGCTGGTGACAGACGCATGCGGTGCATCTGATCAACTGACTATTGAGACGAACGCCCGATCTCTATTAGCTGCATTGAATGGGTAGATAAATATTGACTCAAGTCGTTTTGCTTCTGCAACGAACTCCGTATCGCCGTCATAGAGCGCAAGAGATTTCGAGATTTTGATGCAAGGGCCCTAGACATCCTTCAGTGGATGCTGGTTCCTTTCTCTGCCAACACGCCCGAGAGAGGCAGGTAGAAGCCTATCAACAAATAATAGAATTAGATTGCACAATTCATAATTTCTTCAAAATATGGATCTTGGGACTTTTTATTCTTTTTTTAGCTGCCCAGTGCTTCGATGTTTCAGATGATTGCCGTCACTAGCTATTCCCTGCTGATACTTTTAATGTTATACAGTCCCGGCGTTTTTCCGTCGATAACCTTATTAAAACTTCTGATGACTAAGTTGGACATCCCCCCTATTCAATCCAGATTATGTAATGAAATCTCGTACATTATATAAAGAGAAAGGCTGTTATATTTTGCTTTTAGTCCTGATACAACGACAAGATCTACTAACCTGCTAGGACTTGTATGATCCATGGGTCGAGCCGACGAGAACATCGTGTTCTTACGTGTTATCGACCTTGGAGGCTCCTGACTAAGGCAGCGACGCACGAACAGGAAGACCATTAGTGTAATCAAATTGCAAGATTATGCTCTACGAATAAACTTTAGCTCCGACTTGAAGTAGTGGCGTGGGGATAATCTATATTTGAGGGCATGTAGAGAGAACAGGCAAATAGTTAGGAGATTGCCTGCTTCGAGATGCCTAGTCTTGGTACTTCAGAATGTGAAGGAAAAGTTATGATCATTTTGTGCACCGCATTTAAATACACCTTTGTCTTTTATATAGGTACCTCGCACTTTATGCATACATCTAAGAATCTGAAATGTTGGCGAATGCATGCCGGGGATCTTGATCATTCCATTTTATAGCGAAGTGTCCATGAACCTCGCCCTGGTTTTGCGGTCGTTGCAACGTTAAAACATCAAGTTACCGTAGAAGAGAGGATTGTGTGCATAGCTTGAAATGTATAGGCCATTTGGGAATATTTTAGGTGGAGAGAGAAAAGGGGGATGGGGTATGTAGAAGCTATTGAGTACCTAGTAATATAGAAAAGAAGAAATGTGAGAAGAGATATGAAAAAGAATGTAAATGAGAAAGAACTATGAGAAAGTAGATTAGAAAAGGGAGTGAAAACCACGAGAAAGAGGATGGAAAACGACAAAAAATTGGTCTTCCCGCCGCCTATCTATCCACTCAAATTCTGAGAGGTGTAACAAACCAAGTTCACAGCCGATGGTCAAGCGCCTTAAAGTTTGAATGTCTCAGCTATAGGTGAACTCCCTCGGGGCACCCCAGTCGGATAAGGCGTGTGGATTGAAAACCAGTCAGATTGATGGATAAGTCGAGGACTTGAACCTTCGGTTCCTCGCGGGGATTCGAACCCTCTTTATTTAGTAAGATGCTGGCCAAGGACCACTTGACCAACTCACCCATTCTTGAAAAGTTTAGATATTATCGGGATATATAAGGGTTGTACGGGAAAATGCGTAGCGGTAGGATGGTCGGGGACGAGTTTGACGCGTCTATGCTTGCTTGACACCTCGCGTCACTGGTCACTCGATAACGACATGGGCAACCGTCACATGACCCAGCACAGCAGAGCAACCTACTAAAGAGACTACCTACGCACTCAAAGTATCTCTTAGTAGGCATACTTTGCAGGCTTCTCAGCCCTATTTGCGCCTCAGCTTGAATCACTCAGGGATGTGTATCGGACGTTCACCTAGGTAGACATCTCCCAATCTACTTATCAAGGGATTCAACAAATCAGAGTTCCCAAGTAGAAATTCTCATTTGAACCATATAGTTGTTACTAAGTGGGTAGACTATAGCAGAAAGCTGCAACATAGCTCAATAAACTTAGAATGAACGAAACGGAACTTGGAAAACATCGAATGCATGACTAAACTGAAATTGGGCAACGCGAAGCTTCACTCAATATAGATCCAAGCTCATTGGTTAAGCAACATGTACAGCCAATGTATATGCCTAATATGAGATTCTCATACCTACTCTACTTACTCTGCGAAGAGCACGAAGATTATCCTATCTATAGACATATACCCAAAGACCATCTTACAATCATCACATCAGGGCTAATCTTACCCGAAAACCTCGTCTCATTCTCTATATCCAACCTCTCATCTTCACGTCAATACGTTGCTCCTAGACCTACTGAAAGGGGGGAAAAACCAGGCACGTAATTCATCGCGGAAAGAAACATCCATGGCTACCTGGAAATGCTGTAGACAACCCTAAACGCCACCGCCGTCCACTCTACCGGCGAAACCCCAATGTACGTCGATCCCGCTCGTCCGTGATATCTGCCAACTCCAAGACCCATGCAGAACAAGACGTTTAGAAAAGTGGGGTATCTGGTTAAACAGGTATGTAACAAAGGAGAATGAGTTTAAAAAAAAAGGGGGGGGGAGGAGACAAAAATAAGCCAAAAAAATCACTGCCGCCAGCCGTTCATATTCCCCATCTGGAACGGTTGATAGTAACCCACGGGAGCGCCCTACGCTTCCGAAGACGACGATGGATTGTGGTGGACGGCGGCGGCGGCGTTGCTCAGCGCGAGGAGGCGCGCGTTCATCTCGGCGATCTGCTGCATCATGGCCATGCTCTGGCGGTGCTGCGCGTTGAGCTCGTCGCGCAGGCTCACGTTCTCGACCTGCAGCCGCTTGACCTCGTCGCGCAGGTCCGTCTCCGGCTTCCTCTTCTCGCCCGTCTTCTCGGGCGGCGACGACGACGACGCGACGCCGACGGCGGCCTGGAGAGTCGCGGACGCCGGGACGTCGTCTTGCTCGTCCTCGGGCGACGGCGCGGTGGGCGCGGAGTTCAGGTTGTTGTTGTTGTTGTTGTTGGAGGAGGCGGCGGCGCCTTCGTTCGGCGTGTGCACGCGCCGCAGGTGCTCGTTCAGGTTCTCCATGCGCGAGAACCCCTTGCCCTCGTGCCGCTTGCAGTTGCCGTGCGGGCAGTTGAGCGGGTTGCGCGGACCGCCGTGCTTGCCGTGGACCTCGCGCTCGTGCCGCAGGAGCCCGCCGGAGTACGTAAACCCGGCCAGCTTCTCGCATTCCGCCGCCATGCACTTGTACGGTCTGTCGTGCTTGTCCATGTGCTTGCTACGCAGTGAAAAAGTTAGCGCGAGTCGCGTTACGTTTTACGTTTTTTTGTGAGATGAAAAAGGGGGGGCTGCTTGCTTGCTTGCTACTTACCCCCATTCGCACTTCCGAGGAAATGTCTTGACCGCCTCGGTGCAACCCGGGAATGCGCAATAGTATAGCCCATCCCGATTCTTTGTCTCGATGCGCTCGGGTTTCGGTATAGACCCTAGACGCGGTAGCCGGTTGGTATCAGGTTTCGCTGGTGCCGATAGACTTTCTGGGGGGCTGAGGGGCTCGAGAATGTTCGGCGAATTCAGATCGGCGGAGTTGGGTGAGGGAGGTATGAGGGTTGCGTTTTCCGCTCCATCGTATGTCATATAATGCACCGGCGGTACGGGGGAGTATCGTACAGATCGAGTGTCTCCGTCATGATCGCCTCCGTCGATACCGGGAGGATAGGGATCAGAAGGTAGTATGTCGCGACTCTTATACACGACACTCATCTTGAAGAAGTAGTGCGGAAGCTGTTTGTTATACTTCCGGGTGGCGTTGAACGCTTGTAGGAACTCGAGGCGTATCCTGTCGTTGAACCGGTCCTTCTGGGCTAGGCTATACTGTCGACAAATACCCGGTTCTTCTACTGGTCGGGTTAACAAGACTCGGTAATCGATAGCGTGAGCATCGAATATCTTTCGTATGGCTTTGTCGTGTGCCTCGACGTATGATTCACCTAATGCGAGAGATGTTAGCAGCCCGAAGATTTAGACCGTCGCAAGATTGGATTGGTGGCATGAAGTAGCTGAGTGAGCTGAACCACAGGGATTCATGCGCCACAATCTTTCACAAGGTAAGGTGTCCCGCGTATAAATGGGTCCACGCACAGACCATAGCAAAAATAAGTTGACGTAATTCGCTAAGGCAAATGTAACTAGTGTAGTCATGCAAGTAAAGGGTAGGGGTAGGGGTCTTGTAAGGCTTCGGGGAAAAAGGGAGAACAAAAATAAAACAATGCGACGTCAACCTACCAGGTTCGTCTTCAGCCGGCCACACCTCGACCGCATATGTCCAATTTGAGCTACGAAGATTTGCTTCACACGGCACAGTCAACTCTCGGGAATCTAAGATCTTTTATATTAGTTGTGCTCGATGCGCTATTCCAGGCAGAAATGGTTACTGCCCAGCTTGAGGCGGAGTCATAATCAATTAGGTAGGCTGAAGCGTGACTCACCGTTCATTGGTTGGTCATTCACCATCAAGGCAGGCACTGGTGATCCATATTGCTCACCGTACCCTTGGTAATCTTCGGGTACCAAAAACCGAGATGACTCTCCCGGGATAGATAGACTAGGGCGTAAGATGTACGATGAATCTTCGGCCTGTGGTTCGGCTATCTGGTGGCTTGTGTATGCCTCAGGTTGATTCGTACTCCAGCCTCCGATCCCCTGTAGGGAGTCTTGTGACTGGTCCATTGCTTGCGAGAACGCATCCGTATTTAAACGATTCCAGTTTTCCAGTCCGCTGTCGATGAGATCCTCGGTGGTCCCTTCCATCGGATCTAAAGAGAGATCCATGCCGAACATCTCTTGATCACCACCTGTATGTGAAGTCCAGTTGAAATTGGTTTCCATGGTTTTTAACTAAGGTTAGCGCTTAAGTCAGTTATAAAGCGACATGTTAAATGCAATCGATGAAGACATTCAGGGGACTGTATTATGTCGAGGACTTACCAGGCTTTGGCTGCACCTCAAGTGAATGGGAAAGACGATGGATATTACATCTAGTAGCTAATCCCAATTAAAAGTTAATACCGGAGACATAATGCATTCGTATTGCAAGAACATATTGTAGGGGATTTGGTAAAAAAAGAAGATGTGTAAATAATAAAAGACCAAGGGCTGAGTACTGAGGACTCGTCAATGGAGGCTAGAGAACTTCGTCTATATAACCAGGATGAGTTGATGCCATTAAACAGTAAAATAATAAGTCGAATAGAAGGAATGGTCAAGATTTAGTACTAACACTTAGTTTAATTGATTTATTAGTAGCTTAGTCTCGAACTATCATACAAATGGGCTCATTAGAAAGCGCAGTGCGACCATGATGCATTGATGTCAAGATATTCCAACGAAGAGATGCTCGCATCCATGTAGGTAAGAGTTTAGAGAAGAGACAAGATCTGATAACTTACTCCGCGGAACTATATGTAAACAGGGCCGGAGAACGGTTACATAGGCAATGCTGCCAACCCGACCTTTATTGTCGGTTCGTCGAAGGGCACAGAGATTTCGTCTAAATTGAATTGATATGTCTGTTGTGGATATCGTTGTCGATGCAGCTTTTGGTGCAATACACGGAGAAGCCTCAGTGAAAATTAGACATGTACTTAGGTTGGTAAGTGTGTCTAAGTTTCGAGTCTCTAGAATTAATGCGTTGTGCCTTATAAATATTTATCTGGTGGGGATGAAAGGGGCATGCCATGTAATCGAGAACAAGCTAAGGAACTCGAGATATTTCTTAGGCATCCTCGATCACGTCTCAAAAACTCGATTTTCGACTACAAAACATAATGGAACATGGAATTTCAAAATTCTAGAACACTCTTGCTCAACTTATTTAGAACAAACCAACAGGACTCTGGAAGCGTTCGTTAGATAAATATGAAATTGCAGTTTCTACAACTCTATACTTAAAATTGAAGGCAAGCTTAACTCAATGTAGGAGGTTATCAAATAAGGCACTCGATCCATAACGACTAGAGATAGCACTGAGGCTCCTATGCTTATGAGTATATAGAAGTTATCATAAGAGTAGCTATCGTAGCTGTAAGATGTACGCCCCCTAATCATAAGATGCAGGCTGAGAACGTTCGATTTTAATCTTAGGTAGTTATTTCTCTTCATTATCATTTGCAACCGCCGGACTATACGACCCTGAGCTTACTTTCAGAGTTCCTTTGCGAAAGGGTTTGTAAGATGGTATGACAGCGGACATGTTACTATTATTAGTAGAATAAGTATATTACCTACACAAGACAATGCGGTCAAACAACTAGCATTCATGTTTGGATGACAATGTTCCCCATTGGAGGAGATGTGGATTGAAAAGACGGTGATGTTTGGCGAATAAATCCGTCTAACATTGAGGGATGGAGAGAAATCGTGAGAGACGGGAAAAGGGGGAGGAAGAGAGAAACGATTCGGAGGGAATTAAGGTCTCGCCGTGGTGGCCTACCTATAAATATATATCCTAGCAATTTCCTCTAAGTTGGGTTCTCCGATAATGACGTCTCAATACTTGAAAGATTGGCGTGAATTGAAATGCATATTGCAAGTCCTGTGAAACCTAATGAATTGTGAACACATATTAGGTAAGCAGGCTATGAGTTTACATAAGACAATGGTTTGAGAATAAAACTGCTTACCTAATAACTTCTTAGATTACTAATACAGCACATACTAGGTAGGTAAACCATTAGGCGACCTTATTATAAGAGCAAGCCACAAGTGAAAGTTCTGAAGCTATTGAGTCATTCGTCTTTGTCCATTTTGGCAGGACAGTATTAGCGGCCGCAACGGTCCACCCTCCCATATCAGCCTTACGGTCGTCGAACAGTTGGTGGGTCCAACAGATGTCCGGGGTACTTAAACACCCAGGGAGTATGGATTTAAGCACGTGGTTTTCTCGTACTTTCGTCTTATTACCGACCTCCCAAATACTTCCACAATTATGAATCGCTGTCTGAAGATCTGATGATGTCGCTTTCTAATAACGAGCACGAGCCACCCAGCGCAGCACCGCAGATCAACTCAAACCCGCAGCTGCAATCCTATTATTACTCCCTCGAGTCTCGATTAGGGTACAGATTACTTCTGGGCGGTACAAGGCACTTTGGTTACTGGAAACATGACACGTATTGGCCTTTCCCGCTCTCGACAGGCTTACGTTCCATGGAGGATAAACTAGCCGAGGCGATTGCACTGCCGCCCGACTCCCAGGTGTTGGATGCTGGTTGTGGCGTAGGCCACGTAGCCCTTCGCATGGCGAAACAACATGGACTGCGCATCGAGGCTATAGATATCGTCGACCATCATGTCGCCAAAGCCCAGCGAAATATAGAGCGGTCAGGTTTGCCACAAGGCGCAGTCAGAGTACGCAGAATGGACTACCACCATTTGGAGTCTTTCGCCACGGAATCTCTTGACGGCATTTATACCATGGAGACGTTTGTACACGCTACCGACCCCAAGGCGGTCCTAGCTGGCTTTTATCGCATTTTGCGCCCAGGTGGTCGTCTCGCCCAGTTCGAGTATGACCACAACGCACTCGAATCTGCACCCCAGGACATCGCTACTGATATGGTCCAGGTAAACAAGTATTCCGCTATGCCTACCAACGCCATATCACACCCGGGGGTATTCAAGGAAATGTTAGAAGAGGCAGGGTTCGAGAATATCGTTGTCCGTGATTATTCGGATAATATCCGTCCAATGACGCGGCTATTCTACCTTCTCGCCATCGTCCCGTATTTCTTCGTTCACTTATTTAGACTCGAGAGCCACTTTATCAACACGGTCGCCGGAGTGGGATCATATAGAGGTCGTGGCCATTGGCATTATGTGGCTATTTCCGCTACAAAACCTGAAGGTCCAATTGAAGCGTCAAAATCTAAATAAAGCATTCTTGAGTTATATCTACCGTCTTTGAAGTTAGTTCGAAAGGTCAACTACAAGCTCTAGAAGGGTGATTCTGATGAATTACGTAAGCGAAGCCGCTTGTGCGACACCCCTTTTCAATTCCTGGTCAACGCTGTTACCACATAGTGGTTGTGTACTTTATGGCCCCCAGTCCGTCTATGCCTAAATACATTGTCGCAGGCCACGGGTCCTCTATCTAGTCTCGTTACTGGTGCGGTATATCAATATCTGTGGTCTTCATCTCTTTTTTATCCAACCAGCTCTGTCACGTCCTGGTCGAGGACGAACGTAATAATAGACAACAAACAACAATAACAACAAGAACAAGTGATCGTGACAACGAATCTTTGCAAGGCAGAATGAGTTGTCTTTCTTTTACTATCTTGATGCTAAAAGCTCTGTTTTACCCCTCTTGGCTAACTGTTCATCCTCCCTTCCTCGTTATAGCTAATAGATCCTTCCTTCCTCAGGGCGAGGAAGGAGAGCCCTGTGACAAGCTCCGAGTCCTAATTTCTCGTGACCTGAAGCCTTTTTCTGCCTACAGATTAGGCAGATACCCCAGTATATCCTTCGCTAGGACACGGATGTCCTGACTAAGATGAGTAACCTGTTCTAACTATTTCTGGGTGCATGGAAGAACCTAAGAATCCAAAACACTGTCAAGCGGCTCAAATGACTCCTATTGTTTTTAAAAGCTATCATGAAATACACCTCACAAAGAGCTTGAGCACTGCATAATCATCCTTTGTCTTTCGTTAGAACAAAGGTTGATAATGGATACGGGGTTATATCAGCCATGAATTCTCTCCGTGTAATAGACATCGTCTCTCTGCCACTGCTCATCGAAATACCGCACCAATTACACGTTTAGGAACACCTTGGTCAACTTTGAGAGCAGGACTCCGTCGACCTTCACCTTTCAATATGATAGAGCTATACTCTCTCGTCTTCTTCCTCATCCCCGTGTTCCTATACGGATGGACTGTGGCCGTGGCGATTTTCATATCGTTACTTTACTGGGATGACATCTCGGATCTCCTCACTGGGCTTGGGTACGCCTTTCTCGCTATAGCCTCCGTGTGTTTCTTAGTTGCCCTACATCCTGTAATCTTCATAGTAGTCTTCATCATTGGCATCATGAAATGCTCTTAAGACCTAACACATGCTTGAGTACCTGGGTATATGATTTGCAGTTTGCCATATCACAGAAACTTTTGCTATAAGCGACGGTTTGAAGATTGAAAAGATACTACAGCCGGGTTGGGTTCACAAGTTTATATTTACGTTTGACACAATATCCCTTCGTAAACTTATGGTACTGAATCGTTGAATCGAAATTGAGCTTGACATTTTATCGATTCTCTCCGATTCACGGATCGCATAAAGAAAGATGCGGCTTTCGATGTGGTCGTGTGGTTTGGGCTGCGTGGGTCGCATTCAAACTGGACGTTGAGGCTCCTCCTCTTGTGGTTCGTTACACGGCATATTACTTGAAGTGGCAATTATCATCAGGTTAGCAACGAATCAAGAGGCAAAACACACTTGACTCCAGGAAAACTAATATTCAAGGTGGTTCGTCTACGAGGAGTGAACCTTCGACGGGATTCGAGTTTCAAAAACGATGATAAAAATAGATCCTCACGCGCGAACCACATGAGTGGCGGGAGTTTTATTACTTAATTAAATCAGGTATTATTCAGTTCAGGTCTGGAACTTGGGAGGAGGCATCTATGAAGACTAAAGATAGGTGCCTACCTACATATGGAGTTAATGGAACCAAGACATGCGTATGCCATTAACATAAGTGCACAACAAGCCATTAATCCATATATGTGACCTCACTTGAGCTAATAATATATCAATATAGTAGTTGCGGCATATTTCAAGATAAGTGTGGGACGATGAATCACCAAGAAAGCCAATCACAGGCAAACTTTGAGCTTCAAGTCGAAAGAAGCTGATAATTAAGTATAGGTAAGTATAACAGAAAAGTTCGTAATTAATATAAATGATCCCTAACTTCCAAGACATTAACAAATTCTAAATGGCTTAGTCTACTGCAGCCCATGACGGGTATACGGCGCAGCTGAAGACAATTTGCCGAATATTACCGCCGATTATAAAGTTTACCTATAGAGCATGAAACGGGGCGTCAGCCACTCCCAGCTTCCGTTCTCTCATCTCCTGCATAATCGCTTTTATTTTAAGAACTTACACGCATATTTATCGCAGAAACGTGTGGTTGTGGTAGCTATAAGGATGAGCTTGCAGGACTACCGCCCATTGGATACCGGATATGCGCCGCACGCGTTGGTTGGTCAAGTACCTACCTAGGTAGACATGGATCGAAGTATACTAGATTTACAACTACACACCAACATAGCTACCTAGTACGCATACCGTCATTGCCGTATCTTCCAGCTATCCCCGCCCTAGAGCGTTCTGCAACTATTCCAACCCATGTGAGCATCGTCCCGTTGGCTATGATGCTACTAACCCCTGCATGCCAATCCATGGGGGCTAAATCCCATACTCAGTACGAATCGCGTCTTGCGGAATGATGTTGTGAAGTCTGGATATTTTCTGATGCAGTACTTTCAAGCACATGGCATGTTTAAGTCAAGACTAGTAACAATCATCTAAAGGCCTACAGGCAGGCTGAGAGAACACAGCTATCGTGGTAATAACCAACACCACCACCTAGGAAGATCTATTTTAGAATAGTCGTATAAATAATACCTATTTAATGTCCCATACCTATGTAGGACCTTCGACCTTCAAGGGAGCCAGTCTATAATTCACATCTATCCAGAAAGTTTGATTCTATGATCAACGACTTGACTCACAGCAAATCAACTCGATCTCGTGCCGCCATGGATTTATCTTTTTCCCTCGTTCCCGCAGTCATCATAGGCGTCGGCCTTGGTGTTGCCTATGTAGGTTACCTGAGTTCCTGCCTTGTTCGATTTGTTCGACTAACTCGACATTAAGTGTACCCTTCTTGTAGCCTACCGTCTCCTATTCCATCCTTTAAGGCAGTATCCGGGGCCGCTGATCGCCAAGATCTCCGGCTTCTACGGTGCTTTCTATGCCTTTAGGACTACTCTCCACCTACGTACATGGCAAGACCATGTGCGGTACGGTAAGGACGCAATGGCAGGTGTTACAAAAGAGCATGAGACTGATATTAATAAATCCAGGCCCAATAGTCAGACAGGGACCGAATAAGTTGGTCTTCAACTCTGTGCAGGCTTTGCATGGTACGAGCTCAGGCCATAAACGTCATTTTAAAAGACTTATTAATGGGACCCAGATATCTATCAGAATGACAGGATCACCAAGTCCCGGGCTTACCTCATATCGCAGAGAGCCCCCGGCGTCTACGGCCTGTTCAATGCCGTCGATAGGTTCTTGCACCAGAAGAAGCGCAGACTAGTCGGCAAACCTCTCAGCGACAGGTCAATGCGGGCATTCGAACCGACTATGATCGGCCAAATCGATATCTTTCTTCAGCAGCTGGTAGCATGCTGCCAGAGGAAAGATTGTGACGCTATCCCGGTAAACATGACCCAGCTATCCAAACATCTCACCATGGACATCATGGGATATCTCGCGTTCGGATACCCCCTGGATTTGCAGACCGAAGCTACGAATAGGGCAGTCCTGCAATCCAAGGCGAGCTTCTTATTCAACATCGGGATGCAATTACCTTTTCTAGGTGCTTTGCGTGTGCACATGCTTGGATCACTCCGGTCTCTCATAAGGGGGAAGCGCTACCTCCGAACCCTCGAGAGGGTTATCATAGAGAGGCTCGCCGAAGGACAGCATGTCAAGCACGACCTCCTCTTCATGTCAGACCAGCCGAGGGTGTCCGAGAACGACCAAGTCTGGCTCGAAGACGTCCGATCTGAGGCGATCTGGTTCCTGATAGCCGGGAGCGATACCACGTCTGCCACGCTGAGCGCGCTGTTCTTCTATCTCGCGAAGAACCCGCATTGCTACAAGCGGCTCGCTCGGGAGATCCGCTCTACGTTCCATAACGATGGCGAGATCCATAGCGGCCCAAAACTCGCGACTTGCGCCTACCTACGCGCGTGCATCGACGAGACCCTCAGGATGTCCCCTGCGCTGCCGGGAACGCTGTGGCGCGAGAAAGCGGCCGGGGCCGGAGACGAGCCCCTCGTGATAGACGGCTGCGTCATACCCGAGGGCACACAGCTCGGCGTCAACACGTACGCTCTCCTGCACAGCGAGGAATACTTCCCCGAGCCGTTTTCTTTCAAGCCGGAGCGCTGGCTCGAGGGTTCGGGAATGAGCAAAACCTCCAGGGACGCGTTTGCGCCTTTCTCACTCGGCGCCCGCAGCTGCCTGGGCAAGTCCATGGCGTACCTGGAAGTCAGTCTGGTCATGGCCAAGACCCTATTGTGCCTCGATTTCAGCGAGGCCGTGGGAATCCCGTGCGGCCACGATACAAGTCTCACCGAGAGAGAGCTCGGAAAGGACACCGAGAGGGTTAATGAGTTTCAGATATACGATGCATTTGCTGCGGTGCACTGCGGGCCATTCTTAAACTTCCGGCCGGCTCAAGCCGACGCCGAGTAAAGCCACGGGGGGGAAATGTCTAGAATGACGGCGAACGCCACGGGCCGAGTGGACGCTTTTGTCTCTGTACTTTTCATTCCCTTGATTTCCCTTTTTGCTATGTCGGCGCTTGATCAACTCTATACTTAGGTAACATTGCTGTTGTTGAAATTTAGAGAATGTTTTTTATATGCCTATCTACGTATTCTATTATCCATGTATAACTGCATCACTCCAGTTTCTGTGATGAAGGCCAGATAGGCTAAATCCATGCATTGAGTCCGTCACTCAATGCATATAGTATGTACGTAGATAAACTATCGTCTATCGAAGCTTCGCAATGCCTATGTATGGGGATGCATTCATTCCCTCTAAAGTTATTCGTGGCGATCTTCTCCCGCCATAAATGAGAGGATCGGTCTTTTCAGCCACCATATGTACGATCTTGAGATACATGTATGTAGTGTTCCCCACCTATATACCTTCCTGCATACTGACAAGTCGATTAGATGAGACGGACGTTGGCTGATAGTTCTGATGGGATTCTAGACGCGGGTAAGGAGGCCCGCGCCGCGTCGTTGCGCCCTTGGCTAGCTACAGATCTGTAGGCTGAGCTGAGCTGAGCTGCACAAGATCTTAGAGAAATGGATTCCCTGCAGGCTCGGGACGGGAGCGCTAGGAACCTTGTTACGTACTAGTACCTACAGTAGCAGGGCCAATTGCCGAAAGATAGGGCTGGGTCCAGTAAGCTGGTCTAGGCCTTTATCTACTCTATCGTTCGCTGAAAATGGAAGGTGATCCGAGTAACCTGGCCAACGCGCTTCTATGTAGTACCTCATATACAACCTTAAGTACCTAGGCACTAGAGAGGATTTGGGGGCGAGTCACAGTACCTAAAGCAACCTTACAGAGCCTGCCTCTGACGCTGCCGAATACCGCGACAGAGAGCCCTGACGGTAGGCCTGTGGGCGTGCATACGGGATCAAGTCGCGTCATGATCACGACGCCATTGAGTGATCCATTATATCGGTCGAACTTGCCTGCTTACCTACCTACGTGCTATTTTCAGTAACCCTACAAAACGCCTGGTCGACTCTTTTTTTTTTTTTGAACCCCAGCCTGGTAGCAACCCGAGGTTGCCGGGCGCTACAGATGGGGATGCGTCCTTGGCGTCGGCCCACCGAAAGAAACAAATGGCAACGAGAAAGAAGTCATCTTAGCCCAGGATCCCAATGCCAATCTGGAGGGCCCAGCCCTAGGTACTTAGGTAGTAGCAGGTGAGATGTTGCTGCGAGGCAGTCACCTAATATCTAAGGAATGATGATTCTTTTCGCGACGTTTACCAAGGACTCGTATTGAAACGTCCAATCAAATCAAAATTACTGTATCCCATTAAGCTTCTTATAAGACTTCGCTAGTAGTATACACAACTATTAACACAACAATTCATATAGTAGATCCAAAGATCCTGCCTCCTATCCTGCCGCTGACTTGGTTGAAGAGACTTCGGCTTGCTAGGAATCCTGCTTATTGCCCGAGGTACCGAACTTACGACCCCAGTCCTTGACTTTCTTGTCCATGTCACTTCTCACAAGTATCATGAGGAGGGCCATCACACCGGCGAAGAACCAGTCCCCGAGTGCGGTCAGCGCACCGCCTCTGATGCTTCCTCCTAGCATACTGCGCTTCACCAGACCGGTCGTGAAATCGGTAGTTATGATCTCCTGTCCCCTTTCCAAGGCCTTGATGCTCTTAGCCGCAATCGATTCTGGTGCCTGCTGCGCGTCCCCTTCCTCGAGCATCTTAGTGACGCCCGCCTTAATCTGGTTCTCGGCTTCCAGAGCCTCGCCTTGGATGGTGGCGGGGAATATGGTGTGCACGCGGACGGGTGGCTCGTGCGGGTTGGCGGCGGCGTACAGGTTCATCTCCTGGGACAGCGTGTCGGATAGAGATCGCAGCGCGGCTTTGGCCGGGCTGTAGGAAGCGTAGCCGGCAAAGCTGTAGAAGGCCAGGAAGGATGAGGTGAAGACGAGATGGCGCGCGGGCAGCGGGGCGCTTGGCTGGGTGCCAGACCCATTGATAGTGTCCTTTCGAGGGTTCCTAAGCCAGTATGCCAGGGTCGCGTGGGCCATGTACAGGCTCGTGAAGTAATTACTGTTCATCTGTGCCTGAAAGTCGGATACTGGAGTATCGATAAACAATCTCGGGCGGGAGACTCCGGCACAACACCACACAATGTCTGGAGGATTTCCCGAGTTCCACGATACCACTTCCTCGATAACGTGCACCGTTTCAGACGCAGACGTCAAGTCGGCGCTTATCTGATGAAAGCGTTGGGTTTCAGGATTCGGTGCTCCTTGCTATAGCTTATTTAGCTTACAAGAATGATTAGTATGGGGGAGGGGGGGCAGGATGACCAACATACCCGTATATGCTCGATCCCTTGAACTAGCCTATCATGATCGCGCGCAACAATGACAACGTTGGCGCCCTTCTCGGCAAGCTGACGTGCTATTGCAAGGCCAAGGCCCCGCGAGCCACCGGCGACAACTGCAAGCTATTGAGACTGTAAGTTATACGGCCTCGCGATCTGCTAATCTGGGTAAAGGGATGCAATGTGATAACGTACTCTGCCTTGCACCGGAAAGTCGTTCTTAGGCATGACGTGCTACGTCTTGGAACAATTGGTTGCTGTCTTCGTAATGATTGAGTGTGGTATGAAACTATAGGAGCGAGGGACTTGTTGGCGGATATGTTGTAAAGTTTCGCTATGTGAGTGCCTTCAAAGACATGGGAAGATGCAGGGCAATGTGGAAGATATTAGTTAGGAAAACCCAAAGAAGAAAAGAAAAGGGGGAATTGGAGGGGAGGGGGCGGGTGAGTACCTATCTAGGTCGATAGGTGGGTGGGTGGTAGGTAGATACCTACTAAAGCGACACAGCTCTCCAAGGTACTATCAAATTATTCTGATGTTGGTTCTCTTTTTCCAACAGGTAAGGAGCTATTGAGGCAGGCTATCACGTCGTACAGGGAAACCTGCATACATAGGTATGTACCTGACCGCATGTGTGGGTACATGTGTACAGTACCTAACTGTATATAGGCGCATTTGATTGCAACCACACCCGTTACATTTAATAATCTTGGAAGTTCCAACATCAGCCTTAAGGTCTCAAAGCTGCATGTACCTACTGTACCTGGGTGTAGTAGGTACCTACGGGTAGCTTCCAACATAACGTTTTGAGTACATGTGCAACAAGACTAAGTCCGCCACTACCCATCGTATCATCGTGCGGTACATATGATTTGACATCGTCTGGAGGTAAGCAAGATAGATATCTTAATTGAGTCGGTATGTAGGTAGATATGTGCATGCACCTCTCTTCAAGTTCTTATAGCAGTATTATTTACGTGCGGATGCTTCATAGGAGGTCATCATTCTCACCAACATCACTCCCTAGTCTTACACTTACACCATAAACTTCGTTCTTCAACCACGTCACGCGTCCCCGAATTCGTTAGCTATGGATACCACCACAGCAGTTGGGGCCGTACTGGCTTTCCTCTCAATTGTATTTGTTGGAATGCGCTTTTACGCCCGGCGTCTCAAGAACGCTGGCCTCAAATGGGACGACTGGCTCATAGTCGCGAGTCTCGTGGCAATGTTAGCGACAGATATATTAGCTATTTGCGGTGGGCTCCCCAACTTATACACACTTTCATCGTAAACCTTACTTTGCAATTGTAAAACTTTCATAATGCTTTCTTCTGATTAACGTCGTCTCTAGCGTCTACAACGTATCCTAACGGGGCCGAAGCAGCCACTGAAGCAAACGATACCTCTGAATATACGCCGGAGGACGCCCAGTACACCAAACTGAGCTATATAACTCTTGTCATATATTTCTCTCTCACCTCTACGACGAAGCTCTCCGTCCTATTCATGTACCACCGGTTGTTCTCTGTTAGCGAATCGTTCCGTCGCCAGACCATCCTATTAGGCGTGCTGGTGATAGGCTTCTGGATCGGATGCACGGTAGCTAACTTGCTGGATTGCGTTCCGATGAAGTATACTTGGATCAACAGCTTAGCCGATCCCCGGTACTGTTTTAACTATAATATCTACTGGTTCGCCAGTGGTATATGCGAGGCTTTCATTGATCTATGGATCATCCTGCTGCCTATCAGAGTAGTCCTGAGTTTGCAGCTAAATCGAAAACAGAAGGTCGCTGTGGTGTTTGTGTTCATGCTAGGTTTCTTGTATGTTCTTGAAGTCCGCTAACACATATTCTCTTTTCTTCCTAACTTGGCGAGGGACTAATGACACCGTGAAACAGCGTCCTTGCGTCCGGCCTGCTCAAAGCTGGCTTTGCCTACATCCCCGGGAGCCGCCAGCCATCTTTCGTTAAAACCCAGTTATGGACGACAGTGCACTGCGCGACTGGAATAATTTGCGCCTGTCTCCCGGTCTGCTGGCCTCTCCTCACTCGCGCTTCGGGAATTCGCCCGTCGAAATGGCCTGGCAATTCATCACTCCGGAGGCTCTGGAACAGCATCGGCAGCTCGTCTCGACTGGGGAGGAGCAGAGCCCAAATCAATACTGATGTGCCTGACCTTGGATGGCCTCAAAACACTTTTGGGAGAAAGCACAAGTTCTCGAACAGTTCTAGCCCCCGAGGAGATTTCATCCCTCTCAAGGCAAGCAATGAGGACATACAACCCGTTCACTACGAGTATCGTCCCAAAGTTCCGTTTAACTCGGTGCCGGTAGACACGATATCTCCCGTATAATAGCAGAACTTCCCTTTACGTAAAACACAGCCATCTAAGTTTCTAATGTGATGTTTTTTTAACAAAGAAAACGCAAATAATGATGTTAATAAAGTTATGTAAGAAAAGAAAGAAAGAAAACGGGGTCCGAATTAGGTTAGCTTTTCAATTGAGTGGTTTAGTTCAATTCTTCGCCAAGAATGATGCACCCAATCAAAAACCTGTGGAGGTATCGGAATTACTGTGATAGGGAAATTTTGTGAATATTTTATCATGGCCGCCATTTCATACCTACCAGGTCAAAGGTACTGCAAATTCTCAAGCAGTGACACGTAGTACTTGCATACTCTTTTTTTCCGAACTAGAGATTTACGTCTCGTGAAAGCTGCATCTTAGGCCCAGAGAGCCTCGCAATTCTACCTTTGTTCTGGAATGAGACAAGAGCGTTACATCGCAGCAACTGCCCCCATTTTGTTAATACTTGGAGCAGTGTGGAGCCAACATCACACAGACGGCATGATTTAGGCCTAGATCAGGAAAAAGAGTGCAACTAACAGAAGGCGCCGATAGGTCTAAGAAGAGTTGTAAACTTCTATATCTATACCGGTGGGGCACATGCCTATAGGCTACCTACTACTCCGTGTTAAACCACCTAACCTAGCTGACATGCATAAATCCGTGAGATGCCAAGGCACGGCTTGGTAGAATCTCAAAATCCTACTACTACGTAATAGAGTATTCTATAAAGAGCTCCGAGACAGAGCTGCGCCAGAATCTGCACTCCAACACGGACGAGTCTTCACTTCGGCCCCCAGTGTCAAGCCACGAAATGATACATATCTACTACCCCCGGCTTCTAGGGTACACAAGACGTCTAAAATATACCCAGATAACAAAGCAACATGACGATAAACACGCACGGTGTATGCGCGTATTACTTGCATTGCATATGTGGACAGGACGAGGCACATCTCGACTGGCGAATAGATAGCGGATCAAACAGAGAGGAATATAGTTTTGTATGTTGGGGGCTATAAAAGAAGCGGCCAGAAATTCCTGCGATAGCATTACGTGCCAATTGGACCTGTATGGCGCCTCTACCTCGGGAGAGCTGAGGTGCAATTTATTGCTTACCATCCAATATGGTGCATCTGTATAACTTAAGATTGGTTGAAGAGATACTACAGGTTACCCAATCCCCCCCACTGGTTTACAACGACTCAAGAGGATCGGAACGGCCCGAAAGTGTAGGAGGTAGGTATCTAAAATTGGCCGGAACCTACCCAGGTATGTAACAACAAATGCAGGTAACAGCCTCGTCTCGAAAACGTACATCCTATGTGTATACCCTCAAGTTAGTTCCTGATGACGTCCATAGTTTAACTCGATGGAATTATTCCTATTAGTGATGGTCTGCCCTAACCTGTCAGTAGAACATTTAGGCTAGCTTAACTCCCCTTAAGATCCCGTCTGCTTTCTAGATGTCCTTCACCTTCATTTTCCTCAATACCAGACCTACCACATCGTCGATCTAGATTTGATTCGCTATCACAACCATTGTCATGCAATCAGAGAAGGTTTCTGGCTCAAGCAGCCATCTTTACAACATAGGCTCAGCTGCCGGCTCGGACAAGGAAAACGGTATTTTCCTGGAAACCGATTTGAGCCAACAGGTAGACATACAAAAATGCCAGAATGAAACTGTGTATCTCGAGGGTGCTCGGTTCTGGTTGATGTCTATGTCGTATGTGTCACTGATACATCCCTATTATAAGAGGGAAACGGTTTTGCTTACTAATGACCCTGGCACATAGTATGGCTATCATGATGTTCATGACGAATCTCGAAGTTCCTGTGGTCACGACGGCTTTGGTTGCCGTCACGAATGACTTACAAGGCTTCGACATCTCGGGCTGGATTCTCTCCAGTTACCTCCTAGGTTATGTTGGTTCGTCCATACCTATGAACTGTCAGCTAGCTCATGCTTCGCTCACACATTTATAGCTGTCATTGTGATTTGCGCCAAGTTCAGCGATATTCTCGGTCGTAAATTTATCTTCCTCTTATCTACTGCAATTTTCATCATCTTTTCCGCCGCTTGCAGTGCCTCGCAAACTATGATACAGTTGTAAGTGCAGTCAGCCAACGTCTGCCGGCCTGTTATTGACCCAAAGGCTAACGATTTGATCTAGGATTGTCTTCCGGGCATTTCAAGGCATAGGTGGCGGGGGTTGCTTCTCGCTTTGCACTATTATGGTAATCGAGATCGTCCCCCCTGAGAAATATACAAAATATGTGGCAAATATCTCTATCGTCAACGCTCTAGCACTACTAGCGGGTCCCATCATCGGCGGTGCCATTGCCGCTCGAACTAACTGGAGATGGATTTTCATAATCAAGTTAGCAGATTCTATTACCCCTATGTTAGTTGCCCATCTACTAACATGAACCCCCATTGATAGCGTCCCCATATCGTTTCTGGCTTTCTTTATAGCATTTGTAGCAATTCCTAATGACTTCCCATACCAAAACCAGCCTAATTTCCAGCAAAAGGGCATCAAAGAGATATTCTCCAGAGCTACATTCGGGCGTGTAGATATGCCCGGGACTATCCTGATATTATTCGCAACCGTGGCTCTGACAGCGGCGTTCGAGGAGGCTGACGAACTGTTCCCATGGAAGTCTGCGTACTTTATCACGCTGCTGGTTGCATCTGTCGTCTTTTGGGTTGCTCTGCTCTTGTGGGAGCGCTATGTTGCGCTCTCTAACAAGGCTCGAGAACCAATCTTGCCATGGGCATTCTTTACTAACCGCCAAATGATGGGAATACTTTTGTGAGCCCCTTTGAGACCTTGTCCGTTTAGGAATATACTGGTAGCTAACCTGTGTTCTTACCTACTAAGGAACTTCGTTTTCCTAGGTGGTCCTGCGATCATCAGCATGCTTCTTATCCCGCAGCGCTTCCAATTAATTTACGGCACGTCTAGTCTTAACGCCGGAGTCTACTTGATTCCTTTCACCATAGCGCTGCCTGCTGGAACCATTTTTGCGTCAAGTATTGCTGGCCGGCTCAAAGTTCCGCCAATATACATGCTCCTAACCGGTTCATGTCTCCAAGTAATCGGCTTTGCTCTATTAAGTACGTTGCCTTCTACACTGGACATCCCGCCACGGATATACGGATTCGAATTTATCAGCGGATGGGGTTGTGGGATGAACTTCTCGTTACTCTTTGTGTTGATTCCATTTGTAAACGAGAAACAGTATCATGGTAAGTCTTAGTAAATGTGCTCTAACCTATAAGAGGCCACGCCCGCTAATCGAACGCCATATTAGCTGTAGGAATGGGGGCCGGAGCCCAATTTCGAATGATCGGAAGTGCCATTATCCTCTCTATTGCAACATCCGTCTACAATGGCTACGCGCGACATCAGCTTCAAGATATTCTAGGCGTCTCAGACACAAATGCCCTAACACAGATGGACACGTTCCCGCAGGGGCTGCAGGAGCAGATCCGGTATGCGCTCACAGAGGCGTACAATCGACAGAATCTTGTCTTGTGCGCTTCGGCCGCGTTTCAAATTCCAGCTTCCCTACTTATGTGGAAGAAGAAACAAATTGTCGTCTAAGTGTCCTTCTGTTCATGTCTCGATAGACACGCGGTTAAGTAGGGTGCGCAATCGGACTTATGCTACATGGTCAGGTATATGTAAGTTAGATCAGAGTACTTCCTTTGGTGGATTGATCAGGATTAGGTGTTTGAATGCGATGGGCTTCTTGATGTAGTGGATCGATGGCATGCAGCACAAATATAGGTTCCATATCATTGATACTGAAGTTTAAGCTATGTGACACTGATCCGTGGTCTTGACAACATTTCACCTTTGCTAGCGTTGACTCTAGCGATTATGCTAAAGTTTTAACACCTTTACTATACGAAACTGTACGAAATCAAACGCAGCGAAGGAACATATGGCTAGTATATCCAACACTGTCCCGTGCTGGCTAGATCTAGTGACGCCAGGTGCCAAAGAATGTGGCCACTCGATCTGTAATTCATTTATTCAAAGTGCAACCTAGATACCTAAGACGGCTGTCTGGCTGCCTTATTTTGTGGAAGCAAGATAAGTCATAAAAGAAGGCAACAGTGCCCCTCCGTGCAAAGCATAGGTAAGGGTGTCCAATCCACAGGGAATAAAACATTTGCTCAACGCCAAGGGTTACTTTACTCAGTTACCGACGTCCGTAGAGCTTTCGCGGCTTTCTCTTTGGCACGTTCGCTATCCCATTTCTCCTTGAGCTCCTTCGCCTGCTGTGCTTCCTGCGTAAACTGTTCGAACAAGACTGCCCACCCGCCACCTAGAGTGCGAATATCAACGGGACGGTTAGTCTTAACGTCTATAAACGTCACGCAGCCCTTCGCCTCGGCAACGATGGCTTGCTGCTTGAGGGAATATAGCGACACCGTGGCGTTATTACGGGTTGGTTCTATGCCATCCTCACGGTGAGCAGCGATGAGCTAATGATCTTATGCATCAGCAAAGATATTAATAATCTAAGAGCAAAGGTGTACGGACCGAGTCAGGATATTTCACCTGGCGGCGGAAGTCAACTTCGTATTTACGGAGGACGGGTATGACAGTACGTGCATGTATCATGTCATCGAATTCTTCCTTGCTCAAGAACTGGTCAAAGCTCTCCATCACACGGTGGAAGCAAGTACTGAAAAAATGCGCGTATTGGGAGTTCATTACATGGCCAAAGGGATCCTGGTCTTCAGCCCAGACAACTCCGCGTTCGACCATCGTCTTCGGGCCATAACCCATTGCCTCCAAGCTGGCAAGAGCGCGGGCTCGAAGCGGAGCATATGGATCAGCGTCGTTAGGGTGAGGAATAGGGGCACCAGCATGCGAATATGGCGAATGATACGCCGAGTCAGCTAATCGCTGGGACTTGAAAACACGAGGGGTGACGCTCTCAACGTTATCGGCCATGGTTAGAGGTAAAAAGTGGAAACTTGATACGCAGATTCAGGAAAAGGGGGCGATAGCACTCGGGTAGCTTGAATATAGAAGATTAAGATTGAGGAAAGGGTGTTGAGGTACGATAGTGAGTTGAACGCGGAAGACTGAGCTGGGAAGTAAATATTTTATATTAAACTTCCTAACCCAAGTGACGAAGGCTACTTGGATGAAATTGACAGGTACCTGTGTACTCGTTTACCGAAGCATTGCATCCCTAGGTGCATTTGTGACATTGCCCATACGACTTGACTTATCACATTCGTAGCCTACCAAGGTAAAATGCATGTAGGAGGTAAGCAGATAGGTATACATAGGTGAGTACATATTCAGCGGACCGAGCCATCTTAGAATTAATGCAATTAGTATAGTACGATGTTGTCGTTGCTAACAGCAGCCTGCATAAACAGCGCAAGGCGTGCCAGTAAGGATACCAAAGCAGTGAGCATACATGGATAGTTGTAACATTGAATGCATCAATTTAGTTGGTACGTAGGTAGGTACGGTAAGTACCTCCAACACCAAGCCACGCAATCCTTGAACCGCCGTGGTGTCCGGGTGTTATATATTAATTACCTAAGTACAGACGTGTCTCGGCAAGTACCGCATATGTACTAGGTACATATCTATGATTTACGAGGGGTAGGTACCTACATGTAGGTAGGTACCAGACTTGAGATTCTTTCTTTTAGCAACCCATTTGTTCCTGTGACGGTCCGGGCAATATTTCCCCAGATATTATATCACCTATCAAGCGCTTAGTTCTAATTAGCTGAGTTTTTGTATCACCGTTTCCATTGGTTACGCTTCCCTCCAGTTCATTAGATCAGTTTTATCAGAAGGGAAATTACTTGTACTACCATCAGAATAAGTAAAGGGGTAAAACTAGGAGCGGATTTAAGTCCTTTACGAGGAGGAGCTCCATGGCTTGATCAAAAGTGTTGGAATATTAGGTGGCTGCTTTATACTTATCCTTTTGATTAAAATAAGACTACAGTTTTCATAAAACCAATGGTTGTACATTAGCCATAGTGCAGTCCCCCGAGCACGTAGATCAGGCAAGCGTCAAGGGCTATTATTATTATTTTCCTACTAATAAGCCTGCGGTGAGCCTTTGACAGTTGCCTTTCACTCTGTGACACAGCTATGAACTAAGAGCCCTTGCTTCCCTGGTGTTGGGGCTCTTGCAGTGATTTTCGAAGGGGGCTAACCAACCAGAAATAAACCTTTGTGGGTGTGTGGGTGCCAGCGGAGCTCAGTGACTACTGGCAATATAGTTACCCATTGTGGTGTTCTTGTAGTCTTGTGCCAGTCAAAGGGATATCAGAGATATCTCGATCTACAGGTGTTGCTATCGGGATTAAACTTGCGTTAGTTGAAGGAATAGAGGTAAGTTTCGATAATTATAGCTGGCAACCCTTATTTTCTCATACAATAAGTATCTCTTACCATAAAAGAAAATAAACCTAACACAACTGCAAATAGGTGACTACTGGTAAGCAGCAGAATAATTGCATATACGAAACTTTTGTTAGGGACGATTGGCAAGAAATAACATGACAGCGCCCTTTCTAGATACATCTCATGCAATGTTTAAACTATATATGAAAGACCCCTCTAGCCTTAAAGCATTCTAAGAAAGGGTTAGGCATTGGTAGTCAATCAGTTTCTACTAAATGAAGTACAGAGAGTTACCTAAATGCTACTTTTATCCACGTTGGAGCAAAATGTTCCACATTGGGCTAAACACCTCACAACTTCTCATCGTGGAATACTAAAACAACTTCAAACTTCAAAGTAGGTACTTTAGTATCAATAATATATCGCATGCTAGAACATTGAATGATCGAAAGTAACAAGCCCTTCCCGATGCATTCGTACCTAGGTAGACATAGCCATTAATTTTATAACCCTATTAAATTTATTTTCTAAACTAAATGTATAGGGGACATGACATACAAGCCCCCTTCGACTATTCCATAAAATCGAAAGTCCTATCAACGACATCTATTGCAACTACGCCAAGAGTCATTCTCATTTCGGATATCTTATATTCAAGGTACCTGACATAACATCCGTCATCTAAGTACTTAATCTGTTGGCCAAGTTGGAGGTACGGCTCTTTGACTCATCGTATGTGGGTATCAATGCCTAACGCTGCTTGATTCATTGAGTGACCTAGTAATTCCCTAAAGAGGATACGTGGGTATACTCGTGAATGAGTAGCGTTATAAGTAGAAGAAAGGAACAATGATATCGTTAACAATGAACTATCCCATATCATGAAGGTGAGTTGCAATACCTCCTTTAATTTCTTTATTACATTGTTACCCAAGGAGATTGAACAAGTTCATTGTTAGAAGGACTATAGTGCCTATCCCGACCTAAAAAGCCTTTTTTCAGATCAAGTTGGGTCCAGAGGATAAATAGGTAGGTCTATATAAGTAGACTTTCCCATGAGATTCAAAATTTCATCCCAGCAAGTCATTACAGAGAATTCAAAGGTATCAATCAATTCGCCAAGCTTAAGAAATACTAACCTAAGTCACAACGACACGTCAATCTCATCCAGTTCAAAATGTCTAGTACTTTTTGGACATATCAGCTAACCGGTGATATAGCCCTCTTATTCTCAGCTGTCCGGACTGATTGGAATAGTGTTTTTCAAGTTGGGATTGATTATAACTATTCGGTACTCGATAGTTTCCAGGCGATGCTTTCAAGAAGTATCTGGGCTCTCCTTGTCTGGATTCCTATCTTTTGTACAATCCGTATGAGACTTTACCCCATCAGAAGTCGTACTCGAGAAGGACAGATTTGGGATGCGATTTGTCACTTCATATTCGCCTGCCTTGATTCTTTCGTCATGGTTGTTGCTACTGACAACTTCACAAGTGGGCAGCCTATCGAGATCTTCAAGGGACTTCTCATGATTGTGTGGTTCATGTGGGTGTATAGCATGATCGCGAATGGCCGCCCTTACGAACGATTTGTCTAGGGCCTCACCTAGTAAGGAAGTTCTATTGAGGTACGGTAGACTGAAGCTATTCCTATTGGTTCTAGAGATGTATGAGTAATGACTGGGCTTTTTGTTGGGCTTGGTTGATATAGATTTGTTGACAAATCATCGTATGTTTAGCTACCTGTTATGTTTATATGGTTAAACTGTTTATAATTTAATCAATAACTATTTTATGCTGTATCCTTTGAAAGTGATTGTTGTATTTGGACCAAATCTTCGCGACGTAGAGCGTAAGTCGAGTATTCCGATTCCAGATAAATATTCTACTTTCAAGAGTTGCTTAGGTAGGTATTCAAATACCTAAGTAGTTTAATGTTACTTTGATATTATTTCTATATATCAGCAAGTCCACCATAATCTAGCTAGTTTCTATACTGGACTTCGATTGTGCAAAGTAGTCCTGCCAAGAATCACTTATGTCTACTCTTTTCTATAACTTGGAATGCTTATCTCAACCTCATGAGCCGTTATCTCATTATCTTGCCAAGGGGGGAGACTGGGAAGTGAGCCCACGTTGCAGCGACACCACTCCATATCTTAGGTCCCCACCTTCTTTTTCGCTCTACTGCAATCCATACCTCTTTGATAATCGGCTAGAGCCGTGAATCGTATACCCTTAGCCGATAGGTCCGCGTCCACGGAGTGGAAAACGTGGTGTCATTCAGAGCCGTTTTATAGATAATTGTTGTATTATCCGGGATCTAGTCATTGATGATCAATTACTTGTACTGCACTAGTTACGCGAGTTTCCTATCAAAGGGCAGACTAGCTTCACGAACGTTTCCCAAACGCTGAGATAAGGACCGTAGAGTCTGTATACGTTGGTTTTGGCACTCCATGATATTTAATTCTTAAGAAAATACTCCCTGAGAACCCTCAGTATATGTCAAACATGCCTCAGCTATTCCTATTTGCGGCTCTGTTATTTATTGCATTCATCAATGCTGCTGTAACACCGCCATTAGGATACCTCAGACAAGCGTTCCTCCCCCAGTTTACCAAGCAGGTTAAATCCGAGGAGAATGCCACCTGCTCGACATGCTCACTGTACCAAGCAGCTGAATCAATAACAGCACCAAAGGCAAATGTCTGGTCACAGATATCACCAGAAGATAATATAGCCGTTTGGAATTTGCTTCACGACCCTGCATCTGGATTGAATCTGACTGACCCAGATACGGCCATCCTTACTGATAATTATGTATTTTATATTGACACAGTACATGTCAATAAATCTGATGTTCTTCCATACCTTGACGCATCTGGACTAAAGCCCGGTTCCTGGGCTCGAGCTATTATTTTTGAAGGAGGCAAGCTGGAACCTGGATCTCAGGAATACATAGTCGGACCACTACCCGTATCAAGTGAGACGACAATACAAAAATTGGATTACCTGTACAATGGAGGGTCAGGTGGTTTTGTGCCTTTCAATGGACGACTTCTTGACCAGAAGCGTATCGACGCGTCGGCGCCCCTTTTCACATCGATTATGACCAATATCAGCGACATTACGGAGGCCTTGTTGGGAGGATCCTTCTATGGATATGACAATCCCAATTCGACGCTCAGTCCGACTGATACAACGCCTGCATCATTTGACGGCAGTCAAGCTTTCCAAGTAATCATGCTTAGGCTTCCTGGAACCACCACTTATCTTAGACCACTCGACTTCTTTGTCCTGCTTGATGTCACTGGCACAGATGCTTCACTCTATAAGCTTAAGGGTATAGTGACAAACACGAGATTCTTTCCAACCGTGGCGGATCTTCGTTCCGCATTCGAAGCCGGTGAGCTCAAGGAAGAATTTTACCAACCTTCCGATTACGACTGGGCGTTGGTAAAATACAACCCCGGAATGGGGACTCGCGCGCTGGAAGAAAAGTTCGCTCCGCAAAACCTCATGGTGGGCGGAAAACGATACAAGGTAGATGCCGAGCAGAAGTACGTTGAGTACATGGGATGGTCATTCTACGTTGCTCACACGCGGAGTCTTGGCGTTATGCTGTATGACATACGGTTTAAGGGAGAACGGATATTATATGAGTTATCAATGCAAGAGGCGGCAGCGCAGTACGGTGGATTCCAGCCGAAGTCCGCCACAACACTTTATCACGATACCCATTTCCAGCTCGGCGCCGATCTATTCCCACTTGTCGAGGGTTTTGATTGCCCGTTCGGTTCCACTTTCTGGAACGTAACTATACACAAGGGAAACACAACCACAACTAACCCCAATTCTATCTGCATATTCGAGTCTGACGCAGGCTTCCCCCTGTCTCGACATCGCGGGGGTGATCTGGGCACAACAAACGAATACGGGTTTGACAATCTAGGCGTAGTCAAAGGGTCCCTACTAACACTACGCTCGATTGCCACCGTGGGAAACTACGACTACCTATTCGACTACGCCTTCCACGTCGACGGGTCCCTCGAGATCACCGTCCGGGCGTCGGGATATCTCCAATCGTCATTCTTCTACAAAGACCAAGGAGCATGGGGTCCTCGCATCCAGGAGGCGACGCAAGGCTCTCTGCACGACCACGTGATAACCTGGAAAGCGGACTTCGACATCCTCGGCACGGAAAACAACCTGCAGGTCACCACGCTCAAGGCCGTGAACCAGACGCAGCCGTGGTGGCCGGAGCTCGGCTCGTTCGAGCAGATCGCGCTCGAGACGCACAACGTGTCGACGGAGCGCGAGCTCAGCTGGGCCGAGAACGGCGAGGTCATGTACGCGGTGAACCACGCGCGCGCGACGAACAAGTGGGGGTCGGCGCGGGGCTACCGGATCGTGCCCGGGCGCTCGAACATCCGGCTCAGCACCTTGAACTCGCCGTTCTCGCGGCGCAACACGGCGCTGTCTAAGATGCAGCTCGCGGTGACGCGGCACCACGACACGGAGCCGTGGGGCAATAGCGTGCAGAACCTGAACATGCCGTGGAAGCCGCAGCAGGACTTCGCCAAGTTCTTCGACGGCGAGAGCGTCGACGGCGAGGACCTCGTCGTCTGGTTCAATTTGGGCATGCACCACTTCACGAGGAGCGAGGACATCCCTGTGACCTTGTACTCTGAGGCCGTGAGCAGCATCATGTTCGCGCCGCAGAACTTCTTCGACCAGGCGCAGGACGGTGATTTGAAGAATAGGAGGTGGTATACCGTGCCGGAAACGAGCGAGAATGGCGAGGCGGGCGTGTTGCAGAGCGAGACGTATGGCATTGAGCTGCCGCAGTGCAAGGTGGAGTTGCAGGAACCTGTTGTCGCTCGTATCGTTTAAGTTGAGTGTCTAGGTCATTCCCATAGGTACCTAGGTATGAATCTAGACGAAGAATAGCAGTACTAGATTAAGTCAACATTTCATCCTAGAGTCTTTACGATTACCTTAGAATGTATACTTCAAATAAAGAAGAAACTTCATTTATAACGAATGTTGATGTTTGGCCTCCGCCATTTCCTAGTAATGAATGGATGGTGACCCCTGAACCCCTGAACCCCGCTACTCCCTTACCCCACCACACTTTTCCCTTACATTGACGATTGATATAACCATGACCTTGATGCTTTTCAAGGAGAATGTAGAACGATACGTAGATGGCTTTATTAGGCTTGTTTCGTTTTGGAATGGTCAGCCATCAGCAATAGCTCAAGTAGCACAACTAACTGTGCGACAGCTGCTCCGAATGCCAGCAAAGTGCTCCACATAGTCGGTAAATATGTGTACGCGGGTATGGATACTAAGGTACAAATAATACCGAAAGCCGTGAGATAGAGGGCACATGTCCAAGCGACGGATTTCTCTGTCGATTTCCGGGAAACATTAGAGACCGTCGTGTAGAAGCCAAGAAGTTGTACCGTCGAAAATGCGAGCAGGGTCCAAAAATCAGTATCGTTGGTGGAACCGAGAGCATTGGATGACTTTGACCACGCAACGCCTATAAAAATCAAGGCTAAAAAAAGGCACGCTAAGATGCAGCAAAGATAAATCGGTATCGGGAGTTTGAATCGGGTATCTGGACTGCTCTCTGAGGAAGAAGTCACGGGATATGCATCCTCATACTTGCGGAGCATGGCCAGTTTCTCGACGACGCCATCGCAGACGCTGATATGCATCTGGTTTCGAAGCTCATTCTCCACCTTGTGGTAGCTGGTCTCGACAATGACTCGGCATGCTTTCATCCTCTCGGCTCGTTTCCTCCCATTTTCCAGGTGCTTTTTAGTCTGATGTGTCGGATGGTTTTTAAGATAGGCCATATTCTCCGTAGCCCGTCTCCAGATGTCGATATACGATGTTTGGCGCAACCTGTCAAGGAGCTGCGGGACCGCGGATTGCCCCACCGGCGGTCCCGCTGCAACTAAATCCTTGAGAACGGTGAGATCATCATTGGTAAACCGTCCCGGTTTCTGACTAAAGCCAAAAGCGGTTTTTGCCTTTGACCAATTTCTCCATCGCAAGTAATCTTCGACAATCGCGAGATACTCCCCGTTTGCAGCGTATATAGCCTTTGCAATCGAAACGAGGTGCGAATGATAACTATCAAACGTGATCTTCCTATGTTGATTACTGCTCGATGGCGCTAAATGTAACGTCAGTCATATGATCGTTAGATACGCAGTTCAAGTTGATGAATAACTTACGCACCCACCCTTGAGCGGTGTTAGGGGTTGCCTTCCGTCTTGCTTTCACATTCATGGCAGCAGACATGCCATATTCTGAATAGAGCTAAGTATAAGGGAATAGAAGAAATCGAGGGAATTCGCAGAATAGCAGCCGGAAGGTTTGTTTATTATTGAGAATCGCGCGTCGCGGTGCTTATTCTGCGGGTCGCGTCTTGGAGTCACGCTCACCAACATAGCCTCCTGACTCACCAATCCGACTTATCTAAAGCTATGCGACGGGGTAGCATTGCATGTCGAAACAGATCTTGGTTGGCTTCTTCACCTAGAGCGGGGTATGTCACGATCTAGTTGGTTCCAACCTAGGTAGGAGTTATTCTTCGACCAACCAATGAGGTTCTCTTAAGCCTTGCTAAGATCTTCTCTGAGGGGCATTGCCGCATCCCTTGCACAGAGTAAGAAGGATAACGGCCATATAACGTTGAAGTAAAATATAACATAATTAGAATTAGATGATGTGATATTGAATGCTGATATAAGCCCTTCCTTTCGAAGGTCGTTTATATACGTTCATCCCCTTCCTTTGTCTGTTATGGGTTATCTACCCTAACCCTAACTCAGAGTCTAATCCTTGCATCAACCCTAACCCTAACCCCAGATAATTCAACTAGGCATGTATCGTTGAATATATTTTCATATATTAGGTAACGTAGGCGAGTCCGGGCGCTTGGTATCCCAAGAAGTGGTAGACTCTTTCTCTGATGGGGCCTTAATAATATAAGACTCGCCCTCACGGTGCCCATGTGAAAGCTTGCCGCTGCTAACTCTTGCATCTAAGTCCTTTACTCTGCATTTGATACGGATATCACCGAACATGTATTCGAACCACACGTTGTAAATATATCGCATATGCCCACTCAAAGCTTTTTCGCCGAATTCGAGTTTTTCGTGGTGGACACCGTGGCGATTCATATCGACCTCCAAACTTCGGCTTTGTTCCATCAAGAACTCTAAGGCTGACCGATAGTTCACCCTTGCCATTCGTCGATTCCTTGGGCTTATGCAGACAGCAAATGATATATGTCCACATGCGGATTCACTGCGTTTTGAGAATATAAGTATAAATCGTGCTGGGATTGACGATCCTAGCCGGAGGTCGAGGCAATTGCCATTAGCTAGCCTTCTGGTAATCCAAGGAGGATAGAAGGAAGAAACCTCATATCCGGACGATATAACTTCATCGATGTGCAGACCTATCGTCTCACATTCCTTTCTCTTGGATTTTGGCCATGTAAGAGGAGGTGGCGGTATAGCAGAACTTCCTCGGAGATATATCGGTGTGGGTATTGGTTTTGTGATAAATATTTTCCATATGGGAAGCGCTCGACTAAGAGTGAACAGAAATTTTGAGCTGTTTATAAGAGAGAATAGTTTCTCCCTACGGACGAGGAAAGGTGGGCTACCTGGCGCCCGACTGTAATGGTTCTTATCGCCCCCTTTCGTATGAACCAGGGGAACCACTAGATGATTCCTATGGTCGAATGTCCCGGGGACAAGGCACCTGAGAATTGCGATGAAAACTCTGTTTTTGGGATCGATGGGACGGATGGGAATCGCCATCTGCATGCCAATGTTGGTCATAGCAGAGTGAGTTGTCGTTAGTGGTACATCGGGACTTGTTTCCTCCGTCTCTAGCTTCTGGAAGCTGTGACAATGTTTGAAATCGTGAGGCGATTGGGCAAGGACGGTATCCGCGTGGAGTCTCGGTTGAGTTCTTGGTGTTAAACAATATCCCCAAGCTAGCAAGCTATCGTCATCTCGTGACTTAATAACTTCCTCTTGAAGACGTAAAAATGCCATGTTCCCTTCGCCATAAAGTAGAGGCATGTTGACTTCAAGAAGACCCAAGAGACTGTAGGCTCTATCTTCAAGTCGCGTCGTCATTCTATCCGCGGCCCAAGCAAATCGAGCGGCAGCACAAAATTGTGAAAAGTCACCAGTGTCTAAAACGATCTTCGGAATATTTGTTATCTCGGAGAGGAGATATACCAATCCTAGCCGATTGATATAAGTTTCTTCGTGGGGAAAAGCAGCCCGGCGTTGATCTACTCGAGCAGAACCCAAGAATCTATTGATCCGGCCGATAGCAATTTCATTCCAGGAGAGGTCGAAGAATACCAACTCCATAGGCGCAAGTAGTTCTTGGAGCGTCCAACCCCTTTGGAACCAGCGACTGTTTCGAAATTCCGAATCGTCGGTAAATGGATCATCATTTGCTGACACGTCCGACAAGTAGATATAACAGGTTCTGGACTTCTTGTACCATTGGAACATGGAATTAATACCCTCAGAAAGCTCGGCACTGCTCGATTTATCGATACAGCAAGTATCGATCCACACATAATCAAGGCCATCTCTAGCAGCTCGCCGACAGCACCCATCTATCTTCGTATACCCCTCGGAGGTCCTGTGGGTTGGATTCGAAATATCTTGGAAGGTTATCTCACGCTTCCGCCAAGTATGTGACTAGTATCTAGCATTAGTAATGATATATGGTGCTATTATTTCACCAATTCGTGCTTATACCCACAAGGATAGCATAAGGTGGGGTGGACTGCCCATTAAATTCCTCCAATTGTCTTGTATGAACCTGGAGCAGCCGCATTGAAGAGCATGTCGATGCAGTTCGGCTCTAGGAGTTGGCCTTAAACTAGTAGATAACGTTAAGAGGTAAGAGTGGAAAAACTGGTCAAGAATCACTTTCACATCCGATTGGAGACCTCACTACTAATGCTGATTATTGGTGTAACATGAATACGTGCCTCAGTGTAGGTAAGTCTACCAACTTTTACTTTCATATTATTTTGACCGGCTCATTGGCTTCCTGCGGCCTGCCGCAGTGGAGGCCTGAAGGATGAGGTTGCATTCTGGGGTCGTAAGGCATAATCCACACACTGCCACACAGTAAGACGGACCGCGGCGCAGCAAGAGTGGAGGTTATACACCAGGGGTTTACGGGGGGCTAGAACTCCGCTTTATGTGAGGAAAACGCCTTGCTTAGATATTATCTAGGGGATCGTTGGGGGCTATCACGGATTTAAGACGAAGGGACGGTGATCAATTACCATGGCATGTATCAGTAACGAGTTAAATAGATAGATGACATGATAAAAGACAACATGAAATAAAATTACAACTATTATCGAAGGTTAAAAAGGACATTTGATATTAAAATTTTTCAGGTTGCCAATATGTTGCCAATATGTTGCCAATAGATACAATTAAGATTCTAAGGAACGTTTTTGTGACTAAGCCGTACAAAGAAAGGGGTAATCTTGTTAACCTGTTACATGGTGGGCTTTCTCAGTCAACTACGATCAATATCCTGAGTTGATGACATAAATGGGTGCTAATCGAAAGTGAAGACAAAGAAAAAATACACTTTTCATGTTTTTTGCTATGCGCACACACACACTTTTCTACACAATGCTATTTTATCAACCTTAAAACACTGGCGTCTTTCTGGCAGAATTCGGTGACAAAGGTGAATCTCAAAGAAACAAGCACAGACAATGGCTATTGTGGTTCGCGATGGTATACTTAAACCAGCAGTCCTCAGATTATAAGATCCGATATGTCTCTTCACTCAGCATTACCAACTCCGCATCTGAGACCGGAGTAACCAGGTAAGACTCATTCAAAAACATAACTTACACCAGATCACGTCACATCACTTCATCACTGAAAATGTCCGTCATCAACGAAATCACCAACCTCCACGCCTCTGCCTCCGCAATCCTCGAATGCAGCGGCCGCACCCCAACACGAAGCGAGTACGCCTCGGCCCTGGAGCTCGCCGACTCCGCGCTCGAACTCGCCGTCGCCGCGAACCTCGACGGGGAAGCGGTCGCGGCCTGCGCCGGCTTCCAGCAGTTCTGCTACGGCCAACTGCTGCGCTGCTGCGAGCGGGCCGCGGGCCACGAGCGCCTCGTGTACGAAAAGCGCTCGACGAGAGCGTCGCTGAAGCGCAAGCGCAGCGGCCGCGTCTTCGACACGGATCCCGGCGAGCACCTGGTAAACGCCTTCCAGGCCGTGCGTCTAGGTAGGTTGTTGGATGAGCAGGAGCGCGAGGATACGTTGGAGACGAGTCGGAGGATTCGCTGGAGTGATGAGTTGCAATATTGAATTGCTGATTGCTATGAGCCTGGGGCTTGTTAGTTGGTGACGGTAGGTTATTCTTGATTCTGGGTTAAAGGTAGGTCAATTTGATGAGCATATGTGGAGTTTTGGGGGGATAGGAGTATTGGAATGGGTATGATTATACCCTTTTGCATAATAAGGGTTTGATGAGAATAGAACTTGTCTTGTCATTTTTATACAGAATTGTGCTCAACACATACCTCTGTCAAATTTAGCCCCTTTTTGTGCTTTTGTGCCACCGTTTACTGCGCATCTTGATTCTTGCTGGCGATCAGCGACATACGATAATTCAAGGGCCTCTCATAGGCCAGCAAAACTCAAAAATATCCCGAGAACCAGCGTCATTTCTGCAGCCATGTGTTCCATTTATGCATAATTGGCACTCAACAATAAGCTTTATCTGAATTCTGATCAATCATATGTTTCGCCGTTGAGTCAAAACTTCACGATAGGTCGCGTGCCGACACCCGGACGAGATGAGCGAACCGGGAAACGCTCTCTTGGCAAGGGATGTTGACGTCTTACTGCTTTGGCGAGATCCCAACTGTCAAATCAAGGTCTCGAAAATCAGCCTGAAGTCTGGGCGAGGCTTGAGCTAAGGGACTTGGCAAATCTCTACCGTGTTTATGTCGATCCAGGTTGAGTATGTGTCTAGGACATTCCCTCAACCTCACAGACCTAACATCTTTGAAAAAGATGCGATCTCCCGTCTTTATCCTTAGACTCCTGGTTCTACCGGAGCGTTGGGAGAACATATGGAGCAGGGTCGTTCGGAGAAAAGCGCAGAGCCGCCGAAGGTCTCTCGCCTCGGAATCATACGCTCAAAGAAAGCAATTGCGGCTTTCATAGCATTTGCGTGTCTTCTTGTCGCGACCGTTATCTTGGTTGGTGAGTTGATCGTACTTCTCGGGAAGAGTCTGGAGGATCTGAACGCATATACTGACATCAAATCTAACCGTCTAGCTCTTGCGGCGACAGGCACGATTGGCGCAAACGATGCTTCTGATGAGTTTGTCACCGAGAAAGAGTTAGCCAGTGATGTAAGCATGCCAGGCCCAGGGTCGACGCCGACATCTGATGCCTCCGAATCTACATCTTCAGCATCGGCCAAACCATCTGTTACCCCATCGGTTGTCAACTCTGTCGCAAATCCACATGGTATTCCTTTGAGGATCATGGCTCTTGGAGCCTCCATCGTCAAGGGCGAGACTTCCCCTGGCTACTTGGGCTTTCGAAAGCCCATGCGCGATGAATTGGTCGACCTAGGTTTCACAGTAAACATGGTGGGGTCCGTACGATTGGGTGACTTCATCGACAATGACGTCGAGGCCTACGGCGGCAAAAAGATCTTGGAGATGCTGGAATACGCCAAGGAGGCCGTACCTAAGACATTGCCTAATTTGTTCGTCATCAACCTCGGGACCAATAACCTCCTGCAGAATAAGGACGTTGACAAAGTCGGCCAACAGATGAAGGAGTTGATCGACTATCTATTGACTGCTTCGAGCAAGTCGACAGTCGTCATGAGCACGATGCTGACCAACAAGGTCCCCGACAAGGAACCCATAGTCTTGGATATGAACAAGCAATACCGAGACATGATGAAAGACTTCGATGCACATCAGAAGCCGGTCGTACTAGCTGAGATGCATCCCAGCGAAGGGGGTTCTGAGGTTCCCACGGTAGATGACATCGGACCCGATGGCTCACATCCCACAGTCGAGGGGTACGAGATGATGGCACGTATTTTCGTCAAGGCGATCCAGGAGGCCGAGGAAAAGGGATTCCTCCGTAAAGCCGTCGATAATGGTATACCGGAAGATGGAGATGCTGAGAGAACTGGGTGAAACAGCAGCTGAGAAATAAGAGGGCTGATAATTACTAGGATGAATCACTTATCCTTAATATCCCTGGGGCGATCATCTACTGATTCAACTCCGCTGAGGCCAGACAACGATTTCGCACGTCAGCAATAATATTAGTAGGGTTGGGGAAATGGTGGATTAACTCTTAAAGATATACGCGATGGCTACATTTTAAGTACCTAGGCTAGTAGGTAGACGGTATTGTTCTACGTACCTACCTACCTAAGCACCAGAGTTAATAACAGAAGATACCTATCTCTACCTCCTAGCTATACATTCCCACCCATGTCCCGTCAATGACTGCCTAGGGTAACAACAAATGGACACTTACGTGCTGTGCTGAGCTAGTCCATCGGCACTTTGCCACAATTCCCTTGCCTTTTGCCCGTAGCTCAAAGCCGTGGCATCGAGAGCTGGATCCGTATGCAGTGCCGTGATAGACGCGAAAAGGCTGACAGTCTGTCGGAATGGGAATACAGAGCTGGAGACTGGCAACTCGCGTGCCTTCTCCATCGCATTGATATTGAGCAGCACGGAACTGTGCTCAAAACCAGCCTGTCCCACAAGCTCCTTCCAGACATCGTAAACCGCGTGCCATGAGGTTGGATCTAGACGTGACATGCCAACAGCCCACGTCGGCTTACGGCCCCCTTTAGCACATATGCTTCCAACGTTCCACGTTTCGTATGACGAGGTTGCGATTCCGTCTGAGACCGGGCCAACAGAAAGCAGTGAGGCAAGCGCGGCCCTCCCTGCATCTTCCGTGCCATGGTAGAAAACGGACACTACGATAGACGGTTGACCCGTATTCCCAAGGTCCAAGTCATGGAGAGTGACATTTGTGGCTTCAATGGTTAGGCTCGCGATTGCCCCTAGCCCAGAGTCGAGCTGGGTAGGTGTATAGATTAGAGCACCGGTCCAGGCGGTAGATGATTTGTTGCTGTTAACGGGATGAGCTTTGAGCACGGCTAATGTCACAACGCCGAAGTTCGGTCCTGCTCCTCGTAACGCCCAAAATAAGTCTGGGGATGATTCCAGCGTGATGACTTCAGAACTACCGTCTGCAAGCACCACGTTCATCGACATAATATTGTCCACGCGAAGACCATATTCGCCGGTTAGGGAGCCGATACCACCTCCGAGAACCGCGCCCAGAAATCCGACGCAGTCACATCATGGATGTGCCCGTAGCTACAAGAGCGCCGTCCTTAGAGCCGGCCGTAGTTACGTTGGAAACTAGGGCGCCACCACCTACTATAAAGAGGTTCTTGTCACCGCTGAATGTCACATCACGCAACAGATCTATATCGACGGCGATTCCATTATCGTCGATAGTGAATGTAGTTGCCCAACCGTTGCCTCCATTTTGAACGAAGAATGGGATGTTGTTGTCGACTGCCCATTTCACCTGGGCTCTATTAGTTGTGTATCTCCAAGGATTTACGGTTATATGAAGCACGCCTGTTTACCGTTACTTGCACATCCTTCTCCGAAGCAGGATGAACCACTGCACCTGGCTGGGGTTCTTTGCAGTTACTCCATCTCGGCGCTGCGGCCGAATTCCCGATGTACGAGTCCGGAGAAAGGAGCTGCTGAAGGGAGCCCGTGCCAATGCTACTGATACGGCGGACTAGGGTACAGCAAAACAAAATCCTTTAAAATATAGGGGAAAGCTTCGACATAACAGAACGTGAGGGCTAGCAACCGACTACATGAGCCAATGCAATAGGACTAGACGAAGGTCTAAGCGGAAGGAAAAGGGAGAAAAAATAGAAATTCGTGTCATGACAAACATCTTTAATCAAATTGAATTGAACAAAGAAGCTCCAGGGAAGCTTCGGGTTTGCTTCAGCAGCTAAGCTAAGCGACGTAAAAGCACTTGGACGCCATATGGCGGTACCTATAACAGCTAGCGCCAGCAGTTATATCCGCTAAATTAAGTCTGCTGTTCCGGGCTTTGTTTAATTTTCCAGCTCTCTGGGTAGCCAATTATCAGCGCTCGCTTCGGCTTGACGACCCCTCCCGTCTCCCCCTTCGTCCCGTTCATCCCGCTCATCCCGCTCATCCCTCAGCGCACGTCGCGTAAATGCTGCAAGGGACTTCGCGCCATTTCCATACTAGAGCATGATATCACGTCAGCCAAAAGATCCTCGAAGGAAGAACATGACTGGGACTCATGACTAGACTTACCATCACGTTAAAATGATCATACTCAGCTAAAACCTCGATAAAGAGCCCTGGATCAGACGCTGATTCGGGGTTGAGTAAATGCTTCCACCCGCCGGGTCCAAAGTCCTTACGTGGCTCCGTTAGGAACCTTACACCATCGCAGTCCCCTGTTTTCCACTCATACTTAGCGTATCGACGGCCATCGAGAGCGGTTCTCCCTGCCCAGCAGAGCCCCCCGCGCGGCTACGCCATACCCTGAGGAACGCGCAGAGGCGTGGCGCGGTAATGCGATGGCAAGTCGATGGTCGCGTTGAAGTGCGGAACCAACCCCTCGGGCGGCTCGGCCGTAAGGTCTGCAACGGCCGAACCCCCTCCGATCTGGTTGAATACGCCGACCGTTTGGCAATGTTGATAGAATCGCATCGGCAGATGTTCTAGTCCGTTTGTTCGGCGCCGAACTGTCTATCAGGATTATGTCGCGCACGGTGTCGCCCGCGTCGTCGACGAGCATCTGCGCTGCATAGTACGCGAAGACTCCTCCTGATGGCCAACCACCGAGAGAGTATGGCCCTGACGGTTGTCGTCGTCGCACCTCGGAGACATAGGAAGCTAATAGCGTCTCCATGGAGCATGTCATCGCCTGAGGATCTCGCCTATAAGGGCATATCAGGCCGATTATAGTGACGCGGAGAGACACAGGCTGCAAAGCTGCGTTGATAACGCGGAGCCAGAGCCATCAGGGAAAAGAAAGAGTGTCACGTTTTCGTCAGAATCTTTGCTGGCGCGTTGAAGGATGACAGAGCTCACGGCTCGTGCTAACCCGGACTGATTATTCTCGAATGGCGAGGGATAATTGTCGAAGTTCATTCCATCTGGCTCAAACCGGTTTTCAGATGTGCTACAAGGGCTACATTCGTCGGTCTCCTGGGCTGGCTGTACTTCTCTAGTCGTCGGTGCAAGACTCGTATAAAGAGACAGTCCTCTGGACCCTGCATAGCCCGACTTCAGCTTGGATTAGGTATAGTCAGTGCGGACCACCGTGCCTTTAGACGGACCGCTAGTCACTCGCAATATTAACAAAGTAGGAAGGAGTATGCACGGAATTCCAAGGCCAAGTGACATCGCAGTCAAGATTTTACGGGATTTCTCTAACTGAAGACTAGAAATTTGTAGCACGGGATAAATCGCGAAAAGAAAGTCGAGCGCGGCAGAATATGCTGTTATGAAGTTAGGGGGTCGTTCTCGGAAAAGACGGTGGCTAGTGCTTACCACCAGCAAAATATCCTAAATGCAGGTATATTCTAGGATTCCAACAGGTTCCCTTCAGAACGGGATTCCAAATTTTTGCGATGGGGTTGCATTGTATGAATGTCACTATAGTCAGAATAGTAACCCATACGACCAAGAAACCCACTAACGAATACAAGATGGTATCGATATACCTCTTATATTGTCCAAATAACCGTATGAGGAGGATGATGATGGGTATCTTTGGTAGTGTCCAAGTCCATAGATTGATGGCCTCAAGGATAACCAGCAATCTTGTCAACTTGACTGTTGCTACGGAGTCTTCCTCGAGTAGAGCATCCATATGTCGACCGGAGCCTATTCCAATACAGCTAGATATATATATACTGCCTTGGCGAGAATGGGAGCCTGGGCATGTTAGTAGATGCGAACCTCGAGATAGAGGTGTTCCACTTACTACAGGAAGTGCGACGAGTGCATCATCAATCTGCCATTGACTCTTCTCCAGCAAACGCCGAGAAAACAATCGCAATGCCAGCACCGCTACATCTTATTAGCGTCACTTTCCGTTACGAAGCTTTTAACTTTAGCAATAACCTACCAAGAGTTATAGAACAGAAGACCCAGTTGGTAGTATTAAGAGACCCTCGATTTACATCACCGCCGCAAGACATCGTGAGCAAGAGCTACGCATGAAACTCAACTAGAGGGTATTTTGAACAGTACCTAGGGTCAACTTTGGCTTCTACTCTGTTTTGAGAAGGAGTCGACTCGAACGAATCATCTGAATATCAGCTCAGAGACGGCCGAAAGCCGGTGGTATATGCGAGTCAAAAAGCCACTCTTGTAACAGAGTCGGTTATGCCATCAATTCTAGGCCTCAAGGATGCGTATTACGTACCTAGGATGTACCTAGCCACGATTGTACGACACTGTGGTTCGATTAGTACCTCGGTATCTAGGAGGTAAGTACCTGTTGCCAATTGATATGGAACTCAGGGGCTCATTGGTCACTAACTATGCACTTGCCGTATGTCTGCGCATGGTACTATCGTCCGCCGTCCTCGGGCGAGCAGCAATGAAATCCTACCTAAACTCTGAACGTTGGGGGGCTGTACCGAGTTACGCGACAAGGGACTTGCTTGGATAGATGGGGCAAAACCCATTCCTCTTTGTGAGTTAACAGCTATAACTACTTAGGTACTCCAGCAACGTTGGAGCAGTGAAGTGTTAAAACATCTTCACTTATCTATTCTGCAGACGCCTAACAGCCCGCCGGGACGCTTTCCAAAACAACATGGCTAATAAGCTCTCTTCCCATTTACTCAATGAGCTGCAGGCTCAGGTCGGCCCAAGTCTTGAGATCCTAACGGATAAGGATAGCACGCGCTTCCAAGAGTATGCTAAGCGATGGTCTGATATAGATCGTCAGATTCCCGGCGCGATCGTGCTCCCTGTATCTGAGGAACAAATAAAGCAGACGGTGCTGATCTCCAACCTTTCGACCTGAGAACGTATACTTACTACTACTTATACAGGTCCAATGGGCTGTTAAATCATCAGTTCCCTTCGTTACCAAGAGTGGAGGTCACAGCGAGTGGTCAACTATTGGCGACAACGGAATTATCATTGACCTGAGTAAATATTCCGGGATCGAAATTGACGCCCCGGCAAAAAGAGCCGTGTTGAAGGGGAGCATCTTGTCAAAGGAAGTTGCTGTCGTCTTAGCTTGCGCGGGCTTCTTCACAGGTGAGACCTTAGAGCTGATGCATGGCTCCTTATCATTAACCTGAACTGCAGCTCTGGGCAATGGAAATACCGTGGGCGCCATCCCCTATTTCCTTGGCGGAGGTGCATCAATCACCACCTCGATCACTGGTTTCGGTTCAGACCAGATCATAGCAGCTCGCATGATAGATGCGAAAGGAAATATCATCGTAGTCACCGAAGAAACAGAGCCGGATTTACTTTATGCTATCCGAGGAGCAGGACAGTTCTTCGGACTCGTCACTCAATTAACAATCAAAGCTACTCCACTAGCCGAGCTCGGTAATGATCAAGGAGTAATCTGGGCTGGGGCCTTCGTGTTCCCTCTCGAGCGTGCCAAAGATGTTGCACCAGTCATGGAGAAACTCATGGACGACGGAAGTCATGCAACGGCTGGTCTTATGATGGTCCAGGCACCACCACCGTCACGGAATCCCGCCCTAGTCATCGCGGCGAGATACACGGGTGACCCCAATGATGCAGAGCGCGCGTATAAGCCGCTTTATGATTTGAAGCCTCTTGTAGCTAAGGGTGGAACGATCCCAATCCAGAACACCAGCGACGGGCGCGAAGCGATTGGTGCCAAAGGAGATTTCAAGCGATTTGGCGTGGTTGGACTGAAGCGTTTTGACGCAGACGGATTCATCAAAGCTATCGACGTATGGAAAAGTCTAGTGGCGGAGTGTCCCGACGCCATCAACACGGCTTTCAACTTCCAGTGGGACTCTCGGCCTCCCAAAGCGCCAGGTTTCGAATCCGCCATGTCTCTCCACGATATAAGATATTGGCAGTGAGTGCTGATAACTACCTAGGTATTCTCAAAACTCTTGACGCGTTTACTGACCAGTATGACTCAACAGAAACAATCTTATCTGGCACACCGACGCCAGGAACCGCCAAAAGGTGGACGACTTCAATGACCAGTCAATCGCCATTATGCGAGGGCCCGATCGGTCAGAGTATGCGGACTTTCAGAACGGTACCCGCACAGGACCAATCGAGTTGCGCTTCCGGGGCGCCGGCAAGCTTGACAAGCTGAGAGCGCTGAAGAAGAAATGGGACCCAACTGGTGTGTTCACCAAGCAACTCCTGGAATAGGGAAGACATAGCGTCCCGTGATAGAGCGATAGGGATGGGCAAACCTTTGAAATTAGCCTGTAAATTAGGTGCCTATTTACCTAGGCACTAAGTACCGTCCTACCTGCGGGTAGCCAACGCCATCTGAATTTATTTGGACGTATTGAATGCCCTCAACCCCTATCGCCATTGTAATGACCTTGCTAAAATCTATCTCGGTACTCTTGACGGTCCGAGCGCTAGTAACATCGATGTCACGGCAGCGATCTAAGATCTTTGAGCTGTCTCCGAAGTGAGCGGGTAACAGTAACGATACTCAGACATGCAGAGTAACATACAAAAGTAAGTTACAAGCCCTCCTGCATCTGCAGGGAAGTATCGCCTGCATATAAACCAGCCTACAGGACGCCATGCGGATGTCCGTAATCATGATGCCTCCAATTTTTGACAACTAGAAGGACTCTGCGGGGGCATTTTTGTCACATCATTTATTTTCATGCCGTTGCGGTTTGCTTAATCGGCGCTGGGCACCTACCAACGTTAGCTCCCTGCAATAAGGGCTAGGTGCATGGATCACATTCCAACGAAGGAACAGATATTTAAGCTCAGGCAACAGTGAATACCTCGATTTAATGACACTTTCATACTACCTAGTAGGTAATTTTCAACCTAAGAAAACAGATCAGCATATCTTCCCGTAAGCCTCAATTACTCTTCCAGCTAGGAAAAGCTCATAATGCTCGGCCGTCTCCTACTTACCGTCGATGCTCTTGGCATGTGCATTGGCACTCTAAAAGCCGATTATTTCAATGAATCGCACATGTTCAATCCTAGATGGCCGCCGCATGCGAAGTAAGCTCGTTCCTTTCGAATCGAATCGCTCATTGACGATATCCTTCCTGTTGCATTTCTTCAAGTATCTCGTCTAACATCCCCAACAGATTCCACAACGTTCAAACTATCGGGCTCGCTGTAATCCTATCAATCATAACGCTTTATTACACGTGGCGTCCTGCTCGGACACGTGAGCTTAATCGTGAGTTCATGTTTATGAGCGCCTTGTCCGGATCTATTTACTGGTTTGCTGGTTTAATTGCGATACTTCCGCCGGGCACAGCGGGACTCGACCCGGAGTTCGGTGGGCCAGGATTCCCGCAGGGTCCTCTTTTCGTTGCTTTGATGGGCTGTGGATTGCTGGGTGCCTGGTTAGAGTATTGACGGAGGTGACGGAGGTATCGGTGATGACAGGACAACTTCCTGCTTTCTCTATCATTTCGGGCAGGCGGCAAGCCTACCTGAAAACAAAATAAACATAACATTACACCTTGGGGATTGGGCTTGGCAGCCTATGTCTTAGTCTCCTACCAACTCACGAAGAAAACGACCATAAAGTCGGACTCTCAAATATATGCTGAAGTTCGAAACTGCGCTTTGTGACGTTTATGGCCCACTGTCTCATCGCCCTAGCCGCATGCACCCAAGTGGTAGCTTTCGTTGCGATTGGCTGCGCAGGTATCGCTGGTATTATCGTCATGATTCGCACTTTAACCAATGACACCTACCGTACACATTGGATTATGATTCAAAAAGCCGACCTATCTCTCTGAAAGGAAAGAAGAAGGCATAAACTATTAGATATCAATGATCTTAAATAGTTGAGCTTACTTATCCCTTAGGAAACAGGGGGAAATAGAGATGTTTTCCATTGATAGAATCGACGTGGAGCTCTTGCAATGGCCTCAAGGAGCTTATTCAGGTTCATACTAGGTAGCTCAATAGTCGTTGGGCCATTTCTGAATATATCAATCTGAACATTTCGATAAAGGGAAGACGTTATCGCAGGCTGTCGGGGGTGGCTTGGAAGTAATAGCGCCGTAACATAAACCTGGAACTAGAGGCCCGGCGTCAGGATAACCCCGCATCGCTTGATAGGAAGATCCCGAAGTAAACTATAGGAGGGGAGAGCTAGATATGTAATCATGCCATAACCGCATGTGAGGTTGGTATCACTCCATCTTTGATTCTGAATTCTTGAGATGAGCTCGTTCCAAAAATATTAGGTATCTTTAGATAACTCAGAAAAGTGAACTCTCGCAATGGCTGTTGAGGGAGCAATTCCAATAATTGACTTTGCCGTATGGTCGAAGGGCTCAACCGATGATAAGAAACGTATCGCTGTTGAGTTGACGGACGCATGTCGCAGAGTTGGCTTCGTGTATATCGTCAATCATGGAGTACCCAACGATCTGCTCGAGGAAGCATTTGGTTGGTCTAAGAAGCTCTTCGATCTATCTCAGGAGAAGAAGATGCTGGCACCCCATCCACCAGGTGAGTACATGTTCGCTAGCCTTGGTAGGCAAGCGAGGTAACCATGCAGTCTAGGTCCTAACGTCCATCGTGGATATTCGTGGCCTGGTCTAGAGAAAGTATCGCAGGACATTATCAAGGATGGCGACGAAGCTAAAGAGGCCGAGATGCGAAAAGTCTCGGATGTAAAGGTTTGTCTGCTTAGCCCATCGATTTTCGTTAGACAAGTGGCTAACGCCGAAAAGGAGAGCTATGAAATCGGCAGTGAGGAGTCTGAATTGCAGCCGAATGTCTGGCTGCCTGAGGACGTCCTCCCTGGCTTCCGCGAATTCATGGTGCAGTTTTACTGGAGGTGCTTCGAAGCAGGAAAGGAGTTGCTGCGTGCTTTAGCCATTGGAATCGGGCTCGAAGACGAGGACTTCTTCCTTCGCTTTCATAGCGGTGAGAATAACCAACTACGGCTACTTCACTATCCACCAGTTGAGGCAGAGAAGCTTTCCAGCAATGCAGTTGCTCGTATGCCTGCTCATACGGACTGGGGCACAATCACGATGCTATTCCAAGACGACTGCGGCGGTTTGCAGGTCGAACATCCGAATCAGCCGAACTACTTTGTCGACGCGACGCCGATGAAGAATGCATTGGTTATGAACGTGGGCGACTTGTTGATGAGATGGAGCAATGGTACGTCCGAGACACCTTCGTGGCCCCCAGTATTCTTTGAAAATAACTAATGTCGAGAGTCAAGATTTCTTGAAATCAACCCTCCATCGCGTTACTCGTCCGCCAGCCCAAGACAAACCGCAAACGGATGGGAAGCTTATGACTAGACCGAGATATTCAATTCCCTACTTCATCTCACCAGATCCGAAAGCTATTATCGAGTGTCTATCAGCATGCACAGATGAGAAACGCCCTGTCAAGTACGAGCCGGTTGTGCAGGACGAATATCGACGAATGAGGGCGAGAGGGCAGTATGCGGAAATACCGATTACTCCAATGACGGTCTCCTAGTGAATTCGAGGGTTTGAATTAACGAGGGTTGGGCATTGCTTAAAGTGAGGATGAGTTGTAGCCAAGAATCAAAGAATTGAATTTAGCTTCAAGTTGAAAAAATAAGGGTTTGTACCTAACAAAAAGCTGCCGGTGCATGCACAGTGCACACGTTACGGAATTTCGGATACGCACCTGGTAGTACCTGCCCAGGTACCTAGGGACTTACATATGCATTGTCCAATCAGGCCGTTCAGCCCCCAAATAAATTAGCCCCTCAATCATAATGATCCAATCATATCTGCGAAACTAACAGGGGCTATCTTTACGCGCCAGTTTTAACGCTCATCAACGGGGCATAGCGCGTAATCATACTCCCCACATCGATTCTCGGGAGCAATGGGGTTGGTTACAGCAAGCTACAACTCTCCAACTTTGCTGATGATTGGACAAACCTCATCGACGCCGAGGAGCTGGTCGAGCTGTATTTAGCACAGCCCATCTGCGGGATCTCCCTTTCGCAGGGATAGGGAGTACATACGTATGCAACCAGCTCGCCTTATAGGACAAGATGGCGGCCCAAAAAGTGGCCATCTGTCGAGTCGACTGTCGAGCCTGTTGCAGACTCGACTTCCAACTTCACCCATCCATCTACCCTTCTTAACCTAGAGGCTCCAATTCTGCAAACACTTCGTCTAAAGCTATCTTGTTGAAGACAATATCTTCAAAGCTAGCCTATCTATCTCACCCTATATCTTATAGCAGGACGGCAAAAGTAAGTGGAATGAATGCGGGGCTGTTCCACCTTAACAATCCTTCGACTCCAGCTGCAACTCCAAATACACTACCTCATTGATACGCGAGACTAACATTAACATAGCTTTGCCTATACTAAGAAACTCGAGAAGCATTCAGCGACAATGTCTGGTCAATACTATCCACGTACGTAATCCTCACTTCAGCATACCACACCAAAGCTCGAGATTAGAACTGACGAGTACTATATAGCGCCCCCTGGTGCGGCTGGGCCAACAGGTACGATTATCAACTCGTTTTCCCTCGACGGTTGCCAGTAGCAGAAGACTGATATAAGCAGCCTCAGCACCGCAGAAGAGCTACCCACCTCCGCCTACCTCTCCTCCCGCAAATCAGACGAAGTTCTACCCGCCGCCGCCTGGAACACCCAGTTACCCTCCTCCTCAAACTCAAAGCTACCCTACTCCTCCGCAGCAGTCATACCCAGCCCCTCCACAACAGAATTATCCAGCGCCGCCGCAACAAGCTGTATCTCCGCCGCCCAAGATCGGTACACCAGTATATCAGCCTCCACCTTCCCAGCCAGCGCAACACGTCAACTTACCCATTCGGAACGATGGCACAATGACACCGCCAGGTAGTGCTGCGCCATCATATGGAGACGTAGTACCTAACCCTCCCGAGGGATTTCCAAATGAGAAAGCACAAAGCATTCTAGGGGCGGGACCAAATCACTCGAGAACTACGTCAAATGCCGCCGGACCCTCGCATTTTCAGGGCGCGGCTGCGACGTTGGATGACGTGGGAACGTTCAACGGTGGCTCATATCGCATCAGCCACCGAGATTGTAACACTATTATTACGATCCAATTGGCGATGGGGTGCCCGATAAGCGCTAAACCGGGAGTGCTGATCGCCATGAGTCCGACCATTACGCTCAAGGGTGAGTACAAATTCAGCATGAAGAAGTTAATGGCCAGCGGCGGCGAGTTCGGTCACTCGACCTTTATTGGTCCCGGTGAGTTGCTGCTTGCCCCTAGCATGCTTGGCGACATGACCACCATCCGCTTAACCGGCGACGAGTCCTGGAGCGTCGGGAAAGACTCGTACGTCGCCAACACCCAGGGCGTTGTTCGCGACTACAAGCGCCAGGGTCTCGGAAAGGCCATGTTCAGCGGTGAGGGTCTATGGGTCCACAAGATCAGTGGTATCGGCCTGTTGTGGATCACCAGTTTCGGCGCTATCATCCGCAAGGACCTTGCCGAAGGTGAAAGATATATCGTCGATAACGGCCACTTAGTCGCGTGGAACGTCAAATATGTCATGGAGCGTGTGGCTAGTGGTGGTATGCTGGGCGGGCTTGCCAGTGGGGAGGGTCTTGTTTGCAAGTTCACAGGACCTGGCACAGTATTCCTTCAAACGAGAAACCCGGTAAGTAACCCACCACTAGTGCTTTTCCCACTGTGTTTGCCCTGTTTCTGTGCGCTCGTCCGACTAATATGCCACAGAGATCTTTCAGCGCTTACATGACGGGCAATGCGGCACCGCCGTAAAATACCTACAGTACTGTTACCGTTTCAATATCCGGATTAATATCTGGCATTTCTATCGTGAGGCTTTCGAATGGGGTTTTTTTCTAGTTACGTTTGCAAATACCAGTGCCGGGCAGCGCATGTATTGGATACCTATATCACTTTCATTCTCTATTTTGGGAAAATTAAAATGCCGTGATTTTAACGAAGTAGTGTGGCTCTTTAAAATCTACCTATTGCAACTGACGCAAGATTAACGTCAATAAACCCACCTGTTGGGAAACAACCCGAAATATGTACTAAAATCGTACCCGTAGCTTATTTCAACCTCCTCTCTAAACAATGACATTAGTAACATCAGGGGATAGTAACACTCAGCCAGTTACGATTCAACTTCTTTGAGTATCATTAGGCTTACATGAGATATATCTCTGGAAGTTTGTGACCTCAGGTCAATGGACGAAATATAATGAGTGGTTGAAGTATGAAAATATAACTAGGTACCTAGTTCGAACGTCTCAAACCGTTGTACCGAGATATTCACGTTTTATCCTTTAACTGTACGAACCAACATGGAGGTATCCCAACGCGGATACAATATAACAAATCTTCAGCGTAGTGTAAAGTTAGTAATTTTTCCTCGATAATTAAGTGATCCCTTTTCCCCTTTATCCCAGATTCGAAGCTATTCGGTCTGATATAATTAAACAACAGCGTTGTTCTCGCTTCTATGAAACTGGCGTAAGACTGGTCTCGCAGATTAGGACCTTAGAGCTATCTACTCTCACTTGATGAAGCCCGCAATGACGCACGAAAATTATAATGCTATAGAAGATCTCATGATATTGTTGTCCTATTATTTTGAGTTTTGATTCTCTCCCTCTTTATTTCGACATAAAGTCAGGATGCCCAATTTTAGTCATTTCTAAAAGCAAGGTATTGTCCCAAGAAATCCCAAGTATCATTATTCTGCCTGTTCATATACTGAGGGAAAGGTCATATCACTAACAAACTTATTAACAATGTTAGAATTTTACGAACCTACATTTCATGAGAATGAAAAGAATAGGAACAAGAAAATTAGGAAAAGTAAAAATACCTATAACGAATATCGATCCTGGTGTAATTATCCCCTTGATTGATATGATATTGTAGTTTTGCTAGATCAAGGAGGAAAACGCCGCATCAATGAAGAAGGGTTTAGAAATAGGGGTAATATTTATAAAAGGGGTATATAACAATTCGCCCAAAAGAATTGCAAATATGATGCCACTTCTACGTACAATGTACCTATTAAAAATGACATAGAAGCCTCTTACCTTAAGTTTTTTGAGGTATTCGGTGTCCACCACTGTCTACAATGGACGCTAGCTGAAAACTTTACGCATCTAATTGACAGTGCCAATTGTACTTACCAACGGAAGCGACGAACACCTCAATGATGAAGGTTACTAGCAAAGCACAGGGCACTTGAAACTCCAATAAGAAGAGAGAGGAAGGAGGGACTTGTGTAGTTTACCGAAGGAAGGTCCTGTAGGTACCTTTACGTGTCTCAACGCAGCACGGCGCGTCTCGAATTTCGTGAGTTTACTGATTTCCCGTCACTTCACCGTTCCATACAGCGTTCTTTTGTGGCATTGCGAGATTTCTTTTCGAATTTTCCCATTGGGTTTTTGGACTTTGGACTTACAGCTTTCATCACAATTGTTACGGTCCCCAGTACTTTACTACGCGATCTGAGTCGTGCACTAGCGGTTGAGGTACGGTCATCTAAACGGAAATCGTCAAGGTTGCCGCCTACCCTGATCACTACCTACCTCTATCTCTTCCACTCATGACTCACCTGGCAGTGCTCCCAAATTTGATTCTCGTAAATCTACAAAACACCTGGACCAATTTCCTACTAAATCCCAAATCTCCATCCACCCACCAAATTTTTCAAACTTCCCACTCGTTCACCTCCTCACTCTTTTTCTCGCAATACTTTCTTTCGTACTCTAACTTCTATCCACCAAGCGAACATCAACAACGTCCAACCATTTTCAGCACCAACACTGAATTTGGATTATCTTCTGTCAGGTACGTGCAACCCATCCATCCATCATTTCTTGTCTATCATCCACCTTTATCCCACGCAAATTCCTAACAACAGCCTCCAGCAACCTTCTTTGAGGACCTCGCTCCACGACAATTTTCCCACGCGAGTTCTCTCACGCATATCGTATTTCATGCAGTAATTCAACCGTGCAATAAATCGCCGACGGAGTTTTTCAAGATTATGTCAGTATTCTCCACCAAATATCTTTTCTCTCCCCTACGCTTCACCTACTTCCTCCTACCTGTCTACCACTATATCTCATTCCATACTACCCTACATTGCTATTATCACCACCACATCATCTACGGTAACCTATTACAGAATTATATGCTACCAATATACACCATTGCTTTCTATTTCCTTGCATCCTCTGTCTAGGATCTAACACACGACTCCCTTCCCTTCCTCATTGCCTTCATTGTTCGTCACTAACATGTTCCAAGCAACAATAATCGTACATTCTTGTGTGATACACCACGCGCTGATAACTTGGCCTCCACAGTATTCAACGCACAGCGGAAAGCCTTGAAAAACTCGTCTAACTTACATTTACTTCGATCTGGTCACAAGATCAACCACGACTTGATCTATAAGGCAATAACTCCATTCGAACCCTAGGCCACCAATATCTCCATATCACTATACCAAATTCTTCAAGCCATCAAGTCTCAGTCAGCTAATCCCTCGATATTTGCTTAGCTAGAGTACGCTCTACGCTTTCTCAAAATGCGCCACGCTCAGGCAAGTAGGGCTGCGGCCAGAGCAAAGGCGCTCAATCTGAGCGTCGACACCAATGTCAACACGAGTCACAATAGCACGGTGACAGTTACGCAGGGTCCAGATAGTTCTACACGGGGCATTACCGCTCCGGCGACCCAGCATAAACCCCACAACACCGACGGCAAAGTTAAGTCTTCGAGGCCTAGCCAAGCTCTGGCCAACCCTAACTGGAGAAACCGTCAGTTGGGCCCGGGTGCTCCCCTGAGATCACCCACAACTGCTGGTTTGCCGCAGACTGAATTCGAGAAATCCGGTGGTCATGTAGTGAAGAAGCCAAGCCGCTCGGTTTCACCAGAGGACGATTATGTCGTGCGTGGATATCGAACCACTCCCATTGACCCAGATTTTATTCATTCAGCCCCATTGACTAAGAAGGATTATAGAGGTGCAGAGATCGACTCGAACCGCTCCGAGTATGACAAGGACAAATATATTTGTCCAGTAGATCAACAACCTCGCTCAAGTCTAGACACAGGAGCCCCTGTCAGATTGGAGCCGCTGTCCCCAAGCACGCGTGAGCGCTTCGAAGTTCAAAACCTGAGTCTCGAACGCAGAAAGGAAAATGGCAAATGGGTGGATAATTGGCATTATGGAGATTCCCCTTTAAGTGCAATTCCCCTCCCGCAGACAAGCCCTACAGACCCAGAAGAGTCTATGACTTTTCCAGCTGCGAAGGTTAAGGCCATTAAAGAGTCACGAAGATTCAAGAGTGGTCTCTGGGGAGATTTAGATGAACAGGTGCAGAAACAGGTTGCTGGACTCAACCAGCCTCGTACGGCCGGTCATCCGTTAGGCCGCTCGCGTCAGGAGTATGAGAACTCTCGACGTCCTTTAGCTATCGCATCTGCCGCTCAAGGTCCAATGGCTCAGAAGTCTGCGACTGATGGTCGACGCCACGGAGCGTCTTACCCTCCAGCGATCCCCGAGGATCCTGAGGAAGAGAATCAACGTTACGAAAGTTTCATCCAGAAACTAAACACGCCATCGGATTTTTGCTTTACTGAAGGGCGCCACAGCACGGAACAAACTCGTTCTACAGGGCCCCGCTCAGATACTGAGCGCAACCAAAATCCCACGGAATCTAAGTCGCTAGTTTTAGTTCACCCACCAGAGAAGGGCGAAAGTAGTGTTGGAACAATGGCTGAGATGAAAAATGGGAAATCACTGAATCCAAACGCCACTGAATTTCAGTTCTCAGGCCAAGCTAGCAGCCGTCTCTCAAGTTCATCAAATCATAACCCCCAGACGTCGACTAGTCATGAGTCAACAAGAAACCAAGCTCTTGTTGGAAATGATACACAAGTCATCTTAGATGTGATAAGTCAACTAAGAGAAGAGGTAGCAGAATTGAAGGCATCGTCGTCTCTCACATCTCATTCTCGAGATACTAGCCTGCTACAGCAAATTGACCATTTGGAGGGCATGGCGAACAATTTGGACTCGAACTCGGGCTTTCAGCCGCAGAACACCCAGGGCCAGGCCCAGACGGCACTTGTACATGTGCCCCAACCATGGCCAGGACATCAGGGCGGAGCCCAGCAAGGAGTCCATCAGGGATCTCATACTGCTGCAGTGCCGTATTCCAGCATGCTACAGAACCAACAGTACATTCCTGGGATGTATAACAGCCCTGTTGTAAATGGATCTGTATTCAATGGACCTGCATATAATGCGACTACTTATAATGGAGTCGTCGGTTATAACGGGTATGGCTACAATGGACCTAGCAACAATGGACCTGGCTACAATGGATCTGGTTACAACGGATGTGGTTGCAATGGTCCCGTTTATGGCTCAGTTGGCTATGCTCCGGCTTTCCCTGCCACTCCTGCATATGGCCCCAGTGGTCAGCCAAATATGCAGTTCCCAGCGGTGCCGAGTACAAACCCGGCTGCCCTTGCTGGTCCTGTGAGCTCGGGCAACGTGCCACTCCACCAACAGGCACAGATAGCATTTGGTCCTAAGCCAGTTACCAAACCCCGCGGGCCTCCTCGCATGAATGATCCTAATTTCGTCAAACACCAACAGGATTATGAGCAATACCTAGAGATGAAGCGTTCTAGCGACCCAGAGTTTGCACGGCAATGCAAAGATCGACAAGCACGACGAAATGAACGACAAAGACCCTCGCAGTCGTCTCAAGCATATGTCTAGGCCTTTAGCATATCTCTATCATGACGACTGTCCCGAGAAACGGACATTTGGAAGCTCACTTGGGGGCTGCTAGATGTCAAGAACGAGGGGAAACCCGTTCGGTATTACGAAGAGCAAAGAACTCCTGATGGTCGACTGCACTTATTTCATTTTCCTTGATTCCTTTCTTTTTCTGTTTCCTTTTCCTAGCTTTCTGTTCTTTCCTTTTCTTTTCGGTTTCTTTCTTTTCCTTACGACGATGTTGTGCTCTAGGGCTATGGAGGACGAGATGAGCATGACGTTCCCAGGCTAATACCACGCTGGATTAACTCTACAACTTTATTCATCGGTCTTTGGCACAATCAAAATTTCGACATGGCCTCATCGTCTCAACCATCTGTCTCTCGCCAGCCACAGGCTTTATCATCATTCCATTTTTCGTTTCACGCACACATTTCCTTGAACGAATCGCCACTGGAAACTATTGAGTCTCGCTTATAGCGACTTGAACAATGAGAACCCATTGGAGACATGATACTCCAAAGTTCATTATCCATTGCAAATACCTACTTAAAGCCTAGATCCTACATTGAACCTGTCAATCCAGCATAGCCTAGCGCCAAGTTTCCGAACGCTGCGGTTCATACAGGGGAAGTTAACAGAGTCGTCTTCATTTGACATCTGCATGTTGTTTATTGTGCAAAGGGTGGAAGGGTGGGCACGGAAACTTCATGTGGACCAGTCAAGGTGAGTTACTAACACTTTCCATCAACAATATGCAAGCATTTAACTAATGAATGTTTCGACAGATTGGTCTATTTGGGTCAGTGAGCCTTACTAGGACCAATAGCCAACATAGAATCTTAATAACCCACACCTCCGCGAGTACAGAGAATGACGATATAGCGTGGACAGGTTAGGGATTTCCCGAGGAATCACGATCCAGGATGTCGAGCCGAGGAGCTATTTGAGGAGTTTTATGCAGCCTTGGGATAGGAGACCAGCGTCATTGGTCTTAGCCGAATATGAACGTCCTGCAGCGATACAATTAGACAGAGATTGGCTAAGGCTTGGACTGACGCAGTGGTTTATACTAAAGTACGACAAGTTGACCACATCCTGACAATGAAGCCACTATCGCCGAAGGGTCCCATAATCGCCGACAGTTAGCAAGAAACCAATAGGGGGGGAGCTACCCAAGATCAAATGATATCCGCCGATTAGTTATGACCTATGCAGCTATGGACGACCACGGGCCAATACGTGAGATTCATAATCGTGTTTCCTTAAGTTGGCATTGTCTTCACAGCTACTCACAACGGTTCACTTATGGGAATTTTGAATCAGTTGCACTCCTCGACAATCAAAACTTGACGACTGACACCGACACTGGCATTGACCATCATATGCACGATACCCCAAGAATAACACAGCTGCTTCTCGATCATATCCCAGCTGACAATAACTCGCCCATTATCTCGACATAGATACGTTCCCCGGATGCTTTGGAAAGCAGTGGTTGAGATGTGGTTGACGGCATGCATCAAATAACTCGGACGGGCATAAGCAATAACATATCTACTTGTCTATATGGCAACGCACAACTCCTAGGATAAGTTGTGGCGCTCTTGTTTAGACATAATTAGGTAGATTTGATGCTGCTCTTCCCGTTGCTAATACAGATAAATGCGTTGAGAAATGTTTCGTTATTAAATGGAAGTACGTGATTTTAGCATTTGCCTGTCGTTAATCTTTGCGGCTGAGAGTGATCGACCCTAAAATCTGACGAGTCGGATGGGTAGTATGTATGCTGTAGCAACCAATCACAATTGCACAATCATTCAAGTTACAGGGGTCTTTTAGGTACTCGAGTACTACGTAGTACCTGATTTTAGTACGACACTGCTTATGTAAGTCCACATATGTACCTTGGACATGGGCACCTGGGGCGTTTAAAGCTTATGACGCTCCCCACCAATTCAATTTAGCATTTGAACCTTGAGCTTGTACCTACCCACTAACATTGGATTTTGGCACTAGTACACTTTCACCTTTACATCCTCAAAATCACAACTTCAATTGGAATTCATAGTGAAAACCAACGTCAATCCCAAAATACTCTGCGGGGGCCTATCTCTTACAGAATTTTGGGTGAAGCTGGAGTGAAAGAGAGGGCTATCGGAGGAATAACATGCTTCACTTCTCTTCCCCAGCTTCGTTTGGTTTCTTGGCTGATCGCGAACATCTACGCGTCTTTTCCCACTGGATTTCGTCGCGTTAGCCTACGATACCTCGATCTCCCACCACCGTTAAACCCCCGACTCTCACAAACTCTTCTATTCTGTACCTAAAAAATCATCACCTTTACGATGTCGACTCCAATGCGTCACGGACCCTCCCAACAGGGCCGCACGCCTTCTCAACACCCAGTAGCTGCGCCTACACCTCAAGCCTCGACCCCATTCTCCAACCCACAAACCGCCGCCGCCTTTTCTCCCCACGGTCCCAGATCGTCACCGCAGCAATTTAAGAAATCCCCCGCTACCGGTACAATGATCGGTACCAACACTAGTGCGACGGCCAACTTCGATAGCCCCTCCGTTACCGCTGCATACAACACTTTGGGAATAAACATGAACATTAACGACCTCAATCTGGATAGTATAAGTGTTGGAGGTTTGGTTGCAGCAACGAGACAATCGGACGAGGAAGATCGCAAGAAGAGGATGGAAGCGGTTATAGCCGCTCTTTGGGTGAGTGGTAGCTGGTATTGTTGAGAGTACGAGCAGGAACTAACCCATCCTTGCAGGCTCAGAACAGTGGTCGTGTTAGCAACCAAGGACTCGAGAGGTTGGCTATTCACCTGAATCTAGAGTGCCTTTGGGAAGATGTTAAAGGTGCCGGCGAGAATGCCAAGACTCTGATCATAGCAGGACAGACTATGGCCGTCGAAGTCGGTATCACCAACCACGTCGTACACCAGGCTTCGTTAGTGTACACTGAATCCATGCCGATCCTCGAGAAGCATGCCGACAAAGCATCTGCTATCTTACTGAAGGACCTTTCTCTGGCTCCTGGCCAGAGTCCTCTAACCAAGAGACTGACGCAATTCCGTGCGAATCTCGAACGTCTTGCCACGCTTGACAAACTTAGCGTATCGCCCGGGTTTAATTGCCACGAGGCGATCGCAGGTATATGGGAAAGTTTGGAAAGGCTCCACAGATGGGACGTAGACAAACTCCGAAATGAGGACCGTGCTTTCCTTAACATGCCGGAGGAAAGACTTAGAGTGTTTGCTCTTTGCCTTCGCAACGGATGTCCGCTCATGCATACTCGAGGTCGAATCGGCTTGAGTCTTGACTATTGGAAGGAGAGAAGAAAGCTTACGTCTACTACGGTGGAGACCGATGACGCCAGAACATGGGGCATCCTGATCGAATGCGCACCTGCTGGTGGCATGGTCTATAGCCCGGTACGGGTCTCGGAGAAGTGGATTGGCCCTAATATCGAGAAGTCCGATATTATAGATGCGGATATGATGGGTGCTTCCGTGCCTTTTCTGGACTGGCTTGAGCCGCCTAACACTCTTCTACCATCCTCGGAGGAGGTGAAGACAGAAGGCGGACTGGAGGGTGCTGTAGGATTGTCTGGACCTAAAACACCTGATGTTGTCTTCATGGCAAATTTCGACCCTCCGGTCATTGTTCCTCATGCTGTCGCTATGGAGATTTACAAAATCTCTGCGGCAAATGTATCTCTTACGAACATAACTTTCGATGCACTGATGTTCCCTATTCCTGAAGGAAGCCCTTACGATCCCAGCGAGCCTCGGGAGTTTACCTTCACACAGAGTATCCCCACATTCTCGGACAGCTCTCAGACGGAACCCATTATGAGGGACCATCAAAATAGGTTGTACATATACAAGCCAGTCTACGGTGAGGTCATCAGCCATGTACCATTTGCCCACCCGAAGGACCTAATCACGATGTTGCCGCTGCTACGCCAGTACGCATTCCTGTCCCTGCTTCTTAACAACATGTTCAGGCCGAAAGAAGGAAAGCCAACCGCAGCAGAAGCTGGCAAGGAAGATACCAACAAACCGCTTACGCAGAAAGACGAGTTTGAGCAATTCATGTCTACGACGGAGTCGGACGTTAAGTCGGCCTCAAAGGGCACGCTGAAGGTGGACGTTACCCTGACGGCACACCCCGTGCCACGCCTGCTGCTGGTGTTCCCGTTCAAGGAGGACACGGCAAACATCTTGCTCGAGATCCAGATCGGCGGCAGAGTCGCCATCATCGCCGAGAATATCCTGCAAAAGTTGAACGATCGGGGAACGGACAAGAGAACGGATTGGGCTAACGCGCTGGAGACCCTGGAGGATATCGGCGCTTGGATCGAGCTCATCAAACAGAAACTGGAGGTGTAGCCAACGGTTAACTCTGTGATGGAAAGGGCGTCTATGGACGTACCTTGGGAGTAATATGCGAAGAAACGGGGTCCGTTAATCGGGATACGATTAGGTGTGGAGGTGTTGATAACAATGGACGTGAGGCGCAAGGCGAAAAAAAAAGGAAAAAGAAGTGCGGGTTACGAATGAACGGTTTATACGGCTATGATACCCCGGAGGCCCCTTTGCCTTTATTGCTATGCGTTGGACTATGGGACGGGACATCGCTGGTTTTTTTCTCTTTCGGCGCATCTATCTTCTGCTCGGATAGGATCTGACGTTTGAGTAGGAACCGCATGATATGATAGGTCCCCCATCTGAATAAATGGATCATGAAATGTTGTTTGTCTTGTTATGTGCTCTGTTTTGTGATTTGTTACTGGTGGTTACCGTCGATATGTTGGTCTTCACTAGGTAGGTAGGTGTTTTAAGGTTGTTAACGTGAATAGTAGGTAATATTCGAAAGAAGCTCTATCGGTATTGATAGCACCTGCGTAGATAAAACCTTTACCATCGCCTTTCATGGACGCCATCGGCTTGCTTCTGGCTGTTCAATTTTAGGGGAGCGTACCCCAGATACTAAGTCCATCTTCGTGATGACATGCAATCCCATCTGATAACACATCTACGTATTTTAATACCTAATTAGGTAATTCTTGGTCCTACCTACCTACCGAGAGTATAATATCATAAGTTGACCATAATATTCACACCAATCTTATTGAAACCAACACGTCTTTCCCTTCCAGGACGGTTAGTAAACGAAAAGAAACAGGAAATTTTACTAGATACGGCCGGCATTGGAGGTTTGCTTTGTAGGTAGTCTATCTACCTACCTGGCCAATACCACTGTTTGCAAGACGCTTTCGTGATACACACCGAAAACTACTACGTACGTCCATAACACGTCGTTCCTCAGAAAGAAAATTTTCTTCAAAAACGTCTAGCCGCTTATTTGTGTACAAGGGGCTTGGCTTATAAGAACGGTTGTGGATGGCGACAGGCATTTCCACGCAACATCATCGAATAGATCAATTAACATAATCTCTGTTTCATAGTACACTGTATTAAGGCTTATCTATTGCTCCTGCACCTGCTTCGGCTTCGGTTAATGCTATATCATCCGCCCGGGCCTCTTCTCTTCATTTCGCCCTTCTCAACCTTCTACTCCTTCCTGCTTCCTCTACTTTCCTCTTGGTCTCCCGCTCGACAGGAATCAACCGGAAACAACACAACAGCGACAGCAACAACAACAACAGCAGCAGCAGAAAGCGCACCGCGAACCATCTCCATTCCTCGCCCCTTTCTTCTAAGCACCCGTGATATTATTTGCCTGGTGCTTCCTTTGCTCTCTTTCCTCCCCTTTCCTCCTAATCCCTGGCTTGGAGGGCGTTTGGGAGTTTGGTCGTTGCATCCGTTCCTTGCTTCGTTCGTACACAGGTATCGATAGTGGATATTTGGGGAATAATTATGAAATCAAGATAAAAACCGATGACGCGCTAGAGGGAAGGAAATTTTGTGTCGTGGTCATAGGCTTCAGCTCGGCCGGCCCTTGCCAAAAGCCTGTAATATATTAGTGCTGCTGGCTTTGTCCAAGACGCAGCAATATATCATTCGATCAGCTGTGGATCAGCTACCAGCTACCGTGTTCACGACGGCACCGAGTGTGAAAGCCGAGGATTGCGCCGCTAGGCGCTCTGAGGCGAAGCTAGGAAAGGTAAGCTCTCGGTCTTTTCGTTCTCAGACGCCGATGTCTTGGTTGCTGAACTCTCAACCTTTGAAAGGCCTAGTTTCTCGAGACCAGAAACTGCACTATCGACCTCGCCGAACGAGATGCCCAGGCCGTTCTTCTTCTCATCGTCTTTGGTACCCTCTTCGACCTTCTCGTCGAGGTTCATCAGGGCAGGTGGCCGGTGTCGCATAGCGCGTGCCTTGGTAAGCGAAATCGTCTTTTGCTGGTAGGTTGTTGTCATTGGCTGGGAATCATCACGGTCAATAGTCGCTTTCATCAATGCTGCCATCCAAGTCCGGCCTTGCTGCAGATTTGGAACCGCAAAATAATGAATGGTAGGCTTGGTAAAGTTGACGGCCTTGGAAAGCCCGGCTCGAGGTGGCATAAGCTTGAATATGAACATCGCATCCAGGCCTTTCTCGGCAGGAGAAATGGTAACATTGTCTGCAAGAGTAGGGATGCTGCTATCAGCCGGCATGATCGGCGTGTTGCTGGCACCCGTCAAAGTGGCATGGAGTCCAGTGAGCCGTTCATTGTCAGCTGGGAGCACGCGATGGAACGAAATATCGATGAGGCCCTTCTCTTCAGTGTCGTCTTCCGAGTAATAGTATGCAAGGCGGCGCCCTTTAAGGACGAAGAGCCGCGGTTTCCACGTCGTCATAAGATGCGAGCTCTTCTTTTTCATCCACCCGCTATAGTCTGCGTCCTTGATTGCTTCACGAGGTCCGATTTTTTGTAGCCCACGTAGATAGGCACTAGTTTCTTTCTTCGTCTTCTTCGCACTCTTGCGGCTAGCAGTAGTAGCAGCGGAGTACGGGCTTTTCCCCGTGTCTGGGGAATCGATCTCGAAACTGGGGCCGCCCGAGGGTGTACTCGATCCCGTCCTTGATGGTGATCTCATAGGAGAATCCTGGGCGGAGGAATTGGTAGGTGATCCGAGTTTCGAGTTACCAATCATGGCATCTGAGATCGCCCTCAAACCACCAAATTTACTTCCAGCAGTCGACATCCAATCGCCATGAACGGCCTGCCGATTAGGCGGCGAAGTCGGAGAGTTGCCATCGAGTTTAGTGACAGTTGGACTAGGGCCATCCTTAGCAGGGGGGATAGGTCGTATAGACTCGGTAGTATTTGTAGAAGCTGTCCGTCGATGATCGCCTGTTACGCCGTAATACATCTGCGCGGCGCTCGGGGGCGTCGTGTCCCGAGTAGAATCTATACTTCCGAACCTAGAGCGCCTCGCGATAGCTGTCGCACTCCTTACCCGTTGCTGTTCCGTATAGCTTGATTTATGCGAATGCGAGGCGGTACTATCGCGCTTCTTAAGCACGTTACGTTTCCGACCATCGATCTCGGTTCCGGAGAAATAACCACGGTCGAGTTCAGAAGTTTGATTTTGAGCGGTGTCTGTGTCAGAAGTATTTGCGATATCATGTAATCCAGCAGATGACAAGGGACGTTGAGGGAAAGGGGTGGAGGCTGAACCCATAGTCCAGTTACGGTCGAATGAGGGTTGCTTTTTGTGGGTATGGTCGGCGGCGATTGGAAACGTTCCTGAGGTCGAAAGCTTTGGGGTCCCAGCGCTAACCGGCGGGGCAAGTCTAAAGTCGGTTGACGAATGTCGCCGCGAATGATGAAGCTCCCGGACGGAAGCTGCTGAAGGTCTCTTGTGGTGCGACCCTCTCGTCGACGGTCTGTCTTGTGACCCCTTAGGCGAAATAGGAGCCATCTGCTCTAATTTTATCGTCTGTGATAGCCGCTTTCCCTGAACCGAACCTGGCCGACTATCCGTTGGAACAAATCTCTGAGAGTTTGTCAAAGTATTTGTCCGGCTCCGAAACCCTCCTCCTACCTTCATATCCTCCGAGCCCGCCTCGCTCCCATACGTCTGTGTGGTTCGTCTCGTGGGAACGACACCATTCACTTCATCTTGCAGTGCTTTAATCTTTTGCCACGTCTTCAATCTTCGTCCTACGGAACCTAGGTCAAATGCCTTTAGGAATAGCGACGATTGATCTAGTCCGAGAAGAACTTCACCGAATATGTCCTGATCTCGGAAAACTTCACAATGTTTCTTCTCTACGCCAGCTGTGAACAGATACTCGGCTACATCATCGGCCGTCCAAGCTTCAACTTCCGACCGAGTATGCGATACTTCCTCTTCCTCGTCAGTTTCTTCGCCCTGGATGTATGATAATCGATCTGGCATATGGGAGCTGTACTCGCTTCCGGAATCTGTTGCATGGTGGAGTGCACCATTCTGTGGAGTCGAGTGGAGGTCGGTGATATGCTCGTCAATGACGGTCAGAGTCTCGTGCAGGACAGGATTTTCCTGGCTCTGGCGGGAACTATGACGAGTTAGTTCGTTACCACTGCCGTAAGCGAAACTCTTGCTCGAAAGAGGTGCTGTAGAAGTCGGGGTCGTCTTCCCCTCAAGTTTCGCAGAATTCAACGGCAAGGTTAATGGGTTGGTCTCGGGCGGAGCGGAAGAAGTAAGCTGTGGAGTCGAGGTGCGGTCCTGGGTCGACGTGGTCGATGACGGTTGACTGGCCACGGATGGTGTTCCATTGGTAGATGACAACGAATTTGTGATCGGCTTGGGAGCGACGGACGAAGCTGCAACACCTTTGGGCGCCGGTCGTGTGTATACTACAAAGTACCGATCAATCTCAAAGCTTCTCCTCTAGGTTCTGGTACCTTTGCACCGGCAACATTACTTACCCTCAGGAAACAGGCCGCTATTTCCATTTACCATATGACGACCCAAGTACCACCCATCGCCGAATTCGTCGTCACGCTCGATTAATTCTACACGGTCGCCCTTCGCCAAACTTAATTCGTCGGAGCTGCGAGCCTGAAAATCATCTAGAGATTTACTTAGTCAAATGGAATTCGATATTGCGCAAACGATGCGGCTTGATGTAGATATACATATACAGACACATATACAGATACGCTTTGTGGCCAGATTACGAACCCGGGTGTAACGGAGGGTGAAAAGAGGGCAAACTTACGAATAACCACGAGGATGTCCCCGGAGTCTGGCTTCGCCATGATAATTACGGCGAGATGTCGCGTGTTGAAGAAATTGGGGTCGGATCAGATCGAAATCGCGAATGTATTCAACGGCGACGGTGAAAACGCCGACAAGCGAAAGGTGGCGATCCTTAATCGCTTGCTGCCTCCTAATCCGAACGGACTCTGCGGGCTGTGGAGTAGTCTATCGGGGATCTGACTCGATCAATGTCTCAATGGTGACGAAATGCATCGATAAATAGCCATCGATATAGAAAACTACTACGAAATGATATATATACGCAGAGGAGAGAATCAAAGATTCGAGGCAGTGTCGTCGTTATCGGCTTGTTTCCGGGCTGTTGGTATACGTCGCCTCTCTGTCGTCGTACTTCAGCTTTCCGGTTGGGAGCTGGAGTTTTGGCTAGAACGTGGAGAGCGTCGTCCTATTGGATGTTCCCTCCTTTTTAGAGACCCCTTTGGGGACCTTTTACCGTTACCGTCCTGGTAGCACCAAATTCGAGAACACAAGAAAACCCGGGTAGGGGAGCGGACGAGACAAGGCAACAGGCCGACGTCGTTTTACTAAAGTTCATACGAGTGAAGAGATTAAAGAATGTGATTAATATGTGCCGCGAATAGAAAAACCCAGACGATTATCTAGGCAAAGACAAACGATATCGTCGTCAACTCTTTACAGGATGGAATCGAAAAATATGGATTTGGCCGAGGCGTCCGTAGGATAGGCAGGATAGGCAGGATAGGGACCTTCAAGATTGGGAATGCGATTGAATGCGGATGGATGGGATGAGGAAAGCCAGCCGCTAGGCTTGATGGGTATGAAGAACGGATCACGGAGTGAGCTGGGAGGGGTCTTGACTGATCTTTACTGGTCATTTTTACCTTTCATCGACCAGGGTTCCTGTTCATCCTTATCCGTCTAACCTAAATTGGAGAGGAGTAGGGAGAAAAAAAAAGTATTGCACAGGGAAGGAGGGATTTACCGTTATGCTTTGATTGGCCCGCTCCATTAAAATACGTGCGCCACTGCTTGCCAAATACCTCCTTAGCAGTACAGAATTGTTAGCAGTGGATTAAGTTGTCCGAAAACATAGTTCGATTCCTAGCGCCAAGAATTTGGACAGTAGTTTCCACGATTTGCTCGATCGGCCCAGCTTTATAATTGCAGTTCCGCTCTTGAAAGATTCTTCCTCCTCTGCATTAGGTAGGTAGGCAATTACCATATCACGTGCACCTTACTTGATTCGGTACTCGATTTCGTGAGATGGGATGCTTTCATATGTACATGTGCACACGTGTATAGTACATAGATCCCGATCGTGTCCATTAAACGTCAGGTACCAGGAACAACAATACATGGATATGTGTATAGTTGCAACTCGAAATGATTGGTAGGTGTTGGGAACCTTTAGATCTTGTTTCGTATAGGTTTGCGTTGACTTCCTAGCTCATGTATCGTGAATATCTTTAACTATCAATCTAGAGACATTTGGATACAAGTCAATGGCCCTATTTTCCAAATTGCCGCGTTATACTCCAACAGAGAAGTGTTTATTCACAATGCCGAAGCAGGGACAAGAGAAGAACTTACGTGGACGGATAGTATTTGATAGAGTTGCCGTGGGCCGGCCTTACGAGATATCATACATGATGCAATTATACACACATGGCATATCACATTTGATTGGGTGTTCGTTAGTAATAATAGGTTATAGTACATTCCGATATTTTGTCGAGCAATATAAGCAATATCTTAATAATTAGGCACCTGTTACGCATTTCAGTGTTTTTGTTGGGTTCAATCATTCCAAGTTGTGTAAAACTTAAGCAATCCAGCAAAGTAACTAAATATTCAAGAGTTAGCCGAGACAGAAGATGAGGCTCTACGCAAGGGGATGGGTAGGGACCTAGGATCTCAAAGCACCACTGTTCAGTTTGCACTCATATATCGATGGCGCTATGCAGATAAGTAGGATACTCCTTAATAGAGGTGGGGGAGGTGATACAACTAGCAAATTTCAACACGTAACATCCAATTAGATTGCGTTCTTGTCCCTTCCAAATCAACATCATAGATCTAAGGTTGATCCGTCTCGGGCTGGACCCGGCTGGCATACCCATGCAGGCGCACTAGCTTATCAGGCTGCTGGTAGGTAACGGGGTGAATTTCCACGTCTATCTATAATCATCCACCGCCTGCTCGCCTCTTGCTGACTACATACTTCTCAAGCCTCGTCGCATTCCTGTGAATCCTATACGTCAAAACCACGCATATTCTTTTTCTCAAAGAATCGCCGTCTCAGCTCTATCCTTTATCGGCCTTCCCACAAGCTAACACTTCGAAAGTTACTTATGGTGCGTTTGTATTAAAGGCTGGATAATCATGTTTCTTGCCTTTGTCTTATAACTATTATCTACCCTCTCATAGCGCTAGAATAAATTGATCCATCAGATATAATTACTTTTTTATTAACATGATAAATCCGATCATAGTCTTCCGCACTTCGACGGTCACGATACAAAAGGGGGCAAGAAGGCCGAGTCATAACGAAAATAATTCTAGAAATCACCACTAATGACTGATGGCGCCGACGGGAGGACATCGATCTTCGACGACGGGAATAAATGCAAATTCGAACGGGAACGTGAATGTAAACGGGAATCCGGTGTCAGATTACCAGGTTGCAGCATCTAATTCTACGCTGAATACCTGGGTTGGTGGTCGTCGACAACCGTCATGGCTCACCAACGCAAAACCTGTGAAGCCTACTCCTCGTCCTCCACAACCACCGCCCAAACAACCTATCACTACTACCCAGGAACCCACGCGCCCCGTTCCATCTACCGTCGATACGACAAGCCAGGCAGGAATCGTCCCAGTGCCGAAAACCTCGACAACTTCCAGTTCTGCCTCTACTGCTGCGAGAGCTACCACCCATACAGCCCCACCGCGTAGACCTCACCCTGTTCCCTCACCTCGACACCCACCCACCCAAACTCCGACTCAAACCCAAACAACAACTACACTCCCGTAAGTAAACGCCTGCAAGTATTGCCCGGTCAAAATACTTTCTCTACCTTTTTATCGTCCTTTTATTCACACCACCCACGCACGGTTATTCCACACTTTAACTTCATGTTGTCTACTCCGTACTCGGTCAGTTACTAAGCAGTGCATCTCATACGACTCAATAGAACTTCGACCTCAGCCGCACATACCATACTTCCGTCTCCCGCACCTAGTGACGAACCCAGCCCTGACGTCCCCGAGTTACAAGTCGTATCCATTGCCCCCACTACAAAGGCTCATTTCGTACTTGATACTACTGCAGATAATACTCGTGGAGAGCAACCAGATATTCGAGTTTCTACTGTTCGCGCACGGACGAACTCGCGACAAAGCAAGGACATTTCACCAACACCAAGAACATCTACTCCTACGAATACGGCTCTTCACACACCCCCAACACCAAATATACCCACGGTACCCACGGTACCTTCCGTACCTTTGGTCAACGCTCAGATGGCGCCTAAGACGGTGCCACCTCTAGAGCAGCCAGAGCTACCTCCTGCAAAAAGACGATGTACCCAGTATGTATAATGCCGTCCACGGATATCGCCCTATTATAATGATGCCTACGTCTCCCCAGGTACCTCCGGTAATAAATATAATAATAGCTAATATTATTCACACAACTAGGCAACCTAAGCAACAATTTCTCGAGTCTATTGGTGCCTTTCGAATTCTACAGGACCGTATACGTAGTGTCGGCGGAGAATCGGGCCTTGATATTCAGATCGAGCGGCCTCGATATCAACTTCTAACTGAAGCTTGTAAAGATGGAGACTTGTTCTTCGTCGCAATGCACCAACTCTTCTGTGTCTGGGCCATAGACCAGTCTAGTGTTCATCGATTATGTCATCCAGGGCTCCACAACCCAGCGCTTGTCGACAACGCGTTTGGTGTTATGGGTACACTTCTCAAGAGCAACTCAAAGCTTCGGCTGGAACATGTTCAATGGTTTGCAAGTTTCCCGGACCGTCTTTCCAATATGCAGAACGTCCCGGTTTATCAGCAGACTATCATGCGTGTGCTTGATTTTCTTACGCGCGTAGCCGAAAAGTGGGTGGCGGTACATCGCGAACACCAAGTACAGGGTTATCCGCTTCTCGTGAGCGAACTAATATATGACCTTTTCGTACTCTCGCCGATCCTCCAGGCCATTATGTTTAGAGCATCACGAAGAAGCCTAGGAATCGCAGATGGGTGTGTCGCGGCGCAAATGGAAGCTATTTTCAAGAAGGACCAAACAAACCATCTCAGTGCTGATGGGACCCTTAGAGATCGACCCGCTCACTCACTGTATACCGAGTACAATAGATCACTTATTGCAAAGTACAAGACCTTCTTTGCGCAAAATCAAGCTCAGGGCCAACCGCCGCAAGTGATCCCTCAAGGTCAACAATCCGTTCATTACGGAACAATGAACTATCAACAACAACAGCAACCAGGCTTGGCGTATCCGCCTCATATAAATCAGCACGTAGACCCTCGGAGGTATTCCCAATCTCCAGCTAATACGCCAACAAGTGTCCACAGTCCAGCTTTTTTCCAGTCACCGGTTCCGGCTCATTTCACTCTGTCTTCGAATCAAAATATGCCCGTCGGTACCAGCCCTCAGACTCAATGGAGCCCCCCAGCTCCGCAAGCGGAAGTTATGTCTTCGCACTCACCACATCCGATGTACCATCAGGCGCAGGCGCAATTTATTCAACAAGCTTCCCCTGGAGTCCCGTCAACTTCAGCTATGTCTAACCCGGCGATCTCGCATGGTAATTCCTACAATACCGCTCAACCCATTGAGCAGTGGCAACAGGGTTATCAGAACTTCAATGGTCAGCATATGGTATTTCAAGGACAGGTCCCGACTTCCACGGGTCAAGTTATAGCTGATGGTTCTGTTCTTGCTCGTCATAACGCAACAAATGCGCAGCAACCAGCGATGTACCTGGCGAACCAGGCTCAAGTTCCTACTCGCCCTCAACAATCTACTCGTTCTCAGCCTCGCCAGAAGAATGGACTAACCCGCCAAGACCGACTAATCCCACCACGCGACATGCGAATTGGCGTGCAAGATTACCCCCATAGCCCTTATGACAGGATATCTGTGGAGGGATCTCTTCATCAAGCCCACCTTAGGAGTCCGAAGCGAATACCTCTAGTGTTCGACCCGAAGAAACCAGAGAGATTTTACCAGGCCATCAAGTCGCTCGTCCTTCCACCAACGGTCGTCACACCCCAGAGCTACGTTCAAGATTTGCAATTTGCCGTACCAGAGCCCGACTATGCTAGAATTACTCGGGAAGAAACGAGGCCCGGTGAGTTCTTGCCTGTGAGCGTATTTTCTAATGGATCTCTGCGCTATCGGGTACGATGCTGTTACAGGGACGCTTCGGCTCCTCCCTTTACCGAGAGCGCATGGGTTACCACCGACACCATTTGGCCGGAGCATATCTTCATGGAGTTAAATTCCCAAATATTAGGGATTATGCGAAAAGCGCATCACTCCAAGGACCTACCTGCCGAAGCTTCCCAGCATGTTGTTACAGGTAACAACGTCCTTCGTCTTACTATTCCTAAAGACACCCCTATACCAAGTGGCAAGAAGCTGTTCATTGCTGTCGAACAGGTAGAAGTTCTCAGCCACAGTGCCGTGCTCAACATGGTGAAGTCGCAAGGTAATCAGCCGTCGAGCATAACAAGAGATATTATCAAAAACCGTCTTTCAAGCAAGTATGCGGACGATGATGAGCTTGCGATGGTTGATGATTTATCTATTGATGTCACGGATCCCTTTTCCCGGGCGATATTTAACATCCCTGTTCGTGGAAATATGTGCGCCCATCTTGAGTGTTTCGATCTCGAAACTTGGCTCAACACGCGACTTGGTAAGAAGTCGCCCTGTCAGTGTGGCCACCTTTCAGGGTGTGCAAACTGTCCTCGTGAGCCCTCGTTTGTGGACAAGTGGAGATGCCCCTTGTGCGACGGTGACGCGAGGCCTTTTAGCCTCCGGATTGATGGGTTTCTTGTAGAAGTACGCTCGAAGTTAGAGCAAGAGAATAAGCTCGGGACGAAGTCTATTCTTGTCGACCAAGACGGAAACTGGAAGCCGAAAGAAGAGCCGCATGATGATGACAGCGAAGATGAGAGCGACGAAGGTGGCGGCGGTCCGAAGGGGAAGCAGCCATCACGTTCATCCACCACGACTTTACAGCGGGATAGACCCCCTATCGAAGTCATCGAGCTCGATGACGATTAGTATTACAGCCAGGTTCTATCGTCAAGAGGTCACACATACGAGTTGTAGGCCAGGTGTTGGGTCGTCGGGCCCGTTTCACATATTGTACCCATATCGCGGGTTCTAATGGGTTCAGAGTGTTATTGCTTTGTAATTTTTTTCCCTTTTCTTTCATTGTCTACTGGTGTTCTCAACAGCAGTCGTTAGCAAGAGTCGATACCCCCTCAGCATGCCCTTATCTGTTTCAGCAGGAGTTTTTGACCAACGGGTGACGATTGCGAACCGTTCTGATTTTAGTCATACTGTCTACGCTTCTCGGGCAGACGCATCGCAAAATCGATTCTTCGTAAGGGGATACACATCAGCATGTCGGATTCATCGCGCATAGGCGCGCGAAATGGAAATAGGTTGGGAGGGATATGGGCGGGAAAAAAAGGAGTAAGAGTGTGCATTTGCAAATACGGAAAGCCTTCGGAGTATTTACTGAGTTCCCCTTGCGCGTTGGATTCATTTCTCACCGCCGCATCCAACAAACACCACAGAATTCACATACCGCGGTACATATCACATACGACGTACCTAAGTCGATCTCGTCCAGACAGCCAATTTTTTCAGGGGGTCTTCAGCAGCAACGTCAAGTACCTACGGCCCCCATCACCTGTCAAGATGGACGATAGACCCGTTCTAGGTGGTACATAATCTACTCGTCGCGGAAATATCTTGCTAGTTGCGTCACGTTTCGCCAGCAGCAATGACCAAATCCCGTGCGGGTTGCATGATCATGATAGGAATATAAAATCGTCTGTTTTCTAAACCCATGATACTCTTTTGCTATGCTTTCATATGTGGTGATGCTAAATAAGACGTGTCTTTGTAAGGTGTGATATGCCAAATGTTATTCCTATCGCGCCATGCGTAGGACGATTAGATGGGGAAATAAGGATTTTGCGCCAACTCCCAGCTCTTTTTGCCCAATATTGCGGTAATAGATATAGCTACCTAGGTACTCAAGCTCTATGAACCACCGGCAAAAAAAAAAAATTTCTCTAATGGACCAAGTCTCTAGCAGATCGAAATCGGAACTATAGCAACTTCGTTGTTTAGTCCTCTAATAGACGAGATCTAGAGTAACTCGTGTAACCCAACGAAGCCTCCTTTAACTGCTCAGAGTTGAAAAGCTACTGGGCAGAATACTTGTTAGGCGCTGCCTTCTAAACATGTAAATAAATATCAACGCTTCTTTGATAGTATTGGCAACCTACCTACCTACCTACGCCAACCCTCCCAAGAAAAGCAAAAACCCCCGCTATGATGATAATAGACGTATGTATGTAAATGTAGATATGGATCTGTACGCACGTATGTACACGACACGATAGAAAATGACAAGTAAGGGTAGTAGCAGCAGTGCGATGGTGATATAAGCGAACGGCTTCCAAGACGATTTTTTAAAGTGAAACAAGATTTTTTCTATTGATTTCGACAGGACCTGAACCAAGACTCCTCTGCGCCGTCCAAGAAGAATGCTCGCCTCCCTTTGAAACCGGTCGACCGGGTCGGACCGCTCTAGCTCCTGCTTGCCGACTGGCTTTTGCTCCCCCCGGCACCGCCCCTCTTCGCTGTAGTCTTCTCGTCCATCCCCGACTCTTCGTCTTCATCGTCGTCCTCCTCTTCGTCGTCGCTTACCGAGCCTGAGCCCGAGTTATACCGCTTTTCCCTATCCGCAACTTTAGGACGAGCGACGTGCAGCTCGTCCAGCTCGCTCTCGTCGAAGTCGCCCGCCTCTAGGTCGCGGGTAGTATTGCCGGTCCTCCTGCGGAAGCCCTCAAGCCCGGTGCCGCGTCCACGCTCAGATATGACAGGCAGGCCCGAGTATCCCGCGGTGCGTCGGCGGCCGCGCCAGATAATGTAGCCCCAGACCGCAGCGCCGACAATAACGATGGCCAGGACCATTTCGCCCGACTTCTGGTATGCGCCCCATTTGGCGTCACTAACCTCCTTATCCTTGGCCGCCTGATCCGAGTCGGTATGGTTGGTGGCGCCACCCACTGTCGTGTCCGGCAACTTCTCGCCATCCAAGAAGCTCTTAGACGGCGTGCCGCCGATGCTGCTGATGTCGACGCCCATAAACCGGTCCAGCATGTCGCGCGTTCGGCGTGGGTAATCGAAGGGTACCATGTGGGAAGAATTATAGAACAGCACGTAGGTTAAGTTACGAGCCTCCTGCCAGAAACCCGCTGCTTCTCCTTCGAACGTCCAGTCGCGGCGCGGCGCCCAGTTACCAGGGGACAGCTCGAAGCCCTTTCCACCGTTCCACTGCATATTGCTGATGAAAGATTCCGTGCCAAGATGATTGCATATTAGATCCTCGGCGCCCGAGAAGAGAAGTATATTTACTTCCTTCAGAAGGTCTGGCAGGTAATCGACGGATGGTTTCGAGGTCTGGGTATTAAACGCATTCCCAACAGCTCCGTTGCACTCAGTCCACCCGGTAACCTTGTTAGAGTTGATATGTAGAGCGTTCACTACTTCCTGCTTTCGAAGGTATGGGGTAACAGACGTTAAGTCTGGAGGCCAGTTCATACCGCAGCTCGGGTACACATCCTTCAGCCTGACGTCGTACATATTAAAGCATTCTTGTTCGCCTTTAGAGTTCCTAGTCTGGGTTAGACGGAGGATATCTTGAAGCACACGTTCACAAGCAGTATTGTCCACGCGATCACCCGATGTAGCCAAATCCTTACGACACACACGATATTGAGCCTCGAGCTTCCCCGATATATCGGAACCTTTAGCAACAATGCCCTTCTCGTAGGCAAACGAAAGGTACGCTTCGTACTGCTCTGGCGGGGAGACCCAGCCGTTTCCGATGAGTAAACCTTTGAGGTTCCACGCAATTTGAGTTTGAGGTTGTTTATTTCGTTCGAGTATTGCTTTAGCGATGTAGGGGATGTGCTGTCCAGCAAATGATTCGCCTGCGATGTAAATCTAAAAAGACTGGGTTAACACGTTGCAACAGCCGCTAGTATTTTAACTTCTCACATCGTCGTGTTCATATTCCGGGAATAGCTTATACCATTTCTCGAGGAAAGTAACAAACTGGTTGGCCATTTCATCCAGTTCGTGGACGTAGCTGTCGGTGTTAACATAACTAAATCCGGTTCCAACAGGGTTATCGACGAAAAGCAAGTTCGCAAACTCGTTCCAGCTCCCATTGTTGTACTCCAGAGTATTCTCATCCTTCAGACGATAGGGGCCGATCTCCATTAATGCGCCGTCCTCGGAACTGCAGCCGGGCCCTCCATTTAACCAGATGACGGTCCGTTGCCGGTTCGCAATGTGCTGATTCTGAAAGTGCCAGAAGAAGAGGTTCCCGTTGTGTTCTGGCGTGATCTCGATGTGTCTATATCGAGAGATTGGAAGTTAGTAAGCCAGACCGGTTGTTGTGAAGGCTGAAACGCCAAAGGACGTTTATGGGTTTTTGCTCACCCAGCATGCATCTTAATTGAATCTCCTTTCGGAGCTCCCGGTAAAGAGTGAACATAGTAGTCGCTAGCACTCAGATCAGCGTTGGCCATCGACATCCAGCTAGCCAGGCCAAGTGCGGCGATGACGACCCGCGCCGAGCTCCTGAACGAAGCTGGAGGCATAACTGCAACACCGGAAAGGAGGAATCTTGGAGGACCCGGTTATGTCACTAATGCTAATTTCCTATACATCCATCGGATAATAGAAGGGTTTAAAGACTGAATGCTCAATCCAGGGGGTTATTAAGGGAGAGTCGTTAACTAAAAATATTGAAAGTTGAAAGAAGAACTGGTAGGTATTGAGGCAAGCTAATTGGAGGGTTGAGGAAGCGACGAAGGTGGCCTCTGTACTTCTTAGTGAAGCAGGTACCAATCGAAATCCAAGACAGGCTAATATGGGTCATTGCGGCAGTGGCAGTTGCGGCAGCCCAGGTGGTTCTTGCATGAATGCAGGTGAGCTTACGTTATTCTGGGGCCATTGTAGCCAATTAAGTTCATGATAAAGTTGCAGGCAAAAATAGCTGACGACATTAACATTTTATCTTATACCTATTGCGAATCACCTCGCTAGAAGAATACATAACATCTTACTATCACATTTAAGCACACGATCTTATTCCTTACCTACTTTTTCTTACGTCTTTTTAGAGTGGATGAACGGAAGGTAAGGTTTGTTTAAGCCAACCACGCTAGAGTCGATTTACGTAGACATTCATCTTGTCTCACACTTATATAATACATCAATCAAAAGTACAAGTTTTACGACATTCATCTTACACTGGGATCAGAACAGCATTGCAATTATACAAAGTCTCGGTTGACTTCGGATTTCAACCTGGAGAGCAGCAACAGCAAAACACTATTCACTTTAAGATGTGAAAGAACTGATAACGCCCTCAGGAACTCCACAACGCGAAGGAATAAGGTTTCGGCCTCGGGCATCACAACACATCTCGGGAAGCAATTCTCACACGTGTCATCCGAACAAGCCACAATGTTAGAATCACCTTCTGGACCAATTCTCGCCCACGCAGGAACCGGATAGCAGGGTTTTCGATAGTCGCAAGCCAAAGTTGTATGATTTCCTTCAACGCCTTGCCCTTGTTCTACGGATATGAGGTCAGGGTATATTCCTATGCATGCCGCACAATACCAATGCCCCGTCAGATGCAAGACACGAAAGGTTGATTTGAACCCGGATTATGCACCACCCTTGATGCCCATTTCCAAATCAACGAAAAGTGCGATGGGCCTATGCGGCACTCGTTATATTATTAAGGCACCCTTCTACCAAAGACAGCTTGTTTCGTTTGCTTGGAGGATGATGCTAAGGAAGGTAACGGCATCCTGTTGTGATGGATGTCTATCCCGTCTGGCGAAAAAGGGCCAATAAATCGGTGAGCCGAGTAGATGTCACCGAGTACGCCTGAGAGCGAGGCCCTCGTGACCCTTATTCCCGAATACCGGAATTATATGCATATTCGTTTCCTATTTCTGAGGCATATACTATGATAAAGTCAGGGGCCACGGAACAAGTTGAGCGCCAGGACGGCATTAATACCTGGAGCGGACCAACAAGGTGAACCATCAGCCCGATGACCCAGACGGATCTACTGGCCTCTAACCTCCTCAACTTCCCTCCGACAAGCAGGGATCTTCATTGTTCGCTGAGGGGTAGAGGCTAGGTACCGTGGCACGTCTGCCCATCATCATTGCCACGGAGCGCGGGCAATGTAATTCACCATCCCGTTCAAAGCGTTATCGCCCTCTTCGTCGGTTATGAGCTCTGCATCCTGCAGCGTCGTCAAGACATCCCCAACCCAACTCTGACACGTCCAATCCGACTCGGTATTATTCACTTGGGAGCCCAAAATTGCGTCGCGTAGTCTCATATCAAGTTCCGAACTGGTCTCAACTGTCGCGACCGCTAGTCGTCGGTAGAAATGCAGCCTGGTTCGGGGATGAGGTTGGTTCCACACCTCTTCTACGGTAAAGTTTGGGTGTTGACCTTTGATTCGGATGGTGAGGTTTTTGCTCTCGTTCTCGTCAAAGACGATATATAACTCGGTGACTCGGGTGCTCTGGATATCGCGAGGGTAACCCCTGAAGATCAAAATCCAGAGAGTCTGGGAGTGGCCGCCATCGTCCTGCCTGTTGTGATCATCGCCGTCTTGCTGGATTTGCTGATTTTTGTCTTTGCCATTATTTCCTCCCCCGTGTCCGGCTGTGCTTGAAACGACACCCATTGGAGCCTCGAGCATTAGAGGAGTACTAGAACCACCCGGATGAGCCCTAAGGTCCGGAGGTTCTCTTCGACACTTACGAAGACCAGCGAGTCTATCTTTGTTTCTTAAGGGGTCAAACCATGTTCTAGGTCGAACATGACAATGGACGATCAACCTTTGTTGCGGGTAGGTTTGATTATCGCAACGCGAACGGGGTGGCGGCTTTGTCTGGTCGTTATCGATGGGAGGCTTTCAAGGAGAACGGAAAACTAGCCCACCCCCAAAATGGATATGTGGGTGGTGGCCTTACAGAAACGCCCACTCTGGCACTGCCTTAGGTACCGTACGGTACAGAAGACAAGCAGCCAGCAGCCCATCTTACATACAGAACCCCGAGCTCGCAACTAACCCTGGTTACAGATGGCAATCACACCGCAAAGTATTCTCCGATGTACAGAAAATCGTCTAACTACACAGATCAAAGCGATATATGCACTCGATCACTACCACTTAGCACATTCAGGTCCCCTCTCGAGCCCTCGAGTCCACTAATTAGTACACTTGCAGACACCGAAGTTTGCCTTGTACAGAAGTCTACCGATAGACACGCCAAAGGAACGGTGGAGTCTATTACCCAGACATAGAGCAGGTAATTTGTAACCCCGTTTTCTCTTCTAGACAAGTTGCAGCCCATCCACTAGAATGGCTTGCATGGATTATGCAGCCAGACCCACAGAGCGTTCTAGACCCACGAGTGTGAGCGTTTCGGGTGAATGAGGTGACAAGCGGGAAAGGATTGTAAGACAGCGAGCGCTATACGATTTCGCGCTTCTTCCGACAGTGGGCACTATTCTACCTAAAGATCTACCAATCTTTTTTTTTTCTGCAATTAGCAGTCTAGAGGATATAATTATCCCCATTTTAGCTTGCCTAATCTCATCCGAAACGTCTAACTTTTAGTAGGTGATGAGGCCGCCCAATATTCGACGCGAAAAGGAAGATGCCGCGGAGGCGTACTCGCACATCATGTCTACTATAGTACCTACCTATGGATGTACTTTCGCAATCCAACTTTGGGCCTAATAGGAAAATTGGATGTAAGCTGTCGATCGCTCATACGATTTGATCTCACATTCCTGCAATTGGCCGATTGAGTACAATGAGCCCGACTACCATATTTATCTTTTGACTTTCCAAATAGTTCATCAAATGATACAATAATCCTTTAAAGTAAGTATTTCGACGTCTTTTATTCTTATTTTTATACATTCGTAACCCAATGCTGATGAGTTGAACGTTGTCAGTACCATGAAGAATTAAATAACGCCGAGTACGACCGTCGGACTCTCATATAACCATTGGGCAAGTCAAATCAAATCATAGGGGTCACCCTTTTTATTAACAATGGGAAGATAAATCAGCGTTTCCCATCATAGCAAGTCATTTGAGCGCGACCAGGAAATCCCCCATTCAGGTGAGATGAAAGAGTGTACCGCCCTTCTGCAGGCTTCTCTGCTTCCCTGTGATATATTGCTATGTATATGCATAGCACCTGATGTGTGCGTTTCATTGAAGTCGACAAATTCCCAATCATCGGCGATCTCGCTACTCCTACACCTAGGCCGATCGAAGATGCTCGGCTGCAGCAACTGCTACAATATGTACTTGTACCTACCGGGGTAAATAATCGGCGAATCTCGTGACGGTACTCCCACCTTGCTCGTGCCGGCTCACCTTAAGAGCCTCTTAAACAACACGCTCGGATTAGGCACCCAGGCACATGTTGTCTAAGTTAGTATTAGAGGAATACCTCGCGCTATCATGGCCCGGACATGTGTGGGTGACTAACTAGGTAGGTAAGTACTTCCCGAGAATGACTGAATACGACGTGCCTTGAGCACGATTACTGTGCCCGAAGCCCATTTGACTTTGAGGATTTCTCACACGACGACCTAGCCAGTTTACCGTCTATTGCGACCAGGTATAGTTCACCAAAGTCACGTCAACTGGTGATTAGGTATGCGCCGCATACCGTCAAGCCGGCGGTTGATGGGTTCCTAATATCGGCACGGTGCGGACCTTCCCGGGACCACACCCCTGGTGAGTCATGCCGAAGGCTATCGTAGGGTTTACGGGTATTGAAATTTGCATCGGGTAGCTTTGTAGAATGAAAGGACTGGTTTTTGGCTTGATTGCATGAATTTCCTTGACTAACTAACGTTATTCAAAAACTACCTATCCAGGTTATTAGGTGGCGGTTATATTGTACGCGCGTAAGCAGAAGTCTTCCGAGGCACTCACTTGATGTTAATTTATCACATCTCAGAACGCACTGACAGTTTAATATGTATGCTACAGCCCTCCCTATTATACTCGATGCTCGGGAGAAGCTGGAAATACTCGAGTCAGACATTGACGAACACCGAGCGCCGAGTGTTTAGCCTACTTAATAAGGAATCCACGAGCTCAAGAGACACACTTGACTCGCGTGGCTGAGATTCACCTAAGTAGCAATCATTGTTCGGAATTACACATAAATCCTCACCATCATCTCAGAGCATCACGTTGATTGATCAACCAGAAACCTCCTCACGCTCATCATACGACCAAATTCACTTCTCCTTGTATCAGATGCTCTTACAATCGGCCGTCTTCAAATTTGGTTCCTATCTCCCAGTCCTCTGGTAAGCTGATTTTCTCATATGTTTAGATGAAGTCATATCCATGATAGCAGTTATAGTAGACACGTGGCCCTGCATAGAAACGATGGAGATGAATTGCCAGCAAATTCGTTGTACAAGGCTAGGGATGTTTCAAAGAACTCCCTCTGTACTGGTGACTGGTCACATTCCAGCCATCCGTATTATGGGAGCTGGCGCGTGCAAAAACCAGCTACCGAACCCGATTCAGCAAGTACTATCGATTTTATATCGATTTATCTTCAGGGGTCCATTTAACTCCGGCAGCTCAGAGTATCATGAAGCGCTTCGCAGTTCACCCACTCTCCTAGGTAGTTTGGTCGAGAGCCATGCTACCTACCAGATGGAACCCTAGGAGCACGTGAACGTCACATAGCTCCCCCTGAAGCTACAAAATTCATCAGCATACCTATCAGGCGAGCACAACAACGTATCAACCTAACCTAAATGGTAGGGAACGCAGCCATCACTGTCGCCCCCTAAAGACATGCTCAAAGTATCTCCATACTTCTGCTACCACCTAAGCTGGCCACTAGGCTGAATTGGGATTGAGGCTATTCGATGCCCGCCTCTCACGCCTCGCGTGGTGATTTGACGATCTAGACCTCCCATACCATCAGGTGTGTTGCACGTATCCGTGCCCTCCGAGGGCCTGCGCAGCCGGAGCGTAGAGAAAAGCAGTTTATCTTAACTGTGTTAGGTAGGTAGATAAGTAAAGGCGCGCCGGCAGAAGAGACCGCACCTGCATGTTGAGTTACACAGGCATCGTAGCCAGGCATGTACGCAGATGCTTATGACATGGTACGTCTGGGTTCGCAGGTGCCCTCTCTCGAAACCGGCGTCTAGGGGTGGAGTTTACTTGCATACACACCTATCTCTAGGTAGGTATGTACAGTCGAAATCGTAAGGTGATATGGACGTAGAGGGTAAAGGGGTTTTCGCAGGTCGAGCTGAGGCAGCGGAGTTTAGGGGGAATTAAGAGAGTAAGAAGCGGAGTTGTGTTCTTTGATAAGGCAATAGGTTCTGTGTTATTCTTACCACCTAAACCCCTGAACCAGGCTTCAGACGTACTTTAAGTTTGGGTGCATAGTTACATAGGTAGGTACGTAACGTAGTTCTAACGATGCTATCAATCGTGGTGGTATCCATACTGACCCAGACTCTGGATCTACAACAATATACATCCGTATGGAATTTGAGGTTTCAGAAAACTTCAACCTTGAACTGCTTTCAGCGTAACTCCTATCACAATTCTCTTAAGGGGATAGACATTTAGGGTACGTCACCTCGTTTCCCTTTTCCTACGAGGCACCTTCGACAAACCGAGGAGGCCACGAACAACACGAACTTATACAATACTATCAAGTCCGTACGTATATTACTCAAGCAGGTGCGTACCTACTTAGGCAGTCAAAATCCCCATCTAGGACCCTTAAATCGGCACCTCCGAATCTAGCGTTACTTGTCACGGAACCTCCCTTGCTTACCTTGCCGTACCTATCTACCCATACCTACTCACTCTACTACTCTACCTAGTATCCTACCTACCTAGGTACGTTTAGGCCTTAAACACATACCTAGGTAACACCCGGCATACCTATATTTTGCCGTCGAAAAAAGTTACCTAATCCTCTCCCAAGGCCCCTCCCCGCGCGGCCGTATGTACGTTACTAGCTTAGCTCCTCCGCTGCCAGAAGGCGCCCGAAGCTGTGGGGCCTCGGGCGCTCGAGGCGCGTGTTTCGGAAAGGTTAAGTTGCGTTTCGGCTCTTTCTGCCAACCCCACGCCTATTCTCCCGGTCTCGAAAAAAAAAAAAAAACTTTCCCCATACATAGGTATGCAGGTAGGTAGTAAAAAGGTTTATAAAAAAATGAAAGAGAGATGTGGATGTCCAGGTGTGTGTTAGGCTTTTCAAGTGGTGGCAAACCGTTGGCTAGGATCCGGGGGTGGCGCGCTTGCCTCTTATATCATTACGACGAGTACGTACGGGAATTATTCGCACTGTCGGAGGTACTATCTTCTATGCATGTAACACAGCGTGACATTTTATATCATCATACATATATCTACTTTAGTTATGTACTCATGTGCATGTTTGACGCCTCCTGAGGCTTCATGGGTAGGGTATAGGACGCCAGCTAAGGGGTTGAGGCGCGGACACGTGAATACGCTTATATGCGAGTGTTCTCGCTCGAAACCATCTCAGCCCTCTGCCCTGTCGACCGGAGGAGCCGGCTATTGGATCTGGCCCTTACGACGGCACTGGGTAGGTAGACTCTGTTGAACAGAAGTGGGGGTTTCGTGGTTTTCTCTTAGCTGAAGACCTTAGCGGCGAGCTATACGATAGTTGCCTACGATCAACTGAGCTAGCATCGCCTTAGCTTTTTCGTATCCGTCGGCAGCTATTCAGGCATATGTAATGTAGGAATGAGCACTGCGCAGTAGGCAACCCAGAGTTATTTATAAATACTTGTCTTGGCGACGTGAGCTTCTTCTATCTAGAACCCTGTTCAGACAGTGACGTGAACGTCCGACAACCCAAGCATAGACAAACTTTCAAGCCAACTGCCGTCGAGCCCAACCGACACCCTAACCATGCTTCAGTTCGTCGAATCGCTGGTCCTCGCAAAGCGGAAGAGTGGCATACGCAAATTCCCCTCATAATGTATTGTTAGCCACTAAAGTTTCGATTTGAATCGATTCCGGCGGTTCCCATATTGTTTCACTGGTTCGCATAAGCGAGCCCATGGATGGCATAACTAGGAAGACGATATCCACAAGTTCTAGGGACAGCTGCGGGAAGCGCGTCTTTACATTGTCAAGAACCTGAATTTGACAGACAGGACAGGCGTGTCCATCCATTATAGCGACGAAGATGTTCAGAATACCGTAAGCATTCGCGTACTGGGCGTCCTCTAAGCTGAAATCATGGAAATGATTAGGACCGCCTGCCATCTTATGAAGTAACCAAATGTAGCTCTTCAAGACGAAGATCGGATCCGAGTATACGTGGAATTCGGCGTTGGGAGGGGGAATCTCCCCGTCGTAGAACTCCATCATTTTATTCCATTTCTCGGCTGGTTGCGCGTTGAAATATCGCAGAGCTTTGGGGACTTGCCCAATGGTTATCTTCGAGCCGAAAAACCACTCCTCGATGGACGACGCACGTACGACGCCGTCAGAGGGATTGACGGGCAGAAGATCCATTTCGATCATAACACAGAAATGATGAGAGCCTATGTCATACAGCATCTTTACCCCTTTTAAGGTGCTGTAAATGTCGTATGGCATGTCTAGTGAATCGATTAGGCGGTTGATCATATTGAAGCGGCGATTCGAAAGCTTTTCAAGTTTCCCCAACAGTTCCTTCTGGGTAGGTAGGGTGCCAATTTCAACAATATCGTTCATGCCAGCATACTCGAAACGTTGTCGGCGTGGGCTGACCCTTCTAAGCTCCAATCCGGTAGGGAATAGTATAAGACGTCGGAGGGCTACACTCCTGCTGAAGTGACAAACATGAAGAGCGACAGGTATCTTGTTGGATCGAGGAGGTGGCCTAAGCAAGGGCAACCTGTTCTAAAGGTGCCCTGGTAGAGGCGGATTCGGAACTTCGACTAAAGGCCAGAGGGTTGGGGGACTGTTTTTAATTGGACTTGACAGTCGAACCATTGTGGCACTCGGTAGAGTGAACTCCTAGATCATCATTCGAAGCTCAAAAGGTAATTGGCAGAGATAATGAAATTGGCCTAGTGCTTCTTGGGGTGTCTGTTCATCTACAGTGATGTCGGCATTGATCGTGATAAGGCTCTGCTTATACCTCAAGTAAGTTGGCTGAGCCATGATCGTTGTATTGATTTAGTAGATAACTCCCTCGTGAAATCAATAAGAAAAATAATCGTCTATTGCCGTGAATATAGCGATGTCGAGTATTAACTTGAAGACGAAGGAGTTTGAATTTAAGTGATGATCGGCATGTGAGAGTTTGTGGATTGACGGTAGAATATGTCAGTCGTGACAACCATAACTCTAATCCCAAGCTAGCGAGACTTATAATTGCATAGGCAGGAAGTACGTACCTAGGTATTCCCTGCAGTTTAAATCATAAATCCTCTTTTGCGAGCATGTCAACAATGTCAAGGTAGAATGCGATAGCATTGAACCTACTCATCGATTAGTGCATGTGAGCAATGAATACAGAGTGAGTGTGTGCCTACGATGGTCCTTGGCCCATCCACCTCTGCAACGTCCATTTTAAGCGGTTCGTCCAATTGATCAAATCTAGGTGGCTTACACCAACTAGAGTCCCCTTGTATGAGCCCCATCTAGAGCTCGTAACACTGACAAGGCCGTCGTTAGGGCCCTCCATATCGGTAATTATCTTGTGTGAATGTCGAAAAGGAGAAAAGAGAGATGGCGGATCCATCCTTGCCCCATACGAGAAATAGCGAACATTTGGGTCATCCGGAGTTTCTGGGTTGAATTCCTTCGTCATATACTTGAGAGTGAGTTGCTCGAAGGCCCCAGTATCGACCCCTATACCTTCGACGAATTTGTATACGCTTTGAATATGGTCCGGACCAATTTCTTTGAGTAAATAGTCCGCAAAGGCGCTCCCTCGATGCGGGGATGCGACGGTGACTAAGGAGCGCACATCGACATTCTTAGGTTGGAGATGGGATATCATGTATCTAGCATCTAGGCCTCCCATTGAATGTGCGATAATGTTTACGCTCTTATCCTTCGCAACTTGGGCAATCCCACCAGCGAGCTTCTCAGCTCTCTGCTGGATACTGCCGGACGGCGGTACCGCTACCGTGATGACTTGGACACCGTTAGCCTTCAAGGCATCGGTGATACCCCTCCAATACTGGATGGCCGGGAGCCAACCCCCAACGACCTGAAGTTCCGCAAATCCCAATAATCCGTGTGCTAGAACAACTGGGTGCTTTGGAGTAGCTAATGCCATATGTTAGTTTGAAATCCGAATAGCCTCCTGAGACACAAGCAAGTCGTACCATAATGCTCTTTAATGGCGGCATATTCATTATATATTTCCTTTCCGAGATCCTTGAGCCTAGGATCGTGTTTACTGCGCTCAGTAGAATACCCCCGAGCGAGTGACCATGGTGTGGCCCAAACCGAGCGAGCGCATATAGTAAATAGTCCGTTCCGATGGTTTGTAACACATCGATATAGGCTCATTGCTATATCCTTAACGCCTCGCCTCTCGAGTGCTTTGGCTTGAAGTTGATTCACAGGTTGGTTACGTTATCCATTATCCGAAGATAAACATTGGCAGCTTCATGTTGTATCCACATACGTCATGTATATTGTACTGTAAGTACCTAAGTACATATCGCGGGTTAGGTAAGCTGGTAAGAACTTTAAAATGGTCCGAGCTCTCCGGGACTTCCTGCCCCTTCTCCACCGATAGGCGGGTCTTGGCAGGAATCGATTCACGATGAAGGAGCTATGGGCCGCATAAACGGTCGCATCTTGTTCAACCTCCTGCCGCACTCGATCACCATTCAATTTCTTCTTCCAAGGTTTAAACAAGTTTAGACTACACCACTGACAAACATGGGGATCCCTCAATTCACATGAAAATCGTACCATTCTACCCCTGTGCCCTCCATGTAGCGACGATATGAACCTTGCGAATTGACACTAAGAGGACATCAACACGCCTCCTCACGCGGTTCTCGCGTCTACTAGTTTGTGATCTACGATTATTCCATTCAAAATCGACTACGGAGAGTTGCAGTCGGCATTTTTATCACCAACAGCCAAGCAAACAAAAACCCTAGCTGCCCAATCAGGCGCCTCCGGGCGTCAATTACCGTGGATCACGTCTTTCTGTGGATGTGGCTGGCTTAGTAGGCTAGGAGTCCGTTGCTTGTGCTCCTGTGATGAGTTGCCGACATTGCCTTATTCTACAGGCAAACTATCTCGCTTCTGTTCAACTCTGATCACTCCTGTGTACAGGACATGCCGACAAAGCGCCCTGTCACCTTTCAGAATTCGTCTCAACTTCTTCTCAGTTAAACATTTAGGGTAGCGCTGGACAGTTCCTCCTTGATTTGATTATATCAAGCGAAGTTGTACAGCCTGGCCTCGGGCACTGCTACGTACAGCCTGCTGCAGATCAAGCTAAGGAAACATGGGTTCGTCTAGAATAGCCATAGACGTGCTGGCTTTAACCGCGCTGTTATACCATTCCCCTTGTGATTGGCCCCTTCTGACAAGGAGCCCTTGGTCGAACCACAGCGTCGGGTCAACCCTCCCCATCAGGGCCATCCTTTACTATTGCTAATTGGGCATTTCACAAACTCCGATGTGAGAAACATCGAGAGGGGTTTTCCAAAGCCTTGTCCGCAAATTTCGCTACCTACCTCTCACCCAGCACCTACTTAGGTACCATACCTATCTAGGTATCTGCAAAACTTATGACCCTAGGGACGATTAATTGCTGTGACCTAAGTAGTGGGCAAGCCTAGTTCTGTATCGTATTTGAGGTGCTAAGTTACGCAGGTTACGTTACTTAGGTCGTTTCCTCAATGCAATAAGAAATCCAACAGCCACTAACTCAATGTCGCTCGCTCACTATCGCCCACATGCTCTTGTACTTATGCTTCTCCCCTCCACTATGTCTCGCGGTATGAATATATAAATGCAGTATGGGAGCCACAAGCGAGCTAACTTGGCCTATAGATCGGGCCAAGACGGGGGCCTTTCAGATAGGGTTTGCTGTAGGCCGGCTGTTGGTGTATGCCCTACCAATGTCGATCTCTTCACTAATCTGGGGGAGGCAGTACATAGAGTAACCAACACGAGTAACACGGGTTCTGGAGGTTGTAGGAAGCAGATGGGGTCCTACATTGCTACATCGGCTCACGATTGGAGCAGATTCACCTCGGGCCGGTGCATGATGATGGTTCACCCGATGTATTCCTCTACCCCAAGCGCCCTCAATGTTGCCTTCCCAGGTTCCCGGGACCGACAGACTTAAGTGTTGATCTCGAACACATATATAGAACCTAGCTGGCTGTCGTCAGGTTGTCCCCTCCCTGACCTTCTAGACTTCCTCTTCCCTTTTAATCAACTTACCTAAGCAGCGAGTGCGATGACAGCCACGCGACATGGCTAGCTCAGCGGATTGTGCCTCGGGCTATTGCCCGCGAGTCTTTCTCACATATGAGCCTTCTCTCGCTGGAAACGCGGTCCTTCTCGCCCTATTCGCCGTTCTGATACCTGTCACCTTCGCCTTGGGGATTAAATATAAGAGCTCCATTTTCGCTGCAACCGTAGACACTGGGCTTGCCTTGGAGGTGGTGGGCTATATTGGTCGAGTTCTGTTGCACAGCAGCCCAAATGACCGAAGCTATTTCATCCTGTTCATAATTGGGACAGTGATAGGCCCAACATTTATCTGCGCCGCTTTGTTCCTTATCATGCCGCAGATCGTCGCTGTCTATGGCGAGGAATTTCGCTCGTGGAGACCGGACTGGTTTTCTTACCTATTCTACGCACTCTTGACTATATCAGCTGCACTCGAGTTGGCTGGGGGGATCGTTTCTACGATACGAGATGATTCGGGAGATGTAAGTCGGTGGTCCTCCTGGGAATTGGAGTATTATTGACTGACGACCATTAAGATTGACACAGGTGTTCGTGTCCTCGTTGTTGGACTAGCGATCCAACTTGTCGCGCTAGCTATCTTCATCTTCCACGCTATGCTGTTTGCGATCGCCGTCCGCACGAGACACCATACGTTAGATATCAAGTTTGCTGGGATATACAACAGCGGGTCCTTCAAGATCTTCTTACTTGGTAGGTAGACACAAAAGCTAATAAAGGAGACCTAGCACGCTTACTCACACGCCACATAGCATTCTCGCTAGCTACTCTCCTGCTAGTCGTGCGAACAGCTTATCGACTCGTCGTAGTTGCAGAGGGATACGATAGCTCAATCGCGCAGTCCGAAATACTTCTACTAATTCTCGACGGCTTGATGGTGCTCCTCGCTACTATACTCCTGACCGTATTCTTCCCGGGACGCGTATTGCCTGACTCGCGGCCTCAGACGATGACCCGGAGGGTCTCCAAAACACCACTACGACCGATTCGACCGGCCCCGTACGAACAACCCTCGGTTCATAATAGTCCGACTTACTATTCGTCCAGCATCAGGTCTTCCCGGCAAGCCCATTCACCAAAGAAATCGCAGTATCCGATACAACCCGCTCCCCAGAGGAGCATGGTTGATAGCGACGCTTTGTGGTGAATGGGACTTTGGTATATTCGCGAGTGGAAGGGGTCGACACTCGTATCAGAGTCTCGTATCTCGGTAGGAATCCGGGATGGTTATAGGGGGTTTATGTGACTTGGTTGACGGCTGCCCGGAGAGAAAGCCGACTATGACTTCGTTAAAAACTTACATGGCTTCGGGAAGCCTGGCTTCAGAGGCGCCATGGTGTCGTTCGCTTGATTTCCGTCTAGGAGCTACGTTTGGATTATGAATCTTGGCGTTGAGGATATTCAACTCTTTTGCGATATGGTATATCGAGAAACTGCCACATCAGGCTAGGCTGGTGTTATAGGGTTATCCGTCTGTTTAGATTATGACTTTGCTACATCGCCAGATTACTTACTGAATGAATTTTTATGTTTTACTAGGTACTCTTTTTCATGCTTCTTTTGGAACAGATTTATAAGTGAGACTTGCAAACCTTATGTATAATCTGTATTAAGTCTTGGAGTTAATAGATCGTTAGATATTGTCTTAACAAGAAATTAGTAAAACTAAGACTTGTGCTATGATTTCACCTAAATCATCAACAACACCCGCTATCGTGGTATCCCACTTGCCAGCCTTAAATTCCAGCGGGAATAGATCGGTATTCTTGCGTCAGGGCCTAGAATAGTAACAGAATACTGCTGGTAACGTTAGTCCATCCGAGACATTTTAGTTAAGTTCCCAGGTGCCGGTCGATTTGTACCTACCTACGTTAGATCCCTACTATGCTGGGGGCTGGAATACCAACTAAAAATGAACCCACTCATCCCATCTTACTTCCTACCGCTAATCTTGCCTCATAAGGTGGGATCACTTGTGTGAGCCCTGGGGATTTACCTCTGGGATGGAGAAGACTAGGCGCCGGATCTTGCTAAGGTTAGTACGAGTACCCTGGTACACATTGACACCATCTTGTTCCTGGGCTAGCTAATGCTTTGTTTGCTTTTGTATCCATGCAAAATTAATATTCTCTGTGATGTGACAGGTATTAAGCCACGGCGATCACGATGGAATATTCCCATTGGTGTCCTTATACACCCATACATACGTAGAGCGCTTACTCACGCAACCCAGGACAAAGAGAAGTATTAAATACTGAATGTGGGACAACCACTATCAACTTGTTCCTCAGTACCTACCTGGGCGACTTTCAAGTGAAAACCATTAACCAGCTTGGTATGATATGAAGCGCCCATTCAACTACCACTCACCAATAGAGAATTAGAATCCCACCTAGTCTATGCCGAGCGGGTAATGTTGAAGGAGAAGTTTCCCGCCCTTACTTCTACTTCTGTATCGGCATACAAAATAGTTCATTGGATATGAGGAGACACAGAAAAATGACTCACATGTAAGACTCACTAAGGGCGGGTAGCATTGTGTCTTTAGAGCTAGACAAGAGCCTATCCTGCTCAGTGGTAAATGCTTGTTTTCAGGATTGGGGTTCCGAGAGGTAGGTAATGGAGGTTAGCTATTCCATCCCTTGCATAAGCCACCGTTCCAATCACCTTTACCATGCGTTCGGAAGATAGCGGTATAAGCTAGCGGTGTGTATGGTAATGTGTCAGCGTGTTACCTAAAGATGTTCACCAGACTAGAAGACAGTTGCCGGCGCTTGTGTATGTGCAATGCATCTCATTAGCGTCAGTCCATCGATACCTCCTATTCGCGTAGGCAACACCATCTTCTTCTAATATACCCAATTCACGTACTATTCTACCGGAATCATGTACAATATGATCTTTTATAGGTATCGTCCAATAAAAATCCAGATCTTAGTCAACCCTCTTGTTACCCCTTACTTTTTCGCACCCTTGTCCGTAGCTAAAATAGCAAGAAACTTGTACTCTAATACCTCCTATAGGTAATGATTATCTATGTAAATTAATTGAGAAAAGTTATCAATGATTGAAGGCCTTGATAAAGCTTGTTTTGTTGTATGGAACGTAATTTTCAAGCATCTTGGGAATTCCACTTCACAATTTCTAGGAACCTTGGAAGTTGACCCACTTATAAAAGGGGTTATTAGGGGCGAGCCCAACCTAGTAAGAATCCAAATATTTCAAATTCCTCATAGTGATAAATTGATATGAAGATCGCGGCAGTTCATCATGGTAGACGTTCGTGAAACAGAAGACAACTACGTAAAAATTCAAGGGTGATGCCCGTGTCCCTTTCTCTTAAGCGTCCGCCTCCTTTAACTATTTGATAGTTTGTAGAGTTTCAATGTGTACCACCACCTTACCTGGATGCACAAAGACTTCACCATTTGGCATAATTTGACCAAGAAGTTCTAGATATCTAAACTCATTGAAGTATCATCACGTACAATATCTCAACATTTTGTTCCAACTGTAGTTTTCCTAGTAATCATGCTGACCGCTTTGGGACAAATGTAGATGTTTGAAATTAATGGCATACTTCATTGTTCTACTCTCATCCTTGCGATATATGACCACAGTATGCTGTTTAGTGTCACTTACTACCAGTCCAATATCTTGTCCATTATATCCATTCTTTTCTGATCAACTTATTTTCTTTGTTTTGTGAACAGATTGTTTAACAACGGACAAAGAATTCATGAAATGTGTTAGAAACTGTTGAACATCGTCATATTTCTTGTCGCATTTTATGAGTAGCTTTAAGAAAATACTGATATTCGTTGGCTTCAATACCTTTACCGCAAGAACACATTCATTGTATAACAGAGAAAACATGGAAACCTACAATAACAAGATGCTAGTTTCTAGGATACCATGTATGAGTATAAATATCAGGCATTTGACCACAAAAGTCAAAAGGCATCAAGGCAAAACAGAAATACTCTTCGACATCGACTATATAATACGCACAGTTAACAAGATCAAATTAAGCATAAATATCTACGTTAAGTCATAAACCATTCATCTCTGCACCTAGTCTCACTTAATAGGACGAAATATCTATCACGATGGCTACAGGCGGAAAAGGCAGCAGCCACTCCGGCAGTGACCGACAAAGCGACAAACAACCCGACCAAGAACCCAACCACGGGTTTGCTCTCCCAGATGCTGACTTTGACCCCTGGAACAACCAGGCTATCAAAGACTACTATGCGAAGAAGCAGAAGGAGGGGGTACTGAACGACGAGGATGGCATCGAGGACGATGTTGAGACGGAAGCCAGGCAAGTAGTCACAAACTGGGAGAAGGTTGTAGGCCGCGAGGCCACAGCTGAAGAACGACAGAGAATGATGTCTAAGATTCGCAGAATTCGGGGCGGAGCCTGGCTCGAAGGTTTAAAGACGAAGCTCGTTGGGGAAACGACGGTCCCTATTGCGTACTTCAACCGTCTCGTTGCCGAGAACGAACGTTGCATCGCATTCGTCGCCAACAGAATGGCCGCGGTAGCCCAAGAGCGCCAGAAGATGGGCCAGGAAATCGATAATCTTCGGGATGCGAATGAAAAACTGACAACTGGCGGGCTCAAACAATGTGAGGATGAGAAAGCCGAACTCACAGACAAAGCCGCTAAACTTGCAGATGACAACTCCAAGCTTCAAGAGCAGATCGACAGCCTGCGTGAAAAGCTCGAGAAAGAAGGTAAGCAGCCCCCTGTCGATGATAAATGCAAGGAGAGAATCGAAAGATTGGAATCTGAACTCCGAGCAGTTCACCGCCAACGTCAAATAGGAGAGGAGATGAACGAAAGCCTCGAGCGACAATTAAAGGAGTCGCGAAAGAGAGAGAACGCGGTCAGAAATGAGATGAGAGATCAGGACCGTGAGATAAGGGGATTGCATGAAACACTCGATGAACTAACCATGAAGAACAATCGCCTCGAACGTGAGGCAAAACGCGACAACAAAGACGATTCGGCCAAAGACTCCGAAAAGGAACTACGAGACAAGTTGGCCGGGCTTGAAGCCAACCTGAGCGAACAGGAGGAAGCAAACCAGGGGCTGATCGACGAGAACGATGGCCTTGTTCGTAGGATCCACGTTCTCCGCGATCAGGTGGAAGCCAAACCAACCGCTACAGGTTCCGGCGCGCCCAGCAAAACCTTCGACACCGCGAAGATTGTCAAGGAGCTCATGGAAGCGAAGGAGCAGGACCGGGCCGTAAACAGGGAGGTCGAGAGGGTGCTCAGCAGCTGGATGTCCAACGTCGCGGAGGCGAACCACCTGCGCGAGTACCACAACGCGGTGCAGGAATACAAAAACGGCACGAAAGACCTGCAGAACCGCGTGCTGGCGCTGTACGAGCAGCTGGGCCACGAGGCCGAGGAGGACGTGACGGCGGACCAGGCGCTCGCGAACCTGTCGGAGCAGCTGCAGAAGCAGCCGCAGAGCCCGATGGAGCACAAGCTGTGGACGCTGAAGCTGCTGCAGGACCTGGCGATCGAGAGCAACAAGCTGCGCGCGGAGCGGCTGCGCGCGCAGACGCTGCACATGCGGCTCGAGGACGGCAAGACGGCCGAGCAGCGGAGGCAGGAGACGCAGATGGCCTACAGGATCTTCGACGAGGAGGAGCTGGACCGCCGCGTCGAGGAGCGCACGCAGATGTACCGCGAGCACCGCGGCGAGATCCTCGACAACATCTTCGACGCGGCGAACGCGCTCCAGTCGGCTTCGAGAGGCTGCCCCGACGCCGGCACGAGGGAGATGATCGATTTGGCTGTCCTCGCTTACTTGTCTCCGGCTAGTTTGCCAAAGCCGAAGGTCCCGTCGCCCCGTCGTTAATTGCTAGAGTCGTGCGGGAGTGAGGCATGTTAGGTATCTCCTAACCAGAAACTTCTTGCATATGCTCTTGCGTATGCTAACCTAACTGTAAAGTATATTGGAAGAGAATTATCAGGCCGAATATTCCGGTGGCCTTGTTGCGATGAAAAGTTTGTTTCTCGTATACGTCTAGGGACATGTCACGATGAGGACATGGGATTTTTTTTACCTTCATTCATATCTCCACTATTTAGCGTATTTTTTTGTTTGCTAGTTATGTTTTCTACCTAGGCACATCAATATAATATGTGTTATCAATATTCTGTCGCGTTTGAGCTGAAACGGTGATAATCTTTTTATGTTATGCGACGTCGCTAAAATCGATCTCTCACCGCCGAGAACCCACGACATCATTATGATAGAAATACAACAAGGGCCAAATGATATGTTATTCCCAAAGTTCACCCAATTGATAAATTGCGATGCTTTTCTGTAATTACATGACAGATGTGTCTATTCATAGAGCCGCGACCCAGACTTTCCCACATCAGCCCTCTTACCCCTGAATACCATATGCTCAGATCACACAGCGCCTCCCCCGTCGCCGTGGATATGTCAAATCCTCGTGCACCGCCCCCATCTATGCAATTGACCGGATTCGGTGCCACATGGCGACTCTAACCTCACCCAGCCACATTTCTCCTCTGCGAAGCTTGTCTGTGGATGGCGTCAGACAACCATCCGTTTAGCGAGAGATCTCCGAGTTTCTCGGTCCTGCCAGTCTTAGTGATACGGCCCGTTGGCCTAAGTAGGAAAGTACGTCGTTAACGCGCAAGAGGCGCCGTTCCGGGTTGGATGGGATAGCCCACGTGAGAGAGGCTGCGCTCCGGCTTCGATGACATCCGGGCGTGCTTCCCTCAACAGCATGTAGGAGCTGTGTTGTTGATTCGTGGGTTCTTATGCTGGTTCTCTTGATTGCGTGTCATCACGCACTGTCTATTTTCACTCTTGAGTGCGTCATGCCATGGTGATCAGTAAGTCGTCTTCGTCCTGACGTTGTAAAAAGACCTTGCTTGAGAAATCCCAATCATCAGTAAGGGTGCATATGGCAGTGGCTAGCGTGACCGAGGATATGAGATGTGTCAGAGCGGTTCTCACACAACATAGTAATAGCCTTATTTGAAATTGTCGGTGATGTCCAATCTGATGGCTTGACCTCGAAGTACCGGCGGCACAGCCGGCACTTAGACGAGAACCGCATCCAAGAAGCTGGGTCGCGGAGCCCAACCCCTAGCCAGCCCAAAAGTTGTAAGTTCTAGATCCACAAGGTTCAATCGTCAGCAACACGCCTCTACGTCACCCTATCTCGTGGCTTAGCACCGGGAAATGCGGCTCCGTCGTGTAGGTCAACATCGGGTTCGCGATCTTCACGATGCTGGTATTGGTGTACCTGTCATCGCTGAAGTTGGGTTTTGAGGTAGGTCTAAGCTAGCTAAGGAGCCACGACTCAGGAATACCCAGTGCCCGCGTCACTGTCTGAAATCGTTCCCGTAGATTAAGCTCGTTGGACTAGGGAAGCTACCCGATCCGCGCTCCAGTCTAACGACGGGAGTATTTTGAATCATTGATCTGTAAGCAAACTTAGTTTGGTTGTGCCTTGGTTCGGGTGATGAGATAACATGTCTAACGAGTCAGATACCTGGTGGCCCGAAGCCTTTCTGCTCCAAGATTCCACCTCGTATATTCCAATCTGCGCCAATAGTTCCAAGCTTATCGTTGGCCGGAATCTAAATCGATTTTCCGTTTTAGGAAAGGAATTTAGAATGATATTGGAAGGTGGTGTAGATAATGGGCATAGACTATGGCGTTTACACCTAGTGGGGGCGTTAAACCGGCTTGCGCTATGGGTTGGCGTTAAGGTACCTACAACTCTCGCCGTTAAAAGGTTCAACTAGGCTATCTATGATATTTCGATCCCAACTATTTGAAATCATACAGGTGCAAAAGGCTAGCAGACTGGAAAATGTAAGGTACCTGTTTATCTACTTACCCCCCTATCCACCCTCTAACCCCGAGAACTCAAATACATGTGATGAAACGGGTAAATATCTACCTAGTCATACTGGCTGTGCAAAGGCCGGGAACATATTCCAGTGTTTTACCTCGGAAATATGATCCTAGGAGAGCTGGACATCGGATAAGACTTATGGTTATTGGCAGCGTCCCGTTGATGAGCTCGAGCGTCTCGTGAATGGAGGCCTTTGTCGGACGACTAGTATCTCTAAGCCATCGTCATTCCATACGATACTAGTGACACCTTCTTGGTTGGCTCTCGAGAGCGATAGTCTCCTTGAACACCTCAGCGTTTAAGAGCGATGTTATCACATGAAATGGTGTCGGATGGGGGCCCGGTGTGAATAGACATTAGTGTATGGTGATGACATTCTCACCATAGTTGGTGGTCAAGTGAAAAACTCCATAACACCCAGTAAGCCATTTAGTCACCTTTGGCGTTATGGGGTCGTACGTTCAGAGACAGATATGTGTACATGTAGTCAGCTTTAAAGGTCCGAATAGTTACCGTAGGTTGGTACTCGATAAGTAGCAGTTAGCCCCGTTTCTCACGAAGCCTTGCCCATCATGAGAATCTGTAGAACTTGAACACCTGGTGGGCGTGCTTGGCTTTGGCCCAGCTGACTAGATATCTATTGGCATTATGGTGAGTTGGTGTCCTGAGATAGTCGAAGGTTGCATTATACGTCGTTGGCGCGGGGGGATTTATGGGACCGGAGTTCTGGAGTTCTGGGGTTAGGACCGACTAGACGATCGCAGCCCATGCGACGCCTCGAACGACCCCCGTTAAAGGACCGTTGAGGCGGACTTGTTTAGGTTGGTGTTGTTGTCGCCAATTTAGGTGAAGCTTATCGTGGCTATGAAGCATACCTCTTCGGAATACTGATTACTTAGAGAGAAGGCTAAATTCACCTCCGTCTCATCGCTTACGTAAAGGTTGTATTGCTTGCCGAGAGCCCCTGATACCTGTCAATCAAAAAAGACCCGGAGAGCGGAAAACAATTAATTATCACGAGACATGCAGTTTGAGCTTGTTCTTGCAGACCTCCAATGTCGGCTCTTCCTGCTGCAAGTGCCGCTGATCGTACGACCTCATATAATTGAATATGAGAGCGGATGTTACTAATCCGGGGGAATAAGCATCAATAAAACTGTGTCTTTCATGGTTCCCCAGATTTCTTTTTCTCGGCACAATACTGTGCGGTGTTGTCTGTGAGATCCCAAACGTGACATGCAGGTTGTCGTAGTAAATTAATTTGTATAAATTAGTTGGAGCAGTACTGATCAGCCGGTGACGTAGCAATGAACCCGGAACTGAGGATAATTATACATTGGTGTAAGTTGAAGAGTCTTGGCGCTGCATCTGAATGTCACTGTGTCAATAGGTTGACGGTGCACATTGAGGCTGATAAGGCTGGTTTCCGCATGTTGTCAAGCTTTTCTAATGAACAATTGCCGAATAAAGGTATGGAATTGTGTTAATAGAACGGAATAAGTTGGGTTATATGTGCCTTTTATTAGATCCATGGATTGGTTGGCTGGACCAAGGTGAACCTTAGGGGTAGGATTGCCCCATGGCCCCCTCACCGAGAATAGACACGGAAGGAGAAGATAGGCTGCCGCCATGTCTCATCACATGCTGTTCATTTTCACTTCGTCAACGATCTGGCCACCGGTCCGAGTTTGTATCGTACACTCTAGAAAGATAGTGTCGTCGTATCGCTCCAGCGCCGATGGTTCTCGTCTTATTAGGCGGTATAGGCGACTTCGTATAACGAAACTAAGCGAAAGCAAGAACTGAACTAATTGGAGCGACGTAGTCTACAGCGAACCTGTTTTTTAGACGTCATTAAATATTGGCGAGTGGGATCAATGCATGCCCAGGTAATTATCGACTACTTCGTATATTCAGTCGGAATAATAGTTGTCACGGATCTAGATCTTGATCTGTTAGGTTTTACTTGGCATTCTAGATCTGGACATTCGGACGAAAGATTCGGCGTTCTAGGCTCAAAGTATTGAGAGCCTCATGTCTTCGCCGCCTTCTGTAGGATCGTTCCTTGGAAGTCAAAAGTAGGCGATAGACGCTAACGGCACCAAGCTAAGTCGATTTAGAAGGTAAGCAAGCCCCTTGACAGAGGATCGAATGAGAGAGAGTGGAGGATGGCCAATATGACAAGCTATTATATGACCTATCACTGATTGAGGCACCGAGAATATTAGTTAGCTATTTCAGGCCTCACTTTTACGAGAAAAAATGGTAAACATGGTAGAATCGACCTTACTATCATGTGTATGTTGGTCTTGTGGATGGTGTTATTCTCTGCTTTTGTTGTCTCTTCTGTGCGAACTGCCTAAACGAGGTGTCGGACAAGGGCGTTATCTGATCTATGTGCATCGGATTAACAGTGCTCTGTGGAGCACGAAAAGCTCGACCGCAGCAACAAGGTTGAAATTAAGCTTCTATGATTAGGCATCTCATCTTCCGTTTCAACTGATCATCATGAACTTTCCAGACGTTAGATATGGACGGGTCGCTTCTCGAGCCAATAAGAGTTAGTACTGTAGTAAGTTCTGGAGTCGGTATATCTTAGCTGCGGGCGGAGAGGCTGAGCGCGTCTCTTCGACCTGTTCACGATTTAGCAATGATCTGATAGGTTCATGTGGCTTTCGCAAGTGCTGACAAGCCGCTGACGCATACTTGACCCGCCTTACAAATTGTCGATGGTTTGTGTCAGGATGTAAGGAAGTAAATTGCAGACGAAACATTTCTAGACCTAAAATAAAAGACGTCAATTTTTTGACCCGAGTGCGATGCGCCGGGACGTCAAAAACTCCAGATACTTAGGACTGGTGGGATTCGGAGCGACACGTGGAGGATGCCAAGCCATAGCAATTGCGCATGTTGAGGCTGTCACGGATGACTTGGGACTTCTAATCATTGACTGAGCAACGAGAGAATGTTGAGTAACAGTGCTTTGCCAAACGTCGCGAGGTGCGAAGTGGGATAGATCGACCCTCGGCCCTACCGTTTAGGGAGGAACCCCAACCAAAGGGTTTTCACATCATCGCAGATCCTCTTCGAAGAGAGTTTGGGCCGAAGGTTGGATTAGTCAGTCCTTTGGACGACAAGAATTCTTGCAGCGCCGTGCAATTGAGAAGCTATCGTATTTGTCATTGTAAAATGAATGAGCCACCGTCTTGGCGCCCGATGTGTTTAGTTGCCAGGCCGTTCCTTGCCCGTAACGTTCGGACGAGTCTTGAGACGCTCAAGAACAAGATTAGATTATCTGTTCCGTCGGACTCTTGAATGGTTCCGGTGGATTGGTAGCATGAGTATATTATGAAGAGAATATACGGAACATCCCCACTGAGAGAAAGCCAAGAAGACCAGCGAAGTAACATAATCCTATCCCAATCGGGATAAAACGTTCAAACGGTTGCACTTCGTCCGGGACTTTCAACAAGGGTTAAAAAACCCGACAGCTTTATCCATATTGCTAGACTACCCGGCTGCAGTTTATTTAGGACGAAACCAAGGGTTTCGTACGATATTCGTAAGGTTTTTGTAGAGTGCGAGGGAGAAAATAGTAGTCGGCCGAGAAGAGAAGGATTGGAGGAAAATGAGCGAATAGCAGTTGGCTACCTCTTAGTAGCTTAATCGATTACATCCATAGTACGGAACGGGGCATCAGTTGTTGCGGGCCAGTGAACCTTAACCTTATAACCCTGCAAGCAATGTGGACCCTGCCGGTACTGTAGGTACCCAAGTATCATCCCGTGACCCAATAATCTTTTAGTGTTCCGTCAGTTTATACGTTCACCCTCCCCCCTTTTTTCTTTTTCATCTTACCTTACTTACTTCAACATCTCAACCAAAAACATCTATCTTCAGGATCCAGACCACCGACCCTCTATTCTACTCTTGTCTCCTTCCCTGAAGAGAATGTACTTTGTCTTTCTAATCCAGTCCTCAATATTCTCCACAACTTCTGTATACTTGTCCACCCAAGACTATGTCACCTTAGACACATAAGCGAAACCGTGTTTAATCTACTTACTAGGTAGTCAACTCTTGACCATGACTCGTGAGAGAAAGTCTTGCTCCTCCGCCTCCGAGCGTAGTACCGTATTCCCGCCGACTCCAAAATGTAACTAGTTGACTAACTCACAACTATGACGAGCCTGGCTGCTTGTAACTTGGCCTTACCACTGCTGCCCCTGTTGGCTTTAGGTACCTTGGTAGGCATAATGATTGGCACCTGGGAAATAATGCATGGCGAGTTAATCGCAACTCTTGACCGATGGACGAATCGGCGCCACGTCCTATCTGATACTTCCTTTTCGGGTATAGGGATTCCGCATACCCAGGCATAGTCTTATGGTTCTCTTTTTATCTCTTATACTATACAAGACAAGAGTATGACCACACAGACATGTGCTTTGCGCCGGGATGCACGATTCAGGAACCCCCCAGTAGCATGGGGGACGACTTTCGATATAATTCTGGCTGTGCCCGTCTGATTTTCATCTGAGCCAGGAGGATTATTCTAAGCATAGCCGTTGGCTGACGTCTGCACCCCACAGTGAATCGTTAGAGATCCGCCTCATTCCTTTAAACACTCTGATATTACTCACTGTACAACATTCGGTCCCGATCAGTCAGCATACAACAAAGCCTTACTTAGGAGAGGCGCGTCCACCCCTCAGCTACCTATAGCTCATAGCTCACAGCTGTAGTTATAAGGCAAGCTGTTTCGTTCGCCTTCTCACTACGATTCGATACTTGCTTGTATCAAAGTAGTCTCCTTATCAAATCATCATGTCGTCGGCATCTACGAGTCCACAAGCAAGCGCGACGGCGACGTCCTCGTCGAGCGGCAATGCTCAGGAAGCATGGTTGATGGCACGGCAAAAGGTTAACACAACCATGTTGACATATTATGCGGCCTCACTCAGTGCTCTTATCGGCGTCTTCATTATTGCCCACTGGCTTCGCTTCGTATTCGTTAAACTTGGCTGGTCTCGTTCACGCAACCCGATATTGCTACCTTTCAGTGCTGTTTCAAGGTAAGAGCGGCTTCAAAGGATACGGATATTTGGATAATCTAATATTTTTTCACAGAATTGCTAGGAGAATATTCGTACGGAATCTAACTGGGTTTACCTCAGTCGGTCATGCTGTACTTGTGATCGTCTACGTGGCTATGAACGCCACGTTCAGCTTCTACCGCGTTGATTTCAGCATCTATGCTAATGTGGCCGCTCGGTTCGGCTGGTGAGTCCTTACATCGCCCGCTCTTATTGTCCGTGCTAATATATGAAATTCTAGGATGGCTGCGGGGAATTTGGTCTTCGTGATATTCCTTGCGTTAAAGAACACACCTCTAGCATTCCTTACGGCCTATTCCTATGAGCGACTCAACGTCTTACATCGAATCGCCGGGTATACTACTATGCTTTATGTTATTCTTCACGGATCCATCTATGCGTCTTACTTCATCGGTGTCGGGAGGATTGAAGTCCTCCGAGAGGATGTCGTGACAGGCGGTATTGTCGCTGGATTTACCATGTTCGGTTCTGTTATGGCCGGCATGATTCTGAGACGTTTTAACTACGAACTCTTCTATATTGCTCACGTCATCTTATTCTTTGCTATCGTTGTCGGCCTCGGCTTACATCGTCCCGAACTCGAATCCGAGCAAACATTGTACGCAACCATAATCCTTGCTGCACTGTGGTTCGCCGATCGTCTCATTCGGTTCTGTCGACTAGCTTACAACAGCGTCAACAACGAGGCCAACATCTACGCTCTCCCAGATGGTGGTACTAGGATAGTGCTCAAGAAGCCTATCTCACGTGCCCGCCCTGGCAAGCACTGCTACGTCTGGCTTCCGAAAATCAGAACCTTCGAAACTCACCCCTTTACCATCGTGGCGACTGAGCCGTTTGAACTTGTCATCAACTCATATAGCGGTTTCACCAGTGACCTCCACAACTACGCTCTGAAGAACCCTGGGGCGAGCCTCAAAGTCTCGGTAGAAGGCCCTTATGGTACTCTCCCGGACCCCATGGATTTTGACAAGGTTGTCTTGGTTGCAGGCGGTTCCGGTGCGACGTTTACATTTGGCATAGCGGCCGACATGCTCTCACGAATGTCCGAGAGTTCCAAGCAGCAGATTGACTTCATTTGGGCCGTCAAAGGACATGGTATGCAATAACATTCATTGGCAGAATAAACTTGACGCAGAAACATACTAACTCTCATACAGACAACTTATCATGGTTTACGCAGCACCTGAATAACCTCCGCAACCATGTCCACGCACCGAAAATCGCCCTAAAGGTGCATGTTACTAGACTAGGGCCTGAATCGCTCAGAGACCCCTCGCTGGAACGGCCTGCATCGGATTCTTCTACTACAGACTTAGGGCCGTCGGCTCTCGAGAAAGGAAAGGGGGACTTCATCGCTTCTAGTGGGCCGGCGTCTTCTGCCGCTACCCGGTACGAATCCGACCGAGAAGAGAAGGACGCTAGCCGACACATGGACTTCCCATCGGCAGCAACGAGCATGACGAACCTCAACCTGCCGATCAGACCTGGAAGGCCCGATACAGAGGCCGAGATAAAGGCGGCGGTGCGGTCACTAGACAAGAACCAACGAGTGCTCATCGCTTCCTGCGGGCCCGACAGCCTGACGAATGTGGTCCGGAACGTCGCGGCAAGCTGCATCAGCGTCGACGGCCCCGCAGTCGAAGTCCACTGCGAACACTTTGGCTGGTGATTTATCATTCACCCTCTTTTTTTTTTTTTTAATTTATACGAATCGTCACGAGCTAGTTAATGGGGGTTGTTTTACAATCTGGACAGGATCACCCATGGAGATCTAACTGGATCAGCTTGCTTTTTTACCGGGGGCGGTAGATGGCGTTTCGGAGTATGTATGTCTATAATGTATGTCCTGGACTATCCAACTAGGGGATCGGAGAGGCGCCCGCAGGGAAATTCTAACATACCCTAGAGGAGTAGAGAATAGATGCGGGATACACTGGTAACCTACCTACTAGGCATATAGGACTAACTACCTAGATAAATATACCATATCCAAATAGAAAGGAGAAGATCACCAAATATTCACAAGCTAGACTTACACGCACACCTGCCTTAACGTGACTAAACTAGAATCTTCCGAAGCCCATACGCTTAAACGCACGACCCGTGTCAATCTCCCGCGGCCCACGCTCTCGTCCAATACATCGACTATACCACTGTCTCTGCTAACTTGGGTGACTTCACACATTTCATGCATGTCTAGGTTATGTAATTATTCTCTAAGCACGTTATCAGCACGTCATTGTCTCATTGTCTCAAACAGTTCACTGCCGGTATCAGCGGTTGCTCTCGCACATGCCTTATTAGTCTTATAGTTTGTCTTGGGCCCTACCCAACTGCCCTATCCAATTAGCTAATGGCGCGACGTTCGCGATGCGCCTGTCCAATCGGGCCGGCGCCAGCGGGTTGATTAATTTATGAGTTGCCAATTATATACATAGTACCTACTTTTTTACCTAGGTACCTTGCCTGCTGTCCATTGACAGTTGCCCAAACCCCGGTCGGCGGTGCAGATTTGGTAGACAAGAGCCGTGAGATTGTGTAGTATTCAATCGAAGATCATTTACTCTCGTGCCTCATTTCCCCCCCTTCTGCCATCGCTGTTCTATCTGCTCTTTCTGGGGGGGCGTGTATTTGGGAATGTGGAATCTGGAAATGTGGGATGCCCCGGTGTGCAGTGGGATATCCCATATTTTATCGCCTAGCAGCGTAGTGGATAGTGGGTAAACAGCACCTAGGGCTATGCTGCTCTAGCGGTCGATCTTCCAAGACCTTAAGATATGGGTACCCTCAATACCTAAGCCTTTAGTGGACGAGTTAGTGGGTTATTCCATAGGGCAGGCGACGGCAGACGCCGTGTTGCCCTAACGCCAACGCTAAAAGCCAAGATGCCCTGAATTCTAGAACGCCTTGATTATTAAGCTTATAAGAACGCTGCCTTATCAGATAAATCTGTTTCACTTTCATTGCCAAGTACCGAACCGCGAGATGGGAACGGAGAAAGTACTGTAAGAAAAAAACGTCGTCACCAATGACAAATGCCCCCCCAGACTTCTTTCTAATTGGCCCGTTGTTGGAAACCACGGGCTTACGGGACGCAGATCGACAGCTTCAGCGAGATCTGGCACCGGTACTTACACACACCCAACCTGCCTTATCGCACGTCATGTCATGCCATGCCGTGTCCGCTGCCGAATGAGGGTATATCCCTCGCATTGCGACGAATAGGCGAAGGCCAAGAGAGCACCTACCTGCCTACCTTGTACTATAGTAGGTCTGCTACCTTGCACGCAGGGTCTTTAATCGCAGGATGAAACGCCCCTAGCTTTCTCGGTAGCGAGCCGGAGAATATGGGGAGACTTTTACACCACATATTTTCTCCCAGGTCCGACAAAACATCTAGGCTATCTAAGACAGCGACAACATTTTAACATTTGTCATTGTGTACGCGCCTACCTTACACAAGCCAAGACCACTAAGACCACCGTTATCACGTCTAGGCTGAAGAAAGCTGATGATTGCGATGATGATGACGATAAGGATGATGAAACCGCCCGCCAAATTTTTCTAAAAAGGTCTTTTCTTCTTAAAGTGTTTCGGGGCGCTCCCTTTGTCATACCCGTTGGCAATCCCTCGTCCCCAATCCGGTCTTGGCCCTGATCCGTAATTGACTAATCGGTAATCCTCTTCTTTGGCGGAGGTGAAAAGGCTGCCGATAGGATCGTGATCCCGGCTCGGTATTGAGCGTGGTTCTTGAAAGAGGGTGAAAAAAAAGCGTTGAAGAACGGTGAATCGGGGTGGGGGTAGAGAGCGGGATGGGGTTCCGCTGCTGTTGGAATGGGATCTGTTGGCGAATCTCGTCAGGGGTCGCCCGCTCTAGATTTAACAAAGGCGGGAAGCGTTCTATGACGCGTGTTGCTTTTCTGCTGACATGTGCACCCTATCTTCCCCGGACCTATAGCAGTACTGTTAATCAGCCTCAAACCATATGAGATTGCGCGGACAAGCCTGACGTGAGATAATAATGATAATACAGATATTGTTATAGATGTGATGATATACATGTGGTTGCAGCTATATTCTGACATCTTCTAAGTCGGCTGCCGGACGTTGTGTTGCCCGAGTATCTGCACATCTACACACCCCCAAGTGATCTCAGGCGTTCTTAAGTAATCTAGGACTCTCCCGTGTAAAGGAACACAGAGGTCGGCTTGAGCGGTCCTTTTCCGAGTATGCCGCATCTGAGACCCTTCGGTAGCACTATATGTCTCTCTCCGAGCTGAACATGTCTCCCCCTCCGAATCATTGAGGTTATATTAACCGACTGGCTCCCATTATAGGCAGGCCAAACATCAGTGGTTCTTTGAGGCTTAAGCCCTCGACGTCCATCTTTGGACGCCTCGCCGACCATGCACACTATGAGCCATTTGATGGCACGGGTAATTACTCGAAGCTATATCATGAATCGAGTTTAATGCGTCCAATGATATGAAACCAACTTCCACGCCACTCGATGCCTTTATATCCTATGAACGCACTGGGATTAGCGGTATATTTCCAACCTTATTATTCCTTTTCCTTTAGCTTCCGAAATCCTTCGTTAGCTGAGGTGGTCCGATTTGTTCGAGCCCCGTTACGTCGGCGCCTTGGCAAGCCACGTCGAAGCTATACTGCTCATCGATATGATTGGTATCTCGAGATTTTCTTTAAACCAACATGCTATTGGCCTGGTTTGTTCAATGTATTAACGTTGGGTAGACATCAGTTGGCCGCGTCACTCTCTGTGTAGAGTGGCTAAGCCAAGATTCCAGACCTAGTACGTCATCTTCTATAGATGACGATCGTGAAAGATTTAGTTTTTCCGCTCCTGTGTTAACGAGACATTCGTAATCTAGCGAAGCCAAGGTCCAAACTCTGGAATCTTGCTACGAGCCGAACACTGTCTCCTTGGTTTAGGAGTATCCTTGGCTTCGAGGGCGTTAGTAAAACAAGACCGTCGCGATTTCATACAGGTTGAAGACTGTCTTTGTGGCTCACTCCGCCTATAGAAGTGAGTTTAGAGATTAGCTGCGGTTGCGTTGGTAGCTCAAGGTACCTTAGCTTACTATACCCGAAGGTAAAAGTCTCGAATTAGAACCACCCCCGTTTCTATGTCTACCCCTTCTTCGCTACTTGAATCCAGTCGATTGGATTGCTCCAATTAACTTAGTGCGCCTCCTGGGAGATTCAATTGTCCAAGGCAAGACCTTGGACAACTTGTATATCTCACGGCTTCCATTGGTTTCATTACTATACGTAGGTGGTTGATGGCGGACTAGGAGTACCTAGCTGTCAGTCTCTCAAACCTCACAAGCATCTGGTTAGATGTATTAAATGGCATAAACCAAAAATAGAGGCGGATTTACCTAGCGTTATTATTTAGTCTCTCCGTAGTTAAGCAGTTATCCTATTCAATCACCGCCTCTTTTCCTTGACGAATAGCGGTGAGAAGTTTTCGAGTAAAGGGGTAAAAAAAGGATGTGTTAATAGTGTTGTCTCAGTAATCGCGGTAGGTTGGAATGTGATGACTGCGATTTCGTACGATATCTGTGGTATGGAAAGCAGGTAGTCCGTAAATACTGTTAAAGTCCCTTATCGTTTCTGTGCAGCTAAAGCAGCGAGCTCGAAAAGGTCGTTTATCAAGCACCGGGCAGATGCATCGAATAACTCAGCTTTTAACAATACCCTATTAGTCTTAGTCAACTTAAAGATGCTGATTCGTGCAGTTGACGACTCTTAAAACTCGCACCCGCTACTTTATCCTGTCGACCTAGCGGTATAAAAGGGGCAAATGCTTAGCGTCAGGGGTCAGGTCAAATTGGTGTTCAGATCACCAGAGACTCAGCCAACATGAAGAAGACCTATTCGTAGCTGGTGTTAAGGACGTATGAACGAAGAGCCTAGCCTGTATGTATATCGTGATGCTTGGAGGAAGGCTTAGAACTCAACAGAAACTTGGCCGCATCCATCGCATTGTGAGACCCAGGTGGTAGATAGTTACCCCTATTCTATTCTTCCTAGGAAGACATGTAAGTAAGGATAGTAGGATCGATATCGCACAAGGTATGTGAAAAGTAACACTTACATAGACAATACCGTTATGAACGAAGAGGTAATCCAGGTGGATCATCGAGAGCGCAGCCCAAGTAGATCTCCAGAGCTGTACCAACGATACGCTTCCCAAATTCGTCGTCGATCATAGTTTGCTATCACCTCCAGAAATAGCGGCATTCACCCCTTTCGATGAGTGATTGAGTTATGGGACCGCCAATTTGAGTCAGATAACTGTCAGCGGTGGTTTACCGTGGTTATCAGCTTCATTGCAACCTGAATAGGATGCTAGGAGCACATGTGGCTTGACGCGAATGATTGGAATTCTGAGGGGCCAGCATCAGTTCATATAGGTAGACCGAAGGGCTTGGATAGATCATCTCCACCCTATTGGTTATGGTAGACCTAAGAGCTTCTTGTTCTCATTCGTAACCTAATCTCAACACTCGTTTACTCCAAAGCTATATGGTAGGTATTCTTCAAGGTAACTGAGTTGATGTCGGGTACATTCATTGCGTACGCCATGTTTGAGCAGTATGCGCGTATGTTGCTTAAGTCGTTTTGAAGAGGAAGCCGATGACTGTAGAGTCATATTGACCCGATGGTTTTGCCGCTGCAGGGCCAATACGAGTCTGGCCGTCAACAGACCTCATTGGCATGAGATGCGACTCTCGTAACAGAGATACCTTAACATGCTCCCTCTCCTAGATTGTCTAGAGCAGAATGTCCACTCTCGTTGTCCGGTATGGCTCCACCGCCATCTTCAATTGCGACATAACCGTAAGCCCTACCCAGGTCATGTATCTCACGGAACTGCGTCCTCACATCAATGGTTGCTCCTTGTCGTTCACTTCATCTTTCCTGGCTCCATAAATCTTCGCACGAAGAAGAATGAACTTCCCTGCAAGCCCCTTAATCGAGCAGTATAGATGTAGACGTAAGATCTAAAATTCACCACCGAAGGGCTATTGCCGTTTGATGCTCATAGCCAATCTTAACCGCACACCCTTAACCTTGTATCTCTTATTCCCCACAACATACAGAGATGCGAGATACATCGCGAGATACCGCAGCACCCATTCAGGCTGAGACCTGATTATGACGTTTAAAAGACGACTAAAGGTTAGCCAGATTCCAATAGAGTTGGCCCTGGCAAGATCTAGAGGGCGCACGCTCTTGAAGATTCGAAGATGAATTCGAGGATTACTGATGAGATATAAAATGTACTGGTTAATGTATTAAGATCCCGAATAGTAATGAATGTTCAATTGGGAAAAGACGGGAAAAGGTTCTCATCTAAAGATAAGATTTACGCTTAAGATGGATTAGATCGTGGATGACATAAGCAGCTTACAGGTACCTAATTTCCAGCGAGAATGCCCCTTAAAAGCCCACTGTGACCTTTTCCCCCTTTTTGGAGAAAAATCCTAAACCCAGTATCTAAAGTAAAATAACTCGGTATTAAGTTTCCCCAGATGCCTACATCCATTCATGCTCAAGAAAAAAGAGTTCGGATGACCTCCCGAAGCTCGATCCTATCCGGGCAATCCCCCATAACCCATCTTCCCCAGTCCCCGCATCTCAACACCCTGACCCGCCCCGCCCTTTCCCCCCCTAACCCTTCCCCACGGCCCGCGCTTACCATCCATAGCCCCGTTCCATGAACCTCCAGCTACACCACAGCGCCTCCCACCTACCTACCTAGGTAGCAATCGCCCCGGGGTCGCCCCGGGCTGGCGGAGGCACCAACGGAGGAGGCTAACCCCATAAACGCAGACCTTCTCGGCGCTCATCCCCAAAACCGACCTAACTCCCCCCAAAATTCTCCAAAATCCAATACCTTAACTAACCCCCTTTAGAAAAAGTTCAGGCGATGCCTAATACTGCAGTCTCCTCGGCCTTGAAGCTTGCTTTTCTCTAGCCCTTTTCTACCCCAGTTACTCCAGTTGGGGACTTAGGCCGTTGCACTAGCGGTTCGTCTTACCGCTACCCCCAAGGTTAGCAATTTCGGTATGTAACCATGAATCCATGCATGTATGGATTTCCGATTTCGTGCCTGAAAGAGCTTTTCCTTGGGCCGTCGCTGCTGCTTCTGGGTTGGGTATTCACCGTGATCACCCCCCCGAACCCCCATCCGCGTCCGCGTCATCGGATGAGAACGTGCCGTACCCATTCCACTACCTAGTCACCGGACCGACTCGAGATCTTAATTATGATATATGACCGCCCGCTAAGCAGGGCTTTCCCCATAATCTCGTCTGCATGGCAGAGAAAAGGCGATACGCGAAAGAAAAAGTTGCGAAAAGTTGGCGGTGTTATGGGACTAGGGTGATTCGCTAAGTGAAGATTATCAAGATAATCAGGATCAGGGAAACCGAGGTCTATGAGCCCCCTTAGAGTCCTTGGAGTAAACCGGGGGTTTCTAGCAAGCAAATTTTACCGGGAACCCTCACGACGCCGCTTCGATAGTCACTTTCAAAATCCTCTTAACCATCATAAACTGAGTAGGTAAATATGTAAATTTTTCACACTTCAACACACATCTAACAACGCTATGCTAACCTACCTACCTACCTACCAACCTAGGTACCGGTAGTCCTTTAAATGCCAGAAGCATACCTAAATAATATGTATATACATACTCCATGCGCGCCAACATTTTCCTTTTCCCAGCTATAGATACAAGTTCCCCAAGTTTCTCTCCCCTCGCCGTAGCATCCGAAAATCGCACACGTGCAAACCTGGTAGGTTGTAGCCTTTCGTAAATAACCATGACCGCATCAAGACGTCGTCAAAAACACTACAAGCCGCCCCCGCCGGTCCGAAAGGCAGTGTCATGAAGCCCATCACATCACATCACATCGTGTCGTGTCGCGTCGTGTCGTAGTACAAAATCACTCCCGCCACCCCTTTAAGTTTTAAGTCCCGTATCGTATGCCTTAACATGTACCATAGATACCTAAGTAGCCAAGCACGTAAACCCCCCACCCTCACCTCGCTTCACCCCTGCGCCCCAGCCAAGAAAAAATCAATCTCCTTCCCCTGGCCGATCGCATGCTCGCTCTCGGCAAGCTGCTCCAGCAAGCTGAGGAACGGATCCTTCTCCTCGCCGGCGCCGCTCGTCGTCGTCGTCGTCGACGTGCTTCCCGCGCCGGGGCTCGGCGCGTGGTCGCCTTCCCCGCTTCCGTTCGCGCCGGTACCGCCGTGCCACGGCGTCGGCGACGAGAACGTGTTCGTCGGCACCGTGCCGAACATCGGGTCGTAGGCGCTCGCCACCCCGACCCCGACCCCGACCCCGAGGCTGCTCTCGTTGTCGCCGCTCGGGCTGGGCGTCGCGTAGTGGTACGACGGGGAGAAGGGCGCGGCCGCGTTGATCGTCTGCATCTGTTGCTGGGCTTGGGCTTGGGCCTGGTGGTGGTCCGACACCGAGTCGAAACCCGCTGCCGCCGCCGCCGCGGCAGCGGCGGCGTTTGCTTGGTCGTCCATCGACTCGCGTTTACGTTGGACCATTTGGGCCGCGTTGGTGCCGTGCGAGGGAAGCGCGTTAGAGGCCTGGAGCATCGACGACGAAGGGCTCTGGACGGCCGAGAAGGAGAAGTGGCGAGGATGGGCGGTGGGCGTGGGGAGGCCGGAAGATAGGGGGCCGTTGTGCGTTGTATTCACCGGCGTCAGGCTCCTCATCTCCGAGCGTCTCCGGCCAGCGATCTTCCTCTTGAAGCTAGACCGGCCCGAGTCCGCGTGGACGCGGGGCGCGTACAAGTCGTGTCCGGTGTACGCATCTGAGGCAAATTCGACGACGGCATCTAACAATCCCAAGTTCGCAGCATCAAACGTAAATGGGCAGCCCCCCGGCCTGCTGATATTCGAGTAACGGTCGAAGAAATCCTCCCCGAGATTGAAAGCCAGAGAGTACCGCATCGAGTTGTTTGCGAGGCCCTTGACTAATTCGGCGTGGGCGTTGTAGATATTTTGCAAGGTATCGCGTTGAGGCAGAACGCTAGCCCACGTATAGCTGAGTTCGCCGAGCTGGTGCAGTTCTCGGGATAAAAACTCAGACGAAGATGAAAGCACACTCATATTTTCTCCTCCTCCGCTCTTACTATAATGTGCTCCGTGAATATGGACTGTACCTGCAGTACAAATACAATATCCGACAAAAGCAGGCCATTCGATAGAGGCCATCTGTTTGCCGAGTTCGACCAGCTCGGCAATCGCATTTGCGTGTAAGAAGCATATGTTGGTCGCCTCTATTTGCCAAGATTGGTGTTGGCTGGTTCCAGCGAGTTCTGCCAGGTTAATGGGTAGGAAGGGCCTATATATGAGACAGTGAATCAAATGGTAGACAAGTTTGCTAAGGACAAGGACCGTCGAGTCTGGTTGTCCAAATAAGGTATCTACGCTCGAGAAAACATCGTCAGTTCCAGAAGCCCAAATGTCGAGGTCCTGTCGAATCTTAGATAGCTCGGAGAGAGCATGCCAAGGGAAATGTGAGTCGCCCTTGACACCGCCGGCAGCTAGATATTTGTTCGTTGTTCCCAGGATCCGGCTGATATCTATGAGCATACCACTACTTCCCTGTGATTTCCTCCCACTTCCTTGTATGTGTTGGAGGTTCGATCCATTTTGGAAAAAATCACCTTCAACCGGTAAAGCGGATGGGCCAGGGGACCAGCATGGTAGGCGCAGGAGTATTGTTCTGTCGCTGATGATACATGGACGCTTGGATCCACAAGCCATGAATCTATCGAGTACGTAACAGGTCCAAAATAGCCGTCTTCTTACTTCACGTTCAACTACCGTAACACGTGCCTGTCGATCAACCTCTCGATGTAACTCGAGGGCCATGGCCATGCCAATGGCGGTGGCTAGATTAGAGAGTTAGTCTGTGGCGCTTTGAGATATCCATAGATTTGAATCGATAGCTATCTTGTAACATACTCAGGAGCATATAGGCCTTCTTCCCCTTGCCGGCTGCGGTAAACGCGGTGACAAGGAGAAGGAGTGCCTGGAGTGCATCAATTGATGGCTCATCCGTATCAATCTCATTCCTAGATCGCAAAGCATACTCCTCGCTTAATTTAACCGCAGATTGGTACCCGGTGGGATAACTTGCGTATCTGCGATAATTTTAGCAACTTGCACATGCGAATCGTGAGATACAAACAAACCTCGCAGCCACAGCGTAGATGGCGTGTATGAGATAACTGGGTAATTGGTTAAGCTGTAAACGTTGTCGTATTGACGATTCATCAAGAATGTGATAAGGTTTTGCGTGAAACCGATTGAAGTAAGTATCAATAAATGCATCTATCTGGATGCTAGGGGTGGAGGGCTCGTTGCTAAATGTAGGAGAGTATATTGCAGACTCTGCGGCTATCTCCGTTGTCCGGACATTGTCGAGAGCTGGTCGTTTCGATTTTGGCTCTGAGGCTTGCTCAGCAATCGCAGACCCAACATCAGAGAGCGTTTCCTCTATGGTAATCTGTGGTTGTCCTGTGGTTGGTGAGGCATCTGACTGTCTGCGATCTTTGAGCTGAGCTTCTAGACCATCTACCCTCTTTAGCAAGGCTTCTAACACATCTGTCTTCGGCCCTCGTTTCTTTGGTACTGCATCTGTATGTCATCAAGGTGATTAGCCCTGCCGTCTCAATCTTCCCCGAAGGACTCCCTTCGCAAATAGAAATATGTCGATCACATACCATATACGCAAGGACACTGGAAGACTTGACAAGCTTCACAGGACGGACGTAATCGATTGCACTTTATCTACATCGGGAAGGTCATCTGTTAGATTCATTCAAAGATAACAACCCGGGTATTGAGATTGGCGCCGCTAGCTTGGGAAGAGCCTTACTTTCCGCTTCCGACATGACTTGCAATTCATTGCTTCTCGTGGCTCGTTGCCCATGCGGCGACTTGGTAATCGCTCAATGCCGATTTGGGGCCGCGACATAATGATAGGCTGAATCCCGGGGAGAGGTGCAACACTCATCGTGACCGATTCACCGTCGTGATAGTTGCGGTGAATGGTTCTGGGCGGAACAGACCCTGGATATTCCTCGTCTCGTTCAAAGATCTCTGGAAGACAAAAACCGAAAGTGTCGTGGTCAACCCGAACATGCCCAATCGCTCTTTTCACTATTTCCTAATCTTTTCTCTCTACTGGAATAGAGATTTCTTGTGGATTACCAATGGAGCTCTCATCATTCCTCGTTGCTGAACGCGTAGCCGGCAGCTCAGGTCAAGTTTGCGAGGTGGAACGACGAATGGCGTTACATGTGTAGGGTCAGTGTTGCTGCATATCGTATTGTACGGAGACCTAGTGCAGGTACTAACACGCGCCCAATGATACAGCTATATTTCTAGAAATTGGAGACATTGAGAGACATGGCGGAGTAGGGCTAATAAAAGAAAGGCATCAACGGTTTAGGGCCGCGCAATGCAGGGAATTTTGTGGTCTGTAGGTAGTTCAGATGGGAAAAAGATGGGGCGTCGTTCATGCGGAGAGATGCTGGGATATAGCTGGGATATAGGAGTGATGTAAGGAGATGGTCTTCTAAAAAGTTGGGGTTTAGGGCGTGTTAACCCTGCTGAACATCCTGGGCAGATGCTAGGAAGACTGGAAGACAAGGAGAGAGTCTCCGCAAGAGACCTGCTTCTAGCGCGGTCCTGCTCATCATCCACTCGGCTCGTGTCTACCCTTGTCTGCCACTGTCTTCCCTTGTCAGTGCGGGACCTGACGGGGCAACTGGGGAAAGTTGCAGGGGAGCCGAGAGGGTAACAGGAGCAAGGATGTGTATTGGTTAACGAATTCGAATTCGGACCATGTAGTCGGAAAGCCACCAGAATGGGGGTCTGAATGGGGTACTTGCAGAACTCCCAGAACTCGCAGAGGTTAGTCCCGGCTTATGCCGTAACGCCTATTCTTAAGCTTAATCGTAAATGCCACTGGATGCCACTCAGCTCAAGCCTTGGATCACACGTAGTAGCGGAGGAACGAACCGACTATGGTAGTAGAAGAGTTGGAGGTGATGATTATAGGGGAAGAAAAAGGAACACCAGGGGGGTACTCCAACTCTTCATGAAATAAACCACGTGCTGGGTCCCACGATGGACGGGACCTTTAGTTGCGCACCAATGGCCTTAATCCATCCTCAACCCATTCTCACTAACGATTCCACCCCGGCATTCTAAGCCGTAGAAGCGCCGACTCTACCGCCTTTAGAGGATTTCTTCTAGAGGTATTAAGCGTCATCACGAGCTGTCAAGGTTGGGTAGCTTGTCCATCCCCAGATCTGTGTTATGCGATAGAGCATTTCTAGCTTGCCTGGAGTTCCATCGGCATGTCACATTGGTAAATCTTTTTCGGCCGGTTGTCTAGAATAGGCGTCCCTAAGCGTCCTGTGGCTTGAATCACCCGGAATGACGCTCATTCAGGCGCATGTCGGTTTTCTGGCGAATTTCGATTCCCCTTCGGAGCTGTCCAAAACTACCTAGGTAGGTATGCCTCGGAACGTCGAGAAAAGTACAGTCTCACTTACCGGCTTGGCGTATGCCATACTATCAGGCTTGAAAACTTGTGTATTCTAGACTGATCTCAAAAGACCTGAAATGTCTTCAGCCAAGTTGCGCGGTTGCAGGGCCCCCAGCCTATATGCGACCGAGATCATGGCCGCCCGCGGCGGCGGCGGAACCGTACTTTGAAAACATTGGTCTCGTCCGATATATGAAGTCGGGATTAGTAGCCTGAGACCAGGCCACGCACGCCCTACAAGGTGCTCGGACGATGTGTGAAGGCGATCCCTCGTATCTTAATTCTCAGCAAGTGTCCACAGCGAGACTTGTATTATATGTCCGCACAGGTTTTCTTACGCTTATTAGGAGCGTAACTCCCTATTCTAAGAGCCCGCGGTTGTGAATTTATTTCCGACCCCTTAAAGTGCTAATTCACCACATCTCTGCCTCGGACACTACCAATGCCAAGGAAATTGTCATCGACAGAACCAGCTCACACACAGGTAGTCAACGTGCTGAAAATATATTTCAATCTTGTGTCAGTATTCGCAAAATCTTAAGCATGCATCTCGTCGCTATTAGTATAGTAAATTCTCATCCTAGCAATGAAAGTCTCAGGGACAGGCAAATCCGCGAAATATAAAGAAGTCGCTAAAAAAAGCGAGCCAACCTGGCTACGCCGTGACGAGAGCATCTACTGGGTATCAACGGGCTAAGGTTAGTGAAGTCGTTCGGTTTAATTTGTTAGTTCCGCGGAAAGCCCAGTATCTTCGTCATCCAGAATTGGGTAGGCCTAACCGGGGATTTTCCTTTCATGACATAAATTCGAAGTATCATCCCAGAGGCAACGGCGGCGTTTGAGGTGGTGAGACGTCAACTATTTTTATGTGGCTCATAAACCATCATGATCTGCAGACATTTCATTGGCTTATGTGATATCAACGTCCTATTCAAGACGGATACCGACAGAATGGAAGAAGCAGTGCTAGCCGGCGGGGCCTTGTGTTCGTGCATCCACATATTAACTCTTGGAACAGTTCAACAGCATGGGAATACCCGAGCAGATGGCGGCGGGTCGAGATATTACAGATCCCTTTGGTGTTGCGATGCTCTGCCGTCGACAAATTGGAGGATCGATCCAATTAGTTTCCTTTTCTGAACCGACCTACCTATGCACGGGGCTGTCGAGGGCGTCTCGTACGATACAGTAGCGCGGTGATCGACAGACGGATTTAACAGCAATAGCGATATCGAAGAATATGTAAATCTCGGCCGTGACAAGCACGTGTGGTACCAGATAGATATCGTGTCTCATTTCGATCTTTGGAACCCATCTCGGAAGAAGATGCGGGTGTGTATTCCGGCAGACCTAAGCAGGGAAAAGAGGATGCCGTACACAGCCGGGTTAATGTTCGCCGCTAAAAGACCCGAAACCCCCCTCCATCTCGTTCTAGACACCTAGGTATGTAAGTAACAGTAATTTTCATATTTATGTGAATGCCAAGCTAAGTATTGTCTGAGCAGAGTTGAGTCCCTGGCGCGACAAGATTATTTGTGATGCGGCTCCCTGCCCGGGGTATGCAACTTTCAGTCCTCGGCCGTGTCCACCTAGGATGGTGACAGATCCGGACAACAGGATAACCCTGGACCCGTCCTGTTAGTCTCAGCTTGCAATGTTGACATGTTACACCTGCGGCATAGTAGAAGACGATAGAACTTTAGATCTGATAGGCTTATAGATCGTCATGGACTCGGGCTTGGGACGAATACTGCAGAACTCCGCGATGAAGCTCTCCACTTTGCCTCGACGTGGGCAACCTTTTCCTGCGGTTGGCGGCATGTGGCTTCGTCTCGTAAAATATTCGCCAGAATATGCTTAAGTATAATATAAATTCCAGGCTCCACCGTGATTGTTTATGACATGCAGATAATGTTAATAAGAGATAGCCTGTCAAAATATCACATGAACCTTCCACAGCGTCTTCGAGGCCATTTCATCAGGTTATAGACCGACTCAGGTACCCGTGGTTTATATTGAACATACCTGATAATCATATCAGCTTGTGCATATCAGCCCAGTTAAGCATCCACGACATACCTCTCTTGGTCGCCAGATAAGCTCCGTAGAAGGTAGCTTCTATCATTCAATAGGTACCTAAGAAGCCTCCAACCTCTACATCGTTGGAGTTGACTTCTCACTTCGGAAGCCACCCGGGAATTGTCCCGGCTTATAGCACAAGGTCACATCAACGACAATCACCTCCCAAACTTAAACAAAACTCCGAGCCGCTCGACCTTGATCGCGCTATGTTATGACCTCAACATGCGCATGCAGTCTAATGCTCAAGCTCTGCCTGTTAACTCCGATGAAACGAGTTGTGTAGCACACTGGATCATTGACGGGGGCTGCAAGAGCTTAACGGCGTTGCTCAGTACGTGTAGTCGCATATATGCCTCTAGGCAGTACCTAATAGATAGATGCGCGGAGTCCCGAATCATTCAACTAGCCTCTCCAGTAGGCCTCTAAGTTCTGGGCGGACATAGCGTTAGATTAAGAGGTAAGCGAACGCGATACTGATCAAATGCTAAATATATTCTCAGCTAGACCGTCCAAACCAAAAGAATCGTCTAATCATGCCATAGATGATTCCATATGTCTAAATCTCAATACTATGGCACAGGTCAAAATCCGGCTACTTTACTCGGGGGTATATGTGTCTCCTTTAAAACATTCCTTGACCACTTGCAAGCCGTACGAAGCTATACGGCACATTTTGACCGACGAGCAACCTGAATGTCTGAACAGTTGTGAAAGCCGTCGTGTCTGCTACACCGTACGTAGCAAAGCCGCTTTGCTCAGCGATCAAGCTCGGATCACCTTTCCTCGGTCCGTCGGCAAGGTTCAGGAAAACCTTACGGATCTGCGTCGACGAGCCCCTTGAGCCTCCGAATGCGCGCACAAGCATGCCGACAATGTTAGACTTCTCAGGCCCCAGCGCAGAGATGATCACGAACGGATTGGCCTTGTCGTGAACCATTCTTGCCCGTTGAAGGCCCTCTAGGTTATTAAAAGGTTGAACCTCGAAGCCACGAGCTAGATCAGGAGGCGTCTTAAAGCCAACGGTGTATACTTTGCCAATACGAAGCGCCTTTAGCGCGTACATAGTCGACGCTGCGTCGTCGGCGTTGGTAGCTAAGACGAGTGCTGCACGGTCGGCGTATGCCGATGGAGCAAGGTCGCGTGTCAGCGTGCTAACAATGCCACGCCAGTTTGCATTGTCAAAAATGAGCGAGGAATTTAGCGGCAGCCCGTTAGCATTGTTGCCAAAGGTGTCACCGTTTCGGCTAGAACTAGATGGGGTCGCAGGAGGTGCGGAAGGCGGTGGGGTTGACGGACCAGACTGGACAATAATGGTATCAATCATACCAATCGTGCGGGCTGCTTCGGTAATCGACAGACCTGATCCGCTGTTGAGGCTCGCAAAGAAAGAACTGTTATTCATGAGGCTTGTTAGGGATACAGGTGGGCTTAGATAAGCGCCACCAAACGATTTCTGGTTGCATAAAGCTTCTATGAAACTTGAATCTTTTGACTGTCTCTCGACAACGGCAAATTGGTGAGGCAAACCAAGTTCGTTGAAACATTTTTCATAGAAAGGGGCATACGGTGTCGCGATGCGGGAAAACGGACTGCTGATTCCATAAATATTCTTCTTGGGAAGCTGGCCAAGCGTTGACAAAGCTGCGTTAATTTCAGCAGCGCTCAGCTGACCAGGTGCGGCAATGATCGGGAGAAGAGGGTGAGTAATGGGTGTGAAGACTTTGTTTAAAGTCCTCGAGAACTGTCCAGTTTCTCCCATATTGACCGCGGATAAAGGGGGCGAGCCCGGGTACTCGGCTCGGATTTTAGAACGAAAATATTCCAATTCGAAATTCTCGTTGGGATCATTGATTATTGATATCATTTTTACAATGTCAGCATATTTTCGAGATTCAAGAAATATGGACTCCGCTTGAGTTGAAGGCCACTTGAAGGTGCCGGAAAAATCGTGGAAAGCGGACATGATGCGACTACTTCCGCGTTTCTCGTAAAGCTTCCGACGGATATGCTCCGGAAGCCAAAGCTCGACATCAATATATTCAACGCCCCACTGAATAGAACGGAAAAGATATTCGTAGTACAGATCGGGATTGTCCATGGGAAACCGGCCGTTTTCTCTTGTACACCTTGTAGTGAAAATAATAGGCAGCTCGGTTCTCTGGCGCAACAACATGACTTGTTCGCCGACGTAGCTTAAACTAGGTATCGCAGCACAACCACCATCTTTCAGGGGCTCCTTCAGGAGGTCGACGCGTAGTTCTACAGCGTCAGAGCCAACTGTGAGAATATCAAGGTTTGGAAGAGCAGCACGAACGTCGGGAAATGTAGTCGAGATGAAGTAGGTACGTGGTTTTGACATGAGTGAATCATGGTGATTGATCTGGCCGAGTGTGAATGATATGAATCGGGCCAAATCTCGACGAGAGAAGGACGTTCCGGGATATAAGTATTCGTAGTCGCATTGCGTAGAAATATATCTATCCGGAGGCATTCCGAGATTGACGCTATGAGCATTAATCGCAACCACGGCATCTCGATTTCGTGTGGAAACGTCGATTTTGGCGCTTTCCAGCGACATCCCAAGCACCAAATCTTGCTCAAGAGAAGTTATGCCTTGGAAACTATCTGCCATTCGGTAGGGTTTCCCCAAGACGTCGGCAAAAACTGATACGATACTCTCTTGTCCGGGACCATAGATAATAACGACCGTTCGAGTATCGCCCTTTTGCAGCCCACTAGTATCGCTTGTCCCATTCATGGCTGACGGTCGCGATGCTCGATCTGCATCTGGTTCGGCGGGTGGGATTATTGAGCCATTATTGCCAAGTGACCGAGCTGGCCCAGGGGCCCGATGAAGCTGTTGGACTGTCGCCATAACGCCCTAATAGACGACGACCAAGCTTTTATATGATGAAGACCCTGGACCAGTATTTTTGAGGCCTAATACTATATGGGAACTGTTTTAAATGATAGGTTCTTCATTTGCAATACGTGCCTCGGGCTTGCGTTTGGTCATACAACGAAATATAACGACGGCGGCGCATCGGTGGAATATGATTCAGACGGGTTCATTCGTATTTATAGAGTGGTTTGTGGTCGATCAAGTCAGGCGATCGTAGGTAGTTATCGTGGAAGACATCTCGAGGTCTGGGCTAGTGGATTTATACAAGGTAGCTTCTAGCACCTGGTATTAAATAACTGAGGCTTGATGATAAAGTCGCAAGTTGGAGACAAAGCTGCGCGTGCGACGACTAGCAACCGGGTCAAAATAGCCTCGGGAAAAATTACTCGGTGATCTAAAGTAATTCTTCCGGCCACTTAAATGCAAGTATCTCCAGCTGCAGTTCAGCGCGGGATCAATCGAGGCGAGAGCCTCATGGCCAGAAATAAACGAGAAAGATAAGAAATGAGCGAAGGTGACTGTAGATGGATCCATTCACTTAGGGTGGCCCTAGATTACTAGTGTTTAGGCGCTAGACGATAGGTACCCTGGTACAATATTTGGCCGAAATAAAGGCTAAGAGTGGCCGGATTGGCTAAGACAAATTCTGGGGGCCCCACGATTTAGCACCCGTTCTCCAGCGCTCGAAGATTTACCCCGATGCCCTTGTCCTAGTAGGGTTAGTGATTTGCTTATTTCTCCGCGAAGTAGGAGGAGAGGAAACGCGGAAGGCTCGATCTCATCAGGGAAGTCTTTGATAACAAGCAGACAAGCAACTGCGAGTCCCGTATATTGTGGGACTTCCTCTCGTTCGGGATACACTTCCAAGTTTAAATGCAGTCTAAGCTCATCCCGACCTTGGTAGACTTCAAATCATAACACCCCATTTGCCAATCACCTATTATAATTATAGATATCTCATCTCATCTTGAGATCTTGTCCCTTTTTCTCTATGAACATACCTGCCTACATGTGGGCTCATGAATGATTAGCATTCATTATCAAAGTGACACATCAAGCAGCTTCTTGTTATTCATTTGCTAATAAATTTATCACAAAAGTTCAAGGAATAAAACAAAACGAATCAACCCAAAACAAACGAAGCATGCCTAGCACCCCAGCAATTAACGTCTGATCAGCAGGGCTTAGTGGCATCACCAACATTCAAAGACCACCCACAATACGACCTCGGTAGTAGATGCTCCTTTAGTAGAAGCACGCTACATTTATCGATACTCCATATGCTCTAGTGGCAGCACAGATACTTATGTAGTTTTCTATATTGGAAAAACATTTATCATGGTCGAGCATACAGGAGAGCTACTTCTTCATGAGCACGCTCTAAGATAATTACCTACCTAGCTACTACCATCCATCAGGTGTCATCCGTTTCAAGAAGACATATTACTGGCGACATGACGCTGAAGTGGGCTTTCCTAATCTGCAACTTGCTGCAATTCAACCTAGCGCGATCGAGCGCTGTCGATCACTCGCTGCAGAACCGAGTAGACTCCTTTCAGAATCCCGTGATCTATGAAGATTTCGCTGATAATGACGTCTCAGTTAGCCCCGATAGCCTATACTATTACTCTACTTCAAATATGCACTACAGCCCGAGTGCCCCTATTTTGAGATCAGGAGATATTGTTAATTGGGAACTTATCGGCCACTCTGTGCCTACTCTCGATTTCGGGGAACAGTACAACTTGACAAACGACCATACACACCGTGGAGGTACATGGGGCCTTTACCATGCGTTTTCGCAAGACTACTAGGCTTTGGTATTGGATTGGATGTGTTGACTTCTAGTACACCTACATTTATACGGCTGAGGACGTCGCCGGACCGTGGACTAAGTCCGCCGTGCTTCCCGGAGGAACATGCTACTATGACTGTGGTCTTCTAATAGATGATGACGACGCGATGTACGTAGTTTACGGCTCCACTGACGTATCTGTAGCCCAACTATCCGAAGATGGACTCAGTCAGGCGCAGACATGTCTTCAGTGCTTCAGACGTAGAGAAAGACGGAATAGAGGGGAACCGAATGTACAAGAAAGATGGGTTCTACTACATCCTTGATGATCATTTGGGCGATATCACATATATCTGGAAGTCTGATAGCCCCTGGGGTCCATACGAGAGTAAGGTCCTAGTCGATAATGTCAAGTCCCCACTTGCAAATGGGGGAGCGCCTCACCAGGGGGGCCTTATCCAAGCCTCATCTGGCGACTGGTACTATATGCCTTTCACATGGGCATACCCCAACGGCTGTATACCCGTTTTGGCTCCTATCAAGTGGGAAGATGACGGATTCCCTTCTTTCGTCCCAGACGGAGCTGGCGGATAGGGCTCCTCTTATCCAGCACCACTTCCACTGAAACCTGCACAGGACTGGACTCGCACCGATACCTTTGAAGATGCTTCTCTAGGACCTGACTGAGAATGGAATCACAACCCCGATGAAACCAAGTATCAAATTGGCAACGGCAGTGTGACCCTATCAACTGCGACCATAACGAACGACTTCTATGCGGCACGCAACACACTAACCCATCGAGTCCACGACGAGTTTGCTGCATTCCGCGATCGCTCCGCTTATATTGGTATTCATCGCGATGGGAATAAGTACACTATATCCGTCGTCCACAGCCCCACACAAGAAGAATTGACATGGAATATGACGAGTAATGGAACTATAGTTACTACACAAACGAAAATCCTCCCAGATAAGACTATATGGCTTCGAGCGTCGTTGGATGCGCGTGCGAGCGGTACTTATGCTGCCAATTTTTCTTACAGCACTAACGGGCAGAACTTTACTCAACTAGGAAAGACGTATACTATGTATATTGGCTGGTCCTATTTTATGGGTTACCGGTTTGGAATCTTCAATTATGCTACGAAAAGTCTTGGTGGTTCGGTCCGAGCCCTTTCCTTTACGAGCGCCTGATGCTGCTTAAGAAGCGGGCGTTACCCCCTATCTTCCCATTCGCAATAGTAAAGTGCATATATGCATCGGGATGACAATATTTTAAGCGCCCAAGTAAACAAAATCATACTCAGAATAAGTCCCACTATCTATGTTTAGAGGTGTACTGAAATTTCATGAACTCATGAATATCGTTGGTACCTACGCAGGCCTTTATCAGAGAGTGATGTGACCGGGATTAGGTGGTACCTCGCCAACATCCCATGCCGCCGGGTCAGCGCTAAGTTCGAACTCCAATAAGCTATCCTGCCCATCAGGTCGAACTATGTCTTCATGGCCAATCCAGCTCTTGTTCCATGATCGACCATTAATCTTAAGACTTTGTACGTACGATCCCTTATCCAACCCCGTCGCCTTTATCCTCAAAACCGGGCCGTCGTCCCCGAGCTTCATAGTGATATCTTCGAATCGTGGGGCAAGGACTAAGTACACCGGCTGGGTTACCACAGGGTACAGGCCGATCATATTCCAGACCAACCAACTACTCATGGCCCCAGCGTCATCGTTGCCTGGGATTCCCGAGCGCCCGGTGTTGTAGTACTGGTCGACAACTTCGCGTGATCTCTGAACAGACTTATGCTGCCGCTTCGGGAAGTAGTTGTACAGGAACGGCGTCATAAAGCTTGGCTCATTTCCGGGGTTAAATATCGTCGTACCGATGCTGTTTCCCCCTTGATCTGATCCTGTAAGGCCCGGGATAAACATGGTGTCTAGCCTTGCCTCGGCTTTTTCTGGGCCTCCCATAAGAGAGATCAACGATTCCATGTCAAATGGTATTGTCCAACTATACTCCCAACTATTGAACTATTAATAAATAAATTTTAGGATAAGTGTAAAGTAGGGTACTTACGGGACACCCTCATAGCTGATACTGCTCCATTCGCATGCGCCGCATGAAAGTGGATCGTAGTCTTGGTAGCTACCGTTCGGATACATCGGGGCGAGGAAACCGGTAAAGTTCAGTGATGTTACGTCCGCAGCCCACGTCTTCTGCCAGCCCCTATTTCTCAAATCAGAACACCTTCTTGCAGGATGTAGAAAAGCAGTAGATCGCTCACGCAGAACGGTTGAGATACTTCACCGTGTCTTCAGGCGCTTCTCCCTTGGCGACTTGAGATAACGAGAAGTCATTCAACGAGTATTCGACCGTCTTGCTAAGGCACCGACCTTTTGAAGGCGTCACGTAACCATATTGTTTCCAATCATCGAGCGCACTGCGTCCTTCTTTCGTACTCCCAGTCGGATCCTCGAAATCGAAATTGTTGTATGGTTGAAGTTCCGCATTAGTCTTCATTGCTGCGTAGCCGTCCGTCCAATTGATGCCCCCCTGAAGCCCCTTTACATACGCGTCGGCGAGCACGTTATCCGAATTGGAACCACCTTGCACCCTTCCGTTGAAGTTATGACTTCTCCCATCCGGCATGAACCTTTCAAATCTCCATATATCAATCAAAGCTCTGACGATACCTATTTGGGTTTTGGGTTGAATGAGGGTTAGAAGGGGGTGAAGGCATCTGAATGTATCCCAGATAGTGTAGAAATCATCATAATAAGGCTCGTCGGACTCCCAGTACGGGTTCTCCCCTGTCCTGTTTGAAGGGAGCAGGTGAGCATGGTACATCGCGGTGTAGAACATCTCGAGCTGGGTTTCATTCGCAGTTGTAACATCAATTTTTGAGAGTACTTCCGAGTTCCACTGGTTTTGGGCGGCATCCCGCACAGCTTCTAGGTTCCAAAGTGGGATTTCCTCGAGGAATTGACACGCTTTGTCCGTCGAAACCCAAGATATCCCAACCTTGGATTTGACAGTTGTGACGTTCGACGGAAACTCGAACAAAGCACCAATTCGGTCTGCGTATTGATATCCTACGGTTCCGCCCTCGATTTGGGTTTGATTAGTGAAAGTCGGCCTGGCGTCAGTTGCGTTTGGCCAGTATGGGTCTGTTGCTTTGCCCGAGAATAGCTGGACATGCGATGGGGTGGAGTCGAATTGAGCGCAGAAGTATACTCGAAAGTCACCGCCCCAAGCCCAACCCTCTCGATAAACACCGTAGCCTGAGTACCAGGTACCATCGTCGCTACGTTCAAGCTTCCCATTGCTATACCACTGTTCTTTCTTTCCAGTGCTCGGGAGGAAATGGCTTAGGTCAACAAGGACGAAGCGTCCGTCTGCGTCCTTAGGATAAGTATATCTCATGATTCCAGCATGCATGCTAGCGCTCATCTCGGCAGTTACGCCGCTCTGAAGTTGAGTTTTGTAGTACCCGACGTTAGCTACATCTTCGCCAACTCTCGGTTGCATGTAAGTCAGATTGTCTAGAACATTGACACCTTCAAGAGTGGTGAGAGGCATCTGCGGTATGAGACCATATGTCGGTGCACCTCCCGTTCCACTCTCATGCAGCATCGTGATTCCGGTTACGTTGCCATCTGGGGTATATCCAGCATTTGCAGAAACTAGCACCGTCAGTGTTTGCAGGAAATGAACGGATACCAACTTAAAGACGTAGTAGAGTTGCAATTGACAACCACCCTTGTACTCTATCACCTCCTTCTCTAAGTATCGTGGTCGAAGGTGAACTTACACGAGACATTCCACCTGTTGTACTAATCAGAAAGGTCTCCTTCAAGTATTACAGGAGAAGGGCTGTAGATATCAGGATACGAACCGAGTAGTATCAATCCCAACCTTGACCGCGCCGAACGGAAGAGTAGCCCCGGGAAAGACATTGCCAGCATTATAAGCTGTACCCTTAACTGGGCCTTCGGTACCAATGAAGAGATTTACATATTCTGTCAAGTCTTTGGTTGTGTTGGTCGCGGTAGCCCTTACGGCCAGCATCAAAGTGCTGATCGCAAGACTCCAGAGCAGCTTCATCGCTCCAAATTACAATCTCGAAAGTTCCACTAGCAAATGCCCATAGAAACAATCGGCGGGGAACATATTGTTACTGTGAGGCTCGTCGAAGATCTACGTTCTTTTAATATAAACCCCAATCTTGATCTGTTCTCCAACCAGGATACCCCATACGACTCCATAATATCTCCGTTCTACCCCGAATTTCTTTTTTCTCCAAGGTGCTCGATGGCGTTCGCTAAGCCGCTTCTGGTTTTCTTCACCGCTGAAAATCCTGAACTCGCCATAATTCTTGCCCGACGTTACGGCAGCTGACGAAATCATGGAATCTTATAGTTGTGAAGCTAGAGTTACGAAGAATAGGATTGGGGATTGCGGGGGTTGTTCTTCATCTCGTTCCACACCGTCGGAACCCAACTCCCGGCAAACATCGCCGAAATATCCGCAGTCAGCTGATAGTCTATAACAATTCGATTGATACCTTTTTAGGTCATGCTAGAGTAGGTATGTACCTAGACTTTCCTCCTGATATCTTTTATTTTTTTTTTCTCGTGTGATGTAACCCGTATATATGACCCGGCTTTCCGAGCCAAACTGCGCATGATATAACACACCCCTCCAGACCCAAATGCATTCCTCTTCCCGCCTGCCCTTCCGCTCGGTATCAATTCTCTCGATGAGAATTTGAAATCGTTGAGCGATGTGGCTGGTTCTGTGGCGTTCGTTTTCCCCATCCGAAAAAGCCACACAAATTTATTTCCTGAAAACTTGGAAGCCTCCCGATCCCACCCCTCTCGGGCTGGCCGTTGTTAATGTCCTCCACAGGGACCAGCCACCGAGGATCAAGAAAGCGCCCCAATGACCCCAGGCCTTCTTCCTATTTTTCTCCCCTCCGTTGAACCAGATGACGAGACCGTCTCCCAGGCCCGCGAGCGCCATAATCGCCGTGAATGCCGTGACAGCGTCGTCGTGCTTCAGCCATTTTAGAACTCCTAGGGATAGGCCGTATGTGACTTCGCGAATGCCTTTTAGGTGTATCAACGGGGACGCGCGACCCTCTTCGGCGCTGCTGGATCGTCTTTCACCACGTTCGCCGCGCTCGCGTTTTTCGCCCCGTTCCCGCTTCGACCGGGGTGCTGGTTCCAGCGGCAAGCCGAATCGGCCGTACTCTTGTGTGGGGCGGACGAAGCAATTCACGCCAAGGAGTATGCTGCCCGCGCCAATGAAGTAGGCCGGTATAGGCGGTGCTGCTCGGAAGTTAAAGTTGTTGTAGAAACCCATATTGTTGCAGGATTTTTTATTTTTATTCGATTCTCGAGGAGAGAGGTTCTTTTTCTTCAATAAAAAAAATCTGGTAAAATTTTAGAGGAGGGTCGTTTGGGCCTTCTTAAAGGTTCCCGTTATGCTCGAATATGGAGCTACAATGGGGCGGTCAGCTACGTGGCGGAGTCCAACGTGTCGATCGAGGAGGCGAGATATCCACCAGGGCCCATCATACGTGCATCTTCCGGGTTCCAGCTAATTCCGATCCCTATGACCGGCATATTTAGTGTGAACGCCACGGTTGGGATCACGGCCGATTCTGCCATGCCTAACGTGCACGATAGCCTCAAAATTAGTACCGCATAGAACTAGGGCCAATCAGAACTCGAGATAAGTATGATATATCTCCTTTGATTGGTAAACTTCCTTGCTAATGATTTCGTATCCTTGTTTGAGGCTTTCTCGCACATTAGGGTGTAAGTTGGTTTCAGCCCAATCCTCCCATTTTTATCATTAACAACTCAATCCCTAGGTGGTAGAGGATAGAGTCATAAGCATCGCGATGCGTTCAAACGTGTTACGTCCAGGTGTGCGGTCATAGAGTTCAGTTAGGCAAGCCTTATTGAATTATGTCTTATGTCCATAGTACATTATTAATAGGAGATGTATACTATGTGGAAGTTTTAACCGCTAGGACGAATTCCTGGGAAATGGTCCAGGGCTAACATAGGAATTACAATATGGACAAGTAAAAGTAGATATGCCGAGGCATTCTTCCCTGACATAGAAAGGTCAGTCTTAATATATAAAAATCCCTATACGATTATCCTATTGAACTATCACAAAAAATTCCCTTATTACACGCATAGTCGAGGTCTCGTACAGTGGCTTCGTGTACAGAAAGTATGCTTGACTGTTCAAACGAGAAACATCACTACAAGAAAACTACCTATACATTCTCCAAGTCAAGCCTTACCAAAGTTCTACCAAGCAGTGGACGAAATCAGTTGACACCGCATACCAATGGCTCCGATTTCTTCATCTCGATCCCAACATGTTTGTCTGGAGCAGCTTTGAGATTCCTGGATTTAAGTTCCCATCAGCAAAGATTATATCAAGGATATAACAACAGAACTTCTAAGAAGCCATGTGCGTTTGTCTCACTAAAATAGTTCTTAAACTTTTCTATGGTCTGAATCAGGGGTAAAGCCCCTTTTTAGATCTCACTGTCGAAAATGTGCTCCAAGGGGGTTCTTATGAATAAGGCTAGGTAGGTAACGTTCAAGATTCCCCTTTGCCTTGATAGCCTGCTACATGTGAAGGCACCATAGACTGCTTAAGAGTTGGGTACCTACCCACATAGACGATCCATTGAATAAATTGGGTTCCATTTAGCATATCGATCTAGGAAATCTTCCAGAAAAGAATTTTGTATAGTGCGTGTGTAAAACAAACCAGATGTGCGAGCTCGCATAAACCGATACAAACAAAAAGACGAAATAGTGAAATGTTCCCCAATATTTTGAAAATACGAAGCTATTGCTTCGTATTTTTCTTCCTTTGTATGTGAAACTCGAGAGTTTCGAAATGGTGTGGTGTACGTAACCTTAGGCATAGCCTCACTTATAGAACGAAGTAATTCATATTGAACCGCACTAACCTATTACTTAGCAGAGACCACCTCCGAGACAGGCACTCGTGTAGGTGAGTGAATTGTTTCAACTAGTCGCGAAAATATATCCCATTCATATGGGACATGAAAACCGACTTTTGACATAAAATACCCCTCAAACCGGCCCGGCGCGTTACTTCCCTTGCAGTCGGTAACGGTTCGCGAGACAGAACAGAGCAACGCGTAGTAATATCTTGAAATGTATTGATCATCGAAGTATTGGTATTGGTTTAAGTGGAACTACTGTCTTATATCAACCAAAGGGATATATATTCATAGCTTTACACTCATCTAATCAGAGTCAGACAATAGGTTGATAGATATGCAGGGAGTGATAATTTGACAATCTCAATCTTCTTCTACCTTCTCATTCTATGTATTTTGCGGAAGATAGGTAGCCAGGTTGCTCTAACACTGCGATACGCTTTGAGGATGCGCATTCTTATGAGACTCTTAAATTATGTAGTAAGGCGAATGTGGTTCCATAGTGGAAAACCCACGTGTGGAATGTGGATAAGAATAGTCTGTGCGGTCCATATGTATGTCGACCGATGAGACGATCGGTAAAAACATATGTAGAAACAATTTATCTCCACCAAGCTACACACTTAGGTAGTAGATATGTACTGCGTAGAGCTTCGCTTAAGCCAGCAGAGTGCGGATAAACGGCAAAACCGCATAATATTATGGGAATCTGTTTCGATATGACATTGCCATTTTGACAATCATCCAATTTGTAGGAGGCCTGGGACACAAACTACGAGGATATCTCGCCGAGCTGTCTGGGTAGCTGCGACGAAGCCAAGAGTTTATATCCTAGTCGCAGATCTTCTAACGGATAAGCACGTAAGCCTCGTTATCTTTTTACTTCCCAATCGAACAAATATGGGTGGGGTCGCGATGAATCTGGGGTTAGGTCCGCGACGGCGTTTCAGCGTGGAAACATAAAACTTGTGCAGTCGTAATCAACTCAGCAGTAACATTGTTTCTCAAATGTGTGTGTGGATTGAAGTTTGTGTCAAATCATGAGCTGAGACGGGGAATACGCTATCCAAATGGAGAGGGCGACGTACTTACCGTCCTGATGCGATTAGTCAAATACTTCGTATTTGCTGTTTGTCGAATATAAGACCCGGCGCAGAGTTCTTGGCTCACACCACGGGGGCTCGGTTTCAGATGAACGCTATTGGGGATGGCGAGTTTCACCTGCTTCAAGATCTCACTTCCCCCTTAGTCCTCTTTGCCAAGATGTCTCTGAAGCCGGTCGAGATAATAGATATGGTCGAACGTATAAATAAAAGAAGCTGAAGCGATCAGTTACCATTCATATGTAGATCCTTAATTGCGTCAATCTCTTCGGCGATCCGCAAACCACTTTCATTCACAACAATACTTATTATTCCTGCCCGCAAGTCACTCTCTCCACCAAGAACCATCTTTAAGCAGTTTGGAATCAACACACATCGCCATCGTCATGAAGTTCTCGGCATTTCCCAACGTCACCTTGATTCTAGTCATGTGCGCATCTCTCGTAGCCGCGATACCAACGGCGCTACCGACCGACCTCGAGGGGCATCCGATAAGAGGTCGACCGATAAGAGCAATGAAGAGTTTGAGAAGCAGCGGTTGCTCTATGGCAAAAATTCAGGACTGCGTCAACGATACGGGACTCGAAAGCACATTATGTTTTGCGCAAGTATGCTCAGGTGCACAGAAGAAAATGAGGGTGGTTAAGCGGCAAGATCAATGTACCGAAGAAAACCTCCTCCAATGCACTGTGACGGAATGGCGAGAGGCTGAAGTGTGTTTCCAGGAGTTATGCCTATAGGGTTACCTCGGATATTATGCGGATTCAAGAGAAGAACTAAGAGATATTTCGAATCGAGTTCCCGCCATCCCGAATGTGGCCATCCTCACTAGGTACCTAGTACGAGACGACGAAAGACATCAGCGATAATACACCCCGCGCGACGATCATCTGAGCTCCCAGTCGAGACAGGGACGACGACAGTGCCGGGTGCAAAGCCTTTCAAGCTCCGAAGTTTAGTGGGTTCGGCAAGCGACGTTCACTTGGCTGAAGGGAGGGCGAACGATAGCGCCGATTTAATGCGGAGGATTTATCGCTAAATGGCATTTGTTTGATGCGGATAGCATTCGAGCCTCATTCGCTCAATGGAAGGCTTAGTACGTTATACACTGAAACGAACCTCAGGCCGTTCTGTGCGCCCGATGGCTGTTATGATTTTATGTATGTAAATATAAGAATCGCATGAAATAGAGACCGGAATACCCCTGTTAACATTCGTTTATAAGAGCGATTCAATAGTACAGACACAATCCAACTTACCTATTGTTGTGATTTGAAGATTTGGAGGGGATGATTTTGAGAAGCTAAGAATTGCTGACTTACCATGCCTATTTTGAGCTTATATAAGCTCTGGCGGCTGTGCTTGCCTCGAACTCTTCCGTTCGTCATCATTTGCTTTACGTTCCACCAACTATCTACCTCATATATAAAACCACATTAATCATCATGTTAAGTTACGCCTTCCCCGGCAAGAAGTTGCTGGGCTGCAACTTCGGCCGAGGCATGTTTTGCACTGTACCTAACATTCAAAGTTCAAATTCCTCTTTTCGAAGTTTCATAATGTCGATAAACGACACCCAACTCTTCTGTGTTATCCATCATACGCAGCCGAGAATGTTGAAGACCTAAGTCAATATGCAACTGACCCGATGCCTCCTTTGGGTGTGTCCCTTATCTGTGGTACTGATTCACGATGTCTTTGCTGCTAAAAACAACCATTGCCCGCCTTTGGGGCCAGTCCTTCCAGTACCGACAAGCCCGAACTCACATCCAGCCGTACAATCAGCAGTGAGCATGCTACAGGAAACCATTGACAACATCACAGCGACTTTCAATAGCACAGCGCTATCAATAGGTGTAAAGTCTATTCACGAGATGGCACCACTTGTCGATTCTCACTACACACCACCGGTGTTAGATCCACGTGGAACATCGCATATCGATGCGTCAACTGCCTATCGGATCAATGGCGTGTCTAAAGTAATCCTAATGATAGCTCTCAAGGCCTCTGGTGCCCGCTGGGAAGATCCTGTCACCAACTATCTACCACGGCTTAGAGAACTGAGGAAGCAGCAGGTTAGCACGGTAGATCCGATTACGACTGTTAACTGGGACGATATCACGGTCTGGGCTCTAGCAACGCACACTAGTGGAATCGGATCAGATTGTAAGGATCTTCTACCAAGAATAACCTACTCAAATGTACCCCTGAGACTAACTCGTCGACGAAGTGATAAGGGACATGGGTAGTTTCCCTGTCAATTGGACTAAGCTTGGGCTTCCTCCAACTCATGAAAAGGTTAACTGCGGTATACTCGGTAGCCTTCCTCCTTGCCATGAACAAGGTGAGTACATGGCGGCAAGTCATCAAGCCTTGCAATTCTTATATATTTCCCCTAGACTTTTGGGATAACTTCGGGAAGCGATCCCCTGTCTTCGATCCGTATACCAGTCCCTTATATTCGAATACGGCTTTCTACATACTTAGCCTAGTCATCGAGGCTATTGCCGGCTACCCCTATAGTAAATTCGTTAAGAAGCACGTCTTAGAACCAATCGGTACACGAGACACCACATCCGCGAAACCCAACGATAACTTAGGTGCCATCAGCCTCAATGATACGTTCTGGAACGCTACTTTAGGAATTGATGAACCGTAAGTATGAAACATGCCTATTCAACCTCTAGGTTTGCGTCTCAGAGTCTTATCAACCCATATATAGTGCTGCGGGGTATTATTCTAGCACGCAAGATCTTCTCGTCCTTGGCGAGGCAATCTTAACACACAGGTTTGCATCACCAAGGGATACACGACGGTGGTTCGCTCCCGCGACGTTCACCTCATCTGTAGGAACGTTTATCGCCGCGCCGTGGGAAATAATTCGCGCCAATAATGTGACTTCAGATCAGCGCCTAGTCCAATTCAATACTAAAGCCGGCAGCGGCGGCACTTACCACTCAATGTTTGCCATAGTTCCCGATTACGACCTCGTAGTCAGCATCCTAACGTCAGGGCCCGAGAGTAGTAATAACCTCGTGCAACAGTTATTCTCACAAGTCATCACAACTTTGCTTCCAGCTGTTGAGTCGGCTGGAAAGGACGAAGCCCAGACCGCTTTCGCGGGTACCTACACGAATGAAGAGACGAACTCCACACTTACGCTCAGTGTAGATGACGAAGGCCCAGGACTCAATATAACGGAGTGGATTGTTCGCGGCACTGACATCCCTTCTCATTGGCTCAACTATACATCTGGTATATCGAGCGATCTCTCGAACATATATACCTCAACACGACTGTACCCCACCGGCCTAACCACCGGGTTACGGACGTCCTGGCGTGTAGCTGTTGATCTAGGGACGCCCGACGAAATTGCACAAGCCAATGCGCAGCTCTTCTGGCCGCAGAGCAATTGTGTAGCATGGGCTACGATGGACAGACTTGTGTACGAGTACCGTGCGCTCGATGAGATGATTTTTGACTCGGTCGTCGGTGACTCGGGATTTGTTGCTGCTAATGTTGAGTTGGTCGGATTTCAAACCACGCTACAGAGAGTTACACCATATCAAAACACGAACGAATTGTAAGACGGTTAGAAGGTTATCGCTGCAATTCGAGTTGAAGATTATCATTTAGTAGCGTATATGGCTGGAATACTTGCTAGTTCGGGGATATCATACAGCTGACTTGAGCTCCTAGCAACTTTTTCTAGCTATAAGCCTGTATGATTACCTACCTCCACATTCACGTTTATCCATACTTACTCAGATACCCAATGTAGGAGCATAAGTGTCGTTCTTCTAACCCTTTCCTGACGAAGTAGATTTCAGATTCCGGCACGGTATCTCTTTTAGCTTTTCCTATCTTGATATCTTGTTATCTATTTAACTATTGATACGCTAAATCTCCCTGGAAGAATGTCCTGTGACGTTCATTTCCCGTTCAGGGGTAACTATCATCTGACCCCCCCTCCCCCCGGGAGGTACGTCGCCTCCAAATGTTAACGCAGAGATGATTGCCTTTGCATATACGAAAATGTCTGACGGTGATGCGTGCAATGTTGATGCTAAGTGTTTGCTTCTACCCTTACTTGTCCTAAAATAGGTACGGACAAGTATACGAGCGCATCTGCATCAAGACTATGATCGATAGAGTTGTCATGTGTCATTTGAGAAAGACAGCAGGCGCAGCATACCATTTAAGAGGAGCTAGGCGGCGATGGAATAATCAGATTGCCAAACATAAACTCCTAAATTCTATATGCTGCTGAATTTACGGTTTATTCCGGTATCTTAAGACCACGGGCTATTGAACGTCTTCATTGCCTTCAAATTAAAACGTTCCACCTAGGTTAACCCGCGGTCGGATAAAGGTCCGGGACGCCGAATACAGACTCGGGAACCATCAGGGCGAATGGGTTCAATATATACAATAGAATGTAATATTTCGCTATAAAACAAAGCCAGCCCAGCTCAGTCGATGAGCTCGGGTATGCATAGATCAGACACCTACATCGTATATACAATTTCCCGCTCAAATGCTAACTGCTAAGTAACGCCCGCATCACGATCCTAACTCGTCATATGTCCATTTCCATTTCCATATCCATTCACAATCCTTATCTACACGGACACTTGTGTTAGATATTTATTCAAAGACCACCAGTCGTGCAAGCGCACATCCCGCTCGGCACAACGGTAGTCGTAACGACGCTCGTCACCGTCGACACCACCCCACCTCCACTCCCGCTCATGGTCGTGTAGACGGTCGTCGTAGCGCCGCTGCCGTTTCCACCAACAGTAACGGTAGACGGGGCCGCGGTCGCAGTGACGGTGACAGTCGCGCCGGCACCGCCGCCGCCGCCAATAGTCACGGTCTCCGGCGCAGCAGACGCGGTAACGGTAACGGTCGAGCCTACGCCGCTACCGCCGACGCTGACGGTCTGCGTGACCACCGATTGCGTGGGCGCGGGAACGGAGACCGTGACGGTGGACGCGTGCTCGGTCTTCGTGATGATGGTGGTGGCGGTTTCGCCGCCGCCGCCGCCGCTTACCGTGGCGCCTGAGCCGCCGATGGTAACGGTGGATGCGGGCGCGGACGCGGTCACCGTGACGGTTGACCCTGAGCCTGAGCCTACGCCGACGGTCTGAGTGATGACCGACTGAGAAGCCGCTGGCACGGATACGGTGACGGTGGATGCTTCTGCGGTTGTGCCGGAGCCGCTTCCGATAGTGACGGTGGATGGGGTGGCGGTGATTGTGACGGTCTCGCCGGAGGAGCCGCCGCCGATTGTCTTGGTTACGACCGTGGTCTGGCCGCTGGGGACGTCGGTTACGGTGGTGTCTGAGCCGCCGCTGCCGCCGCCGATTGTCGTGGTTACGATGGTGGTTTCTCCGCCGGAGACACTGGTAAGGGTTGATTCCGAACCGCTGATTGTGGTGGTTATAGTAGTAGTTTCTCCGCCGGAGACGCTGGTGACGGTCGTCGTCGTGTCTGAGCTGCTGGTGCTGGCGCTGGCGCTGGCACTGTTGCCGACGGTGACTGTTACGACTTGAGGAGGCAGGCTGGTGGTCGTGACGACGGGGACTGAGCCGGAGATGGTGAGGGTGGTGAGGATCACGGAACCCGGGGCGCTGGTGGTGATTATGGATCCGGAGGTAGGAGATACCTCGCTTGTAGGTGCGGGTCGGGTGTAAGTTGTTGTGGTGAGGACACCCGTTCCGTTGATGTATTTGCTGAATGTTCTAGTAACTGTCTCCGCTCCAGTGTGGTGAGAGTGCGTTGCAACTGGTTTAGTGGTGGTGTATGTGCTAAGGATGACTGTCCCGTTGGAAGGTCTGCTAATGGTCTTGGTAATCACAGTTTCCGCGGGGGAAGATACTGCACTTGTTGGTAGAGCCTGCGTGCTCGTTAACGTGCTAAGGGTAAATGTTCCGTTGAAAGGAATGCTGACTGTCTCAGTGATTACTGATTCTGAGGCGGAAGATGTCGTGTTTGTTACTGCGGATTGAGTAGAGGTCAACGTGCTAAGGACGACCGATCCGTTGGAAGTGCTGCTAATCGTGCTAGTAATAACTGACTCCGGAGGAGATGATGTGAGGTAAGACGATAATGGGCTAGTAATGAAGGCACTAGCCGTTGTTGTCGGGGGAGAAGCCGTAGAAGAGAGAGTTACCTGGAGAATGTTAGTTGCTACCTCAGAAATAGTCTAGCTAACAAGGTCTATAGCTTACGGTTCCGGGAGCTGTAGTGTTGGAGAAGGTCTCGGTAGGTTTCTGCCCGGGAGTGGTGATGCTCGTTTCCGAGCTCAGCGTTGAGCTTGACGTCGTGCCAACAGCTTCCGCCGAGCTAGTCGCACTAATACCGATACTTTCTGAAGAGGTCCTTGCGCTAGCAATGATGGTGGAGGTAGTTGTTGGCCTATATTTCGAGTGCGACAAAGTGAAAGATGCTACGATCGACGAGGAAATCTTCGATACTTCCGTGACTGGGCAAACGGTAGTGGTAATATCAACGACGCTTGTCACAAGAATCGTCGATACAGCTTCCGAAGGCAGCGTGCTGAGAGCAGCCGTATTGGAAGCCGCCGGACAATCCGTGATCGTAGGTGCGCATGAGATAATAGTCGAGATAGAGGTTACGTTGACAGTCAATGTTGTGAAGTCAGGTCCGGCGGCTGAAGTGACGTTGGAAGGGGCCGCGCTAGTCAAAGTTGCGACGGCGGTCGAAAGAGACTCGCTGACGGTGTTACTACACTCTTCGTCATCCGTGGAAGTTGAAGTTGTTGCTACGGACCTGGAGGATGAACTAATCGGAGTAGTGACGAAAGTTTCATTCGCAAAGGCCCGTCGCCCTGGAGAGCCCCTTACAGCCCACCCCTGGGCAAGCAGGACGAGGGCAACTAAGGCGTCCTTTCCTGTAAACAGCATGATGAAGGAAACCGATATTCAAGAATTCAGAAAGGACCGTTGGAAAATGAACGGGTAGCCGAGCCCAAGAGAAGGAAAGCCCTAGACTAAGAAAACGAATGGAAGTGAGGAGAAAAAGACGCTGATCTTTGGTGTAGACTATATGTGATCGAAGGGATCACCTCACCTTTTATGAATGCATCATTTCAACCACGATGTGGCGAATAAGGAGTTTACTTCGCCATGTGTAATCCATGGTGACTTAGAAATGATGGCTATTATTGCGCCATGATGGCTGTTTGGAACCCAAGTGCCTGGGATGGGCAAGGTGGACTTCACTGAGGATCAATTTAGTCGAGACCTGCGCCTCGGTTGAAGCAAGTTGACGATGTATAAATTAAGCGAAAGCCATTCGACGCATTCTACTTCCTAGTTATTTTTATAAAAGGAACCCGCTAGTTAAACGAGGCGCGTATTCTTGTTTACTTCTTAGGCTAACTTCGATATATGAGGTGTTGTGATAGGAAAGCTGGCGCAAGATGATTCTACAAATCGCATGTTGTAGTGATATTTTCTATTGCAGGGTTGAAGGATCACATCCATCTGTGGCGTCGCCCTTTTCAAGGCAGCCTCAAGGTAGTCGGCAGGGTCTAGAAGGGTCCATGGTCATCTAAGTGCTTCAAGCTAATAGCGGTGGCAGGATTCATTATTGAAGCTATGCCGAAAGACGATGGAAGGATGTGTTTGAGGTTGAATAGCCAGGTAGTCATCGCACACCTGATACTAACTTGGTCTTGTTTGCTGATGCCGACTTCCAACTCGTGCCTTGTTTTCGTCCAGTAAGACGCTCTTTAGCGAGGGATAAAGTGGAAGGTGGTCATACTTGAGCTATCCATAAACTAATAGGGATATATATTTAGATGAGGCTCAATCGTAGTAATTGTTGTTAGGCGAATTGCCATCGTCTCCAATTGATAGTTTCCATCTTATGTTGCTGCTAATTATTAGCATTGAATATTCGTATTGTAAGTGAACGAACAGTACTTAGGTAGATCAGGGACGGTGAAAAAGTCCCTTGAACCTGAGCTGCCTGAATATCCTGAGTTTACGAAGGGATATTGTGGATCTTAAACAGTGGTCTTCCACTAAAATTCCTTATCAAAAGTTTTCTATTGCGGTAATCCCTTAAAGTCCGACGCTAAACCTGTTTAACGCCGATAGCTCCAGTGCAGCATAGTACACGGTAGGTACGTAACAATACGTAGAAGTCTCTACGTAGTAAAGGCGCATCGTGAAAGCTTTCAGGTGCAAGTAACGATATCGTAAGTAGTTGGGGCTCTAGTCCCCCCTCTCTCCCTCACCACGATAGCAACACAAAGAGCATCTAGGTAAAGACTTTCGGGGTTGAATTCAATACCGGACAACTTTATTGACATATTAGTTTTAAAGTATTTTGAATATCTTCTTAACTACCATGTTGAGAAAATAGTGATCTTGTGTTGGCCCCTTTTTATGCGTTGTCAGAGTCGGGACTCGAATACGATCCACGTCGGTCAGACCCAGCCACCTTGGTCGAGCTGTTTGTTGATGACGCCGGGGCCAGAACTTGCGGTCTCTCTCTCGAGCTCCATCCATTAAATAAATTCCCCTAATAACCAATCTTAAGAGACATTATTCTTAAGCAAATAAGTTACACAAAGAAATAAAGTACCGATGACGACGTTCTAATTCATTCCGATGCTGCCACTCATTGGACCGAGCTGACGATAAGGCTTCCCGTCGCGTTGTGCAGCCGCACCTACACCCGCCGCTTCGTCACCGTCACCGCCCTACCTTTCTAGCGCAGCTCCATCCGTACCCGCAAACCACACCGTCAAACCAGATGTTTGCGGACGACTTGCGTACCTAGCAAGGTACCTGCAGGAACAACTGTTCTTTCGTTTCGCATTCAAACGAGGATATATTCCCAAAAATTACTTACCGAGCGACGAGTGACACCAACTTCGAGTCCGAGACGATGCATCTCTCCAAAACCATGCTCAGCCTCCCGCCCTCCCTCCTCGTCCTCCTCGCCGCGGCGACCCAATCGCTCGCGCAGAACCACCCGACGGCAATCCGCAAGATGTCTCTCGATGAAGGCGAGAAGATCTTCCCGGAGTACTACGCCTTCGGCCCCGCGCCGGCGCCACCAGCGCTCGACTCCGATCCAGCCTTCCTCCCCTCCGGCAACGGCTCCGCCGCCGCCGCCGCCGTGCCCTTCCTACCCCCGTACCCGCGACACCTGGACTACCGCTACCATGCGGAACCCCGACTGCCGAGAGACGAGAGGATAGGCGAGGATGGGGTAGACTACAACCAAGGCGCGGGCCTGTTGTACCGTCGGGCCCGCGACGTCCTGGCGAAGCTGCAGGGCCGGCAGTTCGCGTGCCCGTCCGACACGCACAGCTGCGCGAACATCGCGCAGCCGAACTACTGCTGCGCCTCGGGCACCACGTGCTTCGTCGTCACGAACGCGCCTGAGTCCGGAAACGTGGGGTGCTGCCCCGTGGGCCAGAACTGCGGCGTGACGGTCGGCGCGTGCGCGAGCGGCGCCACGGCGTGTCCGGCGAATGTCGGCGGCGGGTGCTGTATCGCCGGGTTCGTGTGTGCCGAGGTTGGATGTAAGTTCCCTCCTTTCCCCCCTACCCCCTTTCGCCCTTTCCTGTATCCCATATCCCCCTCTTCCTTCCCGAAATAAACGCTGACCAAACCCCCCATAATCACAGGCGTAGCAAGTGCCGTCTCCGTAATAACCTCCAGCAACCACGCCTCCACAAGCACACCCTCCATCTCCTCCATGTCGCCCACCACGCAAATCGTAACCACAACCGCCACCGCCACCGCCACCGTGCCAACCACCATAACCGCATCCGGCGGCGTCCCCGCCTACCGCCCCACCTCTGGTTCCTCGGCCCTTATCTCCGCTCCTTCCGAGTCTACCGCGGACTCCACATCCTACTGCCCAACAGGCTTCTACGCGTGCCTAGCCCGCGCGGGAGGCGGGTGCTGCCGCACGGGCCGCGACTGCAGCACGACGTCGTGTCCGGCGCCGGCGCCGAGCAGCACCATCGTCAACGCGAACGGGGCCACCGTCGTAGTCCCTCTATCCGACGCACAAGCTGCCACTGCCACCGCAACTCCAACGCCGACGTGTGCCGCGGGCTGGTTCATGTGCGGCGAGGACGCGGGGCCGACGCCTGGGTGCTGTCCTGATGGGTACGGGTGCGGGACCGCGAGTTGTACGCTGAGCGCGAGTACGGCGACGGCGACGGTTATGAAGCATTTGCCTAGCGCGGGGGCCGGGGCCGGGTTTGGCGCGCAGGTATGGGTTAATGCGGGTTTTGTGGCGGGTGTGTTTGTTTTGGGGCTTGCTTGAGTTAAGTGAGGAGGCGGCTGAATCGCTGGTTGTCCGTGGGTAAAATAGACTTGAGGTGGCGTGATATAAGACGAGACGAGATACGAGACTATAGAAGAAAGAATGCCGAGAGATAGGTAGGTAGGGAGAAAATGAATGAAGGAGAAAGAAAGAAAGAAAGAAAGAGAGACAAGACATCATAGAAATGGCAACTGCATATAGATCGACGAGGCAACGCAGCACATGCGGAGGAAGCGCATATCGCATTTACATTCGCATTAGCATGGGACGGAGTTGAAAGCATTACGATTCTTACTAGATGAGGACACGGTTAGTTGATGGGTTATTTTTCGAATTCGACTGGGTTTCTACAGATCACATTCTGTGGTGATACTAGCATAGGTGTAGTTGAAAGAGAATAAGAATGGATAATATGATAATATGATAATGAATTACATGTTCAGATATATGAGAGGTGATTTGGCACCTTGTTTTTTAAGGTCGAGAAGTGATAAGTTGAACGTACCTGGGTGATTTCCAATAGAGAAGTATTAGACTTGGTAGAAGCTTCCTTCGAAACACTACCCCTGAAACCTAGGTACTCATAGGTATATCTATAAAGTCGATCAATCACATTTCCAAGTAGGACAGAGGTAGTAAGTTAATTCATCATATTATAACATCAACAATTCTATTCGTTGAACCAAACTACTTATACCAAACCCTATTAAACCAGCCGAAGCAACTCTCAACTCTAAATAGGGGTAATTACAAGTAACCAAGTTTCCTAACCATCCAAAAAAAGCAACCTCAACCATAAGCTCATCTATCCGAGAAGCCAAGCCGGTCGAGGGTAGGGGTAATCGGGGTGTCCCAAATGTCAAGTCTAATTTCAAAGAATGTTGCCGCAACGCCTGCCGATGCTGACCGGGACCTTGTGCCAATTTACCACCATTAAGCCGAGACCACACGTCACCACCATCCAACTTTTTATTTCAAAAGTATAATAAAAAAAAAGCTTAGATCCGACCAAATTAGATTAGAAAAAGAGGTGTGATGACGAACGACTGGAGTTAACCAAGCCCACCAGCCTCCCGAGGGCCTGCCTGGTTCGGCTGGTATGTTTGTGACCACAAGTAATCGAAAGAAAATTCAGAATTTAGTAAGCGGATAGATGCCACATATCCAGGTAAAAGACTAAGCATATGGTGGTAAGCCGGTACTCGGGTCCGCGTGTTGTATTCGTCTGTACGCTACTCCGCTTAAGAGAGCAAGAATACAGCGGCGAAGCCGACAAGAGCGAGCATGCTGTTGCTGCCGGTTTGGAATGCGCCCGATTCTGGCACGGCAGTTCCAGTCGACGTCGCGGAGTCGCCAGTGTCGAACGTGGTGGTCGGGCCAGTAGGCGTAGCAGTAGCCTCGCCACTACCCGTAGCGCTCGTGAGTAGAGTAGCGTTGACACCTGCGGCAGAGCTGAAAGAGGCGGAGGCAGCGCCGGTACCAATTGTACCAGCGGTACCACTAGCGAGGGCAGAAACAGTCACACCAGTTCCTGTTGCGATAGATGCGACGGTGGGAACGGATGCGGTCGAGGACGAGCTGCTAGAAGCAGCCGAAACAACTGTAGCAACTGTGGCGAGAGTGGCGACGACGGCGGTAGAGGTAGTGCTGCTAGTGCTGCTCGATGCGGCGACTGCAGCGCTTGAGCTGCTTGCAGTGGCAGCGACAGAGGCAGCAGCACTAGCACCAGCAGCGGTGCTGGAACTAGAAGCTTCCGCGGCAGCACTGGACCCGGCGTTGGTGCTGTCAGCCGTAGCAGAGGCGCCTGTAGCTGCAGAGCTGCCGCTCTGGGACTGGGCCATTGCGGCGGTGGCCGCGAAGAGAGTGAGGAGAGATGAGACCTTCATTTTCGTAGGTAGTCTGATAACTGTAATGAACTGGAGTATATAGTTGAGTAGTGAGCTGAGAGAAGGAGCTCTAGTGAGATGAGTTGAGAAATCGAAACCACCAGTTATATAGGATCTCACGATAGTTGTGGGTTGTAAGTGATAGACGGAGACAGGCAGAAATAGCACTCGTTTATATGTGTGTAGTGAGTGTCCGGAACTAACCAAAGAGATATCAAATGGAATCACTTATATAGGCGCTTGGTCAAGGGTGTAGTATACCAACATAGCCAAAGTCCGTTAGATGAAGCAGAGCCGGGCCAAGCTTTATACAAACCTTAAACCGCTTACGCAGCCGGAGGCAACTAAAGATTTCATCGGTTATGCCATGCCATGCCATGCTATGCACACCTGGCATTTGACGGGCCACCTCGGGGTATTCCATCATACGCGTGTACGAAAGTGGATGTTTCCAGAAGAATATTCGGCTTAGGTTGGTTTAGGTTGGTCAAGGTTGGGAGAATGTCTCAAAATGGCTGGACTGCGCACTACCGGCACGCCCGGTACTTATCGATAATATGAGTTAAAGCGGGTCAGTTGCGGCTGTGAAATGCAACGAACCAGTAGTAAAGGAGGCTGAAGGGAGGTAACCATGTGCATTATGGCAGCTGCCTGGCTGCCAGGGTAAAGGAACGCCACATCTGAACCGATTTAGATCATCTTCGATGTGGCGCTGCATCATCTGGAATTCTGAGCCACCCAATTACGAAGTGTTTCTCCAAACCTGTTCTAAATTCGCATACGAGGGAGACTTTATGCGTCACAGTCAAGCAAACCATAGGTAATTCTTACCGATTGAATTGCTCTAATGGTGCCCTACTCTGAGACACACTTGACCCGTAACAAACAAATTTCTTTAGAAGATATCTATATCTACGTATATTGGTACGTTTCCCTTCTCTTGTTGAATGACTATACGACGAGATACAAACATCCGTGCTTACACTTTCAATGTTGCCAAGGGATGAACCTGAGTAGTGGGGTTTAGCATGCGGATAGAAACGTGGCATTTCTTGCTTTTTGCGTGGAGGATTGATTACGTGCAAGCAGCAAAATCGAGGTCGTCAGCACGGCCGTAGAAGTTTCTGAAACTGTCAAAAGAAAACAATTAAGTTAAGGTCAAGATAGTCGTTGCGTGACAACGTGTCTAGCTAAACTTACGAGAAAATGTCTGATCATCTTTAAGTTACCGGTCAATCGATTCTATCGGAGCATCCGGAAATCCCCAGTCGTTAAGCCGTGTTCTGGCATTGAAGGCGTTCAATGTCTAAGACAACTTAAGCGATTTAGTCTAGCTGCCGAGGTCGGGAACTAGTGCTAAGACCCCTGGACCCCTGCTTTTCGACAGTTCGACAGTTGGCCGCCTTCCCTTGCTTGACGTCACTATCCCTGGAGAATCTAAATTTATCAACCAACCCCCGCCAGCTCCGCCACCGCCTCCCCCACTTTAAGCACGACACAGGAATCTATCCGAAAGTTTGTCTAGCACCGGGAAACGACTGTCACCTATTAGCTTCTTAAGCTTCTTGCTCCTTCAATGTTCAAATCCTTCAGTCTGACATCTCACAGCTGACGAATCAGGTAGATACGAAATAGTTTAATTCGATCCCCAAAGAAACTTCTGCATCTTCATTGGTGGAACAAGAGCTTATCTAACCAAGGCCAACTGAGGACATAACCAACCAAGGCCAACTGAGGACATAACCAACCAATACAAGTAAAGGCCCCTATATCTTGTAAGCGAGTACCCATGGTTATGCGGACACCATACTTTCATCTATGTCGATGCCTGTTTCTCTAAGATTACCCTTTTCTCATTAGAGGCCTATCGAAACAGACTACACTCACTAGGTAGGTTAAGTGATATCATCTCCTAGGTCGCAGCGGAGTGCCGCTTGATAGGGATCTAAGACGGGAATCGTGGATAGTTTTCTTTATAAGCCTTCGTATATTGTGCTCTCCGGCATCCAGTCAAGTACGGACCCTGTCGAGACCACACGGTTGGCTAGATTCACAGACCTGTAATCGTAAATCTTAACAGATATGTCACCAATCCATCACCTATATCTATTTTATGAGAGCCCTTATCTATTTAGAAGAGACACAGGATGGAAACGCACTGCTTGATATGAGCTACAATCCCTAGTATGGGAAATATGCCAGGCGTCTAGGACGCCGGAGATGATCTTATGACAAACTTGCGTAAGGCCCAGTCCGTCGCACCGCGGAAAGGAGTGGGCTAAATATTTTGCATAGGTTATCGAGCTTTTATAATCAAACCTTAAGGACTGAAAATGACTGAAGCATAGGGGTATCTGGATATGGTAGGCTAGTGTTTTTACTAATGCGATACCCTTGAATGCTGTCGTATCGGAGATGTGGAGAGCATTGCCCGTCGCTACTATTGATCGAACGAGAGTCTCTCGCGTCACGCATCACGGTCACGCGTCGCCATGGCCACTGTCAGTCAGCCAGGTGGTCAATCCGCCAGGCACCAGCTCCGAAGTAAAGCTTAAATAGCACAATACAGTCACAAAACTTCACCGGCGACATTGACACCAGGGCCTGAACACACAGAGTGGCTTACTGGTCCGTGTCACAGATACCACGTCGAACCTGCCTTAACGACCACGCCTGCAATGGGTGGTCTAGGGTTCGATTCCTAGACATTGCACACTGTCTAGGGCTTGAAAAAGAGTGGCAAAGAAATACCCAATAGCGGGGGCGCAGTAGCTAGGAGCCGGTCAACAGATCCTAGGCTGGGCCTTGAAGAGGTTATATCTCTTTTTTTTTTTTCCCTTCTTCCTTCTTCCTAATCTACGGTTTCCTCTTGCCATCGCGTTCGTTCTATCATATTTTCAGACAGCGACTGTCTTTACAGACATGCTAAAACGATCATGCACGCTTGAAGTTCGGTGTAGGATGAATCTTTTACGGCCGAGGCGCCTTCAAGTCAACTCTCGGTGTAAATGATGTAGGTGCTGTTTATCCACCGACCTTTCTACCATATGTAACGATTCCAGGGCATTTTCTTGGTTTGTTCAGATGTTTCAACGCCAAGGCAAACAAATCAGTATCTCGTTTCTATGTTCAGAACTCTCGCTTTCCTAATTCCCAAAGATAGAAAATCATTGGCGTAGAATATTCGATGAAGGTCTTAGCTTAAATTATTTCCCCTTGATGGAGATGTCAGTTATTTAGCTAGTGCTAGTCATTCCTATCAATTGTTTATTCCACAATTGCCCCTATTACTGCAAACAACAGGTGGCATTACTCGTAGCTGCCTGCTCTAATCACTCAAAATCATCCCACGAAGCTATTTCTAGACCAGCTGCCGAGAATATAATAGTAGCACACGAGATATCTGTGCAGAATACGCATTACACTGCCTAAGTTGTGGAACATTTTCCTAGCTAGTAACATCGCACAGCACACGTCTGTGTCACTCAAACTCCAACGGGTTTGGGTTCGGTCAACTTCACCCCTTGTTTGCCTATCTGATGAGAATACGAATCCCAATTTAGTCGATTCTTTCGTCGTGTTTACAGATTTGAAACTTCTCGGTCCGATTGTCCGGGCTCAAATGATATTCGGTAGAAGCACGTCGAAACTGAGTCGTTTGTTGATTCAAGCCTCATCGGTTGAAGTTATCTAACCATAATCTAATACTTGGTACCACACTAAGGGCCATACTACGACAGATCCATAATTTAGATGATCTGGTGGATGGGAATAAGACGCCATGTAACATTTCAAGTTCATACTGCCTTTCTAGTTCATGGTCACCCCCTTACCACAATTCTAAAACAATAATGTTTTTGAAGTTTTCTGGAGTATATTGAAACTATACTCCTAGTCCAACACTACTGATTACTAGAATTCACGTGGCAAAACGATATTACCGAAGTATGTACAGAGTCTACGTAGCGCGGTGGAATGTAACATTCCCAATGAAGATGACAGATCTGGGGTAAATGTACTACACGAACTTGTGGATCATTATAGATTACCTCTACAATACACCCAATCAACTATCATCGTAGGATCTCTATGTAGCCATATAAGTCCTTTTATAGACTGGATGATAAATGAGCGTGGGTGATAGATACGCATCAGTTTATGAACTATATCATGAAGTGAAGATATCGAAATTCATAATAACAGAAAATATCGTCAAGTGCCTAAACCATCCTAGGTCGACGACATTGTACCTCCTTCGCAGGGAAGGACCTCCTTTAATTTTATTCAACCTCTATGCATACACGACTAGGAATTAGATGACCTAAATGGATTCAAGCCCCTGATTTATGACAGTCTATATTGTAATATTGTGGGAAATATACGGCGTGTGAAAGCAAACATCGCACGACAACGTTTTGATCATACCGAGCATCTTCATGGAAGATTACTTGCCTACCCGGGTATTAGATGATTGCAACTTGGGTCGATGGTGGCACATTCCGTTTGTGGCCCTGTGGCATCATATTTACGTCTCCAATGTCAAGAAAGGGTCGAAAGTCCAAGATATAAGAAGGCCGGTATTGCTTCGTTATCACCAACATGTTGTTACTCGTCATCGGTTACCCAATACACCAAGGACTCTCTACCTTGTGTCCGTCTTGCGGAGTACACGGAGATCTCTCTTATTATATATCCACGAGACAGTCAAGATTACGTTCCCCAGCAATTCATCATAAACCCAGATAATATAACGCAATTCTTCTCACAATGAAGATCTCTATCATCGCCATCGCCGCGGCAGTCGCCCCTGGAGCTATCGCCGACTTCTGGCTCACATACATGGCCAGGGACGTGCCAGGTGCGCCGAAGTTAGTCGGCGGTACCAACGAGGGTGCCGTATTCACCAAGGACCAGCAGATCACCTGCAGCGACATGAGGTCGACGATTTACTCCGACGCCGACGACGTGAGCGGTCACCGTATAGGCATGCGCACCGTTCCCGGCAATATCGTTCAGCCACCCATATACAGAGACCCTCTAGAAGTCGTTGAGTTCAACACCGGTATGGGCAAGCCGGGCCATCACAGTAAGTTGTACTCCTACCCCCCCCCCCCCCGGGGATAAAAGATAGGAGAAATATAGTGATACTGACGAGGATGGTTCTTATATAGCCATCTATAAGGATCGAGGATACGCTATGTTCGACGTGGATGGGAAAAAGACTGGCCAGTGCCACTTGAACAGGTCGCAGGCCTTCCAGTTGAAGTGTGACGATAATGGTGACACCGTTTACTTGGAAGGGTCCACAATGTTCTTCTGCGAGTCTGATCTTAATGTCGTGCTCGACTAGATCGGAGGATTTGCCTCACGAGGATGACGCGGGGGTTGGTTACGAGATGATATAGTGGAGGACACAATATTCGATTCTGCACAATTAGGTAATCTTGGGAGGTAGTATTGATTAAGTGGTTGATTTTATCCCCTTTAAAGGAATACTCGCTATGGGATGTAAGAGGTTGCTGGATATTTTGAAGAATAAAGTAGTAATGGATATAAATTGGTTGCTGTCGCCCGCCTGGTCCTCCTGATCGAGTCAACTTTTCAATCTGTCTCTCACTTCACTCCCAGAACTTCTGCGTCATCACATCAGCACCGCCCTCGGCCCCCAGCTTGGCGGCAATCTACAAGTCTTTGCAAATAGGCCGGGGCTGTCTGAAAGGGAAACTATATTCTGCACTTTTTCTTCATCAAGGGTTCTTTAATAGATGCGAACGGTGCGGTGGATCGAGGCCACATGTCCTAGTTCGCCTCGAAGCCCGAATGCACCACCCCACATCACGACGTATACGCAGTTCGGGGTGCCTCCTCTGCCTTAGCACTACAGTCGGCCCTCGGGGGAAGCGCTGTCGTTAGATATATCTGGTGTTCGAAGACTCTTCGAGCAGCTCAACAGGCGCATTGATAAGGGGCAAGCGCCACCCCTGTGTTTCCCGTGCTCAACGCTGCATTTCTCGATCTCTACACCCAAACGGAGACCGAAAATGGGTGCGATATGAGCTTTGTGTCGAGCCACTTGGGTTATTTGCCGTTAGCTTTGATGTTGTTGCGGAATATGGACGGCAGTATGGGTCACGTAATTGTGGTTAGAAATTTTACCCATAAGCAAGCACCCATAGGATGACTCAACATTCTTTAGCGGACATCATATACAAGGAGTGCAGGTAGGTACCTAGGTAGTTAATGCAATTAAATAACCGACAGGTTGTAACTGTAACGCTGCCTTACCAATAATGCTATTTTCTATAGCATGTCTATTTTGAGAGCTGATCCTAGTGTTACGTTGGGGGTAGTTTAAGGCTATATACCTTGAGGGCAACCAACTAATAGGGATGAAAGCCGAGACCAAGGTCCGAAAAAGGGCTGGCGTTTCATGAAACGATATGCCGAGCTATACGGGTCTAGGGCCTCATGCAACATGACTTGCCATTGCGAGTAGTTCACGCCCTAGATCGGCAGCCGCCCTTAATATATTAGTTGATTTCTTTAAAATACAAAATAGTCTCTCGGCAGCTACGAATATTTGGATACAAGTCTCATTGCGGCTAGCTTCAAGGACCTATAGCTTCCGCAAGTGCTACCAACTCCAGCTCCGGCACTGGGCTTGCAGAGCTAACGAGGCTTCAGATTGTGGTTAGCCTGCATAAAGTACTTGATTCATACGGGGTTCGGATATGCAGGCGCCCGCCAACGTCGTCACCCCCTTCTTGGCTAGGAGGAGCGTAAACTGAGGCGTTCATGCATGACTGACTTAGCAGGTATCGTGCCTGTAACCAATCCTATTCTTGTTAGTAAAGCCTGTATGGAGGTCGCTTGTGCAATAACGCAACGTATTTCAGTATTGAGCTCATAGAAAACCACGAGCTTTGGGATAACAGGGCTAAACCTAGGTATCTTAAGTCACTATTCAATGTCAGGCTACGGCGCCATTGCCCATCTCTTAAGGCGTAATCGCTATGTGTTAATAAACCCCCACAAATCAAGCACACACATAGCCACTACTAGTCCCTCAGACTCTGTACATGATATTTCGGAATAATATATCACGTGGAAGTCCTGGTCGTGATGTTTTTATAGAGTCATATATTCATCTCCTTATACGTACTACTCAGACTACCTAGACTCCTCATCATAACGCCCCTTCCCACCCTTTTACCCCTTAATTCGCTGTCATTCACTCCCCTACCCTAAACACCATACCATGCTGATACACTCACTCCTGCTTCGCCCAACACAACACTGCCTAATAGATTCGTTTGAACTGATCCCGATGAGTTCGGTCGAGCTTATAGCTCTTCGTCCTGGTTGGCAACCATGTTGCTAAGGGGTCCCTTCTTGAGCATGATACTCATGATCTCGTACAACGCATCCGCAGCAGCCATGGTGGTGTGCTCAGCATTCGTGTCGTAGGCGGGCTAGTCACATAACATGTCAGCAGTCGCCCTTATTATTGTTGTAATACGAAAACCAGAAAACAGGAAAACCAGAAAACATAAAAATCACTTACAGCAACCTCAACAATATCCGCACCAATCAAATTAACACTCTCCAAGCCCCTCAGAATCGTCCTCAGCTCCCGCGTGCTCCAGCCGCCGGTCTCGGGGGTACCCGTCGCGGGCGCGAAGGCCGGGTCGAGGGTGTCGATGTCGACGGACAGGTAGACCGGGTTCGTGGTGCCGACGCGGTCGAGGATCTTCTTGATGATGCCGTCGGTGCCGATGGTGTCGACCTCGCGCGCCTCCACGATCGCGAACCCGCAGTACCCGTCGTTGGCGTAGTCCGAGGGTCCGCTGAGCGTCGTCCGGATCCCCGCGTGGATGTTGGTGTCGTTCGCCAGCAGGCCCTCTTGCGCCGCGTGGTAGAAGTACGTCCCGTGGTTGATGCTGGCGACTTCGGAGGGCGAGCCGCCGAAGACCTTGGGGCGCCCTGGGGTGCGTGTTAGCTTGATGGGTTATGGTGTCGGGGCTGTGATTAGGGGATGGGGTTGACGGAGTTGAAAGGGGAGGGGCCACTTGCAGGTGTCTAGATGGCTGTCGAAGTGGATGACGGAGACCGGGCCGTACGCTCGGTTGATGGAGCGGAGGAGAGGAAGGGTGATGGTGTGGTCTCCACCAAGGGTGATGACTCGTGGTAGAGTCTTTCCCTTCTTAGCCGGGCCGCGCTGGTCCGCAGCTGTCTTGGGGGCACGAGACAGGATGTTGTAGTGGCCTTCTTCAATTTGCTTGAGAGCCCATTCGTTGTCATAACTATAACTTAGTTAGCATGTGTTATATGTATAAGAGTTACTCAGAGAAGGAAGGGAGGAAAGTATTGAGGCATACGATGTCACTGGGATGTCTCCGCAGTCGAGAACCTTCGCCCATGAGTTAAAGGGGTTTGTTTCCAAGGGGACGTTGTAACCGCCGCTGTATCATCAGGTCAGCTGACCATAAGGACAATATCGTAACTTGATACAGGGGGTTATACTAGAGATTTAGACGTCGAGATCCCTGACGGATACCTGAGGGACCGAATCGTGCACCAGGTCGGTACGAAGTACCGGTATCAAAAGGAGCACCTTAACCCCCAGTTAGTGTAAGGCTCTGTAAGACGGTATCCAATTGACGAACCAATGAAGGCGAGATCATAGTCTATGTCGTCGTGACCTAGGCAAGGCTGGTACGGCAGGCGTCCAAAGGTTGTAATTCCAGAGAATACCGAGTCGGCCTGTGTCCCGCCATCTCCAGGTAGAGTGTTATACCACAATGACTGATGAGGTCCAGAGAGTGTCTTTTGGTTATCGTGAGTTCCATGGGCGGTAGCATAAGCTACGTAGCCAAGAGTGAAGAGAGCCGTCAACATATTGAGAAGCAGTTGATTTTCACAACACAGCACATATGCAAGAAATTGAAAATTCTATCCTATGGGAACCTGTCCCTTTATGAGTCTTATGTATCCAGGGCTTGCTGCTAAAATCTTCTCTCGTTGATAGGACGCCGATATCGATTTCGTAATAACGGCAATGCCGGTCTTCACATTGAGATGACCATGACTAAAAACGGGAGCTTATCATGAACTGCTCTCGTCCACTGAGAGAAAAGGACATCTCTGGAGATCCATTTCGACCGGAGATCGATGCTGGACTTGCATAGTGGGGATTTCTGTAGACGCCAGTAGATGTCATCAAGAGATTTCTTGTTAGGTAACCAGATAGTCGGAGACGTTTACGGTACACTAATGACATAGCTCTTCGAATGCGGGGGCACCAGATAAAGCTTCAAAAGCTAAGATCTCTGCTATTCGACTTCACCGACTGGGTAAGTTATCGCGGTATTGCATGAAGCATGAAGCATGAGAGGACAACTCACTCGTCTTATTATAGGTTATAAGCTCTAGCTATCGGCACAAAGAATGAGCGAAAGGGGCCTAACGGCTTATATAGATCCTATTTGCGTGCCCATTTTCGGATAGGGGACCAAAAGTAGTAATCCCACGTGGCAGTGACTGGACGAACTTGGCCCAAAAGATAGGCAAAGCTGACTGCGAACTGCCGGATCGTCATTCCTCTTCCCCGGGCGGGCGTTACACGCGCAACATCAAAGAGAGCGATATAGTGTGAGATAAGAACACACATCTGCATGTCTCTATTATAAAGATATATCCGTACGATGAGTAATGAAGTGGGTAAGTCTACGGCCCGTTTCAGGACGGATACCTGCAGGTAGCTTGGTATCATATCGAAATATGCATCGTATGAACAAAGTTTTCCTAATTGGGTATCGTTTTGCTTTTGGTGATTCGGTGATTCGGTGGCTCGGTGATTGGTTATTTTAGTGGACTTTCCCGATTGTTAAAAAGGGGGCATTCTGGCTGTATGGCCATCTTCCCCTTACCATTCATACCACTCGCCGGCCTTCTTTTCTGTGCAAGTGTAATAGTAAGAATGATCGCTGGATTGGATTAATTAAATTGGAACTGTGGCCTCGGTTCTGCGACCGTGAGTCGCAGCGACAGCTTGTCATGTTTTTTCCCGACAGTCCTATGGCCCCCACCATTGCCGGATCCTTGGGAATAGCGATTTCGTCATAGCGATGAGATGTTATATTCATTCTCATTCGATTAGTAGTACCACGCCTTATTAAATACCCCTGGGATCTGGATGGAATGAGGAGGAAGGGCCGTAGGCTCCGGTTATGCGTAAGGTATACATGCCTATATGTATGTTATGCGCCTAGAACGTCGCACTCCTCTGTCCTTTTCTAAGAGGTGTGAGAGGTGTGGGAAATGCCAGCCGCTCCTTTGACCATGTTGGGACCCAGGCGACGGCAGAGTTGCACGTCGGTCTAGGGTGTCGTGGATTGCTCGATCTGATTCGCCTTGGGATGTCTGCAGGCTAAGCAAGACTGGCATGAGGCCGAACAGCCTTGTGCAGTTCGAGAAGCTCATTTGTCCTGGTGACTTAAGTGGCTGCAGAAAAGATGGTCATGATCCACTCATAACTGCAGATGAAGAATAACTTGACCTCCCACACACTCCCATACCTTTCCATGCTCCCATACTTCGACAATACAACGTAACTTGCTGGTTTCTCGTCTCTCGCCGTCTCGCCGTCTCGCCGGAGGCTGGGCGCATATACTTACGTATCTCTCTCTGCTGTGATGCGTAGTGCACGCGCCCGCAGCGAGTCTGGGATTTAGAGATTCAAAGGATCATGTACGAAATATCTAATGTAACGAGCCAGATCTAGGCAGGATCGTAGATGTCGAGGTTCAAATCGCGTTACCTTTGCTTCTCTTTCGGAAGATGTACATATGTACTCCAAATACTCCAACATTGAACGGAATAAAATAAAAAAGAAGGAAAAGAGAAAGCGGAAAACAAGGAATTGACTACGCTTATCCGGGAAGTGGTTACTCACTTGTATCATACATGTGAGCTTGACGTTATGTAGTACAACCAGTAACATCGCCCTGGGAAGCTAGCGAAGGTTCTAGGACTAACCCACTATGGTTAGATGGCGAACACCACCAGCACTTCCCAGCCCCCGACTTCCGAGCAAGAACCATTTAACGTTCTCCTCTATCTTTGAGCAGGGGGGAGGCACGCCGCACCTGGGTAGAGTGCTAGAGAAACTCAATTCTCTGACGTTGTTTCCTAGTGTGCTAAATGTGTGAAGGAAGGTGGGAAGTGGGAAGGACCCGACATCGTCTATCAGCTGCACTCAATTAAAGTCATCTATTCGTTGCAGTCGCAAACCTTGAAAGTACATACATACATCCCACATACAGACACATATACGATACGTCTCCTGATAGTACTTTGCGCAACATTAGAACCAAAGCCAGACTCTATTCTTTTCATAGACTATCACACATTTTGCTTGTTAGAATCTATTCCGGTCTTGTCCCTCTGATATCCATATACGATACGATATACTGTGGCTTATTGCTGTCGCAAGCCGTAATATTTCTTAAACATCTGATTCAATTTTTATGCTTCCTCAAATATACCAGCCAATGGACAGCGCCTAGAGATGATGCTTTTTGTAACATGTCCTGCAAGGTCCTGAGCATTTCACCTTCGATCTGGTTCCCAAATTGGCTCCGATCGCTGTGAGTGGTCCAATAGTCGGCACACTTTATCAAAAAAGCCACCCCAGGCAGGTCGACTTTGCGAAGACCTCAGAGCTGCCTGCGTCTGCATCACGTAGGGGGTTTGCAGAGGACAAGAAACACCTGAGGGGAGCACCCGCGGACTACGCGCTCAATTTTTTTTATAATTCTTATAAAGAAATACGCAACCAGTTCTTGCCCCCAAAGCCGTGCCGTTTCTCTACAATGCGAAGGATCATCTGGTCTGGTGCAACCCAGCTTAATAGATTTTAAACTGTCGGCAACAATGATAGATACTGTTTCTTCCCACTCGACTATGCTCGCTTCTGCCGAAACCGTCTCGCCCGCGGCGTCGACAGCCCTTTATTTCGACCCTCTGTACGATCAACCCCCAGTTGGTAAACCTACTTATGGTAGCCCACGGGCATTTAAGAAACATAAGGTTCTCCCTCATCCGAGAAATAATCGGCCTACCTCAACGGCTAGGAATCGCCATTCCCGTGACCTGTCTATCGATACAACGTCGATCCCGGAATCGCATGTGAAGCCAGAAGAACCGACCACCCCGACGAACCCGAAGCACGACGATAGTCCCAACGTCAAAGTTCCTGGACCCGCTCTCCCTCCTACGCCACCGGCGCACTCTCGTACCTCTTCAGGAAGCCACTCGATTCAGCCCTCGAGTCCGACCTATGTCGGTAGTCCGGTGCGAAGTGCTACAAACACTCCAGTAGACACGACACCGAGAACTCCACCTCACCAGACGAGCCCACCCACGCCAGACGTGACCCCTCCGCAGCCCGAGCGTCGATCGAGACCCTCCCGCCCCGTTTTAACAGATCGCATTCCATCAAAGGCTACAGCAGATTCTCGGACAGAATCTTTCACCACAGCACCTGAAAACGTGGAGTCTTCCGAAGAAGACGACATACTCCAGTTGACACCTCGGCCCATCTTGACCTCTAGCAAGGCGACCCAGACCGTAGCAAGACGCGTAATTGACGCAAGACAAAAAAGAGCAGCAGACGTGGGACTAGGCTTGGGCCTCGAATCTGACGATAATCTTACACCTGGGACGAAACGGGAATTCTCATCTTTTGATGGTGACTGGGGTAATACGGCCAGCGGAGCTGAGAAGGGATGGGACGGTAAACACGATAGGAATGACAGAGTGGAGAAGCGACGTGTCCAATCTAAGACTAATGGACAAAAAGCTGCCAAAGTAGTCGAGGATGTGACGATTACTCCGACCAATGCGACAAAGGCTTTACGATCGATGCCCCTGTCTGACCGATTACATACGCAACCTTCACCACCTCCGGAATCTACGAACAGGGATACGCGCTGGACCGCGCCGTCTACTTCCGAGTCCTCGGTGAGTACTGACGTTAGGCGGTCCTCCGGAATGTCCTCGAAATCTACCGTCTCTACAGTCGTAGAGGCTATTTTAGTCGGGACGCCTCCTCAGAGGCGTAAGACGTTGCGCCATGTTAGGAAGCAACCTGCCCTTAGGGATTCTAGCTCGGAGATCTCACCCTCGAGCTCATCGGCGAATACATCTCTTCGCCTGACGGAGAGCTCTCAGCGTGCGAGACCTCCTAGAAGGGCTATCGATAGTACTGTACGATCAGAAAGTCTTGCATCGACTAATACGGCTTACTCTGTCGCCAGCCGAAAGGCTCGCAAGGAAGTTTGGAAGAGCGGGGGAATTCCCGTAGTCGTCATCCCTGATCGTAGAGCCTCCATGAAAGCTACCGAACCACCGTCGCTAAGGTCTACGAGTAGTCACCACTCTAAGAGAAGCAATAGTCTAAGTTCGGCACCATTATCAAATCCCTCTAAAGTGAAGGACCTGACACCCTATTTTGATAAGCCTTCTCGAAGAGGTAGAGCAATGTCAGAATCTGAAGGATCAGTTCGAGTGGACGAATTAACTATGGACTACCCTCCAATTGTTCCTTTGCGTAGATCTTCTTTATCGGCCCCAACTAGTAGGAACGGGTCTAGGGCTGGTTCTCGTGCCGGATCACTGACCGCCGAAAGCTTGAAGGCGCACAATACTTTCTTGGAGGAAGAGGGCAAACAGCAACACCAACAACAAAACCAACAGCAGCACCAACCACCACCACCACACGTAACGGTGGAACGTGCGCCTCCCGTCGAGTATATGAATACTCCTCCCGAACAGAGACAACCTGATCCGGCTCCATCAGTTGAGTCGCACAAAGATGGCTCCCATGACCACAGGCCACTTGTCGACAATAACGGGGACCCCTTCTTCGGCAAACGGTTGACAGCGCACAACACCCCATTTTCTCAGGCGTCTGTCGAGACAAACGGGACTCACTCTGCGGCAGATATTTCTGAAGCGATGGCGGTGAATATTTACCCACATCAAAACAAGTCTGTTTTGATGGTTCATCATATGTCGAAACCCGTGGATCCTGTTGCTGCCGCAAACGCTTTGCGAAGTCCAGAACCTCCCCAAAATGGAAACGCTGCGGGGACGGGAAATTTTCTAGACACACCTAGGATTACAGCAAGCGGCCCGGACGGAGCACCTGCGACACCTCCCCAACATCAATTTTCAATGGACGATGTAGATTCCCCTCTAAGGAACCCGCGTGCTCCTCCTGAACCGCCTGCAATCAAGTTTATCCCAGCTACGCCGTCCGGGCTCACTCCAACTACTGAAAAGGAGAAGATGCTCGGAAACTACTTTGAAGAGACCCAAAAGCGGCCTTCCCTAGTGCGCCGTGCTTTTAGCCTTCGCAAGAGCTCGGATAACGTTCGTCCATCTGGGTTCCTCTCGCGAACTCTATCTCTCTCGAGAACACTTCGAAAAGACACCGCCGAGAATCCCGCACTCGATAGAAGCAAGGAGGTTAGATCACACCAGTATCCAACAGTTGATGACCCACCACCTGACGAGTCCAAACTTCACCCATTCTGGCGACCTACTTTCGAAGATGGCGACGACGATTTTGACGACTTGGAACGTGACATCCCCCCGGAGGTGGATACGGTCTACCGGTACCCGCCGGTTGCTCGTCGTAGAAGTTTGAGCGAGCGGATGAAGCGTACGTTTGCTATTCTTCCCATAGAGGACGAGGATCACTATACTGCCTCTGGCCAGCGCAGTCCAGAACGTCGAACAGTCAAACGTACGCCGAGCGGTAGACTCCGTGTGATGAGACACCATGACAGCTCTAGTAGTCTTGATTGGGGTAATCGTCGGTATTCCCGTGACTACGAATCAGAAGGACGACCATCTACCGCCCCCGACGATCCAAATCGACGCGCCTGGGGAATTGAGAAGCGTGTGGACGACAGGGGACGCAGACTTTTCCCTAACTGGCAGGATAAGCTAGAACAGTATCGGCCGCAGAATCTCCAGCGCAGATTAAGCGAACACCGTCGACAGAAACGTACTGAGGTCCTCCGACAGAAGATTAGTGGACCGCGTGAGGTCCGTGATGGCGTAGGGGAGGTTATCAAGCGCAACAGTTATAAGGGACCCTCTTATCAGACTGCGTCGCATATCCAACCCACGTCGAACGGCAAGACACACTACCAACAGCCCGAAGTACATCGACGCCGGGGGCCTATTCGAGTCTAGCTGCCTTTCGATTTATGGACTTTGTTCTGAATTATATTCGTATAGGTGCTAATGATGGAAGTTTCTGTCTTGGGATCGAGTATAGTGTTCGACTTTCGATTTTCCATACCCATGTTATCATCATCATCATCGCCGTGATTGTTACTGAACACTCACACTACACCTAACAACAACCATTCCCCCTAATGACATGTCATTTGCCCCCCATTGACGATGCATACGAGCTACGATAAACCACGACGCTACATATTCCCCCACATCACGATTTGAGTTACGAATGAGTTCTGGCCGGTTTTACGTTTTTTTGATATGAAACCGGATAAAAAAGGATAAAGGGTTGTGTTTTTTTTTTTCTATTTTTACTATGGACAGCATGCTGGACGTGAGAGCTACGGAGAACCAGGAGGGTGTAAGGGGAAATGGATGTATGGAGGGAATGTAACTGATGAAGTTGTTCCTTTTCCTTGGCATTATTGTTACCCCCTTTTTTATCTTTATTTTTCGGAGTTACGAATGAAAGAGAAGAAACCTGCTATGAATACCAATGACGACGAGTTGATTCTGCTTTGGATCGAGGCTTTGGTCCTTGACTGTTGGGCGTTCCCGTTTTATGATGTTATCTTTGCCTACCTTGTCTTGTCGTGTTGCCGTTGCTGTTGCTGATGTTGTATTGTACCGAGATAGATGTCTTGATCGTACGACGGGGAATAACGAAAAAATGAAAGTGAAACATTGACCATATTATAGCATTTTAGACCCCAGTAACCAGAGTGCCATGTCATTATCACGCCCTAATCACATATTCTTTTTTCTGGCTCAATGCAAAATTGCTGCTGTATTTGGTCAAGAGTACGAGTACTGCTGACTAAAATTGGTATATGCCTCAAACGAAGAAACGCCTTGAATTGCCAATCTTTTCAGGCAATGCAGGAAAAAAGTTAACCCCCTTAACGCCTTGCCTCGCAACCAATGTTCCATGGCGGATTGTCGATCCAGTTTACAGTTCCTCGAGTAGTTTGACAAGCTCATTTTCCCTTTTCACTATATCTCCTTTCTCTCATATGGCGCGAGAGCTTCTGTTGTACATTTACTTAGCCCATAGAAGCGAAGGCAGACGAAGTCTCCGATAATCATGCCTAGACGTCGTATCTAGCATCCGGTCGTCCTTCCGCCTAGTCGATCCTCAAAACCAAGTCGTTCGTGAAGCCCTCGTTCTCGTACGATGGTCCGCTATAACCTTCCATCCGAGCACTTCACCAAATTCAATGGTCGAGTGGTAGAATAGAAAAGCTACATCCTGGGCAGGCCATCCCGCATCCCCTCTCCCCCTATCATCATACCGCCACGGCCGTTACTACTACCAGCACGACCCTAGCGACTCTAGCGCCCAGGCGGTCCAGACGGAGGCGGGAACCCCACGCCTCCAGGCGGCGTAGGACCACCAGGGAAACCCTGTCCAGGCGGCGGCATGCCGGGGAACGGGAAGGGAGGCGCGTTTGCGCCGCCCGCGCCGGGGGGCGGGAACGGCAGACCGCCTGGTGGGGGAGGGAACGGCAGCCCCGAGCCGGGGGGTGGGATGGGTAGGCCGCTTGGGCCTGGGAAGGGCGGGGGTGGGAGGCCGCGGCCTGCTTGGCCTGGTGGCGCTGTTCTTGCGTGTTAGTTTTGGATATTGTGCTAGGATGGAGGGATGGATTGGGGGGGTGGGAAAGAGGAAGGGTGGGGAGGTTACTTACGAGGCATTCCTGCTGGAAACGCGCCGCCGGGCGGTGGAGGCATGCCGCCTGGTAGACCGGGGAACGGAGGAGGCATTCCGCCGGGGAAGTTGAAGGGAGGCGGCGGCATTCCCGGGAAACCACCTGCCGCCGCTGCAGCTGCTGCCGCGGCCGCGCCGCCGGGTTGGTTCTGGGGCAGCATGGGGTTGGCGTGGGCCTGGCCCTCGGCGGCGTAGGAGGAGGTGATGGAGTCGATGACGGACTGGGCCTTCTCGTGGCCGATCTGCTGGTAGTAGTCGACGACGTTGCGGAGGTGGTTTCGGCCGCTGTTGTGCGCCTTGCGCACGCTCATGCTGTCGTGCGTCAGGTAGACGTCGCAGTAGTCGCAGAAGACTGTTTACGTTGGTGTTAGTATTGCTATCTTATATATTCTTTGAAGTAACAGATAGAATTCGGGAGATGAGACTTACACTTCGGCATCTTGACGGTGTGATCTTCAATGCAATCAAATGATGGGATGTGGTTGTGAAGAAGAGATACACTGCAAGATAGAAAGTTTGCGAATGCGGACGATACAAAAGATACAAAAAGGCTGGAGCTTGGACGCGAAAAAGAATCGAGACCCCGGTCAATCGGTGAGGCTCGGTTACACGTGACCTAATCGCTGCAAGGCTATTGGAGCCACTAAAGGTTTGTAGCGTGTCATTGGACGGAAACTTGAACACGTATTACTACCCGGTACGAAGTTACATCGAAACACTAAAGTTCCTAAAGTTGTTAGCTCTGAAGCTCCTGGTTCGACATTCTCCCCTTCGCAAGACTCAATTCCTTGGGAGACGAACAAGAACAGAGAACTGTTCTGCCCGCAACGAAACCTCGAATACCGACACAATGGCTTTGCCACGAGCATTGCTGCAGTACATCTGCGGCTTCGTGCTCTTGATCGCCTCAGTCAACGCTTTGAAATTCGACCTCACGGCACGCGGTCCGAATGACAAGAAAACAGAACGATGCATACGGAACTTCGTCGCGAAGGACACATTGGTCGTTGTCACTGCCACTGTTGGCGGGAGCAAGGGAGACGGCATGATTGTCAATATGCACGTATGTCAATCTACGAGAGCTACACCCACACCCCTGAGGCACCGTATCATGAGCAAAACAACAAAAGCAACAGAGCAAACTTGGGCTAACATTGGACTGCGAATCGGGTTATAGATCTTAGATAATGTAGGCAACGAGTACGGAAAGCCAAAAGACGTGGTAGGCGAACAGCGCACCGTCTTTACTTCCCACGCCGACGCGGCCTTCGATGTATGCTTCGAGAACATCATGACGCATTGTATGTCCCCCCAATTCCTCGTCCCGTCATTTCCTCTATTTCTCCTATCTCTACTTGTGTGTGTCTCGAGTCGATAGTGAGAAAAAAGGAATGGGCTAAAACCGATCCCCAAAATCAAGCTCTTAACCAGTTCAAACCAGCGCGCATGAACAACCCGAGCCGACACGTGGAACTCGACATCGACATCGGCGCCGACGCCAAGGACTGGTCCGCCATCCAGGCGACGGAGAAGCTGAAGCCTGTCGAGACGGAGCTGCGCCGGATCGAGGAGTCGATCGCGGATATCGTCCGCGAGATGGACTACCTGCGGGCGAGAGAGCAGAAGCTGCGCGACACCAACGAGAGCACGAATACCCGCGTTAAGTGGTTCGGGATAGGTACCACGCTGCTGCTGGTCGCGCTGTGGGGCTGGCAGATCATGTACCTGCGCGCTTACTTCCGATCGAAGCACTTGATTTAAGAGTATCCAATACCTACCTACCTACCTAGGCACCCAAAGCAGGTTTCTCGCAAGCTCGAGGGTTGCGATGGTCTAGGTGGGTGAAGGGGCAAGCAAGCAACTAGTCACCTATCATTAGTCTTGGACAGTACTTATGACCATGTCTTAGTGAAGGAGTTAAGGCTCTTGCAGGGCTTCAATGGGGAAGGGAGGCACAGGCGTGACACGAGTATTTTTTGGAGGGTTAAAAACGGGCACGGCGGCATGGAACACGATACTTCATGCTTTTGTACGCATAATCTGTATAGGCGTCTTCCGACGCTGCGGAGTCTGGAGATGAATATAAAAATGAAGGACATTCATAATTCTTGCATTGCTATGCATTGCTATGCTCATAATTCAATTTTCACGTGAAAATCGAACACCCCTTAAGTCTATCCATATCTAATTGGAAGCGACGCCGATCGATCGGATACGTACGGAGTAAGGGGTATACCCGGCGCTTGGAAGTCCCGGGCCGGCGGGGAGGGGCGGCCTCGGTAATTTTCATATGATTCGCGAATTACAAAGCTTCAATTGCCAATTATTCGGAGCTTGGTCTAGCTCCAAGCTTTTTTAAGTTGGAGCTCTCCAACTACGTCAACGATTTGACTACACAAATCTAACAACCTTTTTATGTCTCATATCTAATGTGGGATGTGAACGAATGATCAAAGGAAAAGACGACTTCACAAGATATAGCTTCTATGTCATCCACGAATTCAATCACAATCTAGTTCAATCAATTCAGAACAATGGCTTCAACAGCTTCAGTACTCCCCCGTAGCATCATGCGTGCGGCGCAAAGGCCTTCGTCCACCTCTGCTGCTAGACAATTCCTGCTCTACCGTCCGCTAAGCAGCACAAGCGTCCGAAGGGCCGGCATCTTCCCAGGCAACCTGCCGCCAATGGAGCCACACAAGCAGCGTAGTGAAGAAGGAGATGTTCAGGTCGGCGAGCTCGAGGGTACCGAGTTCCGCATCGAGCCTATGAAGCGGAACGGCGAGAATGATAGCACGATGCGGGCGAGACTTGTCTGTATGTCAATTCGACTTCTTATATTGATATTATATGCTCTATATACTATACACCCCCGTTGATTCCTACATACAAGCTATAGAAGCACCTACTCGAGTACTATTTATAGAATCACGCAAAGACTGACCAAACCCCTAACAGACCAAAGCCGCAAACGCGGCATCCTCGAAACCGACCTGCTCCTCTCCACCTTCGCCGACGAGTACCTGCCCACCATGACACGTGAGCAGATGGCCCAGTACGACTCCTTCCTCGACGAGAACGACTGGGACATATACTACTGGGCCACGCAGGAGCCGCCGCCCTCCTCCTCCGACACCACCACCACCACTGACTCCTCTTCTGCCTCTGCTTCCACCCCCACCCCATCCATCCAAACGCAAGACACAAGCTCCGCCGACTACGCCGGCGGCGTCGAAGCCGCTATCTCCGAAGCCACACCCCTCGACACCTCTCCCTCGTCGCAGGAAACATCCATCCCGACGCGATCCACATCCACCGTAACCATCCCTCCACACCATCTCTCCGAGCCGCTGACCACAGGCGGCGTCCCGACGACCGGCGACGCGGGAGAAGGCAAGGAGGGGGGAACGGTAGGCGCGGCGGCCGCAACCGCCGCCTCGTCCGAGGAGCCGTATAAGCAGCAGGGCGAGAGCGGCGAGTGGGCGCAGACGGTGGGGACCTTCAAGCCGGCGTACCGTCCCGTGCCGGCGCGGTGGCGCGACAGCGAGATCCTGAGGTTGATTCGGGACCATGTGAAGACGAGGGCTAAGGAGAGGGGTGGGATGGCGTTTATGCCTGCGCTCAGACATCCTTGAGTATGTACGTACGTATGTACGGACGGACGGACGGACGGGCAGTTTCAACTTGGTGGGGGGAGTTTAGGAGAGGGTTTGTGGGGTTTGTGTATTAGGTAATGCTATTAAAGAAAAAAAATGAAAAGGGGGATGATACTACACCGGTAGGATGTATTGTCGGCTTTTTACGATTATGGTAGCTGTTCGTTTACGGCTGGTTACTAGGTAAGATGAAGTATCACGGGGTTGGTGTCGGGTTATGCTGATTAAACTGTATGGCTCGTCTATATTCTATGAATGATGTAGTGAAAAAAACACATGTATATCTATCTATACTTGGCTTCATATTAAAAGTGTCACAGCAAATGTTTATCGAATATGATATCATGGATGTTTACATAGTCGTCTAAGTCGACCTACCTACTACCTACCTACCTCTGTAGGTAGTATAATACCACAAAAGCTACGCAACCAATTAATTAAGCACTCCGTCTTTCCCATCTATACACATCCACAAAACCACTTAACCACACAGTCATCAACAACAGCAGAAACAATTACAGATATAGTAACAGAAAATAGCAGTAATAAACAAATGCCAACCGCTAGCCTAACTTATGCACATCCCCTTCCCCCTCCCCTTTCCACCTATGCAGAATGCCCGAATTACCATTCATTACAATCATCATCGCATCATGAACTTGCAAAAGTCGCTGCAAAACTCGAGAAATCTGAAACAAAAAATAATAGAATGCCATATTCTCTCTCTCTCTCTCACTCTCCGTACCTAGCTAGGTAGGCTACGTACCTAACCTAACCTAACGTCTCTCTCCCCCCTTTCTTCTCTTTCTCTTTCTGCTTCTCTCTCTTAAAGCCAGGCATCAAAAACACAACAAGCGTCCACAGAAAACGCCGTTTATCCCCTCCCCTTTCCGAAATGCCATTCGCCATTCGTTCGACGGTAGTGGTATCTTCCAAACCAAAAGCAGACAAACAAGCAAACAAGCAGGCCAAAACACAGGTCATTCGTTCCTCTTCCCCTTCCTCTTCCCTTACCATTCTCCTGCCCTTACTATCGTTTCCACTCCTTGGGTAGGTATGACGATACGGACGGGTGGATAGATGGATAGATGGACGGGCAAGTAATCCATACAAGGATATCTTTCTTTTTTCTTATTCCTTCCTCGGGTCGAGGTCGATATACCTTACACGCGTCAACCTCCGCCCCCGCTCTCGGGCGGCAGTATCCTCCCCAGACTCCTCAGGACCTCCATAACCGGCATATCCTTCGTGCCTGCGCTCTTCCGTTCCCTCTCCTCCCGTTCCTTCAACCTCGCCGCGCTGAGCGCGAGTACTTTATCTGCTTGGGAAGAACCCGTGGCCACTCTCCGCTCTAGCTTGTGCACGTTGTCGGATAGCTGGTCGATCTTGTACTCGAGGGACTCATGCATAGCTCGGAGCCGTTGCTGCAGCTTCTGCGGCTTTAGGACAGAGGAGGAAGAGGCTGGCAGGTTGGTGAGGGAGGCTAGGATTTGGGCTTCGTCTGCGTCGAGGAGGGAGGCGTCTGGGAGCGGAAGCGATTTCGTGTCTGTTTCTGGGAAGAGTGGTGGGAGTTCGGGAGGCGGTTGTTTGAGGGATTGCCACGTTCGCTTCTCTGCTTTTAACCTGGGGGGTTGTTAGTATCTAGATTATAGTGATAATGATAATAACAGAGCATGAGACGTACCTTTTTATCCTTTCCTCAAGCTCGGCTATTTTCTCCTCGTGCTCGATATTCCGTGGATTCGGCTTCACTATAGCCGGCGGCCGCGGTATTTCTTCTCGAGCAAACCAATCTGAAAACTCGGACCTTGAAGCAAAATCCTTCAGCAGTTGGTCCTGGATCGCTCGGGCTATAAGGCCAATGTTAGCTTGTAGAACCGGCCACAGGCGTTGCCGCCTTCGAGGATATATCTTACCCCCTAAAATCTCATTAGAATTCGTAGAGCCTAGCGATGGTTTCTCCAACAGCGCTCGCTCTCCGCACCACGTTAATAGCTGCTTCATACGACGCGGCTCCATCAACTCGGCCTCGATGTGCTTGTAGAATTCGCCGTGATCGACCGCTCTATGCGGTATCGCATTGTTGCCGTTCTCGATCAGGGAGCTTGCTCGCCTTCCGCGCATGCCTAGACTACTCCTTCGGGCACCTGTTTTCCTCCGCATCTCTTTGTTTCGGTTTATAATCGGCGTGTCACTAAACGGCAGCGCGATTTTCTTGGATTCAGAGGCGTTATCACCGTTTCTTCCTCTAGGTTCGTCCCTGGGCGTTGACTGGATAGCTTGAACTTCTTCCTGGGGCTCCTCTTCCTCTTGCACCTCCTCGACCTGCTTCTTCTTCTTCTTGGTACCAACTCCATTTGTAGCTTTCACCGGCTCCTTCTCTGCCTTTTCAGCGGACGGCCGACCTCTCCGCCGCGTATTTCTCTGTGCTGGTCCTGGAGGTGGTTGTGGCGGTGTTTGCGCTTCATCTTGGTCATCCGACATTTGACTGGACCTCCGCTTCGCATTCCTCCTAGGTGCAGGTGCCGGTGCAGGTACTGGTACCGGTTGTGGAGGCGGTACTTCTTTATTTTGCTTCGGTCTGCCCTTCCTTGCTACTGGTGCTGGTTTTTGTTTTGGTGCTGGAGCTGGAGCTGGCGCCGGTTCGTCCTCAGGTATCGATTCTGGTTGCGTCTTGATCCGCTTCGATCCTCGCGTAAAATGAAAGTCGCCATCTTGCTCGTCATATGCTAAAAAACACAAATTGCGGTCAGTCGTCCGGCCATCAACAAACACCGACACCCCTAATCCATCTGCCCCCCACGGCGGGATAAACGGTCAACGTACCGGCGAGGCGCGAGCTCCTACGGCGCTTGGGCTGATTGCTCATGCTCAGGACTTGTAGTGGCTGACGGGTTTGCACGAGGGTAGTCATGGACGCTGGGTGAGTGTGCGCATCTGTTCGAGATTGTTTCGGGGTTCGAGTCGCGCCGGTTTGGTGAAGTTGGAAGAACGCCTCGATTGGGCAGTTAGCGCGAAAAATGTATAGCTTTGACCGCGTCAATCAATTGGCGGTGGGATCAATTATATCGGACTATATCTCGAATCGCGTGGATCGTCGGTACGGTTAACTATAAATGTTGCTTTTTGGGGGTTGACTTTATTTCGTAAGCGGATCGTTAAGTTTTTGGTCGTTTGGAGTTGGCGTTACAGGGAGTAGTGACGAGGGACGAGGCGCGAAGATGTTCCTTCCACCCATCCTCAATGTTTACATAGAACTGTTTATGCACAGACCACGTCAACGTAGCCTTGCCGCGACCCGCTTCAATCTACTCTACCCCCTCTCTCTACCTGCCTACACGTATACTACCGCTTATGCAATTAAATTAACTAATAATTCTTCCAGCACCGGCCAATGAACCCATTATGAATTTACCAATACATGAAGTCATATCTCGACACAACATCTGGCACCAATTTACCAATATCATCAGACTTCATAAGTTTATAAGAAGCACAAATGCACGGGCACAGTATCAGCATTTTTACGACGGTCAATCATTTGCTAAGAGCCTACGTGTATCTGCTAGCTAATATAAACGGTTGAATCGAAGACCAGTAACTCCCGAGATAGACGATGATGGCGCGAGTCCCTATTTGCACATCACCCCGTCCCTTCTCAACGCCTACGTTGTAATAGCAAAAGTACTTCCAGTATCCCTCCTTAAACACCGTTTTTGATGTGTATGCCCAGCCAGATACGTACATATAGCAATATCGCCCGATAACATGGCGAAGCTGTAGGCGATACGTCTCCCGCTAACGTGGTAAGACGTGCCACAATGCAGCCATAGCCTAAACGCCCTATCGTGCTCTCGTGAATCTCCGAATGTTATTACAGACGCTAGAGTTAAAAGGCGAGCGTTCCCCCGTCCAGGAACGTCTGCCAACCTCTAATATCGTCAGAAGAGCAGGAGCGCTTAATCACTTTTCCTACCGCCCAATACCATTAAGGGGTTTTCTTTTCCTTGAAAATCAGTCAAAACATGACGACCAAAGATCCGTAGGCGCCAGGGCTTCTACCGCCCAGGACCCATGATATTGATCATTACTCTTGGTGGTAGTTATCTATGTTCGAATAGACGGAACTTCCGGGAGCGACCTGTTCATTCTATGAGAAGCGTCGCTGCACCCCTTGCCCCGCCATGACGGGTTGGTTGGGGATGGGTGCCGCCATCCCGTACGGGTTGATCTGTGGATTGTAAGTCTCCATCGCTTGTTGCATGAACGCCCCATGTAACCCTTGCTGCTGCGTAACTGGGCAATCCTTGTGAGCAAGCAGAAGGGTCTTAAGATTAACGACTTCTTCCCTCAGCTGAGAGATCTGTGCTGTTAAGGCATCGTTCTCGCTACTAAACATCTCCACTTTGCTTTGGAGATTAGCCAACCATTGCTTTTTACGTTGGCGACATTTCAATGCGGCAACCCTGAATAGACTACGTTAGCAACAGGACGTAAAAATCGAGCACGCAAATAATCATACCTGTTTCGTTCGAGGAAGTTCTTCCGCTTTTCTTCGTCGGTCATCTTTGACTTGGGATGCGAACCGTCACCCTTTTCATCATCTTCTTCATCCGAGGACATGTCATTACCATTCAACGACGGAGCGGTTTTTGACTTCTTATTAGCAGGCTGCTTTGCAGGAGCCTCCTCGGCTTTACGTCGTCCGTTCGTGGTTGCAGCGCCGCCACGCTTTCCTTTCCCCCTTGTGCTTGGCTTCGCCGGTTCGCTTTCGTCTGAGACCCCACTGGCTGCTTCACTAACTCCCCTCGTCGGTGACGTAGACGGTGCACCATTTCCATTCATCTGCGGTGATGTACTACTATTGGCTTGGTTGGGCGGGGGTGGAGCTGGGTGGGCATGGACTGGCTGATTACCGCCAACGGGATACTGCGTTTGGTTGCCGTTTCGGCCCTGAGCGCCTTGAGCTAACATGAACAGACCATTGGCAGCATCGTTGTCATGAGGGTCAAATGCGCCCGAAGACTGCTTGGCCTCGGTCTTTATCTGCGCCCCGTTCGTCTCTGGTTGCGACGTCATGGACTGCGGTTGCTGCTTGTCGCGATTTGCTTTCGCAGCTGCGGCACTCATGGCGGTCCGATGGAAGTCGAGCGTGCTAGGTGTTGCGGTACCACTGGCTAATTGTGCAAAGAGAGCTTGTGAGTTAGGACTCGGGGCAGGGAACATAGAGCCACTCCCACCCGGCGTCAGACCGGTTCGTAGCGAACTCTCATTGGGCGTAAACCCACCACGCAGGGTATGCGATGTGTCGCCAAAGTAGTCATTCGCCGGACCGGAAAGCATCGCCGGACTGAGCGGTCCCGTCCTAAGAGATCCGCCTCCCCAGTTGAATGGCGTGTTTCCGTTCCCCGGCAACAACGACGACGGCGAGGTCAAGGCAGCCACGCTGGGCAACTTAGTACCACCGGGGGTTTCCACCGTGCCTCCCGTACCAAATGATTGCTCAAATGGGTTGGGTTCGAGGCTCAGGTTGCTCGAGAAATAATCTTCACCGGGTTTAGGTGGAGGCGCCAACGGTCGGCCAGGTTCGTTGTTGGCAGCGTTCTCCGACTTCAGCTCGGGTTTCTTGTCACCGTTGGTTTCTGCGAGGATGCGATGACGAGGGTTAGCAATGACGTCCAATTGAGCGCATTCCGATGGTTAATCGGGAACGATTATAGGATTATGGATCACGAATGATGCTGATAAGCAGCGACGGCACAATGCAGTGACCGATGGTAAGGATCAATGCGAAAAGAACGGCAGATAATCGGTGAGCTCACCTGACAAAGGATTATCTGATGACTTGGTCTCGGTCGGAGCCATTGTGACGACGATGACGAAGTTGGTTTTATGGCGCTGGGTTGTGTGTATGCGTGTGTACGTGCGTTCTAGGGAAGGTATATGATGTAACGATACGCTTGACGCACAACGGCTGACTTGGGGGGAGGCAGCTTGCAAAGAAAAAAAGGCAAACTACCTCTGGGAAATTAGGAGCGAACGGGGTCGCTAACCTAGAATATCGTGGCGTTTAATTGATGAATGAGTGACGATATAGGCTAGACTAGGTGATAGATACGTATTTGGCCTTGGATTTTGTATGGTTGCTGCCGTACTGGGGCGGTTGTGTTGCTGTGAATTGGCGTTGACGCAGTTTGGATGGGAATGATAAGTTGCAGGTGTTAGAAGATGTTGGGCGATGAGGTCATGAGGGAAGAAGTGACATAAGGGGTGGTTTTTGGGAGAAGAGGCAGGCACAGCAGACGTAAAAGCCCCCCGAAAAATGCTTGGAGCCGAAGGTGGACAAGGCCCGCACTAGACATGGATTGATCATCCAATGGACGTGTGGAAGGCGTGATCGAAGATCCCTAAGTACCCGGACAGTGCGCCTACGTAATTCCCCATTTGTTTTAGCTTTGGTTAAGCCTGTTTGGGCAGCCTGCTAGCCTCCACTATTGCAATCGTGCCTACCAATTACCAAATTATCCAACCAGTTCCCTACCACTCATACCTGGTCTTGCTGGTGTAGTACACGCTGTCAAGGGAGGATAACTAGGATACCTAGGTACACGTATGATAATTTCATGTACGTATGATACTGCCTACGCGGTGATTCGCCCGGTTGCTTGATCTAGACGGGCTTTTTACCTTCTTCGTACCGACGGCCCCAGTTCGATTTCAATCGGAACGGTGAGTTTCCTCAGATTGGAGATTGCAAGTTAAAAAAACATACGTTTGTTAAAAACCAAATTGACTTCGGGAACAAAAATTTCACTTTTTTCAGGCTTTATTATGTAAGTAGTACTCTTACTTGAAGATAAAAATACCGAGGACTTACATAGGTAGGTATTCTCTGTATATGATGACCCTTGAAATGTATGTAGATGACACCGTCATCCGCATTCTAAACCTTATCTCTAATATCTCCGGTTTGTTAGCGCTTTCTATTGAGTCACATCAAATGAGGTTCCTAGTACCCTTTCATGAGTTTATAGCAGATGTAATAGGTAGTAGATAACGATTTCGATCTTGTATTCATTCACTACACATGGTGTAGTAGTATACATCTGCACATATATACATACATAACACATATATCCAATCCAATATATATGGTGGTTGGATAGCTGCCAAAGTTGACAACTGGATTCCCCAGCATCAAGTACGTGGGTGAACCCACAGGTGGGTAAGCAAAAATTGGAATGCGGATCTGAGGCTCGATTACAAAGAAGACTGGCGCGATCGCGATCAAGGACACGAGGAGGAAAAAAAGATGGCCAAGAAAAGCGGGAAAAGCCATAAAGGGTGTCTGATATGTAATGGAGGCTCGAGTTCGATAACAGGGGGGGCAAGAGACAAGTCTCGTACTAACTGGAAGCTTGCCGGAACTCTAGTCTTTTTTACCACTCTTTACCATACTTTTTAGAATGACGCTAGTTGAAAAGCGGCAGGCACATCCACACCATCCTACCCATCCAACATCGCTTGATCACTTTGAGGTGGCAAAAAAACATCTTCCAGTCAAGTCAGACTCTTTCTTCGAATCAAATATCCTAGTTGCGATGCAAAGACCTGGTCAATTTTGCCTTCCCGGACACATCCCGTCGCGTCTGACAAATTGGAATATGATAATCGAAGGGGGAGGCTCTCCGGGAAAGAAATAGTGCGTATGCAAGAGAAATAAAGCAAATGAAAACATCTAGGTGGTTTGTTGAATGGAAGGGATGGATTTTGCCAATTTGATGATTCGTTCATTCATGAATTTCTATTCTTAATTCAGAACGTCTTGCATGCAATAGACTCATTACTAACCTTCCTCAGAGATTCAAGTTTGCTAATTCGTTCCCTTATCCTTCCATACCGTACCTACCTGCCTATTGCCTGATGAAGTTTCAACTTTGCGCCTTCTCGTGGAATTCGAGCATCTATATAACAACTCAGCAACTGAACAGTCGCAACTCCCAGGGATGTAGCGAACTTCGCGTCAACCTAAAAAATTTGGAAGGAAGATTGGAAAAGGTGGTCAGGGCGGGAAATTCGCAACGAATTACGTCACTCTCTAAGTACCACACCCAGTACAATTAAATTCTTGGCAGACTGTGTCATTCTTTCGTTTTTCCCTTCGCGTGTTTCTTTTATTTGTGTTATTTTTGTTTTCGTCCGTCGAAATCTCGCCCCCTAGATCCTACCTACCTAAGCTTCGTATGTTCAAACATTGCTGAGTCCGTTGCAGCGTTTCGTTATCTTAGGCGCTTTCGTGATTGACTGCCGTTGAGATCCAAGATCGCGGGTTGACTGATCACGCACATGGAGATCGCTTCGTCCAGCATCTAAGCGTTTAGGTCCGCCTGGTCTTTGCCTCGTCTACTAACTAAAGCTCCAGCTTGTATTTCGCAAACGATCTTCGCATGGATATCTCCCCTTTTCTTCCATCTTTGGTAGACGGAATCTCCATTCCTGTCGCCCTTCTATTCTTATATATATGCACACGTGGTGACGAGATGTCAATACTCCGTCGTTTTTATCCGCGAGGTTAACACGGAGATTCTGTATCTACCATAGTACTTGGAGGTGCGCAGCAACGATGACGCAAGTTTTATGGCATCATTAGATTCCTCCCGCTAATCCATGTCTGGTTGGACATTGGCGTCGCCTAAAATTTGAGGCTGCTTACGAATATGCTGCCTTCCTGAATATGTTTTTATGTCTTTGTAGCTTATGGCTCAGCCCCTATTTAGGAACCTACATTCTGCTTTTGAAGATTCGTCCTCGTTCGCACATTGAAGATTATATATAAGCTTATTACAGCATATCAGCGTCAGACGGGCCAGATCATACATATCTAGACGCACATCATTCTCGGTACATCGCCTCACCCACCGAACCTCAGCTACGGTAACATTCAAGTCATCACACAGCATCTGAATACATTAGCGTCGCACTACATACTACCGGTCCTCTCGGCAGTCGACTCCGGTTAAAGCTACTAGAAATGCCATTCGGAAATTGACCCCAAAAGGCCATTTAGATTTGTGAGCTAAGTCCCGCTTGGCTAATGAATCGAAAGCTTTTTAATTTATTAAATAAAGTTTAATTAAGCGTTTTTTATTTATTAAATACTTATATAAGTTTTAAAAACCTTATTAAATTATTAATGTTTTTTTAATTATAAATTAATTTATATAAAAATTATAAATTATTAATATAAATTTATAAAAATATTAAAAATATTAAATATTAAATTTATTAACGTAATTTTAAATTAATATAAAAATTAAAATTAATTAATATAATTTAAATAAATTATTTTTTTAATTAATAAATATATAAATAATAAAATAATATATAATAAAATATAATTTTAACGTTTTTTAATATATAAATAAATTATATATATTTAATAAATATATAATTTAAAATTTAAATAATTTAAAAATAAATATAAAATAATTTAAATAAAAAATATTTAATTATTAATTTTATTTTTACGGTTTAATTAAATTATAACGTTTAAATTTTAAATAATTTTAAATTAAAATATTTAAAAATTTTTATATTATAATAATAATTATTTAATTTTTAATTAAATATTTAAAATTAATAAACCGTTTAAATATAAATTAAACCGTTTAATATTTATTTAAATTTATTTAAATTAATTTATTAATTTTAAATATAATTATATATATATATATATATATTAATTATAAATTATATATTATAAATAATTATTTATTTTATAAATTATATATATTAATAAAATAATAATTAATAATATATTATTTTATTAAATATTTTAAATATAAAATTAAAATATTAATATATTTTTTTAAAATAATATTAATAATTATATAATAAAAAAAAAAAAAAAAACGGAAATAAAAAATATAAAATATATAAAAAATTAAATAAAATATATTAAAATAAAAAATTTTAAAAACATAAAAAAAAATATTAAAAATAATTTTATATTAAATAAAATTAAAAAAATTAAAAAATAAAATATATTAAATTAAATATAATATTATTATAAACGTTATTAATAATAATATATATTTTAATTAATTTAAAATAATTTAATTACGGTTATTAATAAATTTATTATTATATTTTAATTATTTAATATTTTTTTAAAAAAAATTATATAAAAATTTTTTTTTTTAAAATAAAAATTTTAATAATTTTTTAATAAATATTAATAATATTATTCGTGTTAATAATAAATTTTCCGGTTATTATAATAATAATTAAAAATTTAATTAAAAAATTTTTATAATTAAAAATTTTTATTATTAAAATTATAATTATAAATATATATAACGATTTAAAATTTATTATATAATTAAAATTAATAATATTAAATTATTTATAAATTATAATTTATATATAAATTAAATTTAATAATTAATATTAATTTAATTTAAATTTAAATGTTTTTATTATATAAAAAAAATATAAAAATAAATTAATTTAAAAATATTTTATAAATAAAAATATAATTTAATTAAATTTTATAATTATTATAATAAATAATATATTAATTTTATTAAAAAATAATTTAATAAAAATCGGATTTTATATTAATATTATAATATAAACGTTATATATTTTTAATAAAAATAAAATTAAAATTAAATTAATAATATATATTTATTTAAAAAAAAAATTTTTTTTATTATTTAATAAATTAATTATTAATAATAAAAAAATTTAATTTATTATAATTAAAATTATATATTTTTAATAGTTTTATATAAAATAATATTAACATTTTTTTTTTTTTATAAAAAAGTTTAAAACTTATTTATAATATATTAATTTAATATAAATTAAAATAATTAATTAATAATATTTTATATTAATAATAATTAAAATTATTATTAAAAAATTATTATTATTTTTAATATTATTTTTAAAGTTTAAAAATAATAATATTACGAATATAATTAATATTATTTTATTAAATCGTTTAATAATTTTAATAATATTAAATTTATTATATTAAAAATTATTAATAAAAATTAATTATAATATTTACATTAAATTTTTATATTTAAAAAAAAAATTTTAAATTATAATAATTAATTTAATTAATAAAATTTTTTTAAAATTTATAAAATATTTTAATAAATGTATTATATAAATTAATAATAAATTATAAATGAATTTATTTATGTTTTTTTTTTTTAATAAAATTATTAAAAACGAAATAAAATTATACCGTTTAAATATTTTTAAATAATATAATTCGATATATATATTAAATTTTAAAATTTATTATTTATATTTAATTATTTTTTATATTATAAATAAATAATTAATGTTAATATTATTTTTCGTTTTATTTTATTTTATTAATGGTAATATTAACGTTTTATTAATAAAAATTTAAAAGTTTAACGTTATTAATAAATTTATTAAAATTATTAAAAAAATTTTAAATTTAAATAATATAACGGATAATGCATGGGATTATTTAAATATTATTATTATAATTTTTTTTTTATTTTATTTAATATAACGGTTATTATTTTATAAAATTATTAAAATAAATAATAATTAAAAATAATTATTTTTATAAATATATAAAAGTTCCGGTTTTTTAAATATATTTTATTTTTAACGAATAAATTATTAATATAAATAATTTTAATTAAAATATATATAAAAATATTAATAATTATAATATTATATTTGATTTTTTTTTTTATAAATATTATTATAAAAATTTTTTTTAAAAATACGGATAAATATATTTTTTATATAATGTTTATAAAATTAATAACGGGTAAAAATAATTATTAAAATAATTTAATAAATATATTTATAAAAATTATATATTAATATATAATATAAAAATAAAATAAATTATCATTTAAAAAAAAAATTCATTTATTAAAACATTTAATAATATTTTATTATCGTTTTAAATTAAAAGATTTTTATAATATTAATTTTAAATAATAATAAAAAAAAATTAAAAAAATAAAATTAAATTTAATTTATAAATAATTAATATATTATTTTAAAAATGCCGTTAAATTCCGAATAAATTAAATCACTTAAATAACTTTAAATAACGTTTAAAATTAATATAATATATATAATAATAAATGGTTTAAAAATAAAGTTATATATTAATAAATATTTTTTTTTATTAATTATATTCATTTATTTTATATAATAATATTAATATTAAATATTAATATATTTATATTAACATTTAATAACATTAAAAAAAAAGTTTTTTTTATTTTTAATTTTATATTTATAATATTTATAATTTTTATTTATTATTATATTAAATATATTAAAATTTATTTATTATTATAATATGTCGTTAATAAAAATTAAAATAAAAATATATATAATAAAAAATTTATTATTAATATTAATAAAAAGTTTTTTATTTAATATTATTATTAATTTTAATATTTTTATAATATTAAATAAATTAAATTTATAAAAACTTAAAATAAAAAAAAAAATATTTTTTTAATATTTATATTTATTTTTTAATAAATAAATAATTTTAAAATACACATTTATTAAAAATTTATATATAACTTAATATAATTTAAAATTATTTATAAAAATTAATAATAATAAAAATTAAATTTTCCCGAACTTAATAAATTATATAATTATTTTATTTTAATTAAATTTTTTTATTTTTAATATTTTAAAAATTAAAAAAATTTTATATACCGGTAAATATATTAAATATTTTATTTAAAAAATTTAATAAATAAATCGTTTTTTTATTATTAATATAATATTATTTTTAAATTAATAATAATTTTTAAAAACATAATTAAAATTAATATTAATTTTATATTTTAAAATTATATTATTTTTTATATATTTTATAAAATTTAAAATTAAAATAAATTCATAAAATAATAAATTATTAATAATAATAAAATTTATTTTAATTTTAATTTTATATTATTAAATAACTTTTATTAATAATTTATTTTTTTATAATTAATTAATAATAAAAATAATTTAATTATAATATTTATTAATAATATTATTTAATATAATTAAATTATTTAATTTTTATAAAATATCGTATTTATTACGGTATATTTATAAAATTTATTTTATATAAATAACATGTGTTATATTAAATAATATTACTTCGTTTTTTTAATAAAAATAATTTATTTATTTATATTTAAAATCCATAAAATTATTTAAAAAAATTAAATTTTTATTTTAACCTTTAATATTAAAATAATAAATAAATTTATTAAATATTATATAAATAAATCCCGTTTAATATACGTTATATTAAAATTTAACCGGATTATTTATTAATATAATTATATTAAAATATATAATATTAATAAACTTCGATAATAAAATATATAAAAATAAATTTATAAAATTTATAAAATAAAAATTTTTAATTTAATTAATATTATTTATTTTATTTTTATTTATAATTTTAGCCGTATAAAATCGTAAAAATAATAATTTATTTAAATTAAAAATTAAAAATTAAATTTTTATTTTTAATAATAATATTTTTTTATAAATATAACGTTTTAATATATTAATTATTATTAAAAACTTATTAATTTTAATAATTTTATTATTTTTAAAAAGGTTAAAAATTTTTAAAAACATTAAATATTATTTATATATTATTTTATTTTAAATATAATAAAAATTAAAAATTAAAGTAAAATCATTTATTTTATAATCTTTATATATTTATTTTATTAATATTAATATTAAAAAAAAATTCGAAAATGTTTATATATAATTATATTTATTTATGTTTTTTTTCGTTTTTTTTATTTCTTTTATAATTATAATTATTAATATTTTAAATATTAAAATTAAGGTTTTTATTTTATTATTAACATTTATAATTATAAAAATTATTATTATTAATAATAATTCGTTTTTTATAATATTATTATTAAAGTTTTTATTTTAATTATTATTTATTTTATTATTATAATCCGATTTAAATTTATTTTAAAATTAATAATTAATAAAAGTTTTAAATTTATTATACATTAATATTTCTTTATTAATTATTTTTATTTAATTTTATATATTTACATTAAAAATAATTTTATTATTATTTTTATTTTAAATAAACATTTTAATTAATTTATTTTCATTAAAATTTTATATTTTTATTAATTTAAAATAATATATATAATTTAAATAAATAAAAATACATAATATTATATTAAATAAAATCATTTATAAAAATATATAAAAACTCGAAATTATTAATGTTATTATCGGTTTTATAATTAATATTAAACATTTTTTTATTAATATTATTTTTAAAGTTAATATTTATTTTAAGTTTTTTTTTATTATTTTTTTAAAAAATAAAGTTTATAATTATACGTTTATTAATATCCCGGATTAATTTAATTTTATATTTACGTTAAATAATATAAAATATTTTAATTAATTTAAATAATTTTTTAATAAACCATTAATTAATAATTATAAAAAGTTATATATTAATAAATAATTAATATTTATAAAATTTATAATATTATAATAATAATTTATATTTTATTTTTTATTAATTTTAATATTAATTTTTTAATAATAATAAATTATATAATATTTAATATATTTTAATAAACCTTATTAAATTTTAATAAAAATTTAATTATAAATTAATAATTAATTTTAAAATTATTTTAAAATTATATTAAAATTAAAATATAAATAAATTTAATAATTTAATTTATTTTTATTAAACTTTTAATCTTTTTTATTATAATTAATTTATTTTAATAAATTTAATTTATTTTAAAAGTTTAAAAATTATAAATGTTAATATATAAATTATAAAAAAGTTAAATTAATAATTTAAATAAAATAAAAATTAATATATATTATTAAAATTAAAAAATAAATATTTATAAAATATATTATATTTTTTATTTACATTTATTAAATAAGTTTAAATTAAAATTAAACGTTAATTTAAGTTAAATTTATTAATTAATATTAATTATAAATTAATTTTTAATAATTATTTAAATAATTTATTATTATTAATTAATAAAAAATTTAAATTAATTTTAAAACTTTTAAAATTTAATAATATTTATTATAATATATTTAATTATATATAAATATTTTTATTATATTATATTATTTTTTTTATTTATTTTTATTTTAAATATATAATGAATTATAAATTTAAAAAAAAAATTAATTAAAATTAAAAAGTTAAAATAAATAAAATAAAAAAAATATTAAATTTTAAAATAAATATAAAATAAAATTAAATATTTATTATATAATATAATTTTATATATAAATTAATATAAATTTTTAAATATTATTAAAATAATTAAATTTAAATTATAAATAATAATAATTTATTAATTTTAAAACGGGTATAATTTTCGGTGGTTTTATTTATTTAAAACTTTCGATACTTTTAATTATATTAATATTTAAAAATTTTATAAAAAAATTCCTTTATTATTTTATTAAATTTTTATTTTAATAATATTTTATTTTAAAATATTAATAAATATTTTTAAATTAACGTTTTAATTATTTTATTTTTTATTTTTTAATGTATATATTTTACGGTTTTAAAAGTTAAATTTTTAAATATAATTATATTTAATTAATTTAATTTTAATTTTTAATTTAATTAAATATATTATATTTTTTATATAATATTATTTTAATAAAAATAATTTATTATAATTAATATAATCCGATATAAACTTTTAAATTTAAAAATAATTTTCGGGTAATTAAATTAAATAAATTAATATTTTTAATTTTTTTAAGTTTAATTTAAATTTTAAATTAAATAAAGTTTTATTTTTTAATATTTTAATATAAATTATAAATAATATTTATAATATAATAATTATTAATTAAATATTATATATAAATATATAAATTTATATTTTTATATATTTAAAAATATAATATTTATTATTTTTTATATTTAAAAATATAATATTTATTATTTTTTATATTATTAAATAACTTTTATTTATAATTATAATATTTAATTAATTTAAGTTCGAAAAAATTAAAAATATTTTTAATAATTTTTTTTTTCGTGATAAAAATATATTTATAATATAAAAACATTTATTATTTTAAAATATAAATAAATTTATATTAAACGATATTTTATAATATAATTAATAAAATAATTTAATATAATATGAAAATTTATATATAAATGTTAAATTAAATAATTTATATTAATATTAATTTCGTTTTTATTTTTATTTTTAATAATATATTTTTATTATATTTTTTTTTATTTTTATTAATCGTTTTAAAGTTAAAATTTTTTCTCGTAATATATTTTAAATATATTAATATATATTATTATATAATAATTATTTTATTTAATATATTAAATTTATATTATTATTATTATTTATAAAAAAGTTTTTATTTTTATTTTTTAAATAATTTTTATTAAAAATATTCGATAATATTTTAATTATAAATAATTAATAATAACGAAAAAAATATAATAAATATATAATATATAATTATTAAATATATTAAAACGTTTTTTAATAAATTAATTATATATTTTAAATTATTTTTTATAATTTTATTTATTTTTATAAAATTTTAAATTATTTTTATTTAAATATATTATTTAATAATAATTAATAAATTATTTAAATTTAATTTTTTATATAAAATTAAATTTTATTAAAAATATTTTAAATTATAAATTATTTATTAATGGTTTATTTTAATTAAACCGTTTTAAATATAAATTATTTAAATTTTAAATTATTTAATATTATTATATTATTAATATTTAATTTATTATAAAAAAATAATTTAATATTAAAATTAATTTTAATAATAAATTATTTTAAAATATAAATTATAAATATTTAATTAATTTAAAATAAATAATTTAATATAATAAATAATTTAAAATATAAATAATTAATTTTATTAAATTATATATATATAATTTTTTAAATAAAATAATTTATATATAAAACATTTAATGAAAATAATTATTAAATTTAATTAAATAATATATATATTATTTAAAAATATTAAATTATAATTTTATAATTTATAATTTTTAATTATATTAAAAACATTAAATATTTTAATTATAAACCGTAAAATTATTATTTAAACTTTATATTATTTATATTTTAAATGTTTTAATAATTAATAATTTAAGTAAATAAATTATATTTTTACTATTAAACATTATTAAGCTGAAAGGTTACAATAAAAATTAACCCCCCTAAGACGTTAAGGAAACATCCAATCGTCGGTTTTCCTTTCTTTCTTTACATACGTAGTTCCCATAGCCGCAATAAACACCATCAGTTGATCCTCATTACCATCACATTTTTTTTTAAACAGAACTTCTCTGTTGGCTCATGTACTCTGGCACGCCCAGACATCCCCTCTACTTTAATGGTAATCTGGTAATCTACCTCTTATCTTGCAAATCACGCCCCAGCATGCTGGGTACATCATCACGCCTTCTCCTTTCGTAGGACGGTTGGGTCCGGGTAGACGACGATCCGCATCGGCAAGATCTATGCTTCTTCCCGCTTCCGCGAACGGAGTTCCCATGATTACGACCGCGGCCGTGACCGATGAACGCCTCCGGCTGGGCTTGTGCTTGCTTCATTTCGATTCAATGAATTGCTTGGATCGCTCAATCCATGCGAACACTAGTGGGAGTTGAGCTCTGTTGATGAATTCCGCCGGTACTGCTCCGGGAACGTTGTACAGCCAATACAGAGGCCGGACAGCCTTTAGGTCAGACGACGACGTGCCACATAGCCAAGTTCTGTCGTCTAAGGGGAGTGTCGTCCCGGGCGTGGATTCCATATACCACCGGACCGCCGCCGCAACTTCGGTGCCGAATAAAGCAAGAGTGTTGTAAGACTCAGCATGGATCTTCGTGCCGGCAACGTCCGCATAGTCTGCTAGAAAGTGCTAAGCCCTATTCGCGATCCATTCGTGCGGTAGAAAAAAAAATGGCATGCGTAAGCAGAGCGCCATCAGCAATCGCGCTCTAGGGGAACGATTCTAGAGTCTTGTAATAGTCGTATTATCCCTTCAGGCTTGGGTGTACCTCGCTAGCTGGGAATACATTGTCTGGCGTTTTCATCATCAGATCCGTGTCAGAGTACACGTCTCTTCCAATAGCGAGTATGGGGACGCATCGCTGCTTGATTCAGGGAGGCCACATTGAATAGGTGATCTCCAAGGTACAACCGGTAAGGAGATGACTGTTTAGACGTTGAGTGATGCATAAAAAGACGAAGGCGAGGTGGGCGAGAAAGTTGAGACGAGATAATAGAATATGTAAAATAAGCGAAAATATTCGGACTTACACATTAGAAGGATGGGACTCACCGCATAGTTAGGCACTACTGAACTTGAACTTAGCTGGAGCTTTCTGGCACTCACCGTTTTAGCTACTAAACCACTTGATTCGGATACTGACTATCAAGGCAGTTTTGTGAAGACAATATACCCTTGTTTTTTGTTCTACCGGGCACTTCCAGGCATGATATCGTGTGAGTAAATAAGAAGCAATTATACTACCGTACTGTTTCTCTTTGCCAGGAGTACATAGCCCTGCCCATATGCTCAAAAAGGGGGGGTATGTTACAGTCCGCCTTCAATCTCTCTAGACGCCTTACTTCCTTAAAACTTAAGTTGACTACTTGATTTATTGATACTTGCTCTGGTGAATCCTTTATGTGCTTTGAAATGGTAGCGAACTCCGCGATACCTAGCCCTACGATCCCAACGATACATTTTCCAAGTAGTCTTATTCAAGGAGTTATATGTGACCCCATAGAAAGCCCCGTAGCAATCTTAGCCATTAGGGTTTTTTTTAGGGATTTCCAGGGTCTGATGCTACTCAATGAAATATTTCGGTATAAGATATGATAGCAATTGTATTTATACAAGTACACGAGCGTGAAGTAATTATGGCTCTCCTGGCTAGCCGAGATCTCAACCTGGGGCATATGCCTTTAATAAGGTAGGTACAAAGCACGAACTAGAAATTGCCGATACTTTTACATAATATCGTTACCGAGCTGACGATGATTTCCCTTTGGATATTAATATGGTTTGTATCACTTTGCCGAAGTATGTACCTATCTATACATACCTCTTAATGTCGTCCTACAAGCTTAGCAGTCGCGATCTTCCGAAATCTCCGGATGAAGAATTTTCAAGAGACTATCTATTCAAAGAGCATAATATATTCGAGCCATCTAACGCAACTATAAGATAACCCATGGAAAATAACAGTTATGATACCGTAACGTATGGCTGTCATCCATTTGCTTAGGTAACTTATGCTCATGTCAAGGTTCATGTTGAAGAAACTTTGGTTTTTAGGTTATGTTCCTAACCCTTTTACCAGTCAAGCATTAGAATCATACTTCCGTTGCAGAAATCATTATTGGTAAGGTGATATTTATCAATATTGTAAGTCGAAGTTTCTAAGAAAGCTGAAAACTAATATCAATATCCTCGTCTTTGATATTGCTGAGTGCTTTTTAGCTTTCCTCTCATATTAAAGGACCTGATTCTATATTATAAGGACTAGCATTTCCTCTTCAGCTCAACGGGATTATCGTCAGTGCCATATAGTCTCCTGAAAGGAAAGGCAGATGAATAAACATACAACGAAGAATAGAGGAACTCTCCCTCTTACCCCTGAACGCACCATGAAGTTTGCTTTCATATCTTAGATATCGATTATGGCTGGAACTTGTGTATCAAACACATTGAAAATCTTGTTCTCAGCTAGAGAACTGGGCTAGATACATAGCTAGCCGTTAGCTACAAGACGGCATGTTTTGAGAGGAAGCGCTGGAGGGAACAACCCCATGACTAGGGATATTACCAAAATTGACAGCAACTAGTATACTAAGAGAAAGATATCACTAATTAGATTACCAATCTGCCCAATTCAACCATGAGATGACTTCAAAAGCGAACGTCAAGTAGTCATAATCACGTGCAGTCCAGCTTGTGTACCGAGGGACGGATGAAATCCCGAGTGTCATAGATTTTCTGGTAATTCCAAGTGTATATCCATGTGTGGATCGGAAGCTGCAACGCCACGAATGACATAAGCACTCTCTACTACGTCTTCTCTGATCTGATCAAGGACAACCTGTCCAAATACCTTCTCAGCCTAGGTAGTCAGGAGGTAGGCCCGACTTTGCGCGACATCCCGCCCTTGCAAACCCCCACAAGTTTCCGCGAAGCTCACGAGTGAGGAGGGCACGCAAGTGGCATTCCAAGGGACACCCGCCCGTGAAGATCGGTCTGAAAGCCTGTCTCACCAATCTGACATGCCTCCTCGGCAGCACGAAAGGCTAACTGATGTCGTGCAGCTCGAGGTTCTTGCCGACGCGAGGACGGACGCGTTCGTTCTTCCCCGCAGTTCAGCTCGCCCTCATTTTATCGTCGGTTGAGGACCGGCTCTAACGGCATCTCAACTGTCAATGTCCATCCGAGCACCTGGCCCGCAAGGTTCGTCTTCTGTAGCACTTATGCAGGTATCCGAAGACTCGAGCACCCTATCCTATCGATAATGTGGTTAGTAATCGGGAAGCTGTAGAGCTTTAATCAAGGTTTCCAAGGTTTCTTGTTAGCTACGGTGATGTCGATAGGAGGGATTTACATGGGCCTCCCCTTGTCTAGAGGTACAAGTGTCTCGGCTCGACGCAGTCGTCCGTCGATGCACGGCCTGGACTTGTCTTAGGTATGCCCAGACAACCCAGCACTTTGTACTACAACACTTATCGAATGTCTTGTTCCATACCCAGTATCTACCTACGATTATGAGATCGGTGCATGGTGAGTGGATGGAGAATTAGGGAGGCGACATTTACTTATTTGTACGGCCGGCCACCCAGACTCGAAACGAAGAAGGAGACTGAGGAGTTAGCTCCTTATTCCTTCTGCACGACGATTCAAGGACGCGACCCCCGATACGAGAAACGTTTAGCATGAATCCTAGAATGATTGACGAGGAGAAGAGCGAGGTGCCGGTTGTGGGAGTTCTGCTCGATTCATCTAGCGAAGAGATTCCCGCGCGCTCGCAACCCCCGTCTAAGGCAGGCTTTTTGGAAAAGTTGCGAGGTTATGAAGATGCTCTTGATCGAAAGCTCGGAGTCGAAGGACATAGCATCCAGCGCAGATTGCCAAATGAGAGGAACCCATTTTATGCCGGATGGTCGGGTCAATTGGTCAGTCAGAGCCCCTTGGTTTAAGGGCATAGTAGGGCAGTTGGTAGAGGAGAAAGTTGACCGGAGTTTAGTCTATGTTTGGTTTTTGGGTTGGTGGCTGTAGTATGTACAATTGAGAGTTCTTTTGTTATCAACTTTGGTTCGTCCGAAGGGTTAAAACGTCCTGATCAGTTCGGGGTTGGCTAAAGAGACGCGTCTCCTTTGAGGCGTACTTGGACCTTCGATACTCTCCGAAGAAATGATTACTGACTTTCACTGTTATAGTGAACCTCGGCTCCTTCGCAACAGGCTTCTTAGGCTGGCAGCTAGGCCTGGATCTGCGACAAAGTATCTTAATCATCATCTTCGGTTCGATCGCTGGCGCCACAGTGACTGTAGGTCCCCTTACAATAAACCTGACAAAGCTTCACTGGCCTAATCCTTAGTAGGGCTGGTGCGCAACGATGGGAGCACCGACGGGTCTACGCCAAGTCTCGATTTGCCGATACTCACTCGGTTGGTACCCGGCCAAGGGTAAGCTCTTCAACGTAATAGAAGGAAACCCGCTAAAAATCAATAACAGCGATAGCCTTGCTCAACGTAGTCCAGGAGATAGGATGGTGCGCCTCCGGTTCGATCACAGGAGGACAAGCGCTTTCAGCCTTCTCGGACGGCAAGGTAGGGACTGCTGTCGGTGTTGTAATATGCAGTGTAGCGAGCTTGATATTCTCCTTCTTCGGCTTGACAGCATGCTACCGATTCATGAAGTACACCTGGTTCATATTCATGACCATTTTCTTGGTCATACTTGGAGAAACCGTCAGATTCGGTGACCTCGCTACTCCACCTTCTGCTACTGGTCCTACGGGTTCTGGAGCAGCGCTATCGTTCTTTTGCGTTATATATGGTTGCAGTGCTTGCTGTGCTGGCTATGTTTCCGACTTTTATGTCGAATATCCAGCAACTATCCCAAAGATAAACGTATTCCTCATCACTTTCCTAGGCCTCCGTAAGTATAAGCGCTGAGCCCCTGAACTCGTTCAGATTGTTGCTAACCGGCGTTAAGTCATCCCTACTGGACTTTGTGCCACCATAGGAGCCATAACCGCCTCAGCCTTACCGCATAACGAAGTCTGGAACGAACAATACGATAGGGGGATTGGGTTCCTGATCCAAGCCATGGTCTACCCCAGAGGGCTAGCAAAATTGATGCTGTTTCTGCTGATGTTTACGGCTATCGGTTTGAATTGCGCGTCAATGTACAGCGCAAGCCTTTCGATTCAACTGTCTTCTCGAAAGCTAGCAGTTGTGCCAAGGTTCGTTTGGACATTGGTCTGCTTTGCTGCAGTCGTTGCTTTGAGCTTGGCTGGCAGTGATCGGCTTCTGGTGTTTCTCCAAGACTTCCTCAGTTTATTGGGTTACTATGCAACCGCCGTTTTCGTCTGTCTGGTCACAGAACATTACGCGTTCCGCGGTGGCTCATTCGACAATTACGCCTTGGGCGTTTGGAATAAACCTGAGATGTTACCGGTCGGGTGGGCTGGCGGATCTGCTTTGGTCTGCGGGATAGTTGGAGGTTGGTGTTACAGCCCGCTTCACTCGATGGCACCTTGATACTGACCTGACCTATAGCTATTCTTGGAATGGCGACAACCTGGTATACCGGCGTTGTTGCCAAGCTAATCGGCGACTCGGGTGGTGATATCGGGAACGAGCTCAGTCTCTTCTTCACCCTTGTTGTCTTTGTACCGGCTCGAATCGCAGAGAGGAAGCTTTTGGGAAGATGAACATATTAGGGATCGGATATAGACTTGGCAGGGGACACCTTCCCCTCCATACGGAATGATGCATATTTTCACCTGCATAGCTGCCTGGTTTGGAATTTAAACCTGCACAGGGTTGTGGTAATACGCCATTTCAAAAACGCCTCCGTCGTCTGCCAAGCCGGCTGCTACACAAGAGTTTGACTGGGTTTTCATAGTCTCCTTCTGAAGTAGGAATTTCTCCGATGAATGCACACGTTTGGCGAAACATACGTCAATAGAGGGGAGCGTTATGTTCAACGGAGAAGCAACCTAATGTCTGCGCTGTGCTGGCGAGGTAGGTACGTAGTAAGTCCTAGGTTTCAAATGGTGCGTACCCCACGGAGTGATAAAGGGGACCTCGATCCTTTGGGCGCAATTAGATAAGAACACTTTGACCTCGTAGAGCCCTGAAGGTTCCATGGTATTAGCGAACGATATGCTAGTGACTTCACCATCGATCGTGACGTGCATATGCAACGCGTGCTTCCCGCAGCCTGACGAAAGAAGCAAAGAGTTGCTTTCCCAATCTGGACCGTGGCGTAATGTTCAAGGCAAATCTGCAATCTGCAATCTCAGCTCAGCCAGTCGTGGATGAGCATGCTGGAGTTAACCCCTGATCACCGCAGGTAGGATGTGACAGGTTGTCGACTCGTCAATTATTGGCCGAGGACTATGATATTTCAAGGCCACTTGGGCAAATATCTCGCCGCAGGACCAACTACTTCCAACGAAGAGCGGCTGAATTCTGCAGCCTCAGACAACTCACCGCAACTCCGTCTTGGGGAGTAGCCAATGAAGAGAGCAAACCTGTCTGGGGATAGGCTTGCACAAATGCAAGTTTCGGGCTAGGAAACATTTGGTCGTTTTGCAACGACAGGATACGCTACCCCGTATATACCTTGGTATCCTTACTGCTCTGAGGAGATGTGGTTGTCATCTAGTAACCTTGATGTGGCGCGCTGTTCAAATTAAGACATACAACTTCCGAGTTTTCGGCACCACATCTAAGAACTGTGGTCTTGAATAGATAATCCCTGATAAGAGGAATAGTGCCTGGATGTAGAGACAAATAGGAGATTGTCTCACCGAAGTCCGAGGTGGTTAGGCACCTCTCCGTATTCTGGCGGATGGCACACACGCACCCCACGGATCAGCTCTAGGTGCGGGAATGGGATCTTTTGCGAGTCAACGAGATCCTGTAAGCTTTGTCAGATTGTGGGATGATGATGATGTTATTGCACAATGCCCAATATAAACTGTTAGGTGTTCGAAGGATTACAAAGGCGGGGCTCGGAAGCTAAATAAGGAGGTATATCCTTAGTACTTTAGCAGAGACCTTAAAAGGCGCTTCCGTAGGCACCGCGGGCAAATCATTAGACTCAGCTAACACGATCTTGCTTCGGGCGGCGGTGTGTACCTAGACAGGGCATGTGTTGGCCCTACGTAGACACAACACTAGGCAATGAGCCGCCATGATTTGCGAGACTACCACAAACTAGTAAGCCCTCCGTTTCAGTAGGATAGGGGTAGCTTAACACTAGAAAGATTACATGGTAACAAACAGGATAATTTGGTAGAAATGCGAGCCCGTCTGGGCACTGCACTTATCCCTATTGCCAGGTGATAAATGATGACTTTTCTCGCGTGAAGAATCGTGTCTAATCCTAACCTCTCCAGCCCAGGCTGCCCAGGTAGGCTCGGACTGGGAATAGAGATAATAACCGAGCTTACTATTCGCTGTTACACTCCTGAGTATCTTAGCCGTGCTTGTACCGGCGAGTCTTATGACGGCTTGAGGCAGAGGGCATTCTTTTTTTAATCTCGTAACAAGATTAATCAAATCTCGTTCAATGCGACAGTAAAGAGCTGTGAATTCATATGGCTACAGCAGGCAGCCCACGGGAGGAAAGCGCTGATCATTGATCGACGCCCAGGCTGGGTAAGGTAGTTTTTGGGTGTTGGGTACGAAGTTGTTGTAGATGGCCCGTAACGTTCCAACCCTTGAACTGAATGGTAGAGGATTGACAGACTGACAGATGGAATAAGGCGGATGCGCAGAACGGGAAGCGCAGGACGGGAAGAAGGGGGTAGTGGCAATCGCTGGGATTGATCCATGATGGGTCCGGGTACCCTGGCCTGGAGAAAAGTACATGGATACCCGCTAAAGCCCTGGTAGACCCACATAATAATACACTCCCGCCATTAATAAGCCCTTGCCTTCCACATGGCTTTTATGCCCCCCAACTTCATGGGTGAGGGAGAAAAAAGAAAACAAAATAACCTTTGGAAAAACGTTGAAAATTAGATACTTGGCTCCTTCTTTCGAGCTTCCATTCCACCGCTTGAATTATTCTACCCCACAGGGTGCCCCCGCTTGTTTTAAACCGGACAGCCCGGGGAAGAACGGAATGGACCAATCATTTCCAACTGGAGTTTAACTTTCATAGACTCTTAAGTGCCCAGGGCTAAGAACATTGAATCTTTCATCAATTTGATGCGCGGCACAACTTTGCAAATTTCCCAACGACCCCCAAACCTCGGTCCTGGAATGCTCCGTATTGGTTCGTCAACTATCATTTCGCATAAATCTTCATGGTTACGACACACAGAACGCACAGAACGCGCAGCTTTTCTTATGAGAGCCTCGAAACTTGGAACTTGGGATTTTACTGTCCAACCATACTTGCCGTTGCGCACACCGACATATACGAAGTCTTCCCTAGTTATTTAGGTACCAATATCTACGTCAACCAACATCCAAATGTGATCACATCCCTCTGTTTTGATACTTCTCACCTTCCACGGCCTCGACTGCCGGTGATTTTTCAACATAGCAGCAAGCACATGACACCATCATGACTGCTTAGAAACGTGACCTGAAGCACCTGCGGGTTATTTGCCTGTTACAGGCACTTTTAAATTCCGGTGAGCTTTAATGAAGAAGTTGAGAGAATAAAGCTAGGCACTCTCGGGGGAAGGTTTACGAGTTACTTTTTAGGGCATACGTGTACAAAAGGGACTACTAACTAGCGGCACTTATCCTCCTTTTTCTTTTCGTTTCAGCCCTGAGTAGCTTCATTGGGGTTGGTTTCCTGGACATCCTGCCATATTCCGAGAGTCTCCAAGGGCTTCGGCGCCCAGGTTATTGTAGTACCCAAGGAGATGTTAGCACGTAACGGCCCCAAGATCCGTTATCCCCTAGCTAGGTCCCAGGTCCTGGCTTTTATTAGGTCGACTCCGTGAAATCTCGCCAATACCGATCCATCAGGATTCTGTACCTAGCTGGAATCTCGGCCAACCGTTCTCTTGGTGCGCTACGTGTTTGAACTTATCGCTTACAATACTCCGAAGTGAGGGCTTACGGTTTACCTGACTTACACAATTAATCAAAAATATTCCTCGCAGGAGTCTTACTATGACTCGTTGCCACGTAAGGTAAAAAGGCACAGAGGTGCAGCAAAACAAGAATAAAATATACATAATCTTACCCAGACGCTTCGGCTTCATGGGAAACGCAAGGCTTAGGCCACGATACAACCCATTCACCATTCCATCATTCCTACTAAGGTTCGCTCATGTCATCGACGTGCCAGTTCGTGCCGATTATTTCTAATAAAATGCCTATGGAAAAGCACATACCATTATCATACCACTATTTCAATAGATCTACCATGTACCTTTGCAATTTTTCCGTCCGTCTGTCTGGGTCCATTGCCCCCAAAATCCCGATAACCCTGCTGCCCAGGTTCTTGTTCCCCATACTTTGTCTTGTACCTAGTATGGATACTACTCGAATAGGTAAGTGTCTGATGCATTGCGTGGACGGTCCCAGACATTGTGTCAACGAATGCTGCTTGAGTGACGGCTCCCCGGAATGAGTGAATCTGGGGTTGGAACATGGCCAGCAGCTGTTTGTGTACAACTTCCCCAGGTATTAATTTATCAGATATTTATGCCCAGTGATAGCGCCGGGGAAATTCATTAATGAACTCTCCTTTCGTCTCGTCTCAGATTCAGCAGTTTATGTGGCTTAATCAATAAATACCTGTGACCTTTCCCAACGTTCATATCGTAGCCCCCTTCCCACACTTACACCCAATATCCCCCATATATCCACGTCAACATCGAATATCTGGACATATAGTTGGAGTGCGACATCTAATCTGGCCAAACAGTCTTGGACACTTTGGAAACTCCAAACCATTTGCCCATTTGCCCAGCTTGTCAACTCCTCATTATCTTCTTAGCTCCTCATTCTTCATCCTGCCGGCGTGATTTCACCTGCCTAACCGAGAGTTCACATCCACTGGTGGTCAAATTAGCTTCGGGATCTGACATCTTGGACGGAAGGGCGCCAAAAGCATCGACTCTTATCACCCGTGAAATTCATCCCGTTCGGCATCAGCTTTGCTAAGACCTATTTCGCGTGGGGTGGCCGCCGCACAGTCAGGAACTTGGACTTATTATTGGTGTGTAGGCACTGGTGTGTGTACACGATTGTATACGATTGTACACACAACTGTACACACGACTCACACGCATACCCACCGCTCTTTCCGCTTGTTTCTTAATATCGTACCTGCCTACCTTTATTATACTTTATTACTCCCATCGTGGCCCTAGCTGCCTAGTCCCTTGTCCTGGAACCGGCACTGGCACCTTCCATCTCATATATCTATATCTAATTCCCACTGTTCTTGCTTCGTCACTACGACAACTTTCTAGCAAACTTTTCCATCTTCCATCCATTCTCGACAAACTTTAATAAATACCTACAGTACCTACACCAATCTTATCTTCCAACCTACATAACATAACATAACAATTTCAACCGTACACTCCACACTCCATACTCCACACTTTCTTCCAACGACTACAACCGTCAATATCAGAGCAAGCTTCGACGTACTTCTACCAGCTTACCAAACACCAACCATAATCAGGAATTATTTATTCTCAAGTGTCAACCGTAACGGTTATCACATTTGGACCTTTCTCGTCGTTCATTTAGAAAAATCACCGTCACGTAAGTTATTATTTCGCAGTTTATTTGTACTCGGAGTTACTCGCGTGACCTCAAGAATGCTAACTATCGCCGCAGAAGACATCTCAACATGCCTAGCCAAATTTCCGCACCCATTCCTGTAACGCCGCCTCGCAAGAGCTTCCGGCCTTACTCTTCTACAGACCTTTTCACCAGTCTGAACGCCACTCTTCAAGCCAAGGACAACCAGCGAGCTACCCCTATCCGCACCATCCAAGAGCGTGACTGGGATGTTCCGGCACCGCCGCCACCTAGCCCGGTGAGCTTCCATCCGGATCACTGGCAGCGAACTCTGCGTCACTGATTGTCGCATTCGACGCGGTTCGTGCCGTACTACACAACATGAGAGGCATTCGGCACCTCCCATGTTTCTCATCTCCATGTCTGTATCGGTAGGGGGTTTACTGGTTTTTCACTCGGGAGTTTACGGATGTGAATTAGCAAGGGCATAAGGGAACAAAGATAATCGGTCTACACAAAAGTCTAGGGGCATGGCGTGTGTTTTCGGGAAGGAGAACTCTGGTTCGTGGAAACATGCTGGATTCATAGCTTTGCTCTGGTTGAGGTGGCCTTGGCAGCCCTCAGTTCGCGGTTCCCATTCACCAGTTCTATTCACTAGTGTCATATGAGGACTATCACCTTCAGCCACGTACATCTGGTTTGGCCAGACCCTACTAAGGGATAGGTAGCACCAGATTCAAACGATAATTGATACCACATTGGCACAACTTCTAAGTAATATTTATTGCGTCGGGACATGAGTTAGAAGTTAATGAAATCGCGGCTGTGAAAAGTGAAAGTTGATCGGAAATTGATCGCAAGTAGTCGGAAGCCAAATTCCGCATCCACATTCGTACACTCACAGCGGTCATCAATATAGAGAATTAAACAAGAACGAGTCTAGCGCGAATGCTGGAGTAGATCAATACCGACTGCCGAATGTCAAGCCCTAAGGGAACCTTAGGGTAACGTCACCAATAAAGAGCTGGAGAATAATATATGTGATTGTGTTCTCCAAGAACAAACAAAAAATTAATAACGTTTTCCCCTCGGCTGTGATTTTTTCGAGGTACCGAGTTGGGGTCCGTGTTGTGGGTTGTGGGTACCTATGTACCTATTGTGGTTTCTCTTTCCCTTTTTTTTTTACTGCAAAAGGTCTTGGCAAAACGGGTCTTTCCTAATTGGGAATATTTAGTCCACTTAACGCGTCCTGGAAGCGCGTCGCGTCTGAAATATCGAGTACCTAGTGGCTCCTCGCGTCTTTTGTTACGCGTGGGTCTCCCTATGGGGCTTGAGCCTCCTGTCATAATAATACTTTCTTCTCAACTTCAATTGTCAATGCACGGGTTCTACTATTCTTTTATTATCCTCTTATCACAATTTTCATCATCGAGAATTCATACGTACTTCATACTCAACCTTCCATTTATGTTGTACAATACTCAATTCTTACCTTATTGACATAGAGAGAACCAATTGCATTCGTCTCCGTAGCTTCTCGCTGTGCCTTCTCTAATAACTCAGCTAAAGGAAAGAAGAAAGAAAGTAAACAATTGCAACGACCTTCGACAAAACAGATTTCGTCATGGCTGGTCCTGCTATCAAGCAGCAACGCCTGAGGGCGTCGTTGACCAAAGCAAAGACCCCGACTGGCAAGCAGCACGCATCGTCGAACATCAGCAGCTTCACCCGGGTGTCAAAAACACCCACCAAGACCGACATTAAAAAGGACAATGCTCTTACCCTGACACCCAAGACCGCCACTCTGGAGGCACTCACACCTGCTTCCCGAAAGAGAAAGGTGGTTCAGAGCATCGAAGAGGACTCAGCTGATGAGATGCCGGCTAAGCTCTCACTTCCTGCCATCAAATCAGCGAAGGTCACGACTCCTACCAAACCTACCCGTGGTCGTCCGTCGAAGAAGGTCCAACCAGAGCCAACACCAAAGAAGCGGGTACGGAGCCCCAGTGAATCTGACTCGGATGAATCGGCCATAAACGCCGGTGCTCTATTCAAGAGACTCCGTCTGGAATCATCCCCATCTCGCTGCTCATCTCCTCTTACCGCCGACACACCGATCACCGTCTACTCAGAGACCGACGAGGATAGCGATGTCACCACGCCAAAGGCCAGCCGACTTCCCGATGAGGTCCTGGCTCTCCTCGACCTGCACGCTGCCCTCCTTAAGACTCTCACATTGCACTACGCACATAACGGGTACCGCGTTCCCGTCGACCTGCGCGTCTTATGCCCCAATGTCGCACGCGCATGGGGCAAGAAGAAGGTCACCGACGGGGACATCCGCATCTGCCTCGGCGTCCTCACTCTCACATCAAAGGATAACCCGCTCTTCTCGCTCTTCAACTATGGACGCGGCAAAATCTGCCTCGAGATCGACGCGAAGCAACAGCGCGGCGGCCGCCCCCTCGAGGAAGACAAGCTAAACAGCGTGTTCCGCGAGAACCTACTCTCTCTCTGGACCCAATTCGCCACAAGCGGCCAAGCGAACCCGAGCCCCACGACCTTCATCCTCGCACTCCCCAAAGCGCCCGTCACCCTCTGCGACTCCGTCGCCAAGGCGGCCCCCGTGCTCGCGAAGGGCCAGAAGCGCCTCGAGGAGTTGAAATTCGGCATGGCCAAAAAGAAGCAGGAGAAAGAAACCAAGGTCCAGCAGAAGAAGAAGCAGCCAACGCAACAACAACAACCTGGCGCCGGAAACGATACCCCCGCTCCCAACGCGACTAATGCGAGCGCACCTAAGATAAGCCTGCTCGACCGCATCCGCCTCAAGTCTCTGCAGAAAGCGGCCGCGCCGCCAGGCCTCTCGCAAGCAGACATCGAGCGCCGGGCCGCGCTGCAGCGCGCGCCCGAGGTCGCCGCGTGCCTGGCCATGCTGAGCCGCGCGGGCGGGCAGGGCGGCAGCAGGGTGTCGTTTTCGATGGCGGCGACGCTGGAGAAGCTCAAGGACTCGTTCCGCATGGGCATCTCGAAGGAGGAAGGGGCTGCGTGCGTCAGGCTGCTCGCGGGCGAGGTGGCGCCGGAGTGGGTGCGTGTCGTTACGATTGGGGGGAGGGAGAATGTGGTGTTGGAGGTGGATAGGCAGTTGAGTAAGGGGGATGTGGAGGGGAGGGTTAGGAGGATTTTGGGGTGAGTGATGGGGTATGTTGCGCTTGAGTTGTTGATGGGTGGATGTGATAATGAGGAGGTGATGGGTGGTGTTGGGCTACTTCTGTTTGTTTTTACGCCTGCATTGCGTTGCGTTGCGATTGCATTTCTACTGCTGCTGAGATGGGGATATACCACTTAACCGAACGACGAAGGGATAGACTGATCGAGGAAGCATTGCATTTGTTACCACGGTGAATTACATAGGACAACCAAGAGACTCGAAATACGGGTCTAATATACAGAAATTTATATCCTAAAAGAGCATCGAAGAGTTGTACTTGTACGTGATATGATGGATGTGCTGTAAATGTCAAACGTAAAAAAACGGTTGATGGTGACTTTTTCTATTTCCTGTCTAAAAGCAGCGCAATGCATGAGAGCCGATCCGTCGACCCTCCTTCACAACGGAAGCCGACCCACGCATATGCCATGCTACAATTCAGCTATTGGATAATGGGGGAGAGATACATGGCTTTACTATGCGTCATCATCCCGAACCCCGCTGAGCCTCTATGTAATCTCATCATACAAATCATTGGTGATCTAATCCATATCGACTAGATCATCATCCACCGATCCCATCCTCAAACCCCAATTCTTTTTATATCTCGGGGTAACGAGCGACGCAGGGTAAAAAAACCTTCCTTGTCCTAAGATTAGACAACTTTTCTTATTTTTATTTCCCCTTGGGCTTGAACTTGGGCTCGCCGATGCCGGAGCCGCGGAGCTTGACGTTGAGGATGCGCTCCATGGCGGAGAGGACCTTCTGGTCGGGGATGGCGGTGCCGCGCTCGAAGTCGGCGATGACGGAGGGCGTGGTGTTACACTTGGTGGCCAGGTCCTTCTGCGTCATCTTGGGCTCCATCTTCTGCCGCGTCTGGCTGATCACGTCGCCGACCTCTTTGCCGACCGTGTTCGGCTTGATGATGTCGTCGCTCCGGTCCACCTTGGTCAGGCGTTGGCCTTCGGGGCCTTTGCCGACCTGTTTGAGGTGTGTTAGTACGTGTTGTGTTGTCTTTTAGGCTAAGAAGAGAGAGAGAAGGGTTAAGCACTCACGGTGTTGCCGGTGGCGTACTTCTTCTCGGTCGCGATGGCACCTCCGGCGCGCTTCGCGGCGTTCAGGGCTGAGCTCCCGCGTACGACGGTCTCGCGCTGAGATGCGCCGCCGCGGGCTTTGCTTCCAATCTTGGTGACGGAGTCCCACTCGTCAGACATCTTGAATAGCTTTTTGGATTGATTCTTTGGTTTGTTCCTTGCTTATGCACCTCGGTAGGTATTTTTCGTCCCTGGCGGGGTAATTCTTTGCAATTGCAATTGCGTTGTAACGGTCGGGTGTATAATTAATACGATGGGTCGGTGCGTATAATGGGCTCGGATGTTCGTGTTGTCGTAGATGGGACGACTAGACGCTTTGGGGTGTTTGAATGTGAGAAGTTGAATTGTAAAAGCCGCTCGTGAGGCTAATGCTTGATATACATGTCCTTTTTGGGGCTGTGGAAGGCGAAGGAATGATGGTGGAAGGTGGGTTGGAGTGGGCTGAAAGCGGGGCCGCCGCTGGCCGCTGACTCAATCGGAGAGCAACCTTGACGGCCTTAACACCGAACATTGCCCCTGCCCTCTCATTCTGAACTGTGAAACGGCCATGCCATATCCTTTTTGAACTTAATTGACTCTTAAAACCTTGAATTTACCTAGCTAAATATCTCTATAAATGTACCTATCTAGCAAAATATGTGAAGATACATGTTTTCAATCCCCAAACTTCCAAATTTAATCCCATCACCTTTAGGTGAATGATAATTCCCGGTTCTCCTTTTGATGATTCATACTCCCTAGGTCTCAACAGTCTAAACGGTGAACCAGTCTCTGATAAGATAAGCGATAAGATATAGGAGTGGTTGTCTCATACATGCATGAATGCTTCCGTTCTTGGGATAAATCACACGACCAGCCGTCCGTGCTGTTTTGATATTGGCAACAATAATTTGGACTGGGCGATCCTCTCAATTGGAATCAGGAACCTTGGGATGATAGCGCAAATTCGAATCAAACAGGTCGAGGAGTTCCAGCGAGTTGGGGTTCTCTAGATGGGTAGCATTCTTGGGATGTCGTCATATACCGTTATTCTGCAAACAGCTGCGTTGTGCGTTTTCTTCGCCTCCGGAGGCTTTGCAGATGCTATATTATTTCTTGCTTTACTCTGTGGAACTGGCCTCCCTGGCCTCAATCTCCGCGAAACCTCTCATACTCGAAAAACCGAGATATTCGTGTTGGCAGCTGCAACATATATAGCCTTCTTGGCCTTTTCTAGGTATGCAAGGCGGACTAGTCGAGTGGTAGACCTGTCGGTATGGGATGGCCCGGGGCGGCCTTTGTTGTTCCCTTGTAGGACAACACATACTAGGTTTTTCCCGAAGAAACACTCTTTCGATTATTCGTATCTTTTAGTCGGAATCCCCATCGGTTGGTCTGGTACCGCTGGTGGTATGATATCAAATGACCAAAATGGCACAGGAGCGAGAGGCTGGTATAAAGTTGCTGCTGCTGATTATCTCGAAAGAGGAAACGGCCACCTCGGGTTAAGAGGAAAATTGGATGCTTACCTTAAATCTCAAGTACGTTAACCTTCCTCCGATCATAAGGGACACAGAGCTAACGCAATTTAGAATGTTGATGCTTCTCAATACCCATATGCATATTTAGTTACTGCGGCAAAATTTCTGGGTTACCATTTCAACCCTGTGTCTTTTTGGTACCTTTACTCTGCCGAGAAACGCTTGGCGGCGATAATTCTTGAAGTTAATAACACATTTGACGAAAGACGAATGTACTTCTTGACAGCTGATAGCACAGCTGAATTGGCGGAAGCATCTGACAACGGTTCCTCTGAAGGAGATACTGAGAATCGCCAACCTGATGATCCAAAGCCGATTCGGAAAACCTGGAAGAAGGATTTCCATGTGTCTCCCTTTAACTCTAGAAAAGGAGCATATTCGGTGGTTGCGTATGATCCTCTATCCTCAAATATGGAAGGGCGAGGTCCGATTAATTGCACGATAAATCTGATATCCTCCAAGGATAACGCGAAATTAGTCGCCCGCATTTTCTCAGATGGCGATGCCATTGATCCCACGGAGATGACTCTTTTTCAAAAATTTAAATTCTTGACCTCTTGGTGGTGGGTCGGCTTCGTCACTTTCCCCAGAATCGTGAAAGAGGCGGCGGTCTTATTCTTCAAGAGAGGCCTTCATGTCTGGTACCGACCGGAACCGCTCAAGTCGAGCATTGGGAGACACGCTGATCAGACGGAACGTCAACTTGAACCGTTATTCAGAAGATATTTAAAACATCTTGTCGAAGAGTCGCGTGACCCATTAATCGTAAAGTATATTCCTAGCGGCATCCCAGACGCGCCGGTCGAAACGATGATGTCAAACCACAATGAGGAAAACCAGCGCCTTGCTGAAACAATGGAATTCAAGATCTTAACCCCGGAATTCTATTCACGATTTGTTCATTACGCTCATGATTTCGAGGCCGTATTTTCCGAGCTGAATGAGAGCCATACTATATGGGTGTCGGAGCCGGGATTATTGCTAAAGCTATTTGTTAAGCCATTGTTACCGACGCCACTCCAGATCACGAGTTATTTGGATTACGGCTATTTTACACTCATAAAGAAGCTACGGCGGAGACCCGAACGAATTGAACGACCCCTAACTTCGAGCCAGACTAGCACTACCGCTCCTCGAGAAGATATTCGAGGCTTTCGACTTTCGTCCATGGATGGATATGTTTTGGCTCATGAGGATAATGAGTCACGAAAAGAGTACCGTTCAGCGATATTAAGGTTATTCATTGCTGAAAGGATTGCTCTGGGAAATGTTGATATACTCCGGTTCGAAACCCTCACTCTTCAGCTGTTGCTGGCTTGGGCGTGTTTAAGGGGTTCATAGTTTTCGGACGATAGCCTCCACCTTTACCTGAGCTCGCTTGTCGTTTCAAGGGTATATTTGTAATACCTCCCAGAATCACCCTGTCGTAAAGTTCACACGAGTTTGACGTTGCATTAATCCTGTGCATCAGCCAACATGTTCACCAATAGGAGGCCGAATAGTCGGTATGTGATTTGAGTTGTATCGAGAAGCAAAGATGTCAAGATGATACGAGCGGCGAAGCTAGTTTCAATAGCCCCCAACGTAAATGAGAATCTACCTAGGTAAACACAAATTCGTGGTGTAGATAATTTGGTCGCAAGCTCCACCAGGAGCCGCGGTAGTGGCATTGGAGGCACGGATGAAGATCCTTGGAGGATTTCCAGGTTTGTTACGCGCGGTTCAGCTCAACTAGACATCTGCAAGCTGCCATGCAGGACCCGGCAGAAGCGCGATTATCGACAATCGCAGGTTATTCCAAATACATGGAGCCACTCAGAAGCGGCATATCCACTTCGGAAGATAATCAAACATCAAGGAAGAGTGGAGGCTGGTGGTGGCTTCGGGCGACGGAGCTCGGACTAGGATGTTTGACAAATACCTCCCTGTACAAGGTAGCTTGTACGTTCAATGTTGGTACGCTCTTCTCGTCTATCGTCGTACCACGACAGCGATATTGATCCTGATGTCTTGCAGAACCATGGAAGTCTTGTTACCTATTGCCTGCAATGCTTACCTATGATAACGTTCTGACAGGCTGGATCGGTTTGATCCAAGTTTACCGCTAGTGGTCCTAGACATTAGCAACCTCAAAGGAACAGCTCAAAGAAGCCACAAGAACATCACTGGAGATATTTGATATATCATAAATATGTACGAGTACATAATCCGCAACCTGCATGCAATGTCTCGGATTGGTATCTGTACAGCTAGATTTTAGGGGTAGGGCTGTCCTATGCGTGAGACTTTAGATTCGGTACTAAGGACGTAAGCTGAGCCCCTGACGTAGACTAGCAGTAATGGGAACGCATACCCCGCTAACAGGCCATGGAGCTATGTATCAACCCCACCGTCAAGGAATTGAAGCTCCCGGAGAAGGTGAAAGAAACAACATTATAGCTCCAGGGCTACATGTTATGTTTCGTTACCAACAACGGATACATGAGTCTGTTCTCTGGTTGGACACATGTCAGCATGTCAAGGTACAAGTTAGTTACTAATCGTCATTATAGAGACCCTTTCCACGTAAGAGTGATAACAGAAGTAGAGAAAAAGTAAAGACCGCAGCATTGAATCCGCCAATCCGGTACCATTGATTGCCCTGTCATGCATAGCAGAGCCGGGGAGCTCTTCAAGTTGATTGCCCTAGCTGGCTAGGCTATGTCATAGGAGCCGTCGTACATGCCTCGGGTTTTACTCGACCTCCACTCGGATACTAGAGCCTAGATATCTGTCAGTTATACGCGTATATAAAGGGGCCAATTCCTCGTTCAACTTTTGTCTCACTCTCTAACGCAACCACTTACATTCTCAAGCAACCATTCTTATAACAGAAATAAACAATTCACATATTCAAAATGGGTCTCTCAGGTCACTGCCTCTGCGGCGCCGTCAAGTACACCGTCGATTCGGATCCCCTCATTGTCGGATACGACCACTGCGACGACTGCCAGCGCCAGACGGGCTCTACTTACTGTAAGTCCCTTACCACCATACCTCCGCCGTCCACCAACTCTTCCGCCAAACCTCATCTTCCCAATCCAACTCTCCGCCCGTCTAGAAGCCGCGATGATCTAACAAGTCGGAAACAGCCCTCGTGGTCGTCGTCCCCAAGGACAAGCTAACCATCACCGGCACGACCAAGAGCTACGCCAAGGCAGGCACGTCCGGCAAGCCCGTCCACCGCGTCTTCTGCCCCGAGTGCGGGTCCCCGATCGCCCACGACCCGGAGGCGGCGCCGCCAATCATCGCCATCAAGGGCGGCACTCTCAGCGAGGCTGACAGGAAAGCTTTGAAGCCTGTAAGTCTGATCCTGGCACTACGATATAATATTTTTCCGCTGTAGAGTTTGCGGACTTTGGTGATAAAAGAACGAAGACTGACGTGTGTTGCGATGCGCGATAGGATACCGAGATCTGGACTGTCGGCAAGCTCCCGTTCTGCCAGGAACACCTTGAGAAGGCCTTCGAGCATATGCCCCAGTAAAGGGTGGTTCGGATCGATGTCGAGGTAGAGCGTGGTGGAGGGTCAAGATGGTTGTGTTTGTACATGGCGCATATGTTCCGACGGTTTTCTGAAGAAGTCGTGAGGTGGAGTGTAGGTGCCTGAGATTTAGAAAACGAACAATTGAAAAATCTTTTAAAACTTGAAACGTCGTAAAGTGTTCTTGGTGAAGCTTTGTTTTCGTATAAGGTCCCTACATGTGTTTATCGTACGGGGGTCATGCCCGGAATAGGTTTCCGTATGGTCTGTCGTAGTAAAGAGCATACCCAAAGTTTGGTAAGGGGATGACAACGTCAAATTTGAAGATGGACTTAAATCATATCCCAGAAGAAAGATCTAATATAATGTATCATCCGACGCGACGAGGTGAAGTCAAATTTAACCGCGCTCACACGTGGCCTCCCCGTCCCCCGGACAGAGCTAACGCAGGCACAGCCGCCGAGCCGCGCGAGATCCGGGGCTGTTTCCTAGATTCGAACTCGTCTAGATCGTCCAGACTAAAGCAGGCATATTTCTGAGCTATCTTGGCGTTGTAGACGGTATGATTGGTTCGTTGCGGTCCATAGAGAGAAGTCGGCCAGCAAGGTTGGCCATCAAGGTAGCCCGGGAGGAGAGTACACCACCGCACTACCCCAGGTAAGGTAGGTACAGTAATCCGTTATACTGCGTTGGGTAGGGACTAACACTAGAGACGCGGCATAGGTAATGTAAATAGATTGCGCCATTAGCCAAGGTGGGTTCCCCGGGTATAAATATATTGCCTTGGCCCTGAGCACGTCCTTAGGTGAGGGGCTTCTACCTATCGTCGCTTGTTTCCCTTTACTGATTATGAAGATGGATATATAGGTAGAGAGCTGGGTATTAGATTGTGTATATTAAATATTAGATGGTCAAGGTATCATAAACCCTCCTACAACGCCGCTACCAGACCGCCGCGGCAAATAGCGCCCCTATCGTGACCCCTTGCTGCTCCCATAGCCGCCGCGATACTACCCGAACTGCTTCGTCGACGTCGCCATATTCGTCCTCATACTTGCGCCTGTGAACCCACCCGTTTCTGCCGTCCGCGATCCCGCCCCCTCCACCCGACCAGAAGTCCCAGCCGTCGTAGGTACTCCCTGTAATCGCCCCGGGGCACTGCAGCCCATTCGCCGTATGAACCAATCTCACCGCCACATCCCCGCTTCTCACATCACCAAGTGCAATACCACCCGCCATCGTTGGTTCAGGGACGCTAGGCAGCCCGCGCTTTGGGGGCAAGGGGCGAGGTGACGTTAGGGGAGGTAGGAGATTTCGATGGTTCAGATAGAGATGCAAGGTGTGGCGGCGGGGTTCAAGATGTGAACGATAACCCTAAAAGCAACACGTTTGAAAGGTACTTGAGTTTAGAGTCCGTCTGACTTTAGTCGAGATCCGTCTCATAATATGCTATCCCGTTCTCATGAGAAGATTGCATCCCAGAGGCATCTAGACGAGTACCATTTTCTTTCGGGACTCGTTCAATATCCTCCAAGACAGCCTGACACTCTAATCTTATGATGTATGCGTGCGCAGCTTGTCTCGTGTGAAGGCGTAAAGAAAAGGGACCGTATGGCGAGTTTTGGTGACCATAAATACGTTCATTATTACCCCATGTGGATAAATCTGCCTGAGATAGATCCGCATCTTCAGGAACTCTAACGTTACGAGTGATGGTAGCTCTGAGTGAGAACTCAACTCCCCACTGGATGAGAAGAAGAAATGCTTCACCTACGGGATGCTGGAATACGAGTGCAACTCCGTTTGTCGCATAATAGGGGACGCGAACGAATAAAGCCCCTGTCTCTTGGGTTTGCCACTCGACTTCCGGTTCGACTTTTTTCAAACAGAACCCAGACAATGGGTAGTGCAAAGCCTCGATAATAACGAGTTTTTCACGTTTATGTCGAAACCATAGTGGTTCAGTATTTAACAGGTTGTGGGCCTGAATAAAAAGCTGCTTCACTACAGCTTTGCTTTTTTTCCCTTTCCGGGACAACGAAGCAAGTTCAGGCCAGTAAAGTTCCCGTGTATAGTTCTGCTCGTTTCCCATTCTTCTAAGGAAGATCACAATTTGAGATCGAGTTCCCGCCAACTGGCAGTTTAGGATAGCAATTGTATCTGATGGCTCGAGCGTATGGATACTGGAAATGTCTTGTCTCTCCTCTCGTAAGGGCGTTATAAAGATTTTTTGTCCACGTTGATATTCAATGACTGGTAGGGATATTTGAATACCTCTGTTAGTTATTGCGTATGGCAATGCACGCTCGTACTCAGCGTTCTCGTTTCGTGTAATGCTATCGTACTTGCATCTCACAATACCCCCAGAATTGGAAAAATAGGAAGGAGACGGGGCTAGGAGGCCACCGTGGGCTAACCCGACGAGATTCGGATCCTGGTCCTGGGAGCCATTAGAACACCAGGCAAAAATAGACTGGTCGTCTGATTCCTTGATGATTTCTTCCTGGAGCCGCACAAAAGCTCGCTTCCCCTCACCGTAAACTAGAGGCATGATGACACCGAAGATCCCAAGTAAACAATAGGCCTGGTCTTCGATTCGAGTTGTTTTCCTATGTGATGCCCAAGACATTCGTTGAGCGATACTAAAATCGCTCAGCCGTCCGGATAAGAAGAAATCAGTGCTGATATTGGTGATTTCAGCGATGGTATCCCTCAATTCATCTCGACCTCCAATGCTAGCCCAGTCAGATGTGTAGAAAACGAGAACGGATGGCGCTACTAGCTCTTGAAGCGTCCACCCTCGATCAAACCAGCGGCTGTGTTTGAAACTTGAAGGATAGTTATAGTTAACCCAATCTTCCCTGAGATCTTTCTTATCCTTGCTTGAGACATCTTGAAGATAGGCATAGCAGACAAGTGAATCACGGTACCAATTAAACATAGAATTGATAGCTTCCGAGAGCTCTACTGAGCTGCGCTTGTCGATACAACAAGTATCAATCCACTGCTTCTATTAGAAGTCTGAGATATGGGTTATTAGAACAAGATCGAGTCGTACCACATATTCGATGCCATCATATAGGGCTTGTTTGCAGCATCCCATGATCTTCTGGTATCCTTTCCGACATGGTGCCTTTCCCTCGATAAAATCGACAAAGGAGACTTCTTCGTCACCCCATGTGTGCGAAAGTATGGCGTATGGCGGGATATTTTCCTGGTATTCATTGATCACCAGGTCCTTAGCGTGTAGGAGCCGCATGTAAGATGATAAGAAATTTATGACCACGATAATTGGCAGATGCGAGTAAAATTTGAAAAGTTAATCCGCCTATACGTGATACCGATTCCGTATGAACTTAACAACAAATTTGTAGGTGTAGAGTGGAGAAAGTCAAGGAGAGCTTGCCCGCTGGCGTTCGTGACATTGGCAATGGATGAGGCTATGTACCTGATGACCTGCCCGCATGATGGAGGCACATAAGCACGTTAATGTTACATCCAGTACATATGTAGCTGTGTACATAAATCATCGACTGCATGTAGATTCTGACCAATCAGATAAAAGGGGGTTGGCTCTGTAGTATCGTAGTTTGAGCGTTGAGGTCAGAAATACGGAATAAGGTGCTTGAAATTAGAAAACATAAGAGTAAAACTCAATAGGAACTATGCCTTCAGGAAGAAACGGCACTCCTTAGAAATCGGCCTACTTAAGGGCGGAGTAGCCTACACGTCACATCAAGACGATTGCCAAAAGTGAAACCAGAGATATGAAGAAATCTGACATCGCCTATGTACCTACTTCTAGGTACGTGGTTTATAATGTCTATTTAAGTTATAGGAGGTACCGTGTTATCTAATGCAATTCTCAGCTTGGAGATAATTTGATATCTACAATAAAAATCAAGCAGCGGCGAGATGTGTGACCATAGGAGCTATCATATATGGGTAACCCAGGTAGCTATAATTAAATATAATATGGATAATTAAATCAGGGTGTTGACGAGTCACAAAGTACTCTGCATGTCTAAGAAAATTGAGAATGTATCTCAATCAATAGTGACATTTAGCTACATGGGCTGGACGAGGTATAATCTTGTAGGTATACTAAGAATTTTGGACCTTGATCTCGAGAAGCTACATCTTATTAAGGAATATATATCTCAACAACGGTGAAATCACCTGAATAATAAGGTAACTCGATAGGACTTTATTCGTATATGCTGTACATACTACTTTTGTTGACTTAGGTACATGGGTTCTACTGATTTTACTGATTCTGGTGAGCATCGCCACGGTGACCGTCGCCCGATGATTCTTTTTCTTCGCTGCCTAACTCGGCTAACCGCTTTTATTTATTTTCTATCGCTCTCATAATCATTCTAATCACTCCTCTCGTACACGAGGGTATAAAAACTCTGCCTCTGCCCTTCAAAAATTCCAAACCTTCCTTCCTTCTTCACACTTTTTTTCTACTAACCTTCAAACTCAACCACTCTCAACTCTTTCATTCTACCTTAACCCTTCCCTTTTCTTCAACTCTATATTATATCTTCTATTCTATATTTATTCATTCTACTCCATATCACATCGACCAAACATAAACTTGATCGTCAACACTAACTTGTCTTAGATCCATACCGGTTTGTAAACTATGAGTATATTGCTAACCAGACATCTAGTTTAATTCATCATCATCTTTTATCCTCCTTCTCCTTACTCTCCTCAATATTCTTATCCTCCTTCTTCTCCTCCGCCTCCTCTTCAGTATTCTTATCTTCTCCTCAGTATTCTTATCTCCGCTCAGTATTATTATCTCCTCCTCAATATTCTTATCCTCCTCAATATCTTTATCTCCTTCTCTGTATCTTTATCTCCTCCCCTGTACTATTATCCTTCTCTGTATCTTTATCTCCGCCCCTGTACTATTATCCTTCTCTGTATCTTTATCTCCGCCCCTGTATTATTATCCTCCTCGGTATTCTTATCCTCCTACTCAATATTTTTATCCTCCTACCAAATATTGTTATCCTCAATATCTTTATCATCCCCCTTAGTATTATTATTATCATCACAAATATTATTATCACCCTACCCTTACTTAATATCTACACTGAGTAAGCAGTTGCAGAATGGCTACCGTCCTAACTCTATCATCTAATACATATGGTAGCTACTGTCTAGGTACCAACTCCCCTCCGTCCTCCTCTTCGACCGACAAACCTTCTCCTTTTCGACCCGACAATCCTCCCTCCAACCGAGTCCAGCGCTCCCACCGGGTCGAGCTGCTCCCAAGTTGGCCGCGGGCCGCCCCCAATCTCTCCGCACCTGTCTTGCTTCCCTCTTCGGAGGATAACGCGAGACAGAATCAAGTTGCGCAAATTTTTTGTTCTTATCCAAGGCACTATGCCGCCTGATTTTGGCTTCGGCCATCGAAGCATATACCCCCAATTTTACAGAGAGGGCAGCATGTCGCCCTGTGTCAAGACAAGTTTTTTTTTAAAGTCTTGGACGCAAAACATGTACATGGATAGGGGAGCATGAAAGCCCTGCGCTAGTCGTGAAGCATTGCACACTTTTTTTTTTTTCGTTGCTGTCTTCGATTATTTGGAGACGCGAGGAAGAAATGCAATCTTCTATAACCTGTAAATCATGATATTTGAGTCAAACCATTGATGTCTATAGATATTCAAATGACGGTGATTCCTCACTTTGTGTTGAGCATGAGACTCGCGTCGCGTATTTCAAATGTCAATCTAGTAGAGTTCTATGCTTATTATTATCATGGTAAAGATATTATCGAGTATAGCACAAGAGTTTTTTGCCTTCTTTCATTATTTCTCTATTGTAGCTCCTATATACGAGTGCTTCCTCTTTCTTCCCCGCACATCATACGAGACGATGGCTTGGCGGCTAAGATTCTTCAATTCGTCCTTTGGAGTTTCTATCGTAGACCTATGCTGTAGACAGCTATATAATTATTAATTAAACGCATGGCGTAATTGAGCGGCAAGATTCCTGGTCATGTATGCGTGACGTCGATGACCTCAATCTTGGTATGCGGTTGACGTCGGACCATAACGACTCGGAAATGAGAGGAGCTTCGACGACCAATCCAATAGCGGGGCTGCTACACATGCCAAATTAGGCGATGCGACGGAGCGGAGACGGACAATAAAAGGGTACGATGTCGCAATTAAAATCAAGGTCATGTTGGAGGAGAACACAAGTTGAAGTTTTCTCATCTTTTTCCTGTCGCTCCTGAAAAGCACATCGCATTAGTAATCAGTATATATCTTCTATTTCCCCCTAGAGTTCGAGATCCTTTAAAAATATGGATCCCGTAGGAATAGCAATTATTGGTGGGGGGATCTTCGTTAAAGAGCAGCACATCGTGAGTATTTCTGGAGTTATCAGTGGCTCTACCCATCTCAATGGTTCACTGGAATATCGGCATCAAGTGAAAACTAAGACCTAAGGGGCTCTCGACGGATATACTTGGAATTCCTGATCATAGCCTAGCTAACATGTGGCTAGCCCGCTGCTCTGGCTTCTCCCCTGGTTTCTATCAAGGCGATCTGGTCTCGGTCCCGTAAGACGGCGGAAGATGCCGTAAAGGAAATTCCTAGCGAGGCTGCTTCTTCGGTGGAATTGTACTCGACTGATTCTGGCGAGGGCAAGGCTTACGAGGACATCCTAAAGCGTGAGGACATATCTGGAGTAATCCTTGCCCTGCCCATCACGGACCAACCCTCATACATCGAGAAGGCGTTAGCTGCAGGAAAGCACGTACTCGCAGAAAAGCCGATCGCCAAGGACGTTGCTACTGCGGTTAAGCTTATCGATTACTACAAGGTCGTTTCGGCCGAGACCAACGCGTCGCTAGCCATTGCGGAGAACTTCCGTTTTAACAAAGGTTGGGCCTATGGCGCGGAGCAGATCAAGCAGCTTGGCAAGGTGACGGGTTTCGTTGTAAGGTTGCAGATGATGATGAAGAAGGATAACAAGTACTACAACACCCCCTGGCGCACAGTCCCCCAACACCAGGGTGGGTTCCTTCTCGACGCGGGCGTGCATTTCACAGCTGCTATTAGGAAACTGCTAGGACCCGAAAATGCGGTTGAAAGTCTAATAGCCGATACTGCGTTGGTATCTAGCCATCTGCCTCCAGTGGACTCCATCAACGCGGTGCTAAAGACAAGATCTGGTGTTGTGGGTTCATACATCTCGTCTATGGGGACGACTATGGATGCTTTCGAGTTCCACGTCGCGACTGAGCAAGGCGTTGTGAAGGCGGAAGGAGCTAAAGTAGTGACGACCCGAGGGATCGGTAAAGACGCGGTAGTGGAGGAAAAGGTTTTCGAGAAGACTAGCGGAGTCAAGGAAGAAGTGCACGCTTGGGCTGAGTCTATTTTGTCGGGCATACCAAATGCGAACCAGACACCCGAACTAGCGCTTGGAGACCTGGAGCTAATGGAGAAGATGCTGACGAGTGGTGATCAGGATGGGGCGCGCCAGAAGTTGATTTATCAGCATTTCGTATAGCGGCCGCTGCTATAATTTACTAGAGGTCGGCTCCACACGTAGCTGGAGCTTCTCGAGTCCTTGTCGTAATTGATTATTCATCCCGTTAGTATTCGGCCGTTGAGTTGCGCGGTCCACAAAGACGTGAACGAATTCGCCGACGGCCTTGACTTGTTCAACGTCTTTTTCGAACAGCGCGACTTCGTAGACGACGCTGGATTTCCCCAGCTTGTTGACTCGCAAGCAAAGCTCGGCAACTTGAGGGTATGAGATGGGTGAAAAATAATCGCAATGTGTGTGAGCTATTAGAGGATGTTGAGCTGAAGTAGGCGGGTGAAGAGCACAGTGTTCAATTAGATAAGAATTAATCACAGAGTCAAATCTGGCGTTTCGCTAATGTTAGGCACTAAATGTATATCTCAAGGGCCGCTAGGCTTACGGACAAGAAGTTATAGACTGAGTTGTTCATGTGATCATACATGTCGTTATCGTTCCTATCTGCTGTTAGACACTCGAAATAATTAGTGAGCTTCGGCTTTGGGAGCGGCGCACCATCGTGTCCTATATTCAAGTACGAAAGGGTAGTCCTTCCGACTTCTGTTCTTTAAATCCTTGCCCACAGCCATGACCTTGTAGGATATTTAAGTGGAATGGCCAATGAGATTGGGAATAGATGATGGAGAGTGAAGAAAGGAGAAAAAGCTTAGTTAAAGCGGCTCTCATAAGCCGGAGCCGAGGTGGAATTTGAACTTAGTATGGTTGCACAAAATATTACATAAGCGGATTTTCGGTTGGCCCGATGTTGTTTTACGTAATCAACATTATTGCCAGACTTCACCGCTAACCATTTTTCTTGGTCCCCACCATTTCAATCTTCAACATCGCGGAATACCCCGTCAACCTGCAAGATCGCGATAAGGCGTGATCTACAACTAAAAATCCCCTCGGCGTGATGTATCTTGTTGCTTCTTGAGTATTGAATTACATTCTTTATGGGTTTGCGACACTCGTAGGGCTCGGTTAGTGAAGCTAACATTTCATCGGATAGTCAGATGAACCGGTTTCGTCGGTTTACCATGAGTCAAGTTTTAGAGATGTCGATAGCGGCATCTGGCGCACTTGTTACGCCTGAAATTAAAGCATTAACTATCAATGAGCCAGAGGACTGCACAGACAAGAAGGAAACTCCATCGTCTGACGAAGTTTCGTCAACTCATCGTTCTTTGCCAGAGCCATATTATATCGAAAATGGTTTGCGAAGAGTTGCTCCCTACCATTTCACCTACAAAACCTGGTGTAAACAGCGATGGAGAGGCAGAAAACTTATAGACGTATTCGAAAGCGAGTTTAGAGATCGCCCACTAGCATATTATAAGAACGCCATGGAAACTGGCCAAATATGCGTCAACGGCAAACCGACTAGTCCGGATCATATCCTCGTCAATGGAGAGCTAGTATCGCATACAATACATCGCCACGAGCCTCCTGTCACGGCAGATTCTATAGGAATTCTTCACGAGGATGATGACATGATTGTCATCAATAAGCCTTCTGGTATACCAGTTCACCCTGCGGGACGATATAATCTTAACTCGGTCATCGAAATTATGAAGGCTGAAAGGGGCCCCGAATGGATCGCATATACCTGCAACAGGCTCGACAGGTTAACCAGCGGAATCATGTTCGTTGCGAAGAATCCCAAGGCTGCGGACCGTCTGGGCGAACAGATTAAGCAGAGAACCGTGCGAAAAGAATACGTCGCTAGGGTTATTGGCAATTTTCCAGATGAGGAAGTAGTGTGCAATCAACCCTTACTTCAGATATCCCCCAAACTTGGGTTGAACCGAGTACGAGCAACTGGGAAAACAGCTCGGACAGTCTTCAAGAAACTCGCATATTACCCTCCAAATGAGCCTCAACGACGGGGAGGGGATGAAGGCTCTCCAACGACAGAAGATATCGTTGCAGAGAAGAGCAAGCCCTGGCTACGAAAGGAGGGGTACTCGATCGTGCGATGTCTTCCGGTTACTGGTAGAACTCATCAAATCCGCGTTCATCTTCAGCATTTGGGATATCCTATTCAAAATGATCCGATTTATGCTAATCAAAAGGTTTGGGGGTTCAACCTTGGTTATAATGACCCCGAGGCCGTTGAAAATACGGATGATGATATTATCACGCGCCTCAACCGCATGGGGAAAGAAGATGTCGCAGATGCTGTCGCTTACCATGATGAGATGGTAGACCAGTACTACAAGAGGAAAGCAGAGAAGATGTCTGGTGAACTTTGTGCGGTCTGCGACACGCCGTTATATACAGATCCCGGGCTGCAAGAACTCTCGCTTTGGCTGCATAGTCTACGATATGAAGATGCAGGCGGCGATTGGAGTTATGTTAGTCCCCTCCCTGGCTGGGCTCTCCCCCCATCTGGTATGTCGGGACCTACAGAAGTAGGAGGCATGGAAGAGTTGGTATCAGCAGTGAAAGACGTCAATCCCGAAATAGCATAGCCTCTTAGTCAACCTATCAATCATCCAGCAAAGCCGGTCGATGCGAACGACGAAAAGATTACCATCTGTCTCAACTTTGGATTTCTGATCATTTCCCCCTCCTTATCCTAACGAATAGATGGTCTAGTCTCAGCATTGGGTTGAACAATCGGCCGACCTAGAACGCATAGCTACCTCAGCATAACATAAGTACCCTTCTCATATTTACTAGGCTCTAAGTAGAATGGTGCCTAAGTACTCTAACCTCAGCTGCAGAATGCGGCGCGCGGCCTCGTATGATGCGGTCTTCGCCGCATAAGCTGCCTCACTGTTCGAACGATCTTCCGGAATTGGGTTTGTTGCTGCAGCATAATTAAAGTACGATGTCCTTCGGCTTCTCCCTTAACCTACTTTTCTAAGTTGCATACCTCTGGTATGCTAAAGAGCAATACCAGATGAGACCAGGAAATGACCCAAGGCGGTCTTGGACGTGAATCAGACGTACCGGGTTTGGGGGTCCCAACACATATTGGACATCCATTGATAACTTTCGCCATTCACGAAGGGATCCTTATCAAATTCGTGCTTGGCTAATTCTTCGAATCTGGTATATCGCACAATTGATCCAATCGTTGCTTAAAGCGCTTGGGCGACTTCACCGAATTAGACCTTTCCGAGTTAGTTACCACTCCCAAAAGTCTAGCCTTGAATCTGGGCAATAGTGCAATACACCCTCCAATTCGTTCACGCTATTGGGATATACCGAAAGCTACATCGCATTCTTATGTCAGGAGCATCAACGTAGTTTGCGAGGAGACATCTTTAGTGCGCAGTTGGGATAGCGCTCCCCGCAAAATCATGTCTTCAGTATGTAATCTTGGCATAGATGACGGCAAATTTGCTCCTTTCACCAGTGCTGGATATCAGTCGACCTAAGGCACCAAGAAGAGGGTATTCGTTGAGCTGGTATATCCTCTGATTCATTGGGATATCATCTAAGTCCCCCTCAAAAAGCTCACTTTACGCCCCTCGAGGTCATCACGCCAGGTCTAGTTCCACATTCCCGGACATCAACGCCTCTGCTTCATATCGCGCCTCATACTCACGTGCTGTACTATACGGAGCTTCCATGCTCAGGAGTGAGCGACCGACGATCTGCAGCTAAAAACACAGCGCGAAGTCTATTTAGTATCCGCAACCTTGCTGTTAGTATCCTCTCCAGATGGGAGACAGGGTTGAGCTGTCAACGTTTCCTGGGGCTAGTATCTAGCGGATCTTAACGTTCGGGCCCGTCCCTAGGATAGCAGAAAACTTGGGTTAGTTGGTGTGTTGTATACCTTAGGAGACCCTCGGAAAATTTTGACTGTGTGTGACAACGCCGCCACACATATATATCCAATACGTTTCCTGAGTTGGCCGTAGGTATATATGTAATAATTACTGTGTTAAATACCTCAAAATGTACTAACAAGTTAGTTGTCATAGGTAGCTTGCATGCTTGTATCCATGCTTGTGACTCCAGGGAGAGCCTTGGACATTAACCCTCCCAGGAGAGAACTCTTCGAATCGTGCTAGATTAGCTTCATGGTATCCACCACCCATCTTCTTACAGATTTGTGGCTACATACAATAGCTACATCTTGGGAGATAATATATTGGGCATTATTTATTATGTGCCATCCCATGAGTAATGTCTCCAGGGGCTGTCTTCTCAATCTTAAACAATCTTAAAGTTGAACTCGCCTCAAATCAAACGAATATCTTCCATTATACCGGTATTACGCATACCGTGTGCTTCTAGGCACGGTCAATACTACATAATCACAAACCAGAAAACCAGAAAAAACGCCCTTTCTAAATATCAGTTAGCCATGCCCGGCAACATGTCAGCACCAGAATCGACCAAGAGCGGAAAGCGTAAAGGTAGGATTCAACATATGTTTTCCCTAAGAAATATAGTTAACATATAATAGGCACCAGAAGCGTGTCAAGTCTTACTCCTGCACAGCTTGCCCGAAAGCGGGCCAATGATCGGGAAGCACAAAGGGCAATTCGGGCACGGACGAAGGAGCATATTGAGAACCTTGAGAGAGAAATAGAAGACCTTCGAAACCATCAAAATCGCGATCAAACCATTCAGAATTTGCTCCGGAAGAATGAAGCCTTAGAGGAAGAAATTCGTCAATTACGAGGGTCTATGGGATTGCGCAACAACGACGCCAACGACCCCTATCAAGCCGGTATGTCCTACATCTCGAGTTGGCCATCAACTTATTGCATGCGAACTAATGATCGTGCAGTCTTCCATGGCTCCAGTCCTCCCCGTCCATCTTCGTTTCCTCATGCCGCTACAAGCTACCCTATCTTGCAGAGCATGGCTGCTTACCATAACATACCTGATACTACAGAACCATGGTCTTCAAACGTAGCATATTCTATAACATCCACAGCTTCAAGTCCTGCCTCTTCCGGAGGTACAGATGACTTTGGAAGTAATTACATCTCCACAAGCGCCCCAACAACCTCTCTTGAGAGGTCAAGTCTCCCGTCTAGCAGTCACTCCCCTACCGCTGCTTCGTTCGAACGCAGCGATAGCGGTTTCGAAAGCATGAAGCCAGGTATGTGTCAACTTTATAATAACAAGATAGATTCGAATCCTGATGAGATGCTTTTAGAATTTGGATGCTCACAAATCGGCGCCATGCCTATGAACCCTACTTATCACTTTCAGCCGTGGAACACGTACCCTATGCAATACCAGGCTTCCCCGACAACTTTGGATCATGTGCACCAGATGTCGCAAATTGGGCGATGTCAATTTTGATTGCATAGTCTCGTATCGAAACGAGATGCAATACGTGTCACATGCCGGGCATTACCGACGCTTGGTGGTTGTGGAATGAGGATGACCACAACTGGTCGTCATCCTAGAACCTACCCGCTCGAATGGAAGAACCTCCCAGGAGAATTACGCAGAGATTACATATACCCCTCTTTTGCAATAGTAAACACAACGTGCTGAATTTATTTTACGACGGGGAACCAGTTGTCCCTTTCGTATCCACCCTTTCAACCATCACCATCCCGCCGGATTCCAAACTTGCTGTTCAGCAGAAAAAAGGGGAAATTTCTGGGACCGAGCCTCATTTTCACCCTCGCTCGAATCAAAGGATAGTACCTGATCGGCAATCGATCTACATACTTATTGGCCCCACCAAGTGATGCTGTCATAAACTGACAAGGGATCTACGCGACTACAGGCTAGAGTACAAGCCCGCGGACATGAAACTAATTCGGCGAAATCACCAATTCAATATTTACGGACTACTCTACCGGAGCCATCGCCGTCAAAAAGAATTTGACGGTTACGCGTACAAAACGGAGAACTAGTCGGCGAAATACTTACAGGACACTATTCTGAGTTGGATACCGGCTTAGTCAACATAAAGAAATAAACCGATCTACGTACCTAGTCTGTTGGACTTGGGTTGATATGAACGAATTGATGGAATTTACCTAGTACATCCCGAGCGCTAAGAGGAACATGAGGAGTTCTTGGTGAGCCTATCGAGGCTTTGATTCATTGGGAAACCCTTAGAATAGATCTGGATATACAAGCTAGCCTTATCTAAATGCAGGGTCGATTTCGATCTTTTATCCACACTACTAAGTCTCGATTGGTCACCTACTCGTAGTTTGAGTTCTTTATAATCATCATGTTGTCTAGCTAGATAACTACCTATGTTTAGCGCTAAACATCATCTGAGTAAACCACGGTATCTCCGCAGTAGATCTCGCAGGCCCTTGCCATTGGAAAATATATATACATTATCCCTTTAACTAACAGTCGTATAACTAGCATAAGGAAAAAAAGATGTAAAATCGGATATTGTTTATGATCCTGGCTCCTTTACATTCTGGACTTGATTTACCGGGTCTTGTGAAGCCATATTTTGCCTCCTCAAATCCCTTACCGGGAACAACTGTCTGTCAAATACGTAGTAGGTTTCCCCAAAGAAAAGGACCATTCCCTCCTAAGTTCCTACGCAATAAGTCATTCATTTCTAGAGAAGGTCGAGCTCAGGTTCACCTAACTCGAACTAGCAACTAACAACCGCTCTATCAAAACCGGTACACCTCTTTCCGGAGAGTTAGCTCAGAAGAAGCCATCGACTAGCCGAGGAACCAGCTCAAGCTATATGGTCTTTAGTGATAAACCTCCTATTTAGCCCCTGCCCTAAAGAGGCGCCCAACGGTGTTGCCCCACGGGTACGCCGTAGCAATCCTTAAGAATATGGCAAAGTAGACTGCCATTTTCGCCTTTAGTCACGGGAAAATTTGAACTGTAGTATGGGATGAGGCTGATGTGCTGTAATTTGATCCATTCTAAACATGAATCAATGAATGTGAAAATCAGCAGCTGTAAGCATACGTAATTCCCTCTTCTCCTTCGCAAGAATTGCTATTATGAAGCCAACCTCAACTAAAATAATGACAGAAGTTAATAATTCGCGCTTGATATCTGGGTGCTTCTAATACTACGGTCTATCACGTTTAAACGTGCTCAATACTTAAGAAAACCTTTAGGCCTTCACAATATGCACTCGTGATGAAATGATGCACCAGCATGGCCGCGTTGAGACTAGTGTGGATCATATTGTAGAGGGGGTGTCAGCAGACTTTCGTCCTTTTGTAATCACTCTGTAATTCGACTAAGGATGAAGTCATGAGAATGCCTCGTGCAGCTCTTATGGTTGGTCGAGGAGCATGGGAGAGGATAGCTCCAAGGCCCGTTGAACTCTCTTTTCAGCCCCTGTTCCTAAAAGAGCCTCGAATGCAGAGATACTCCCTGCGAGAAATATGATTGGAGCATAGCTCCCGATGCAGAAGTCTACCCCGGACTGTCCGCAAACCTTACAGGAACCTCGCAGCCTCATGCACGATTCCCTGTCTAGTTCATTTGATCCGGGGACCCGAGCCCGATCTGCTAGGGGAGACGGCGTGGACCTGCGTATGTGAAGGAGCTTTAGAGAGCCCGTGGGTCAAAATTTTGCTTGCTAGCGAGCACCTAGCCCGATCTCGTTTAGCACTTTTATCGAACTCACAGGTCTCTTATCCGGCATTCGAAGACATGGATAAAGTCCGACCTCTTGATTGCTTCTTCGATGTTCCAAAGGAAGGAAACTCATACGCGTCCCCTGCGTACTTATCTCTGGAATTTGCCATGAAGACAAGTCCTGCCGCCCCATATACACCCGAATACATATTTCGGGACTAAATATTACCTACTATAGCAGACCACATGATCTATTCGAATTAGATCCTATCTAGCTGACCTCACGTGAAGCGATGTGAACCTGGCGCGACGTGAACATGGTCGATTATGTTACTCGGTATCTAAAATCTAGCTCACTTTGTGGTATAAAATACATGATTATCGCATCTGTTAGGTACTACAACTTCATGCACATCTTTACTTCATGTTGACGGGATCGACAAATAAACCTATAGACACTTATCGGACGGAAGGTCAGCACAAGCCTTTCACCCGGCGATCTCTGGATACACTGTGGATAGCTATCCATCAACTGGATCGAGTTACATGCCGGGGCTTGACCAATGAGGCATTGATAGACACCCTCTCCCCTACACTAACTAGGCCCAAGGTTCGAGTGTGGAGATTAGTAGGCTTAGGTATCAGTAGTGAGTAGTTTTACTGGCAGGATTTAAGCGAGGACCCAGGTAAGATTTTTTCCCCTAAACAGATTTCCATATTTTCCGGATGGGAATCTGAAAACGCATTGTTGTCCCGACCGATCGGATCCGGGTGGGATCGCTTCCTTCCGCCCACAACTCTCAAATTGTTTCAAAGAGAGGTTAGGAAGTGAAAATGAATGTCATCTTATTCATTATGATGAGAAATGTAGAAGACTTTGACATTGAGATCTACCCCTTAATCATATATCATCTCCTATTTCTTGCTGGTTTCATGATGGAATCATGACTTCAGGCTAGACGGACAACTGGGTATGTTTTGAATATATACTCATGTGATAATAAGATAGTAATCAACTTAAGATTTACCTCTTTCTTCTCAAGTTCCATAATAGGCAAAGAAACTTGCCACTTTAAAAGGTAGGACGATGGAGGCTTGGCGCGTTTTCTTGACTAGAGCGGATCACTCTCAGGAACTTCTCTCCTTGGCATCATGCACCAGAGAAGAGCAGTATATATATTTATCTTATGAGGTAATTAGGATTCAATGTCAACTCTAAGATGCGATCGACACTAAACAAGCCAATCTCCAGGTGTATCGTAGCCCCTAGATCTCCTCTTGATGTGATACCTAGGTACACAAGAAACATTTACAAATGCTTTAACCTAAAATACTTCCATTTGAAGAACGAAGAGTTCAACCAAGACATGCTTGTAGAAGACGCCTGGGTCTACGTAGGCTCTATCGTGTTTGCGAGGAGATAAGTCTGACGTAACTTTAGCTATTAGGCATATGCCTCGCTAATTCCGTACATGAAAGAGTCAAAAAGAAAGGAAGTTTAGGTAAGTTCTAACATCAAGGAAAGGCACTGCCGTGCAGGAGAAAGTAGATATGCTCAACCTACCCAAACAACCTACCCAGCTGGCTGTTGCAGGGCAGTCAAGCTTGCGGAGTGTACCGAACCTAATGCTTTAGCTCCTCTTAACCTTGACGGTGATCATGCCAAGATATTTAACGAATTCACTATACGTTAGACTGCAGATGATCGTATCGGTAATCTTGAGATCGGAACCGCGACATCATCCGAACCCATGGGAACTAATTTGGCGTACCAGAGGTTGGGCAACTTGATGCGATCAGTTCAGGGGGGGGAATATCAGAGATTCGGCAGCGCGAATAACAACGAATAACTTGGACGAATCCCCTGGTACGTACACTTGACTCGGACGTTTGACTCCAAGTCGGAGAGACCGAGCTACACCTGTTATGCGGCTAAGGGGATGACCTTGAGAATACACGTGGAATTCCGATGATGCAAGTTTTGGAACCATCTTATTTTCGCAAACCCGTTCTACGCGGATTGAACCAGTTGCGCGTCCCATCAATCAACCAGCTGGATCTCCACTGAGGTCCCGGAATAAAATTCTGATAATTGCGCTCGGTCTAGTTAGTGAATCGCGATGATGCCACGAAATGACAGCTTTTCTTCCTTATTATATCAAAGACGTCAAGTTCCTATTTCGTTTACGCCTTTACCAAAATGTTAATCGTCAAAATCATTATGATTTGATGCGTCCGCGTCCCGTCTTCTGGCGGAGCATGTTTCATTTCCGAGGATAGACCACTCACTGTAATTTCCGGAATCAGATCTTTGGCATATTCATCATTCGCATAGGTACAACTTAGCCTTGCGCTGCTGCACGATGTTTTGGCATTTATGCGACTAGCGACTCATCTTTAAACCGATGATAAATGGACATATTATGAATTGACTTACTCATACTGGGTCGGTGATAGAAAATTACAATGCGGAGACTAGCCAACATGCCTTCCGTTCCGTTCATAAGAGCAATACTGTTCAACCCCCAATAAAATATATGCCTCTAGACATAGAAAGTAACACTGTTTATTATGGATTATAACAATATGGTACCTTCATGACGATCGCGAAATGATTGTGGCAAGCCATTGCTCAGGGAGGTGGCGTTTCTCCTGAATAGGGGTAGTTAGTGGGAAACACAAATAGGGGTAAAATGGAGCATCAACTACAAAGCTGAAAGAGTCGGTCATAATAAGAAGCAGTCAATAACAGACTATGCTCAATATCTAGTATACTTGTCTAAATATCAATATCGTACATATGCATTTGCAAGTACAGGATTGAAGCACTCATCATATACTGGCACTCATCCAACTGACGTTGCCTATTCTTCCATGGTTTTTTTCCATCGTGGGGCATTCATTGCTATACTCTCATCTGCTAATTCATGCGATACCCGTCGCCCTTTGTCCTTTTCAAGAGCTTCTATATCGCATGCGTACCGAACATGGACCTGGATGAGGACCGCCTAGGCATTGTGCATTGCCAAAGCTAAAAGAAGAACGTAGTCCTTAAACAGGAGTCAACGGAAGCACATGTAATGAATATGGGCCCTGATATCAAATGCAATATTACATAGCGCTTCCGAGATCCATGTCGATGCTTTTGAACACCCTGATTGGTTATATTATGTAATGTTGCTATGGTCAATAAGTTTTGCCCCCTGTTACTCCTAGGGTTACGTGAGATTGTACTTACATAAAAAGCCATTGCAGATATGTCATCGTTGGTTGTTGGTAGAGTCACTTGGCTTGTATCAGAATTCATGAAGGTCGATGTAAGGGAGGTTCAAAGGTGGTTAGCTTAATTTGGACAAGGATAAGTTCTTGTCGTTTTCTTTCATTTCCTTTCATTTCCTTCCCTTCTCTATAATTCCATCATCAGGTCTTCAAACATTATGGCAGCCACCGTCACCGCCGTACTCGGTGGTATAGCAGCTGTTTACCTATTTCTTCGCTTCCTCCTTGACTTAACTCAGGATGCCAGGGAACCACCAGTTGTCGAGAGTGGAATCCCCTTCTTTGGCCCCGTGATTGGGATGGTCAGAGAAAAGTCACGCTTCTATCTTCGATTGAGGTTTGTTGTCACGTCTCCTAAGCAACATGTAGTGATGCAGCCCTCCTACGTATATCTCTTGTTCTGGGCACTGATCTGAAGCTTTGAACAGAGACACGTACAAGCTTCCAATCTATACCCTGCGCATGCCCTTTAGCCGGATGTACGTCGTGAATGACACCCAACTCATCCCCGAATTGCAGAAACAATGGCGCACTATCAGCTTTGCTGCTATCGCCGCCGATGCAGGCGACCTTGTCGGGATGAGTAAGGAGGCTGTCAAGATAATGCATCAGGACCTAAAAAGTGAGGATGGATTTAGTGTAAGCTGGCCTAAATATATCATGCCTGCGATGAGACCCGGAGAAGACCTCGATGCGATAAATAGGAAGTCAATCGAGGTCTTTTCAGCCGACATGGAAAAACTGCGAGCACAGGGGACTGTACAAGTCGGCCTGTGGCAGTGGTCACGTCGAATCATGGTTGAATCCACGACCGAAGCAGTCTGGGGACCACAGAACCCGTATCGGGACCCGGCCATTGCCGAAGCTTGGAAGTAAGCATGAGTTTCGTTGAGTCTCTATTAGCCCTGAATCTTCATTGACGGTTACAACAGGACATTCGAGGCAGGCTTCTTAACTCTTTCCATCTTCCCCCTCGCTTCGCTATTTTTCCCCAAGCTCGTTCGTGCACGTGAGCTTGCGGCCAATGCCATGATTGATTACATGCGCAATGGTGGGCACGAACAAGCCTCTGGGCTCGTACGCAAACGCTTTGAACACCATCGACAGAATTTCGGCCTTAGTCTCGAAGACGTAGCGCGAGGGGAGCTTGGGAACACTTTTGCTGTCTTGGGAAATTCAACCCCCTGTTCTCTATGGGTCCTCTATCATATCTTCTCAGATCAGGAGGTACTAACTGACATCCGCCGCGAAGTTTCTGCCCTAGTGCATGAAGAAAATGATGGAGAAAATGGCATCATTAACACTGTCGACTTGGCTGGTATTCGCGAATCTTGTCCTATACTTTTAAGTACCTTTCAAGAGACGCTACGACACCGCGCCGTCAACCCCGGCCCACGCCAGATTCTTGAAGACGTGCTCTTGGATAAGCGCTTTCTTCTCAAGAAAGGAAGCATGCTCATGATCCCAGCTCCGGTACAGCATACCGATGTTTCCGCGTGGGGTGAAGACGCCAGGGAGTTCGACCATTTACGTTTCGTACGTAAACCAGCTTCTGGACACAAGAAACCAAATCGGATAGCATTCCGCGCATTCGGTGGGGGACATGTTCTCTGCCCTGGTCGCCACTTCGCAAGCATCGAGATCATGGCGCTTGCAGCATTATTGGTGCTTCAGTTCGACGTCGTGCCTGTCGCCGGTAGGTGGGTTGAACCCAAGTGTGACAATTCGCCAGTTCAAGCGGGCTTCCCCGTCCCAGATGTGGATATCGATGTCGAACTTCGACCCAGAGATCCCGAAAGGAGGTGGCGTGTGACATTTACAGGGACAGATAAGGCTATGGGTATTGTAGCTGAAGATAGTATCCCTGACAATGATATTTGATCGGCGCGATACGTCGGTCATGTATTTAGATATGAGATAATAAGGTTATATACTATATTTCTTTTCTATATGCCTAGGGCCCAGACACTCAGAAATTATACTTAATGCGTTTCCTCAAGGAGCGATAACGTGATGTTCCTGCATTTTCCCACCGTACCTTCGGCGGAAGGAATTCGTTATGTCCTGGGCGACGCTTTGCTATGAAAGAAATCATGAGCGTTCTGGCTATTATGACACTGAAATTACAACATTAAACCTTCCGAACCCGTTTGGAAAATCCTGGAGGCTAGGCATCATCTTTCAACCAGTACTCTAACACCGGTAAACTATATCCTCATAATTATACGACCGAGAGAAGAGATAGGCAATGGTAAATTAACTTTACTTCTATACTTTGAGTTCACGAACGGATATTATATCAAAAGTAGTTTCCTATCAATATGTACTACTTAGCTAGCTTCTCGTATCCTAGCATATCTTCCAGAACTGCTTGTAATCTTCTCAACTGACACGAGGCGGAACTAAAAGACTAGAAAACATCGACATTGTTGCGCAAGAAACTCTAAACTACTCCCTGCCAGTGAACGCGGTGTATGTACATAGACTTTCCTTTGTCTAGCTCCTTAGGGCCAATCTGCCAACACGTCCTTCTAGAGTCACCTAGGAACTTCGCGCTCTCTTCACAGGCTGACCTCCCTCCGATCCTTCTCGACTACCAACCAGCTCTAGAAAGCTCTCTGTTAGGCTCATAATGAGGCAAAATCTAGAGTGTGTAAAATGGTTGATTATTCTAAGTGAGAACAAGAGTCTCAAGGATTTGGAGGAATCCTATGTATGCTATTGGCTCCTTCCTCCTATCCTCAGAGTATCGTACCAAGTACCGTAGTACTGTGGCTCCCAACACTTTCACGAACGAGTCCTCTAGAATCGACATCTCCTTCAAGAGACCTAGAAACGCATTGATTGTGTCGTCGTTTGATACGCTCTCGGAGGGGTAGGCTCCCTTGGATCGGGAGGCGCGAGTAAACGTGTCATTTCGTCGACATCCCTATATGAACATTCTAGGGAGTAACTTCGATTCGCGCGAACAGACGACCCCGAACACGGCCTAGGGCGGGCATCTGGGACGCAGTCCCCAGACCAGGGCGGAATCAATAATCCGATCGAGTGTTGCCACACACTGAGGGGTATGGTCGTTATTGGGTTGAGATGACGATAGCCCATGAAATGAGCAAGGGGCATGTGCTGCTAGGGGTTCGACTTACATGATTGCGGCTGGATGAATTCATCTAATCCAAAGGTACCTATTAGGTAGGTATTCATAGTCAAGGAGGGGATAACTCGTTTACGTCTGTGGAGATCGACGTAATAGATGATTGCAAGGTTAGGTTACGCCTGTCTGTGCCTATGCATGTCGCGATACTAGGTAGAAGTATCCTCGTATAGCAACAGTGCTTCCTTCACCTCCGCCAAGTTTGCATGGCGACAGTGAACTATGATGGTTTCGTGAGCAAATGACTCATCCAGTGTTCGTCTAACGGCCTTACCTCCTTTTCTCCTCGGTAATGGAGAAGATGTAGTCCATCCGGTATTGCCAGGGGTATGGCATCGGCGGTCAGCTCTCCGCCGCAGTTCTATTCGAAGTGGAGGCACATACGCTATCCAATCCTGTGAAGCCTTGGATAGACCATTGAGAAATCGGCTGACAACTCACGAGGGAGAGGCATGGTTGATTTAGTTGTTGATAAGTAGAAGTGATTTGGTAGGGTTTTGAAGAGCGGGTCTTCTAGAAAGATTTTATTAAGAGAGGAGTGCTTGGAAAATGGTGAGAATTTCCAGATAGAATTTCCCAAAGGACACTGCTTATGAAGGCAAGAGTATCCTCTCCTACGTGTTTGGCAAAGTTAGCGTTTTGTTGCAAAGGTGGATCGAGAATTACCTATAGACTATATTCCCTCACAACGTAAAGTTTAACATTACAATGCCGGTAGATATATAGCCCTTGGATCGCTTGTGAAAAGAAGAAATAGTGGTAAAAATCAATTAGGTGTAGAAGAAGGGGCCAGTGCTATGACTAATAGACCAACAGCAAAATACTAGGTTTAGGCTGATGTGAATGGAGAGTGAAAATAAATAACCACAAGAAAATGAAAACGTGGAAAATGCCGGAATTAAGAAAGATACAGGAAAGAGATTTGACGAACCTTGGGAAAACGGCACCATGAAGTCAGGGACCGACTTGGCTCTCTGATTTCTAGAGGTATAAGGTGAGTAGGTGGTTCATTCCATGAATCAGTAGCACTAAGGTTAGTAGCATAGGCACTTACATTGATATTGGCGGGGATTGAAGCATTGGTCGGACCACTAGTAGGATGATAAGTGAAGCCGCTGATACCAACACCGGCTAGACCAAAGTCTGGGTTGTTTGTATTGAGGCAGAATGTGGGTGAGGTTGGAAAATGCAGCAATATATTAATGGGAGTCACAATATTGACGCCTGAAAATCATTAATGAAATAGAGAAAGATTGTCACAGACCAGTTGAGTTGTGCTCATCCGTGTGCTGATAAAAAGTAGGACGTGGGGAAAAGTAAATTGTTATCACAAGACGAGAAATGACACAAGTAACGAATAGTAAATTAATAAAAATGGTGCATTCCTACGTAGATAACTAGCTCAACTAAGGACTTTCCTTGCAAGTTGAGATTGATGGTGAACAAATGATGGATGCAGATGAGTATTCGTCTATATACGTCAGATGTCAAAGCAGGCTGCAGTAGTTAGGTATGTAACGATTAGGCAGTTACTATCCTAATCACAATATACTTTTATTATAAGTTTATTCATGGAGTAATAGCCTTGACTGACAGTTCCAACTGCAGGTAGCCCTGCGGATATTAGCGGGTGTAATTATCAACCAAAAGTAGTAGATATTTATGTTTGTAGCTGAGAGCACCTCCTTGTACAGCAGGTAAGCTCCATATACATTATCCTTTAGAATAAGCATACAGAGAATTGATATGCTACCTAATAGTTACAACCGAATTGCCACTAATAGTTACATGGATGTATGTGAAGGGGTGTTGGTACGTAGGTACCTACCCAGCATCCACCACTAACACTCACGTGATTACATAATCAATCCCCCCTATTCTAACAGCATCTCTTAACCAAGAACATGAGGTTTTCTCGTCTACACATGAACATCTCTGGAAGTGTATACTTGAGCATATAAATGTAGCTAGGAAAGGTGCGAATAAGAATATAGAATGGAAACTTAAAGGACTATAAGCGTTAACCTACAACTGCAGCCAGAAACATCGCTAAGGACTACCCATGTTCCAGTAAGACTTCGCAATTCCAAACAGAAGCAAGAGGTGCATATCCCAAGATCAGAAATCGGCAACTATGCGCCATTTACTCCAGCCGTTAACCTTTCGTTATAGTTTCGGTTAAAACGGCACATTCCGGAACTTTGCCTACCTACCTATATGGGTACCTGGATGCTAAAGTCAAGTTCTAGAGACTTTTATAACTGACGTCAGAACCAAGTCCTTATCGTTATTATTATGCGCAAATTTATTTATCAAAACCTTCAACGTAAGCGAAACTTTCCTCGAGTTATGTTGACGTTCTTACCATACTCAGCATCCGGATCAGTGTATGTAGCTGTGACAAGCTTTAGCGTTCGACACAACTTAGCATGTTGCCGAAAGGATAAAACCGTATAAGCGTTAAGTACGGAAGATGACGGCGACGATTGATGGTCAAGGCCTTGATACAGGTAGAGCAAGAAAGAGCAGCTGGAATCTCCTTAGTACCCAAGGACACCACCTCCTCCTGAGTGCCTACCTAGATCAGCACCCCTTTCCTCAGTGTCATATGAACAAAGCTACCTACTTTTACGTTCTTGGAAACTCCGATTTGGGTGTTATGTCCTGTGAAAAGTAATCCACATGGGACCTTCCGTTAAGCCTTTAATCTCTCTCAAAGGTAAGAACTTAGACACTTGTATAAATATTTCACCATCAACATCCATCCTAAGTTTTCCATCTCTACCATACCTAGACAATCCATCTCCATTGCTACGAGATTCATGATCTTTTATTTCTCCTTCAATAAAATGCCTCTTGATAGTCTCTATTCGAATTAGCCACATTCTATATGAGGATGGCTATTCGTAATCGGTTCAGAAGAGGCCTGGACCTCGGGAAGGGAGATACGATGCTGATAAATTTCAGGTATGTTGATGATTTCTTTATCTAGAGTGTTGAGTTCGATACCGAACTCCCTTTTTCATTTCGAGATGTAAACTTCCTGCTGCCCTTGCAGCATCACCAGCATCACCAGCATGTTTCTGTCTTCAAGGGTCTAACATCACTTACATAATAGCTGAGAACTCACATCTCAACTTCGGAATGATACAAGATCACTATTGTTCCTCTCTCCTCCAACTTTTCTTCTCACGCTTGGATCCAAATGCAACTTGGAACAACTAAGGAACGACAATCTCCATTCCTAAAAGCCACAGGAGCCACAGAGCTGAATCGATCTAAGAGATCTCAAGTCAGCATAATGAGCATACTGTCACATGGCGATAAGTGCCATGCTTCTAACATATATAGAATACAAGATTATTAGGTTGGAACAAGTAGTCTATTGGTTATTAAAAATAATTACCAGGTTATTATATATATGTAGGATTAATTAATAAAATGTTTATGGGTGCTTAAAGCGTTAAAGTTCGGATTTTAAGCATAATAAATTAAATTTAAATAGTTAAGATAATTTCTTTTTAAAAAAAAAAAAAAATAAAAAATTTAAAACTTTTAAAAAATTATTATATAAATTAAATTTATGTTTTAAGTTTATTCCATTTATTATAAATAATTTTTTATTAATTTATAAATTTTTTTCCCGGATTATTATATATGTTTATTTAAAGTAATATTTATTTATATTTTATTTAAATTAAATTATTTTCTTGTAATTATTTAAAAA